AGCAAACACCTTACCCACGTCCAGGTTGCGCGAAACGACGAGTGAAGGGCCGGTGGGCTGAATGTTCCACAGCTTGACCGTCTTGTCAGTGGATCCGGTAGCCATGAAGCCTGGAATCACGCTGTTGATGTCAAATGAAGACACAGACTCATCGTGCGCCTGCAGGGTCCATACCGCCTTGGTGGCCTCTGGGGTTGATGGGGCGTTTCGGATGTCGTGATAGTGAATGACGCCGTTTTCCGTCGAGACGTAAAAGTAGTTTTGATCATGGGGGTCCCATCGAATATTCTCGACATCACTCTCAACACCCCATCGAGGTACCTTTGCGTCGGGCGCTCTCATATCGGCCGCGACAACTGTTCGGTCATAGCTTCCACTGAGAAGTACAGTGGGCTCAGCTGTGTGCCAGGCGAGAGAGCACACCTTGTCGGTATGGTATGAATATGACTTGGCGCACTTGGCCGTGTTGAGGTCCCAGAGCTTGATCGTCTTGTCCGCAGACGCCGAAGCAAGCAGGTTTCGGTGCTTGCGGTTGGCTGCAAGAGACAGAACGGCATCCACGTGGTATTCGTCATTCGCCTTGGCCTTCTTCTTCTTCTGCTTCTTCTTCTTTTCGCCCGACTGGGGATTTGCGCCCTGACCAAGAATGGCGTTGGGATACATGCAGTCGACAGTGTCAAGATCCCAAACCTCAATATCCGGGTCCATTGTACCAACGGCGACAAAGTTGCCCCTGCCGTCCTTGGGTGCGTCTGTTGAATTGTTGACCGGAATATCAAGCCACTCTACACAGAGAGGAATTGCCGGCAGCATGATGTCGTGGTGAACGTAGAGGTTGTCGCTCTCGTCTTCGTAAACATAAACCTCCAGGTGGGCCAATTCGTCTTCAACCTTTGCCGACAGAATCAGGTTGTCAGTCGCCAAGACTTGAAGGTCCTCTCTGTCTTCATCCTCTTCGTCGTCCTGCAGTGTGATATAAGGGTCGTCCTTGTTTGACTCGTAATACGCAAGTGACTTGACATTTCCAAACATGCCCATGCTTCCGTTGGCGGCGGGCGCATCGTTCTCGTCGTCGTCATCGTCGTAGTGCTCCAAGTCATATTCTTTCAGGTCGTCATCATCGTACCTTGTTATCCTGTTAGCAAAAGGAACCTAATGTTGACCGAGAATAATGGCTAATCAAGCGTACTTTGCAGCAGGCTGGGCTTTCTCCTTTGTCTCTTCTTTCTCGCCCATGTCCTCATCTTTGCCTTCATCTTCTTCCTCTGCATCCTCGCCGTCTTCCTGAGCTTCCTTCAAATCTTCCTCTGCATCGTTGAGCTGCAGCTTCGCCAATTCAGCTATTCTCTCAAATTCAGACTCATCAAGCTTATAGACTTGAGGAAATTGTGCCGCGAAGCCGCGCGGCACCCACTGGGCAGCGGTTATCATGGAAGACATTGTGCAAATGCCTGGGGTATCTTGAACTTTGCAGTGTAACTTTTTTTCTCGATTCGCAGACTCGCTCCAAATATTTTGCCCAAAAATTTCTATGGTGGGGTTTATCGATAAGCGTCCGACGGCACCCTTGACAGAGCTGTGGAGTTTCGGCAGGTTGAAGATGGATGCCAATTCAGGAAAAATTACAACTATAACTTGAGTGAGCACAACAGCATCAGACAGAAAAGAGCTTAACACGCCAAGTAACCGGAATTATAGAATATATGACATCTTGAGAACATAACTGAAGGAAGTCATGTCTAGAAGATGAAGAGTAGCTGCTACTAGATGTCTGAATGCCACCTTAATCACATGATTTAGTGAGCTCCTACAGTGCTCTATGGTTGTATTGGCGCTATAAGTAGGTACCAAATACAGTAAAATCACCGTGCGTGCACTGCCCATCTTTTCTTTTCTCTCAACTCCCATCATTTCACCTCGTCGCGTTGCTACCTGGCGCATTACCGCGATCGGAGGGCCCAATCATGGTGTCGGAAGCTGATTACGACGGGTTCAACCCCAAACGGAGGAGACTCGAATTCTCCAGATCCAGGGGCAACAAATACCAAGATGGATCTCGAAGTTCTACACCACGCGGCCAGTCTCGATATCCTTCAACGCCTCGAGAGCCCGACCAACCCCAGCCAACAGAGGAAGATTCTTTGGCGCTGGATCGCGATTGGTACGGCGGTGATGAATTTGGAGGACACACATTTGGCGATGAGGCGTATAACCCGTTCGCATCCTACGAACTTTCGGCATGGGAGAGCCAGCAACAAGAGTCGGCCAAGGCCGAGAAGATGACGAGTCGATATGACGCCAGGCAGGAGCAGAGAAGGCGAGAAAACGATGCCTGGGAAACCAACCGTATGCTGGTATCCGGCGTAGCACAACGAAGAGATCTGGCCGCCGACTTCGACGAGGAGGAAGCCACCAGAGTTCACCTGCTCGTTCACGATTTACGGCCGCCATTCCTTGATGGAAAGACAATCTTCACCAAACAACTCGAGCCTGTTCCAGCCGTCAGGGACTACCAAAGCGACATGGCCGTCTTCAGTCGGAAAGGAAGCAGGGTTGTAAAGGAAGCCCGCCAGCAAAGAGAGCGGCAGAAGCAGGCACACGAAGCCACAAGCATTACGGGCACAGCTCTCGGAAATATCATGGGAGCTAAAGAGGAGGATGGCGATAGTGCGCTACCGATGCCTGGCGAGGAGGATGTCGAAAAGAGCGAACGCAAGGGCAACAAGTTCAGCGAGCACATCAAGAATGCGCAGGGGGCCAGCGATTTCAGCAAGAGCAAGACGTTGCGCGAACAACGAGAATACCTGCCCGCATTCGCGGTCCGCGAAGAGCTTCTACGAGTGATACGGGAGAACCAAGTGATTATTGTAATCGGCGAAACGGGTTCAGGAAAGACGACTCAGCTCACCCAATTTCTGTACGAAGATGGCTACGGGAAGACTGGTATGATTGGGTGTACACAGCCACGACGAGTAGCCGCAATGAGTGTTGCCAAGCGTGTGGCCGAAGAGATGGAAGTCAAATTGGGGAGCACGGTTGGATATGCCATTCGATTCGAGGACTGCACAAGCAACGACACGACCATCAAGTATCTGACGGATGGAATTTTACTCCGAGAGTCACTCAACGAACCTGACCTGGACAGATATTCCTGCATCATCATGGATGAAGCGCACGAACGGGCGTTGAACACTGACATCTTGATGGGACTATTCAAGAAGATATTGCAAAGACGGCGAGATTTGAAGCTCATTGTCACGTCTGCGACAATGAATGCAAAGAAGTTTTCCGACTTTTTTGGCGGTGCCCCTGAATTTACGATCCCAGGACGAACTTTTCCCGTCGACGTCCTCTTTCACCGATCACCCGTCGAAGATTATGTTGACCAGGCAGTCCAACAAGTGCTATCCATCCATGTATCCATGGATGCTGGTGACATTCTTGTGTTCATGACTGGTCAAGAAGACATTGAAATCACATGCGAGCTTGTTCAGAAACGCTTAGATGCTTTGAACGATCCGCCAAAATTGAGCATATTGCCAATCTACAGTCAAATGCCGGCAGACCTGCAGGCCAAAATCTTTGACAGGGCGGCTCCAGGAGTTCGCAAATGCATTGTTGCGACAAATATTGCCGAGACGAGTTTGACTGTAGACGGTATCAAATACGTTGTTGACGCAGGCTACTCGAAAATGAAGGTATACAACCCAAAGATGGGCATGGATACTCTTCAGATTACGCCCATCTCCCAGGCCAACGCAGGACAGCGTTCAGGTCGTGCTGGTCGAACAGGGCCAGGAAAGGCGTTTCGCCTGTACACCGAAAAGGCATTCAAGGAAGAGCTGTACATCCAAACAATTCCCGAAATTCAGCGGACGAATTTGTCTAACACAGTTCTGATGCTGAAATCGCTCGGAGTTAAAGATCTGCTGGATTTCGACTTTATGGATCCACCTCCCCAAGATACCATTTCCACATCCATGTTCGATCTATGGGCTTTGGGAGCTCTAGACAACTTGGGAGAACTGACCGAGCTTGGGCGGAAGATGAGTGCCTTCCCCATGGACCCTCCCCTGGCCAAGCTCCTCATTACTGCGGAAGAATACGGCTGCAGCGAAGAAATGGTTACGATTGTATCCATGTTGTCGGTGCCAAACGTATTTTACCGGCCAAAAGAGCGACAAGACGAAGCCGATACGCAGCGAGAAAAGTTTTGGGTCCATGAGTCGGACCATCTTACCTATCTCCAAGTCTATTCGGCATGGAAAGCCAACGGATATTCGGACGGATGGTGCATCAAGCATTTCCTTCACGCCAAGTCTCTCAGACGCGCAAAGGAAATTCGGGAGCAGCTCTTGGATATCGTAAAGATGCAGAAGATGCAACTGATCAGCTGTGGTATGGACTGGGATGTTATTCGCAAGTGCATCTGCTCTGGATACTACCACCAAGCGGCCAAGTACAAGGGGTCTGGCGAATACACCAACTTGCGAACAAACCTCGGAGTTCAGCTGCACCCCACAAGTGCCCTGTACGCCGGTCATCCACCGGATTACATTGTATATCACGAACTCATCTTGACGTCCAAAGTGTATGTCTCGACCGTCACGGCAGTTGACCCTCACTGGCTGGCAGATCTCGGCGGCGTCTTTTACTCCATCAAGGAGAAGGGCTACTCAATCCGAGACAAGCGCATCACTGAGACAGAATTCAACCGCAAGATGGAAATTGAGGCGAAGATGGCAGAGGACAAGCGCCTTGACGAGGAGCGTAAACTGGCCGAGGCTGAACGAACAGTCAAGAAAAAGTCCGACAAGGACGAGAAGAAGTTTACCGTCCAAGGTGCGGTAAAGAAGCCAGTGATAAAGAGACGGGGAAGAGGGTTTTAGTCTTGGATTGGGTAATTATAATGTAGATGTCATGTGGATAGGTTATTTTAGCATAGCGTGAGTCTCAGGACATTATTTTGGGATTTAATAGGCATCATTGAGATGACTCTCTCAACGACGGACTTCGAACGGACCGTCCCCTTCCACCACGTCGCGGTCTTCCTTGGTAACTTTGGTGACATTGGCATGGCCTGGGCCTTTGTTGATATCATTAAAGAACATCTGCATGATATCATCGTTGCCCTGGGCTTCACCCTCGACCTGTTCAGCATACATGAGCCCTCAGTTCCTCTTCCTCAAGGAGGATAACTCACTGTGTCATCAATGGTGTTGCGGCACCACCCAGTTACGCCATACTGCTGGGCTTTCTTTCTCGTAAAGTACCTATGACTGATTAATCTCTAGGCGCAGGTTCAATAGTTAAGTCTGAACATACCGAAATCCCACACCTTGCGGAACTCGATGTTAGCTAGCGGGAATCGATGCCAGCATCCATTCACTTACCTTGGACAAACCCGTGAACCTCAAAGTATACCTGGAGAAGCACGTAAGAATCCGCATTCAAACCTTTAAAACACATTCAAAACCCTACTCTTTTTACCATCTCTAAACGATAATCTGGTTTATGTCTTTTGTATCATTGAGAAGAATCCATTGTGTGCTCTCACAGTCCAGGTCTATCAGCTATTAATAGGTAGTAGCCACCAGCCATCGGCTAATCGCCGGACATGGAAGCTATGAAGTCACCACCCTTCGTCACCTAGCATACTTCCAACCTAGGAAGCCTCGCTGCTAAAAGTTCCTATCTCTACAACTTAAGTATTCAACAATCAACCCAACCATGGAACCAGATCAAGACGGAAACACCCCAACCACAGAACCCATCCGCTTCCGCGCCGGCAAAAAAAGAAAAGCGTACCGCCAACGACCTACCGAAGAAGAAGAGGCCCATGACGTAGCGACCGTGATCCCAGCTCCGTCCGTCCTGCCAGGCGCGTCAAAGCTTGAGGATGGCGAGCCTGGACGAGACGCCAACGCCGACGCAGAAAAACTACTAAGAGAACTCGAAGGGGAGGACGACAATGGTGATGATGGCGACGATCGAATGGATGAGGAATCAGCAGTGGCGGCTGCGTTGCGCCTCCGCAATGCGCGCCGGGCAGCTCGTCGAGGAGGCGTGGGCTTCCGCTCAGAAGGACGAAACCAAGACGACGAAGACGCAGACGCAGAGCAGCACGCGCTGGTTCTCCGAGACGCAGATAAAGATGCCGCGCATGATCGTATCGTCGGCGGCATTACCAACCGCTTCATGCACCAGACCGGTCTCCTCACCATCCTCGACGACAAACACATGTACGCCAAAACCACCAGAAGACCTTCAAGACCCTTTCTCTCTCATTCCCTTCTACATGTCCTCTTTTATAGAGCGCCAAGCTAATCATTCAGGAATGAATACATAGAATCCCGCCTCGCTAGCCGCTCCGCCGACCCCCACGGCACATCTCCCTCATCACAGCCCGCATCCCAGTCCGCGACGACGAACCAAGGCCTCGCCGGCGACCCTAACCACCAGGATAAGTGGCGCGACCAGCCCACCCGCCACGGCAAACTCGTCGAGGTCGACATGGCGAACCTCGACAATGGCGCAAGGAACGACAACGGTAGCGACAGCTACAAGCGCCGCCGCGTCGAAACGGACGGCGCACCAAAACCGCCTCCTCGCCGTGGCCGTAACCGCCGCAATAGCCAGGACATTGCGCGCGATGCCCTCGTCGAGCAACTCCTCCACGAAAATCGCCGTGAGTTCTCTCCCCTCTAAAACCCCCCTTTGTCGTACAGCAACCCTTTACTAAAATACCACATCGCAGTCGACGTCTACAACGTCCCCTCTTCATCAAGAGCAGCAGCTTCCTCCGCACCTGGCGCGGATCCTTCCGCCGACGACCGCCTCGCCGAAGAGTTCCGGCAGCAGTACTACGATGAGCAGGCCATGCGCCGTAAGAAGAAGCGTCCCGTGCAACAGCAGAAGCAGCAGCAGCAGCAGTCAGGCGATGTTCTCAAGGGCCCCAAACTTGGTGGCAGCAGGAACATGAGAGCAGCCGTAAGAGACAAATTGCTGCAACAGGAGAAGGAGAAGAAGGGCAGGTAATTCTCGCCATGCTCTCTTGTCGCGAGATAACATGACTATCCCGTCAAGTAAGAGCTCTGGAGGACTCTACAACCTCATAATATCAGCATTACAAAAAGAAATTGAAACTTAGCGTGTATATTCAAGGAGAGAAAAAGTCACTAGCAGAGCAGTGTCAATCCATAAAATGGCATAATCATTCATTGACTGTCTTAGAACCCAGTCCCTACCTAACCATAAAAGACCTATTCATGACCCAAACCCAATAGATTGAAATCCTAACGTCATAAAAAAACGTGCAACTGTGCCAGCCAGGTTACCCAACAGAACCCTTATCTGATCCCATATAATAACGCCGCAGCACTTGGAACCCAATATATCCAAAAACGAATGAAGCCATAACCAAACAAGAAAGGAAAAGAAACAAACCAGTTGAAAGTCCCATACAAGGGTCTGAATTGGGTCTTTTTTTTACCCGAAAAAAAAGGGGCGGCCGAGGCAATTGCTCCTAGGCGGGAAAGGAAATAGACCTGTATCATGTTTCCCGATGCGCCTGCCAGTGGCCTCTGTATAGTGGCGCCAAAGATGCAAATAAAAGACTGATGCGTATAAAAAAAAAGAAGAAGAAGAAAAACCCAGTGTTACCCATAAAACAGAAAAGAAAGCAAGAAGAAGAAGAATCAATCATCTAATGTCAAGCTGAAAGGGCTTGTACCGACCACCGATTGTCGCGCAGCGAGGGCACTTCCTACGTGCTCCATGCTCAGACATGAGCACTTCAACGCACGACGAGCACAGGCCGCATATGCACTCCGTACAGGCATATGAATTCTTAAGCAGGGATATGCCGTGGCAGGCGGCACAGTATATCTGGATATTCTGTGAGTTGTAGCTCGGTGATGAGTCTGACAGCCCGCGAGATCCAATGTGGAAGTTATCCCCGCTTTCGCCGCTCTCAACGGATGGGAAAGGCTCAATCACATCCTGGTTGTATGAGGGTGGCGTTAAGGCCTGTTGCAGAGGAGAAGCTTGATAGTTGTTGCTGGCAGACTGGAATTGGTGGTGGCTAAATGGAGGCAGCGATGCTCTGTGAATTGAGACTGGCGATTGAGGCATCTTTTAAAAGACAAAGTTAGCAACATACGTCTCCCTAATAAACGCATTATCTGCGTTACTCACCGGTGTGCGGTCCTCGTCAATATCTCCTGCTGCAGACGCGGCCTGGTCCGCGGCATCAATCAAGTCTTCCCATCGTTTGCCGTAATCTGCCCACGGCTCGGCAGAGAGAGCCTTGCGGTCATGGCCACTCCTGTATCGCTCTTCGTTCTGGATACGTCTCAGCCAATCAGAGCCACGTGAAGGCTTCTTCCTATGCTGGGATTCTCGGCTTTTCTTTGATATAGACTGCTTGCGAGGCCGGCTTAGTCCCAAGGGCCGTTGGAGCGGAGGCAAAGTTGACGATCGCCCAGGTGGTGAAGCTGCCAAGAGGGAAGGCAGAATTTCGCGAGGCCTGTTGGAATACGGGTCACTTGTGATGTTGCTGAGATTCAGAGGCGGCAGCTCAATGGATTTTCTAGGTCTCCGGCGGCCATCTAAATCGGAATAATATCCCTAGAGTGATGAAAAGCGCATCGTTAGCAGCTATAGCAGAGCACCGTGGGGAAGCTCCCGTTATCAGCGCTATCATCGTGAGATAATAGATAAGATATTCATCCCATCTATTTATCGATAGGCAGCGGGGTACACTCGGAAGCCATTCTTCACTTACACCATCCATCTCTAGCTCTCTCTCAGACTTGACGCCATGGAGCTCGGCCAAAACAGCCGCTGCGCTGGCCGTTCCCAGGATGGAGCTGGTCCCAGGCAGTTTCTCGTCGCCGGGCCGCGGAGTGCCGGGATTGCTGGATTCGTCTCTGTAAAACGAATGGCGATCATGAAAGCCTTTGGAACCAATCGTTAGTCAGTGATTTTAACAAGAGATTGCGGTGGGAAAGGGGAGCTTGGACGCACTTTGAGTGGCTGAGGGTGTTCCTTCATTCTGGCGGCGATCCTGAGGCGGGGTGCTGATCATAAGCAGAAAGCTTTCTTCGGTCGCTGGAAGCTTGGATATGTAGTGCTCCGGGTGTGCACGGCGGATGTGCTCTTGCATAGATCGATATCTCTTTTCCTATAATTGGAACGTCGTGTTAGAGGTCTGTGCTACGGTTCATAGTGCCATTGAGAGCTTCCAGTGCGGCTGGTGGTGGCGGAGGCTGAACTCCGAGTGCTTGCATGCATGCATGCGAGCGTGTATGACAATAGAGCCTTTCTGGCGGTGCCAGCGTAGGATCGGTCAAAGGGCAGAAGCAAGGCAGAATTGAAACTCAAGGGAGAAAAGGGCTGAGGGAGAGGGAGAGGGAAGCGGATAGCTGCAGGAAGAGAGGGAAGTGGTCCCGGGGTAGGGCAGCCAGTACTCACGCCGATGCATCGTTTCCGACAGCTTGAGCCATCTTGGTTTCGGAGCGGACAGACAACCTCGTTGTTGGAGTCTGTGATGGAAAAGGACGAGGTGAGGGACGAGCGTGGCGGCATCTTGAATCCAAGTAAATAAGATAGGAACTCTCTTCGGAGGCAATGGTGCCGTAAAGTAAGAAACCAAATCTAGGCAGATTGCTCAATCGAGCCGATGAATAAAACAATCAACAAAAGTCGTCTAATTCGAGGGCGGCGATCGCGAGCACGACGTATTGAAGCTCGATTCGCCGCCTAGCTGCTGGTTTCCTCGGCTCAGATTGCGTGTGAGTCTGGATAGACGGATAGTACGAAGCACCAAAAAGGGAAGAAATTGAGCTTCAGAATATGCGTAGCGGCCAAAGCTGGTTTTAAGTGTGCTCTCGGCTTAACCCGCCGAGTAAAAGTTGCGTCGACGACGCTGCAAGATGCAGGGAGTAAAAAGTAACTTGCGACTTGGCTCTAGTTGCGAGTCTGAAGCTTTTCCTTGGCCAAATCGTCCAAATGTATATAATTGTAGGTATGCGGCTATGCAGGTCAAGTGGGTTTTCCGGAAACGACAAACTGAGCGGCACGGCCGAGGTCCAGAAACAGATGGCCGAGAAGGTATAGCGATGCGTATCGGGATAGAGAAATAGCTTTAAGCTGAGTAGAAAGGTATAGCGGGATTGATTGTATTTAATAAGAGGCAAATGTGATGTAGAATGGTAAGGAAAAAGTATGAGAGAGAAGAGAGAAGAGAGGATAAGATGTAAGAGGTGGGTACGACGAGGGCAAAAGTATAAGGCAGATGAAGGTACTACAGGTGGATTCGGGTAGATAAGAAGAAAGACAATATAAAGGTAAAGCAATGTAAGAGGAAAAGGCTGAGCAGAAGCTCAAGTCCGTGGAAAGCTCGCAGATTTCTCTGCCAGCGTCAATGTGTGGGAGAGAAATGGGGAGGGGAGAGTTTGGATCGTAAAAGTACAGTGTAGGGGATTAGAAAATAGCAGCCGGACCAGCACTGGAGACGAGAGCTATCCTAAGTAAGTAGCTTGGCCTGGCCGCAGCACTCCATGTTACAGTGGCGGCGCTCAGATGGATTCGGCTCTGCTCACGGGGACTGGCTGCGGATGGCATCGCCCGGACCCAGGAAAGGCAAAAAGAAAAATTGGAAAATTATGAGAGAAGAGCCGGACAGAGGCTCCATGTATGCAGTACTTCGTCCGAGCTGACGGCAAGAAGGGCACAACCGCTGCAAGTGACCAAGCACGCACGTACTGTATACCCAGGACCTTCAGCAGCACGCACAAAAGAGCGTCACTGGGGCGCTCGGCTTGCTTGACCAAAGTACAGTGTACACGCCCTGGGGCCGCTGGAGAGCTCTTGAGTTATAGTCCCTTGTCCAAGCACCAGCACAAGCACGAGTAGGGCACCCCGGGAGAGGGGGAGTGAGCGAGAGGCAGGGCGTGAGGAATGTGTGTGGGCAAAAGCGTGCTTCTGACATTCGTCTCAATGCACAAGTATGGAGTCTGGTAGCAGGTACCTAGGCCCGCTCCCCATCGTCTCTGTGTGCGCATGCAGCAGAAGGTCCCTTGTGATCTGCTAGAGGTTTCTGCTTCAAACCCGGACGAGGTGGCGAGCCAATGGGGAGCTTGGGGTTAAGCTCTGGCGCCCCCCTGCTAGAATCAAGAAGAGAAGAGGCTCCACTGGGAGCTTTCTGTTTTCCCTCTTTCTCTCTCTTCGCTTCTCTCTCTTGTCTTCATCTTCCTGTTGCTCTTGGTACTCCGTAACAACAGCACAGTACTCCGGAGGAGCTGTAATAATGCCTCGTACAGGTTCCCCGTCGCTGGTTTATACTTCGTACTGTACACAAACGGGTTCGTTTTTGCGCTGGTAAAAAGTTGTTGGTACCACAACCCTAAGGGACTAACCCCAGGTCCTGGTTGGTAGAAGCAGGTACATTCTCACTTTTGCCCACCGTCCGGTGCCGTTTTCTCACAAGCGTCAAATCTCGTGGCAAATCATGGCATCTCGCAACTGCAATGACTCGGCATTGGCGGGGCGGCATCGCGCAACGCAATGCTGCAGTCTGTCTGCAGATTCGAGCAGGCAATGTTGCTGGCTGAGGTTTCGAGCTGACTGGTCGTTTGAGTGGGGGCTGTCTGTTCTCTGTTCGCGAACCAGGGGAGCTCTTTATCAGCTTGCTGAGCTCCAGTGGCCATTGATACATCCGCTTAAGTGCAATACGGGGTCTGCCATGCCATCCGCCCTTGGGGCAGCCAGTGCCGTGAGGCGCGGTTGGCGGCTTGCTGGCGGAGCTCCGAGCCCAAGCTGAGAAGGACAAAAATGCCATTATTTGACTTTTAGTTTGAAGTATTGGCTCGCTTTTTCCCGCTTGTCTCGGGTTGTTGGACTTTGCTTCTCGTATGAGCATCTCCGTATCCAAAGCCAAGTTATCCCTCATCATGACATGCTCATGCCCTTGTGCCAAGCTACTGCCTATCCTTCCTAGTCAGGCAAGCAGATAGGACGATAAGCAGCGGTCGAAGCAGGGAAGAAAAAAGGACCGCCTTGGTCCGGCATACATGCAAGAAGGCCTGCTACAGTATCCATACTGTACGGAGCAGGCCTGGCCGAAGACGTGCGTACTGAAGAAGAAAAAGAAGAGGGAAGAAAGGCCGTCTCCCGCCAAATGCAAGCCGCTTCTGGGTCTGAGGTCTGGCACCGGCGGGTCCGTAGGCGTCATCTAAGCCGTTCTCCCACTTCCAATTGTCTTGCAAAGAGCTAAGCTTGCGCTTGGCGCCTGTAGCTTCGCCGTCACACTCGAACTGAAGTTGCTCCCTCGCAGACGCATCGTAACAAGTTTCACAGGGTCGGGCTGGCCGGGCTGGCGTCTGAACCGTGGCTCGAACGTGGTTAGCGAAGGCACCTGAGTAACAGCCGTGCTGAATCGGTCGGTGTGCGGCGCTGCGAGTCAACGAGGGCCATACAGCTAGTGTTGGCTCGGTGGCGGCAGCGTGTGGGCAGAGGAAGAGGAAAAAATTTGTTCGGTCGCGAGACAAGTATCTGCTACCTGGGCGAGTACCTCTGGCAACTGCAACAACGGGAGCCAGACAGCGGCATGCCTTTCTGGCGCAGGTATCGTATCCTTGAAGCGCCACTGCGCCGTCATCAACCTAACAGGGCGACTGACATCACTGGTGTGCCAGGGTCCGAGTGGTCTGCACACCATGAAACTGACGTGCAGCCGACTGGGTCGGAGACGGGGATCGGAGAGGGCCCTTTTTGGGTCTTGCCAGGCAAAGCGAGTCGTGAAGGAGCTTGTACGAAGTAGACGAGATTTGAGTCTGCCGGAGAAGCGAAGCAAAAGACGGAGATGGGCTTGCCGGGAGAGGTAGTTGTACGAGGCAGACAAGCAGCGTGGTGATGGGAAGCTGGAGGTTGCAGCGACATGATCGGTGTGCTTGACCGAGCCTGTCCATGCTCACGTTCCACGGCATAGCCCCTCCGGACACGAGCTATTTGGTGATTTTGAAGACATGCATGCATACTGACCTGAGGTTGAGTTGACCTTTTTCCAGAACTCGGACTGCACAACTAGCAGCATTAGCTGATGTCAATACCTCCTCCCTGCTTAACCTGTCCCCCATCGATGTTATTGCAGCACAAGTCACATATCAATAGCGGAAGAGCATGTGCCTTGTAGTAATAGTTACTAACCTTGGTGCTCTAGAGCTCCAGCTGATACTGTACACACAGGTTCAGCGCGCGCCGGAGCACAATAGCAGCACAATAGTTGCAACAGCGTCTCTCTCTCGTCAGCCCATCCATCCCAGCAAGGGACGCTTGTGCCAGCTGCTTGCCAATCACAGCCGCCAGATGGCCTCTGCTTTGTGCGCATTATACAGGTACATGGGATGAGATGGGATGGATGAGTGAGTCCCATGCTTCTTCTTCTTCGCTGAATCAAAGGCGGTGACCCCGCGCCATGCTATTCCCAGCGGTACCAGCTACCTACCGGCCGTAGCTCAGCCAGTCACAGCCGGCCACCGGCCGCTCTCAAGGGTCCTCCCCCAGCTCCTGCAACTGCTACACTTTGACTCCTGCACCCACCTAGGTACAGTAGACACACACACACACACACACACCCATAGCTCTTGCTCTGGTACTGACTGGCTGTGTGCTTGCTTGCTCTTGCCTCAGCTCCCAATTCATTCCGTCGGTACTCGTACTCGGCTGCTTTTACTTTGGGTAAGAAGTTGCGATGTGCTCTTGTCATCTGCTGTCAACTACACCTTAACAACCTGTGCATGCCCGGTACCCTCCATGTTCTGAATACATCATGCCTTGGAAATATTATCTGTAAAGGAACGCCTTCTCTCAAGCCCCGGGCAAGGCAAGTTGGCCCTAGTACCGAGTGACTACCGACTAGCACCTACCTAGTAATAGCAGGTAGCAGGTACTGCTACCAGTAGAGTCTCTGGACCTTCCATGCTACTGCAACTGCAACCGCAGGGTGCTTTGGCTTCCCTCGGAAGGAAGGCGGGACTTACGCACACGCACTGTGACGCTGCAGTCTGCACTTGCTGCACCTTTGCGCTCCTCCACGTCCCCACCCGGCTGCACTGGCACTGCACTTGCCCGCGCTATGCTAATGGGGCCCTCCGCGCCTATTGTGCCTGGAGTCCCGTGCGGAAGTACTCTTTAGCGTTCATCAATGCCCACTGGCCACAATACAAAGGCGCGATGTGCCACTTTCGATACATTGATACCTGTCACTTTTTTTTTTTAATCCAATCTATTTCCCACTTGGATCCATTCATTCATTCGGCCGTTACATTGCGCTTTCGGTACCTTTTCCTTACCTCAGCATTTGGCCGGTAAAAGCAAGACGCCTCCGATGTGGCAGCCGGTTTTTGCTTCGTGGGTGGAATTTTTGGTCCGTTTTGCCCTGAATGGCCTGGGTCTTTCTATTGTGAACTACTGGACCTGCTAATTAGAATAGTGGATGGAGATGGACCAAGAGGATCTGAAGCTTCACGCAACACCACTATGATGGTATTATCGACTGCTTTTGTTGGATGATTTGATATGACTGACTACTCCGTACCTCGGAGTAATACATCTCGACATAGCTCCAGTAAAATCAAGGGTTCGACTCAAGCTGGGTTTAGCATGATTTGGTCCGCTCCGTAGTTTGAACTCGGACTCCGTACGGAGTGGGCACGGCTTATATAGAACGGAACGATTTTGGCCACGCAAAAAAGACTCCATCCCTGACCCTCATCCGGAGCTCCAGAATTGGGAAAAGATGCTACGGACTTGACTCAGCCAACATGCCAGCCGTCAATTGGGCCGTTTTATCCGCCGTATGTACCGCAGTCTTGGCTGTCCGATGATAGGAATGTTGTTCCTTGACTCGACTCTTGTTGTGAGACATTACCAGCTACTGACATGTAAGAACCATCTCCCTTTGATAAGTTGCACTCAAGGCTGGAACCGTCTTGTTCGATCACTATAACTCAGTTTGATGTTTTCAGTAGCTGAAGAGCATTCCTCATCCTAATGATGTTTTAGCCGTGATTGTTTTGCCAGGTAGGTATGAATAAGTCACAACATGTCGTGAGATCAGGATATCGTGAACCTCGTAGAGCTTGAGACCTCCAATCCGCTTCTTCACTTTCGTGAGCCTTGCCATCATGGCATTGAACATATCCAAAGTATGCTCAGCAGATTCATTCCTCCTAACATTCACCCCCGTAGAAGGCAGCATCCGCGACCCCTTCTACATCCTCCTCGACCCCGTCCTCGAAGAACCAGCAACCAACAACCTCCTCCATCATCCTCACACCAAACAACACATCCCCTCGATAAGCCACATCCCAACACCACACCTCGTCATCATCAGCAAGGGCAGAATCACGCCTCCCCTCGAAGCCGCACTACGACACATCGCCCTCACAGCTACGAAAACAATCATCTTGGCTGATCCAGCAACGGCCAAGACGCTCCGCACATGGAAGAACTTTGACTTTAGCATCGTCGGCGCTCTCTCGCCGTGGCTGGATCCGCGGCTGGTGGGGGAAGATAGAGTGGCTCGTGTGCCAGTTCCTCCGTGTTATATCGGGGGTGACCGTGGCGAGGTGACGGTCTCTTTGATTCCTCAGAGGGGGTTCATGAAAGGCGCTCGCGCGGCGATAGGCATCACATATCGTCCTTCGCCGTCGAGACCATCTCCTTTTCGACGGTGTGTCACCATGCCCGTGACAACCACAACTCCTGGATCAACAATCGTATCAGCACCGCAGCCTCAACTTTTACCTTCGCTTCCAGTGCCGTCGATAGGAGACTTGACTGCCAGGCTCGTTCCTCCCACGCCTCCACTCACTCCCAAACTACCACCGCTTCCTCCGAAAGATACAGACACAGGACTACCGCTCCCTCGGTTCCCCGGCAAGACTCTTTCCGTAATCTTCTCACCGCGAGGAACATCGTACAACAGCATAAAGCCCTACGCAACTTCACATCTCGTATCTGAAGCAGCCCTCCCCCTGACCGCACTCATCCACAGCTTCGATACGGAACCTAGGCCACTGTGGGCACTTGGACGAAACAACAATTATTTCCCCATCGGACAGGAAACGGCTTTGGCTCTAGGCGCGAGAGCCTGGGTAGCAACTTGTGGCTCGGACGAAAAGACCACCGTGAGGAGCAAGCGACCCCGTACAAGGACATATCTCTGGCACGAGGTCCAAGAGATGCTGGATCGGGCAGAGGCAAGGGAGAGGAGAGCCTCTTCGAACCGGTATGCGCAAAGGAGTACGCAGATATTGGACTTGTACCAAGGTGAAGAGGTGACTCTAACGAGCGATGGCGTTTGCGAGCTGGACCCCCTATCGCAGCATCAGCGTGCAGGGCCGGATACCTTAGGGTTATTTCATAGCGTTTCAGCGTTTTGAGGATTGGAAAACACCATCTAGATCAAAAAATAATGGTAATATTGTAAATAATTCTTTATTCTCATCTGCCGCGATGGATAAATGTCTTTTGAAATACAATGCGAGGGAGAAAGCAAACAACCAAAATGGTACATGCATGCGAGATGAGACTTGTAGATGCAGATGAGACGCCCTCACATCTCCCAGGGTATCGTGCATCCATCTGCCTATCTATGCCCACCTCTTCAAACCTCCTCGATAAATGCCCAACCAGCCCTCCGTTTCCTTCTTTTTTTGAAAATCTAGTTTTTCTCAACTTTCTTATCCACGATTTGCCACTCTTTCATCCGCTTGAGTCTGAAAGAAGGGTCTCATTTCATCTGCTTCAAAATCTCGCTCAGGAAATCCTCAAAGCTCAAAGTAATGTAGCCATCCCTGTCATCATCGTATCTCTTAAACACGTCCGTCATACGCTTCAGCGAGATGCACGCCTGAACAAACAGATCAAAGCTCATGACGCCCTCGCCGCGCTTATCGTACGTACGGAACAGCAGCTCGACAAACTGCGGGCTGAGTCGGTAACGGAATGCAATGAGAGCATCGGTGAATTCAGGTAGAGAGATGTTGCCGCTGCGGTCGACGTCGAAGCGGTCGAAGAGCGTGCGCCACGAGGCGAGGAAGGACCAGAGGCCACAGAATTCCTGGAAGCCAATTGTGCCGCTGCGGTCCGAGTCGAACATGCGAATCATCATGCGGACCGTCTGGATGTCGAAGGCGGTCCAATCGCCGTTGACAAGGGCCGCTGAGAGCTCCTTTTCGGATAGGTGACCGGTTCCTAGGTTGAGGAGGCTTCACGTTAGCATCTCGTTGTTGACTCATGCACATATTCTTCGGAGAGAGGAATCGTCCTATATCTCTTTGGGTGTCAAACTCACCATCCTTATCCACAGCCCTAAACAGTGGCAGCAGCGTTGGGTCTGCACCATTCGCGTCGTTGGATGGCGAAGGCGGCGGTCGAGAGGTAGCAGCAGGGTGATGCTGCGCTGCCGGACGCTGAGCGGCGGCTACAGGAGGCGGTGATCCAAGCCCGTACGCGCCTGGGTGGGTGATTGGCGACCTGTTGTCATGTCGCTGCTGCTGATCGTATCTTGGCTGCCCTTGACCATGTCCCGCCGTATCGCGCCGCGGCGGGTGATCGTACTGTCCTTGACCACCATGTCCCGCCGTATCACGCCGCGGTGGGTGATCGTACTGGTGCTGGTTGGGGGGAGGCTGTTGGTGCTGTTGGTATTGCGGTTGCTGCTGCTGATACTGTGGCTGCTGAGGGCGATCGTATCTCTGCTGCGGAGGCGCTCCTCCATGCGGAGAGGGCGCTTGGCCTGGTTTCTGCAACGCAAACAAAGCTTGGTTAATTGCCTATCCCATGGAACATATCTTCCTCCAATCTCAGGGGGGTGGGATTCATGCAACCTACTTGGTCAGGCTCAGCAAATCTGCAGTTGGCGACGAGTTAGCGATTGACCATTTCACCAGAGGTTCTGAGAACCACGAGGAGGGGAGCAAAAGCGGCACGGCAGTCCATGACGTTTGGAGCTTCCAAGGCTGAGACATACCTGGGGAGAGCGTCTGGGTCGTAGGGCCGGTTGTACGCCATTTCTGCGAATGTACCAAAGGAGCTTCGCAGATGTGTCTGTGACGTGGCCGCCGGGTATTGATACAGAGAAAAACAACGAGGGAATTTCCGGTGTGCTCAGTCGATGCGGGTTTGTGTTGCGTCGTCAGCTCTGGAAGCTTCTTCTACCAAAGACAAGACGTCGAAAGAGCTGTTGCTTGGGGGGGTGGGGTTGAGGAGAGATAAAGCTGCTGTGTGGTTATGCAGTAAGAGGCGGTAGGTCTCTTAGTACGAAGCGCTGTAGGTAATCGGGTCGCGGGGCAGGGCCTTTTCTAGAGCAAAAAGCGCCAGGCTGGTAAATACTCCAGGTCCGTAGAAAGAAACTAATTCAATGCGAGATTGGATGCCGAGAGTTCGTCGCCCTTGTAGATGGAAAATAGGGGCTGCAGGGTCTGTAGGCGTCGTAAGGCCTTGCGAGCGCGGCGCCGAGAAATTATTGGAAGGATTTTGGTCAATGTCAATTGTAGTTGCGACGGGGAAAACAGATGGAGGATTCAAATGCTGAGACTTCGCTCCTCGTCAGTTGTCACCTCGAATACGGAGTTACATGTACCTAAATAGCAGCAGCTGGGACCTCAGCTGCACATCCCGTCAGCACAAACGCGGCAAAAGCTGGGCTGGCAGCTTCAATAGTGCCGATCCCTGTCGGTGCCTTGCGACAGTTTGTGGCGGGGTGCCGGTTTGGCCATGGAATGCCGCGCCTTCGCCTCGTTTCTCGCCCAATCCTTTCGACTCGTTTCTCCAATGCACCTTTTCAGCTTTGAGAGCTATATTGTATTGTATTCAGCTTTGGCCATCTTTGGTACAATACGAGCAACCACTGAGCAGACAGAAAACACAGTGGTAAACCAATGGAACCAACCGCCTGAATATCTGCCCGCAATTCAGACTTCGTACAGTGCCACTGCTGCTACGAACAACTCAAACCGGGGCTGCTGAGATGAGAAAACACTGAAACTTGCACAGCCGCCACGCCATGCCCATGAGGCTCTGCGCGGCCCATAGCATCATCCGGCCAAGGTAGGCACATCGGCAGGCCGACTTTGCGAATCAAAAAAAAAGACTCCACATTCGCTCTTGGCCTCAAAAGGATCATTCTTTTCAGCAGCTTTGCGGTATTATATCGTCTGGGCGCGAGTATTCGTACATAGACCTTGCCTTGCAGTTGCTAACCTACCGCTGAGGAATCAATTTCATGCGGTGCTGTCCAACTTTGCTGCAGCTGGTGAAAGCCTCCTTACATGTAGTACTAGGTAGTGTCTGTCTGTCATTTAATATCTCTTCAAGAAGCAGAGCGTCTTTGTTCGTTCGTTGCATGTCACTTGCCATTGTCGAAAGCCTGAAGTTGTTCATGACTCAAAAGTTCACTGGCTGGCTGCTTTGTAATCATTTCCACTCACTCTCTCGCAACCTCTTTGCGCCATAACCTCCATATCTCTCATGTCAGCGCCGTAGCCAGATCAGATGCCGCACCGTAAAAACGCTTTTGCATGCTGATCTTGTTAAATATTCCCGTCATCACCAAGCGTTCCAATAGACTATCGCTCCTCATCTCTGTAATACTGTCGCTTCAAACAAATCATCGTCGACGAAATTTTTAATCGAACCGGAAAACAACACACGGCCCCCAGATATAGTATCTCGCGTGACCTCGTGGGTGATGACTGCAGCTGAAAACGCATCGGAATTCTGGCTCTATGGCTACGGGTACGTCTCGCAATCAAATTGGCGTACAAGACGTGGCACAGGATTCGGGATTTTGTCTCCGCCTGCTCCCCTGTCGACGCCCAAGCCTTGCTCCTCCCATGTCGTTCGTGCATCTAATCTCTGATGGATACCCAACGTATAGGAGCCTCATATGGAAGCCCCCGCCGCACTTTGGTATTGCTCCCTTCTACTTTCTCACTTTGCACATACTCTGCTGTGGAAAAAGCCATGAGCCAAATAAATACCGGCTAACACCAGCAACAAGACAAGAGAATCCCGGGCTGGGTAACGGGATACGTCCGGCGTTTCTGGCAGGTAAGTTTCAGTTCAATCTAGCGAAAGCAATTCGTTGCCCCTTTTTCTCTCCCACTGCCCAGTATGATAGCTCACAACCCCAATAGGCCAGGTATGTAGGACGACAACAACAGAAGCCTCTGCAAAAGCAGTACAGTCACGAGGCCCATTTGCATAGCTAATCCGAATGTCACTCCAGCGAAGATCATCGAGGAACACCAGAGGCTCCTGGGCGAGTGGTCACTCTCATTGAACGGTCCCACTGGGAACAGCTCACAGACCACCATGACGATGCTCCCGACAAAGTATGGGGAGTAGCTTACCGGATCCACGCCGACCATGTGACAGAAGTCAAGGAGTATCTCGACATCCGAGAGATCAACGGCTACTCCATCCATTATACGCCATTTCATCCCGCTGATGGATCTTCACCCATCCAGACGCTAGTCTACATCGGCACGCCAGACAACGAGCAGTTTGTCGGTCCTCAGGACCCTCAGGAACTTGCCGAGCACATCTTGCGTAGCCGTGGCCCCAGCGGGCTGAACAAGGATTACCTCTTCGGCCTCGACACAGCATTGGCAGAGCTGTGCCCGGAGAGTGAGGATGTCCACGTGAGCGATCTTGCGCGCCGTGTGAGGGCTCTTGAAGCCGCGGCCAACGGCTCAGCAAAGGCTCCCCGAGCTTCACCCCAAATCTCCAATTTCAAACAGGAGAGCAGCACAAGGGAGGCGGAGGAAATCGAAAAAGTTGTCTCATAATAAGAAGGCGGGAAAAGACAAAGACCAGAAAAACTGACAAAGAAATATGGAAGGCAAATGCTTTTTTTCCTCTCAGATCCCCTAATGATAGACAATGCCGCCCTCGTCTCTCATACCGGCCGACCTAGATATTGATCATAGCCCGTCATTAACGTCGCCAATATTATAGTGGACCTTTTCTAGAAAGGTGGCCAAATATATGGCTCCAATATCCCCTACAGATGTCTCTCCACCCGAAATCTCCCCTTGACTTGTCCGTGATCCGGCCAGTCCCTCCCACAAAGCAATGGTGCAGGAACCCCCTGTTTTGATTCCAAAAGCACAAGACGGGGCAAGTAAAAACCGGCAGTGAAAAAAACAAAAGAAATCTTCCCTCTCCAAGAGCTTCTCCTCACGCAGGGCTCGTTAATAGTCTGGACAGCTCATCCATTTTATCGAAAGAAAAACAAATCCGGGTATATCTTTGACACTTATAGACGCTCCACCTCGAGAGGTCTAAAGGGTGCCGTTCGCAAAACCAAAAGAACATGCCTGGGTCTTTATTTTTCGATAACACGGCTCCGGAAGGGCTCTAAGCCTCTCACCCTGGGGAAGGACTGTGGATGAGAATCTGCAGCGGGCCTTATTGGATTTGCTTAATAGCCTCCACCCTGGGGGGGAGGCTGTGGTGGCTGCTGAGGAACATTGGGGTAGCCACCATACGATGGGACGTAACCTAGGAGACAGTCAACATCGGTTCAAAGCGAATGGAGAGAGTCTGCTTTTGAAATACCTTGCGGAGGCATGCCGTACTGAGGCTGCTGCTGTGGGTAACCGCGGCCATACGGAGCTTGCTGGTACATGTTGGGAACGCCGTAACCAGGGGGTGGTGCATTGCCATAGGGTCCCGGCGGTGCTCCGTAGCCGCCGCCGCCTCGGCCTCCATACCCTCCGCCGTTGCGATTGCCGAATCCTCCGCCACGGGGACCATTATCGGATGCCTTATCAACACGAATAGTTCGCCCGTCAAACCTAGAGAAGGAGTCAGAACTCTTCTGCAATGGACATGATACTCCCAGTAAAAAGAAGCAGGCAAAGAAAAGAATAAGCAAAGAATCCGTACTCGACATTGTTCATAGCGGTGATGGCAGCTTGGGCATCAGCTTCTTGTACGTATCGCACAAAACCAAAGCCACGGCTGCGGCCGGTATCTCGATCCTTGACAACCACCTTGACAAATTCATTAGAAAGACGGTTCCACGCGTGAGCTGCCACAACAGGGGATTTGCGTTGATGGAAATGTTGAATCCCATTTTGTGAGCGAGTCCAAGTTCCGGCTCAGGCGACGCAAATCAATCAAAGCCAGCCGTGCTGTACCAAGGCGTAATGGGATGAGTTAAAGAACGACTTACCGCTTCCTCAACCACGCCAAACTCCTCAAACTTTTGGCGCAGAGTGGCCTCTTCGGTGTGCCATGCTAGGCCGCTTTGGCACTCAGTCAGCAGCACGTCCAGACGTCTCCATGGGGGCGAGCGCAGCCGGGGAGCAGGCTAGAAAACTTACCCTATGAAAAGCTTCGACATTTTGAGATGCACTGCGTCTCGATTTCTGACGCTGGTGGATGTGGCAGTCCTTGTCAAGAGTGGCAGTAGTACCCTGACCGAATGTTCTGATATTGTCAGGCGGGGTGCTGCAGAATTCGGGATATAGTTGGGTTTGTTAGGGGAGGGGGGGAGAGTGAAAGAACTAGTCTCAACAGGTAATAGCAGGATGGTCTGAGAAGAGAATCATAGGCTTGGGCAGTGTCTTGCAGATGAGGGTAGGGCATAAAGTCCTCTAGACTGCATGTGGTGCGCAAGGCCACTGGCCATGGGCGGCGCTCGTCATTAGGGGACAACGAATGCACTCCAAGCCCTCTCATAGTGCCATTCGACATTGGATACTATCGGGTATAACTGTGCTTGCAAGGCAACATCTGGTTTGTGGCTCCAGATCAACCCCCCGCCAGCATGGGCTAAAAAGCAAGGTCTGAGATGGCATACCTCGAAGTCAAGGGGGGCTTGTCGACATGGGCCAACAGCAATGTGCGGGTGGGAAGAGAGAACTGGATAAATGAAAGCAGGCTATGGCCCAGTTTCCAATCGCAGTCGGTATTTTGCTGGGGGCGTCAGGTGATGGGGGAGAGATGCTCTGGAGCAGGATGCCAAAATATGGTAGTGCCTAGTTCCAAAGCACGGGATGCGGTGGAAAGTTGGCAAACAAGGGCGGAGCAGCAGCGACAATGATGGTACGGAGTAACGGTGACGGTGACAGCGATGGAGACCAGAGGACGGAGAGACGAGACGGGACAGGTGTTCCATGCGGTACCGCAGCGAGGGACAGAAAAAGATGCAGACTACTGCGCGACCACGTACCTAGAGCTGTGCCGATTCGTCCGTGACGTCTGGAACCAGCAACCCAGCTTGCCCAGAGACAGATGAGCCACACAACGTGGTTGTGGCTTGCTGATCTCGCCCTCTCAGCGATCGACGGAGCTGCGGCGAGTGTCCTAAGCAGTGCGCTAATTAAAATGACCCCAAGTCCAGTGTGGAAGCTGGACTATGCTGGCAATGCCGCGGCGCGTCGGGGGGGCAGTGTGTTTGTGAGGGCGACTGGGTCTTTATCCGTACGAAGTGCTTATCGGGTGTCACGGCGGCCTCGAGGAGACGGGCGGTTGGTGAAGCGCGCAGAGCCTTTTGGATTCGGCGGGATGTCGTAACGGCTAAAAAGGGATGGGGTCTTGGATTTGAGGGGGAAGGGCGGGAAGAGGGTGAAGGTGAAAGTGAAGATGAGGAGAGAAGACCAAGAGATTTATGCGGTCAAGAGTTGTTGTGGGAGAACAAAAAACGGTGGCCAGTCCTCCGTCTGTCCTGTGCGGGTACAGGCACAAAAGAAGGTACTTGGTACTCGCCTCTCGCAAGGTTGGCAGCTGGCGGTTGGCAGCTGGCGTTATCAGTAGCACCTTCTTCTACAACGGGGCTTGCTTGGTCTTGGTCTTGGTCTTGTCTTGGTCCATTGCGTCTATGCTTTCATGTCACTTTAGTACTCGGCGACTACCGTGGACTGCCACCACGCAGAGTGCACTTCTCCGGGTGACCGCCTTGTACCGGCGAAGTGTGCAAGGCTGATGATGACGTGGGTGACTCGCAAGATACGTCGTTGCTGGGCTGGAAAGAGCGACGGATGAGTGTATACGCCCATCTACGATTGGTCAATGGCTGGTCATCCGCGCATTATTGAATGTGGCAGCCAAGGCTCAGCAAATTGGATTTCTATAGACGAGGCTACTTTGTCAGGAACCAACATTGGTGTGAATTGCCGCTTTGCCTTTCATCCACGCGGTATCCGGCACTCGTGCAATCAAGGGGATCACCGCAGGCCCCGGCTGTTGGATGCTATTGGCCGAATAGTCAATGGGCAATCCTTTGTACAGTCGGGTCTGGTCCCTTGACAAATATTATGTGCCCTGCCCATACAGGTACACGTACTCGTACTGTTCTGTACAGTACAGCAGGTTTATGGTACTTATAGTTGGAACCTCACAGGTACGATCTCGAGGCACGGAGCCTCTCGCTTCTTTGAAAATTCTCCGCGCAAATCCCTTAGCCACTATCCTCGATGGATGCGCCAGCCGAATTGTATCCATAATGCTACAGGTACGGATACATGACGGCGAGATGGCGTGACCAGGGCTGACATGTAGATTAGCAACAAGCAATACCAGGGGTAAGGTGCCAAGTTTGAAGATTATGTACTTCGTACATCCGTATCCTTGGTGAAAGGGCTTCGTCCGTCCCTGCAACTTTTGGCACTAGCCAGATGCAATATCAAACAAGGCCAGATCAAGGTTGCATGATTTTAGCGATGACGCATCTTACGCCGGGTCAATTTCTTTGTTTATGCGGCATCCTGAACCCTCTCCTATTCCAAAGACAAAAATAGCAACTTGTGTTTTGCCGCAACCTCTTATCCGAGTCGTCGTGTTGAAGAGGGTGTGTAGGTACTTATCGCCCTTTCTTTCATTAAAAATCTCGAATTCTTACTGTCTTGTCTAATTTCCTACATACGAGGACAAACCACGTCCTACCTAATGCCGCTATGACCAACTTTTCAGCTCAAAGACGTAGATGGCACCGGTTGTCGCGACTTATTCAACTTGTCCGTTTCAACTCAGACGCCAATGGCTTTTACCTTGAACCCCTGGTCGGCACTTGGCCAAATACATTCGGGAACCGCTCGCCAGCCAAGCTGGCCGTAAGCTAGGGAGGGTCCACGTCAACTTGGTTTATTGAACCCCTGATCTAACCCTCCTGGCGTCCGACCCCCGGTCACACACCAATTAGAGGGCGGAGGAGCTGGCAAATTGCTCACCCAGATCTTTTTTGGTTGTGAGTGCCCAGAGTTCCTTTGATTTGTCTTTCAGCTGGCTAGAGGAGAGCAAAGCTTTCCTAATCCAGATGCCTGGTTTCTCGTTTCTCGCCGAAAGCTGTTACCCCCCTGGCCAAGAGCCAGATTTGCCGTACTGGAAGAATGCAGAACCGATACGGCAGCCGACATCTTGCCCGATTGCAGGCCTACCTTATCTTGCTGCAGTCTTTTACATTGGGCAGCGGCGCATCGGACTTTGGAAGAAAAGAGAATAGCAAATGCAACGCCATACTCGTACCGTAGCAAATGGATTCCATGGATCTTGCGCGCGCTTTTCTCGTTGGCTCCGCTTCCAGTCCACTGCCCCGACGAACCAGCCAGCCGGGTTCGGCCCCATCCAGCCTACAAAGCGGGCCATACAGGATGCGAATTTGCTCGAACAAGGTGGCACAGAGGCCCTGCAGCTAGACGAATCCGTACACACTTGGAGGTTGGGATTGACCCTGGGCTTGCCTGAGCTAAGCCTCGGCCATCCACTGAGATCTGGGCGTTTGATTACAAACCTAATCAACGGGGTGCCAATCAGAGCGACTAGGCTGAGGATCGTCTTGAAGAGACTTGTTGAATGAAGCAATGCCACAGACGACCGCGGTGGTTCGGCATGTCGTGATATACTGACGTTGTTTGGCAGGAAAGCCACCTCCTTATTCAGCTGCTACCGTGCTGTGCTATACTGTCCTGTACTATACTTCATGATTAAGCAGCAATGAACAGCAGCAAGGAGGTCTGGTACCATGCTCAAGTCGACATCCTGTTGTAGGTAGTACTGCATGTAGGGGAGTGAGTTGTTTAGGGGAGCCTGCATGCATTCCATGCCTAGGTTTGCTTGCCTTGCGTTAGTCAGCCAGCAGCAAAAGTCGCCGTTTGGCTTACGAGTACGGAGACCTTGGCTGCTGCTTCATGCCTCATCTTCGTACTAGCCACGATACCTGTTCCCTGCAAGCTCGATTCTTGTCAGCGCTGTTGTGCATCTCTGACAGCCCAGGGCGATCTCCGTGGCTTTCTGATATGTATCGCCATCAAACACACATGCTGCTATCGTGCACGGCGGATGGACATGGCCCTTGCCTAGGCACCTGATATTCGGGGCTCCGACGCGCCAATCACGGGGCCTGGTCGCCTGGTAGTCCGGCTCGCTGGAGCGGGGAGGGGATCCGCCGCGCTGCTTTGGGGTAAGCTGCACGCACGTGTAATTGACCTAGCACGGTACTTAGGTACTTAGAGCCCAGCAGAGGTATCCTCTTGCAGCGCCCTACAGCCTATGAGAGCCGACGAGATTGGGCACGGCGGAGCCTTGCTGCTTTAGAGCAGCGCCACAGCAATCCTGCCTACCGTAGTGTACGAATACTGTACGCAAGGCCTTGTTGCTGCGTCCAGCCAATTGACCGACCAAGTTTCAGCCAGTCAATCAGCCTCGGGATCCCCAAGGCCCGCGTCGAATGTCACCATTTCATTCCCAGGCCTCGTACATACTGTACGCACAAGTACTCGTCCGGATTACACCAGCAGCAATTTTGATGCAGCATGCTGAAGATAACGGCTATTTGCGCTAGTACAGCGGCCAATTGCTGTGAATCCAGCAGTGAATTGAGTGAATGCTCCTGCTTCGAGCCGTCAACAAGACGCTGGACTGCGAGCATGGCTCCTTCGATATCGACCCAGAGCAATGCCCAGCTTCCTCGAAAGCATCGAGCCACCTAAACTGTAGACTGTAAACATTTCTCCCACCATGTTCAAACATGGCTTGACGCAAAGCTCGGGCCTTTTCTTCCTTCAGCCTGAAGCTTGCTTTGATTCTTTCTGGGCTTCATCCCGCCTTTTACGTACCATTCCGTGTCAGCAGCATGGCCAGTCACAGGCATAACCCTTCTCTACCTGGGAGCATCGGCTACCATCATAATCAGTGCCGTAACTCTGGTACCCTACCGTCTGCTTCTCAGTTCTCACCGACCGACCTTATCCCTTCCTGGCTGCAGCACGTGCAGGCAAGCGACGTGTACAATGATACATCACGGGAAATCTTCCGGCAAGCAAGCCCTGGCCCTGAGAAAACTTTCTGGCATCCCAACGGCATTCCGACTGTTCATATCCAATCCAAATACAACGCCGGGAGGTACCAGGCATCAGATGTCTTTATCCAAGATACCCCATCACCACCATCTTTGACTGGCCAGACAAGTCGCCATCTTGTTCACGAGCCTTATCTGAACGACGACTATGACAAAGTCGTACACAACAGAAAGGGGCATTCCACTCCCAAAGCCCACGTCTCGATGCCGTCGGGAGTCTCGCTTGCAGATCATAGCATCTTCGAGAAGCAAGCCAGACGAAAGACTCGAAAAGATCGCTACAACACAGTTAAAATAAAAGATGCGAGAAGAGGGAAGCAACAGGCAAAGAGGTCGTCTACTCGCGTATCAAAAAATGGGAGGTTACGATCGAGCCGAGAGATAATGGCCAACTTCACGTCTAGCGCAATCACACATCCAAACGAAAGAATCACGGTATTTCTCCCCCTATTTCCTGTTTGCTGACCACCGTGGAATAACACTCAAAAGCTAAAGCCCAGTTTCACGCCCGGATTATTTGTCAACGGCCGAAGCTCTGTGCCTCGTACGTTTATCAGAGAACGTATGGGGACAGACTTAATAACGTCTCGACAGAAACCGACCTTGTATTTAACGACATACCCCCGCCTGACCAAGGCCACACTCCAATCGATAATGAACAATGGGCAAAACCAATAGCGAGGAAGTCAGAAAGAGAAGGTAAGAATCAGGATGAAGTTGAAATGCCCTCTGATGCCTTACGATAATTAACAGAAGACGACGCGCCTTCAGACTCCCCCGATACCCGCAACAGCAGAGCCACTTCTGTAACTTCGTCAAGCTATTTCCAGCCTATCCGGCGACCGATCACTACTGATATCATCAATGGTGACGCCGTTACTGGGAGGGCCAACACTATAGGGTGCCATAGAGATAATAGCAGCAACGGTGCCAAAGACTGCGATGGGGACAACAACAGACCCCCATCACAACGAGGCAGCTTTACCCTGCATATTCGTCCCATTTACAGCTTTTCTCCAACCACCGCTCCCCATCGCTCCGATCTAGATATGTTGAATACGCCGCTTTCTTCGGACGGTAATTCGATACAGGAGGCTCAGAGGGAATCCGCTGCAAGACATCAAGAGCGGAACACCGAGGAAAATGGCGACGACCGCGACCTATGTGACGGCAACCAAGTTAAGGCTACCAAGTACAGAGACATAGGAGTTATGGTAAGCCCCCGAATACACCAGCGGACTGAGAATCACAACTCGAGTGACGAGGATAATGGCGACCATCGGCTTTGGACAGACGAAGGTGATTGTTCCAACTCAAGAACGGAACCACGCCTACCCAATACCTTTCCACAAATGCTACCTCACAAAGGAAACCAGCAAGACCAGCTGTCTCAATTAAACAACTCAAGAATATGCACCGCGAGTGTAGCGAGTCAGATACACGGGTACCCCACATATCTACCACATGTTTCTGAAAGGCTAAACCTCAAAGCAGAAGTCGGCGATATTCACTGTCCTCGAACTGATTCTTTTCCAGCTTGGGTTTATGGTCCGGACAGTACCAAATATCCCTCCCTTCTATTTACAAACAATGGTTCGTTGTCTATCGATGATTCGGAATCGTTGAAGACGATACATACAGAGTTAAGAGATGCATGCAATATCGACCCACCCGCGCGGCTCACCAGCTCCGACTATGCTTGTCAGCTATCCAAGGAGGTTTGTCAAGACGCAAATACCCTATGCTCGGATACGCTGCATGTGATTGATGATATACCTGGTGAATCCCTCTTGGAATACATCGAAAGAAAGGAGCGTGAGTTACTAGGTACTGACGAGCTCCCCACCTCGTATGTGGACAATTCTTTGCTCTCAGCTCAAGACGCGTGCCATAGTCAAACTTCGAGAGTGTCACATACGGACGTCATCAATGAGGCAAGATGCTCATCTCCAAGAAAAGTAGTGCAACAACCAGTCCATGAAGAAGGTTACTCGCCTTTTCACCAATATCAACGGCTTCCAAGTCCAGGAGAGGTCCTCAATCGTGAAATAGAATCAGAGCTCACATCATTCTGGCAACCAAACCATATGATCTGGTATTAATCATCTCTGGCGAAAATACCTTGTTGTGGTCATTTCGCTTCCAAGTATTCCATGTTTCCAAGAACAACAGATTTTATGAAGTTACTACTCTGGCTCTTGATCTTTCCACTTTGCTCTTAGATCCTGCACATCAATTCCACATTGCTCTGCTTTGGCAGCTATGGCATGGGCTTTTCCTACCACCGGGGCGTCAATCATCTTCCCATCAAGAGTCCACGCACCACGCCCCGCACTCGCAGCCTTTTCATCAGCAATAGTGACACGGACGGCCCATTCTACGTCTTTTATATCGGGAGCAAACATCCTCTGAACAGTCTCTAGCTGTCCGGGGTGTATGCACTGTTTGCCATTGAAACCCATAGCTTTCCCACCTTGGCATTCCTCTTCCAGTGTCCGGAGTCCATCATCACCTCGATAGGAAGTACAAACCAGGTCAATGGCGCTCGGGAGATTATGTGCTCGAGCTGCAGTAACAATGGCCGACCGTGCATAGAGGAATTCCGTCAGAGAAGGTGTTCTTGTTATCGAAAGGTCAAGCGCAAAGTCCTCGGCTGCAAATATCAAGCCACTGAGATAAGGGGAGGCCTTGCATATGGAAGAAAGGTCCATGACTGCTTGAGCGGATTCAATGAGCGCTATAATCTTGATTGGATTTGTTGAGCTATAATTATGACGTTCTGGAGCAACATGTCGCAGTACATCGGTGACAAAGGTCAGGTCGGCTGCCGAATTGACTTTGGGCACGACAATGGCGTCAACCTGATCTGCCGATGACAGTGTGGTTAGATCATCAAGAGCAAATGGGGTTGACACCGCATTTATCCGAACAGCAAGCTCTGAAATAGTGGAGGGACGCGATTTCAGATTGGAGAGGTGCTCCTTTAATTGATTTCGAGCATTCCCCTTGTGAGAGGGGGTCACAGAGTCCTCCAAGTCATATGTGACATTGTCTGTTGTCAGGCCCAAAGACTTGGAGAGCATCTTCTGAGAAGACGCAGGGACTATGACTCAATATCAGTCAAGCATCATTTTTTCAAAGACGATGTGAAGAACAACCATATAATAAGGAGCGCCGAAGAATGGACGAAGCTCTTGCAGCCATGATGGATGCTGAGCGGAGGTTATAATATGGGACTGTGGAGAAGTGTGTTTAGAAACGGGTAGATGGGTTGGAGTATTGTATTTGGCAGTGCATTCAGTCGACTTGAGATGTTAACTTCTAAATACACACATGGGAAGATTCTTTATTTATAGATATAGAAAGTTGGTCGTCATCATCTGGGGCTTGTGAATGAGCATCAACATGCTCAGAGGTGGGCGTCTCTTTTTGTATGTTGCGCACTATCAAGAAGAATAGCCGAATACTTGTGCTCTTATCCACAGCCGTCGTGCGAATAATAGCCGAAGACCACGCGCGACAACCCCACCTTGGCCGGAACATCATAGCTCCATCCCTGATGAGCTACGGTAGCTTGATCGCGAAGCTCTCCAAGTCGGCTTCTTCTGATGACGACAATCTACATCGAAACAACACAACCACAAAGCCAGCCTTTGACGCAAACCCCGAATTCCTTCTCCCTTTACCTACCCGCGACACCCGAAATCGCAACAGGATTGTGGCGATACACTCGCTGCTGCCATGGAAGAGGTCGCGCAGCCCGCACAGGGAGCGCTGAGTTGGCGGCTCAGCTCCCATCCGATTACGTTGCTCACGTTTCTGGGCTTTCGAATATGTTGGTGGCAATAACCCCCCAATTCATCTTTTCGCAAGAGAAAGGCGGATGTTCCTTTACGGTGGAGAGAGAGGCTGACGGATGGGGGTTTTGTTGTAGCGAGCGTTCTTATTTACTTTTTGGGATTATGGGTCATCAAGAGCATGTGCGTATAGTACTATTTTCCTGGAGTCCTCTCTTGTTTGTTTCAAACGGCTAATGTCTGGATAAAACAACTTTTTAGGATCATGATCTTCATCATTACGATTTTGTTGCTGGCCGCGGACTTCTACTACCTCAAGAACATTGCGGGCCGGCGGCTGGTCGGCCTGCGGTGGTGGAACGAGGTCGACCCTCAGACGGGCGAGTCGCAGTGGGTGTTTGAGAGCCTGGAGCCGGGCACGCGGGTGATCAACGCGACGGACAGCCGATTCTTCTGGCTGGCGCTGTACGTGCAGCCTGTGTGGTGGATTCTCATGGCGATATTGGCGATTATACGGCTGCAGTTTTTGTGGCTGCCTCTTGTTGGTGAGTTTTTTTTTGTCTTTCTGGAGCCCCTTCGGTTGGCGTTGGATGTTGTAGAAGTGGAAAGGGGCTTACATTGGTTGTTTAGCGATTGCGTTGGCTCTTACCATCATCAATACGCTGGCATTCTCTCGGTGCGACAAGTTTAGCCAGGCATCGAACTTTGCTGGGGGTGCTTTTGGATCGACCAATTTGGCGGGCAGCATTGCGAGCAACTTTGTCAGCCGCATGTTCAGATCGTAACTTAGAGATGAAGAAACAGAGAATGTGCGGATCTCTGCAGGAGCGGCATATTGTTTTTTTTTTTTTTTTTTGGTTGATGAAACTATGAGAAAAGGACTGCACGGCACGGTTTAAATGGGTTTGAAGCTGAGAAGACGGCAGACCGCCTCATTCATTGTACACTTACCAGAGGGGATTGTGCGAAGTGTATTTCCTAAAGGAGTTGACAGTGTTTCCTCTTGGGACCTTGATTGGGAATGAGTTTAATGCTTGTTCGAATTCATCCAACCCCCTTCGCTGCTGTTAGCAGCCCTCGCACGGGGTTAACACGAATGCACCAAAAAATCGAGGTTTGCGTTTCCTTGTTTTCTCTATTAGAATTTACAGCGAGCGGCGCCCTCATGCTACTATGAAGCTACTAAATATGCGCAGAGGGTATATGTGTATATATACAACCGAGATTGAAAAAAAAAGAGAGAGAGATGCCTGCGAGAGGGAACACAAATTGATATCTTTAGATCGTCGAGTTCGTTTTCCAGTCATCTCAGCAAAAAAGTGTTAAAAGCGGACAATATAAAGATGCCATCAAAAGGATTGATAATCATATCATGAGCTGTACTGTCCGTTTGCTTTGTTGTATATGGTATCCCAAAATCGTCACACACAAACATGATATAAAAAAAGATTACGAGCTTCACAGATGAAAAGCAACACGGAAGCCAGCTTATCCCAGCCTCTTAAGAGTCCCTTGAACGAAAAGGAGGAAAAAGAAAAACTCCGACGGCCTTCCAGAACTTGTTCAAACTCTCGTTTTTGATGGAGGTGGGGAAACATTTTTTATACTTGCACAAGAGGGAGATCAACTGGACGTCCTTCTGGCCGCACGTTCAATCTCAGCGTCTAGGTGCCGCTCTTCCTCTTCCAGTCGCAGGATATCGGCCTCCGTCATGCCCTCTTCGACGAGGTGAGCAATATTGCGTGACCTGTTATTATTGTCTGATGCAGAACTTCCTGGACGGTCCGCCTCATCATCGTGAGTAGACACCCCCCTGGCAGCGCTCGTTCCTGCGATGGTCGTCTGAAGAGGTAGCATTGCATTGGTAGAGCCGGTACGGGTGCCGTCGTCGGAAAAGGGGGAGATGATGGGCGACTCGGCGACCGAAGCCTGGACCTCTTTGGTTGCGATGAAAGAGTTGGTAGTCTGGCCGGTAGCATTGTAGCCCTGGTCGAAATGGCGTCTCCGGCGGCGGCGAAGGAGGAACCACGCAAGGCCACCGATGAGGAGGATGCCAACGACGGAACAGGCCACGGCTATGCCGGCGATGGCGCCCTTGCTGAGCCCGTGGCTGCCTCCCCCACTACTGTCTCCGCTGCTGCTGCCTCCGATGCCGTTGCCGTCAGAAGGGTTAGAAGGCCCGCTGGTGGGCAGAGTCGGGTTGTTGACAGACGAGGTAACAGCCTCGCCGCCTCGGCGATCTTGGTCATTATCGGTTGCCTCTGAATTGTTGAAAGTGTTTATGTCGATCGAGGAGGTTGAATTCGCAACGGTAAAGACACCTGATTGTGTGAAGCCCAAGTTTCCGTTTTTCGTTTTCCAATCGATTTTGATAACCATGTCCTTCTGGTACCAGTCGCCTGAAACTAAATCGGAGCCTGTGAGGTTAAGTGTTGCACTTGAAGAGCTCACTAGGGTCGTTGTTAGCATTTCCATCATATAAGTCAATGAGACCACAGCGCCACGATATGTTGTAAACAAAGAAAAGCAACATACGGCTAACAATCTCGTTTCCGGGCTTAGAATCGCCGAATTTAGCACGAGTAATGACTTTTGCCTGAGAAATATCGAAAGGTTCTCCCGAAGCCTTAGGCATTCCATACCAGGAAATATCCAAGGGCGTCGTCGTGCTGTTGCCGACTCTCCACGAAAAGGTTTTGGTCCGGTTGCTGGTGAAATAGACTCGTCCAGCAGGTTGGGTCCCGAAATTGGCGGCATCGTTGAATATAATGACCGTGGGTGAAGGGAGGGCATCGAAAGTGCTTGTTGGTGAAGACTGCGGAGGCAGAATGTTCATCGAAGGTGTTGGCGTTGGCGAGCTGTTTGCGGTGCTTGCAGACCCCCCAGTGCCGCCACCGACGCCGGCACCATTGTTAGGATTGGGATTGGGATCGGGATTGGGATCGGGATCTTGAGACGGCAGTATTGAAATGCTGCTGGAAGGCACTACGCCCGCCATGAGGAACGGCTTGGAGGGCGTTGAACGAGTGTGTAACTAGCAGAACTGCCCAAACCAGATAATGCCTGACACCAACATCCGACGGCACAAAAACCAGATATTCGGAACGAGGAGCAGAGCAGGAGGGAAGCAGAAAGAAGAAGAAGAAAAAGAGAAAAGAGAAAAGAGAGAGACGAAAGAGAGAGTCTACAGGGGGTGTAGGAGGTGTAAGTCAATGTGAGTAGTGGGCTCGTCAGACTCGATAATGGCAAAGAGGCGCAAGCCGCACGAGATGTGAGATGTCAGACCGGGGGGAATAGCGGCCGCGTATAGAATCGCAGGACTAGCTGCAAGGCCTGTCGATTCCTTCCCTCGCTTGAGCATGATTCCATCGTTCGTTTGCCTCTCTCCAACCACTCACGACGGGGTCTCTGCTGCAAGCCATCTCATGCCCAATGCCTTGTGTCGTTTTTTTGCCCTTCCCTTGCTCTGCCTGCGTTGCGTTGCGTTGGCCTGGCAAGCCTGGGCAGCGCCAGATCAAACCCACTCACCCCCCTGCCCTGCCCTGGTACGTTTGGCGTCCATTCTGAATAAAAGACCAAAAAAAGATGGTGATGGGCGAGTGGGTTGGAGTGGGTTTGGCTTGGGCAGATGGATGGATGGGGCTACATGAGGCTGTCTAAAAATGGCATGCTTGGTCGTCTCCGTACACCGCATGTATATATAGATATAGGTACAAGGTGAGATGGAGATGAAATCGGGTTCGGTCGCTTACGACGGGCACGATGCTGACAGGTAAATGGCAGGGGTCGAGCGAGCCCCATCTGTTTTTGTCTGTTAGTTTGAGTCTCTTGTACATTTTTTTTTTTTGTCTTCCTGTATTTACTCTCTCGTACTTGCTCATACTTACTCAAACTCGAGAAGCTCAAAGGCAATGAATGCAACGAAAGACACGGGCCAAAGCAACAGCCGACGTGTGCTGTAACCCAACGAACAAAAGGAGCTGGCCAAGTTGCCAAGCCCCTCCCCCTCTAGACAAAGCTGCCGATGGATTGGACTAGGATTCCCGTTGCTCTCCATGCACCAGTAGGCCGATTTATTAATGGATAAAACGGAGTGGCGTACCATTTAGACAGCCTATGGAGTGCCGGGTGAGGCTGAAGGGTCTCCACTGCGGCTGACTAGGGCGGACATGGGGGAAAGAATTTTGGTGGACTGGAACTTGTCAAAGAGTGGCTTGGGATCTGCCTTGCTGTTGCATGAAGGGAGAGCGATTGTTATGTGATGTGGTAAGAAGTCGGTGTTGAAGTTGGAGGTCGGAGCCGACGACGTTGGAAAGTACTACAGGTACTACTATAGGTAGTACAGATTGACGCCTCAGGTATCAAGTGACAGGTAGTACCAGGTGTTGATAAAGGTGTACTTGATGCCAGCGTAGCATTTTACCTTGCAACACAGGTACAGGAGCAGCAAACACCAGGTCCATGCAGCTGGCCAGCATCCATTGGCCACTGTCCCGTCCATGCCCAAACCTATTGGCACAAGCGAATGCGTTATTGCATGTGGCTTGAGAATAGCCCGTTTCACACACATGATGCACTTATGCTTAAGACTCTGGGCAGCTGAAACCAAGCTGGGCTTTTCATAGGGTATCGCCTACCAATTAGTAGTCATAGTACGGGGTAGTTGGTCCGATTGGGTGGCGATTGAGGAGTATCAGGTAAAATGTAAAAGGATCAACGTATCTATCACCAAATTCCATGCCATCCATACCAAGACACAAACAGATAAACACACAGGCTGAGTATCATTTGTTATATCCATTGGTTGGACGTAGCACAAACTCTTCCTTCTATTAAATGAACATCTTCTCTTTGTTTAACTCTTCTCTCTGATTCTTTCGCTCTAGACAATACCACACCATACACCGTCTCATCTCCGGCCCATCATACAGCCACACAAACGTACATGCGACACATTATGCCCCCGCAACGCTGATAATGCAGCAACAAAACAATCCTCTCCTATACATAACGTCAAAGTTCGTCAGCAAAGAAAAAAAATCCCATCCATTCGTTCAATTAAGCCCCAGATATCTAGCAAAAGGGGAGAACAAGAGCTGACGACCGCATCAAACAGGTGAAAAGCGTTACCCAACTCCAATAATGTGCTGAGATAATGCAAGTAAAGGTGAGAAAAAAAAAAGGCAAAGGGTGACCGTGCCTTTACGCAAATGTCATGGAAATCTCCTGTTCTTTGCCAAAGTCGTCGTCGTCCGGATCGTTCCATGGGTCGGCCAGCGTCATGTTTGGTACCGTCTTGGCCGTCTTAATCTCCGGTCTGCTAGATTCTCCATCAAATGCGGAATGGCGCCGCGGAGGCTCATGGAAAGATGTGTCAAACGTCATTTGAATCTCATCTTCGTCGTGACTAGGCTCGTAGAGGTACGGCGACGGAGAAGGCCGAGTCGTAGGAGTGCCCATCGTAGTAGCTGGCAGATCTCGGGGACTGAAGCTGTCATTTGCAGGCCGCATCGGCAGCACCTCTGCACTCTTTGATGCCTGCCATGATTCTCGAGGCGCTAGGCCGGAGTTTCGGGCGGGCGTTTGAGGTGATGACACCGGTGAATAGTCGAGCTTCATTGGCGGAAGCGTCGACTTAATTTCCTTGACCTGTATTTCTTCTGTGCCATCGTTCTCAGCCTCCTTGGCTAATTCAGCCCGGATAGCATCAATATCGAACAGCACACCGTAATTGTTGCCGTCTTTGTCCTCAACCTTCTTCCCTCCCTTGGGTGAATCTTTGCCCGAATCTTCGTAAATCTCCCACTCTTGTCGCTCCCCCTTGTTGCGTCGCCCAAACAATCCAAACTTGCTTGTTCTCTTGCCCGCCTTGCCCTCCTTCTCTAGTTCTCTACGTGCTTCTTCGATTTCGTTTATAAGCTCTCGCTGTCGCCCTTGGTGGTCATCTGGGTCAGGGTCTTCAATCTCGGAAAACTCCTCGCTCGTAACAAGCCATCCGCATCTCATGAGAAGTGAAGGCATGGCCTTGCGGTACTCCATATGGCCAGCCACGAGATCCGTTACATCAACGTTTTCTATCCCTGGGCAATCGTCTAGGGCACCTAAGCCGGCAACTCGCCTGATGCCGCCGTTGGTCAATCGGAAAAGATAGCCGAGAATCCAGTCATTGCGGTTATATCCATTTACGAAGCGGCCGGAGACCACGGATCGGGCCTTGAGAAATTCCTCTCGTTTGGCAACAATGGGCGATCCAAACATGTATACGTTTTGAATCAGCCCAAACGCACCCTTCTTCGCCAGCTCCTTTAGGCAAGAGAAGATGACTCGAGCGCCGAGCGAATACCCGACGAGAGTGATGGGCCGCGTACCCAAGCTACGTTCTATGAGCGAGTCGGCCAGAATAAGACCAGCAGACGTTGCACGATCTAGAGACACCGCCCAGGGGTTGTCGATGAGGTAGGAAAGCTTTGTCAGGACTACAGGCAGCTGAATGGCAGCCATCAAACTGACAAGGATGGTGCTGCCCAAAACTTGCTGCAGACCTTGAGTAAGTGCCTAGAGGGAGAAGTTCCGTTGTGTTAGCCTCTGCAGCAAAAATTCCAATCAAAATTCTATATATAACGCTTACCTCGGTAGCCAGAATATTGATGGTGTCACCCATACTCCGGAGCATTTCTGGTTCCCACAACACCGAGTAAATGTCGCCCATGATGGGGTCAACCGTGCTGTACGGCAAACGGACGTCATCAACTTTTCCTGTCAACCAGCCCGACACTGTGACGATAAGATTGACACGCTTGTTGTTGTGGAGAGGTCGATACTCAAAGGTCTTGACAGCGCCGGTTCGGCGACCGGCAGCCCTGCCACCAATGACGCCCCCTGAGGCCGCTGCGCTGGAGGTGATGATGGCGGCTCCTCCCGCTCCAGCCAAGAAACTGCTTGTCCCCGTCACACCAATGGTCGTGAACCCGGCAGCCAGGCCAGCTCCAATGACGGGGGCAAGCAGACCAGCCGAAAGCCCAATGACTAGACCACCGCCCACGGTAGCGAGGCCCATCATGATGTATCTCTTTTTCAAGGCCATCTTTCTCCGGTTCTCCATGTGCTCTTCTTCATTCCAGTTTTCTTTCTCAGCTGCTTGCTGCATCTCCAATGCATCCGTAACCCTCTTTTCAAACTTGCAAATGTCTATCCATGTAATATCTAGGCTCTTGCCGACTCGTTCCAGCAGGACTCTTGAACGAGCATCATATATTGAGTCTGCAATGAGTATCAGGAACAAGTCACAGAGCACTGTCCATCGCAAGTCGATGTCGATCTTTTGCGTCGTCGGCATCTGTGAAGGCGTCTTAACCTCGGGCAGCTCCTCGCCACTGTGTGTCTCATAAGGAGGCGGCATCTCAGCAGGCTTCTCTTCCTCGTAGGGCGGCGGATAACGGCTAGACCTGGGAGTCCCCGGCTTTTTCTCTTCAGCCATGGGATTCTGAACCCGAGAATTAGCAAGGAGGGCTGGTGTGAGATCCTGTGCCATGACGCCGTGATCTGCGAGTTGTTCAATCATGATCTGTTCCGCATCACTGATGTCCATGTGATGGTAGATTCGAATCATCATCTTCTGACCCCACATCTTGACTGCTTCAGCGCCCATGATGACTTGCTTCTTAGCAGACTTTGTGTTGAGTGTAAGCTTTTCGGCCTCCTTGACCATGTTCACGATCTCCAGGCGGACAACGCCGACGTATGCAATCCTCTGTCCCTCGGTAAGGAGATCCTTTGTGGCCTGCATCTGGGATACGGCGTCTCTAGCCTCGTCATCTTCACCTATGGAAGTTCCATTTGGGTTCTTGAATAGATATTGCGTGTGCTCGTCCATGCTCGTCGCCGACTCGGCGTCTTCATCCATGATAACTCGTGTATATCCCTTTCCGGCACCACCCAGCCCTGCATAACCATAGGTCTCATCTTCCTCTGCATCATGTTCCTTGGCGATTAAGCGGTCGTCGTCGTCATACATGTCATACCTAGCATAGGATGGCATCTCTTGCCAGCCGCCATCGTCGTCCTCTTTCTTTTCTTCCTTTACTTCTTGGCGCTGCAAGACATGCTGATGCGAGAATTCTGAGACGCCATTGGTACTCACAGGACTAGAGAAGCTTCGGTCTCGTTTCTGCGTCTGACTGAATCCTCCGGGAGAGAGATACTTTTCGCTCGGCTCGGTGCCCCTGTTAGGGGTCTTTGGAGTGGAAGGCGCTTCAATCGCACGAGTTTCTCTGATCGGGGATGGGGAGGTGGGAGGCCACGGGTTATTTCTTGCCGGTGGAGTCAACGGCTCCTTGGGGCCGGTCCCTGTCTCTGTCTTGGGCTCCTGCTGCTGCTGTATTGGTGATGCAACTGCAGGTATGTTCTCTCGTGTTAGTTGAACATCCTTAGGACCGGTATCCTCAGAATCGCTGCTCGACGTGTGCCCGTTCTTGCTTCCCGTAGGTTCTGATGTCTCTTGATGTTCTTCTTTGGAGTCGTGGTGGCCATTCTGCGTCTCGTTGGTCGTATCCGCATCGTGTGTCGCATCTTGGGCGTCCGAGTCCGGGGGTTCCGCCGGTGCGATGAACTTCTTTATGGGCAGACCAAAGTCATCGAACTCGGCCACAGCAGTCGGCGCTGTGCTCGTCTGTGGCGCTGCGGTCGCATTCTCGACGGCCGCCTTGGGCTCTGCATCCTGGGCAGCCATTGTCACAGCCTCAGGATCTGTGAGGAGGGGTTGAAGATCACGTCCACGTCCACATCCACCTGGTTGGCACGCGCGGGCATGGATGGGACGTGACGGCGGTTGGTGGAGGTTCGAGACTCCGAGAAGAAGCAGAAGAAGAAGAACAAGTCGTGTATCTAATATTTCTTCTTCTGCCGTCGACGCTGGAGGCCGTTAAAGAGGGCGGTGTCGCAAAGTGGTGGTTACGTCGTTAAATTAAATTTAGCGGCCCCCCGGCTAGCGGGAGGGAGAAACGTGTGCTGCTTTCGGGCTGCAAATCCGGCGCTCACTGCCACCCAACGCGGATAAGCCAAGAGGATTACGGAGTAGCAGCAATACGTAGCAGTGTTTTGGTTCCTGTCTCAGCTGGATTGGGACAAGAAGACGAGAAGTGTAAATTCAGGGGGAAGGCTTCGTTGTTTCAAGCATTGATGACGGGAGCATTTCTTCAGTGTTGTTGGTGATGTGATGCAATTTCCAGAGTGGCAGTGGCTCGCATTCGTATTTTGTCTGGGGCATTGGAGGGGATGCTGCTTAGTGTTGTCGTAAGACGACGGGGATTACCATAAAGGTTATCTATCTTATCACGATCTAACGAGACACTTGAGCGAGACAGAATGATCTGACAGCATCCCACACACGCACCGCCCTGTTTTGCCGCATTGAGATGTTTCACCTATTACGCAGCGCTCAACCACAGACTGCATTCCATCAATGTCATTCCACAAAAGCAGCAAAATAAAATACCCTTAAGAGAGACACCCGCAACCGTCATCGAACTGCTAGTGATTGCGAGTAATATTCTGACGAGTTAATATGTACAATCGCTTCTACCTATACTCCGAAATGTCATAGTATTATAACTCCTTTTCAAAACCTGGGGCGTTTTCATTGCCCTCGATAAAATACCACCTAAGACGAATCCAACCCGCGTTACCACGTTTTTTCATGGGATTCGCACTCTAATTCTCCTCCCCAGCATTGCTCGGAGCCACTGTGCTCGGCTCTGGACCGCTGGGCGTCGCCCCGTTCTCTGACTTGGTCTTCTTCCTTCGCTTCCGCTTGGCTGGTGCATCTGATACAGCCTCTGCTTTCTTGCCGGCGTCCTTCTTCGGTAGTTGCTGAGACTTCTTCTTTTTCATGGCTAGTGGATTCACCCCTTTGGGGCCTCTGTTCTTCTTGGGCTTCTTCTCTGTCGTAGATTCTCGCTTCACGTCGTCGTCGTCGCTTTCGCTTCCATCATCGTCACCCTCGCCCTCGCCTCCATTTCGTTCTTCCTTTTCCTCGCGTTTCCTCTTGCCCAGGGTATTCTTCAGCTCCGCTCTAAACTTTCGCTTCTCTTCTCGCTCTCGAATTTGCACGCTCTGATCCGCCATGGGTTCCAGGATCATGACGCTCCGCTTGATATATATCAACGGCACTCCTCTAATTCCTCGTAGCATTCTTCGCACATCCACACTCTGGCTTGCGACAACGTAGCGGTGCTTATTCTCGCCTGTTGACTTGGGGTCCACGACAGACCGCATGCACTCCATGGTCTCGAGAGGTTTGGGATACTCGTTGGGGTGGTGGCCACAGCGTCTTCGTTCGAATGTCTTGGCTAATTCAATCGCCGCATTGACGCCAGGCTGGTCTTTCTCAGCGTAGAGTTTTCGGATCTCGCATTGGGTAATCACTATGAACATCGTAAGCAGCGGTCTTGAGAATCTTTGTCGCCAAACTCACGTGGCTTCACTTTGCCGTGAACTGTGCTCTGTAACCTGGCCTCTAGATCCATAGTGCATCGGTTTGCATCTTTAATCATTTCTGCGTCCACTATGATTGAAAAAACTGTCAGTCACGACCATTTCACAGCACTTTTCCAGCCATTGTGCAGATGAACCTAGAATCTGATATGGTTCGCGAAAGCCAAACGTCATGGAGAATTGCTCCATGAGCTTGCGATACTGCTTTGAGCGTTTTCCTCTCATCTTGTATGCTTGACTTGGGTCGGCTTGGAATAATCTTCACAACTTGGAACCGAGAAAAACCAGTCGTCGCGGGTGCAATAGAATTTCATCCAAGCTCAGATCAAGCTCGAAAATAAATTTCTTATCGCATTACAGTGGAGCACGTGCGATAAAGAATTGAAGGTTCATAAAAGTGGGGCATCTGCACTACGACCCGCTCCAGCGCCGGCCTACGGTAAACTCATTGGATCCATCATCACTGTTTACCAAGCTCGTCCAAGAAGAGCGATTCCTTTTGGAAATCTGAAACTTGAAATTTTAGAATTATATTAACATTGCTATCAGATATACAGCTGAATTTCTTCGCACATCTTCTAAAAAAAAAAATAGGGTAAAATAAAGTATACCATGCCGACTCTGTATCATACCCACCATAACCGTCCTATTGCTATTGAAATCGATTATCATTAAACTCAAGCCCATATTGAAAAAGACAATTGCTCAGCCCTGGTTCCAAAGACAAGACGCCATCGATGTATAAACACCAGGCACCATCTAAATCTTTCGTGTTACCGTTCCGTATCTCTAACGCATAATGCGGCAACAACACTAATGTCGTCCAGTTTCCCTGTAACAATGAGTTAACCACATATCACCACTCGGACCGGGGTGAGGATAGACAAACCTCCTTCGCTAGCCAGACCCTCCTCTATGGCATGTTCCATGAATGGGCTCTCTGCATATGGATCGAGAGCTATCACTTTCGCAGCCGCTACCAGATCCTGAGCCACGACAGACATCCCGCCGTTGCGGCCGCCTGTTCGATCTGCATCCCCATCAGCGCCTTTCTTGGCCTCCCACTCCTTGATGCTTTGAAACACTCGAGTCGCGATTTCGTGTCCCCAGAGGTTGTCAATAACGCCGTCACTCATAGCAAGTACCACATCACCTTCTTCTAGGTCTACCACATCAACCACGGCATTCTCCCTCGGGGTATCGGGACTGTTGGTACCGAGCTGACGGGGGCAGTCAAACCAATGCCACTGCTCTGTGGTTTTGAATACAACTCCCTGATCCCGGGGCCGGAGGACGAGAACTTGGCAGTCACCCAGGTTGGTCACATAGAGAACTGGTGCCGCAACTTGGCGCCCCGCATCCATCACCATTTTATAATGGAGTTGAGCACCGCACGCCGTCGTTGTTCCCTGCCAGTTATGAGCACCGGTTGCTTCTTGTGTTTGCTCAAACGCCGTCTGTAGAGACGCAATGGGGTCGGGCTGGTAGGCCTTTTGCTGGAATAGGTTCTGCGCCGACTCTTCTTCGATGGCCGTTGCCCAGAAGTGCAATATCAGTCGCGACCACAACCTGTTTCTCCGTCAGGGATCGCATTCCTACAGCATGCGTTTTCCAAGTCACGGGAGGGATATATTACCCAGCATGACCTCTGGGGCGAGCTGCCCACGCGCCTACGCCATCGTTTGCACATATGAAATAGTCGCTAGCATACACGGCATCGTCACCATTCGTAAGTCCTTTAATGAGTTCTCCATTCACAAAGGCGCGAGCTCGACGGTCCCGGCTCTGGTGATGGGTGCTTAGGGGGTCTGAGAAGGATACAGATGGAGGGGACAAGAAGGGCGGCGGGAACGGCCGAGGCGACCGCTTTGCAAACAGCCCGATGCCCGTCTCAAAGCGAAAGGGCGGCTTCCCATACTGCGATGGTGATTGCGATTGTTGCGACGCTACAGAGACGAGGCTTCGCTGGCACCGACCCCGCCATAGCGGGTCAGCGAAGAGCTTCAGACGCGATGGAGATGTAGATGTCAGGAAAGTCGCCAACGTTGGAGAGGGTGATGTGCGCATTCCAACCATGTACAGCAAGCTACGACCTGTCGGGTCGCTGACCACGGCCGTTGCGGATGCTATCGGGAGATTGTCATTGCCTGGATCGGAGCTTACGAGGTATCAAGAATTAAGGCAATTAGCCGCACGTGATGGTGTGATTGGTAAAGGTCCGTATCCGGAGGTGAGCGAGCTACCAGTACCTGCGGCATGTACTGTACCACATCGAAAGCTTCCAGTTCATTACCGTTTCCACGACCTACCCTGCAGCATCAATTTCACATCGTGGCTTTTTCGTTTCAATGTCGCTAAAATAATATCATTCTTGGCTGGAGCCCTTTGCCCGCCTGACTGACTGGCTAATATCGCTTAGCATATGTGAATTTGTAATGCTCCGACTCGGCTTCGCCTGAGCTTTCTCGTTGAACAAAGGCGCTGTTGCAATAAGCCGATGCCACCAAATTGCACCGGAAAATATCATCGCGTCCAATTTCACGGAAATGAGAGGAGGGCTTCTGGATGAATGAAAGAATCCGGCAACCCGAATATCCCGCAGCCCTCTAGAAATTACGGAACCCGCGTCAATGAATTGTCACGGAGCCCTCGATCAACATACCGACTATCAAATATCTGGCCCTAGCAAGCGGATCAACAGAGTCGGGGGGTTAATCTTGGGAGATCGGGGCGATACTACAGCAAGACACGCAAGACATGTTCAGTATTCGGGTTTTGCTACTGACACAAGAGCACAGCTAGACACTGGCGCGATGCAAGTGCATGCCCACTAGGAAGGCGGAGCAGCAGAGTACACAGTAGTAGTACGAGAGCCCTCATGCATCATACAAGGGGGCGATCTCCAATACCCAAGAATAGCCACATACATACATGACGATGGATTCACTGCCAATCGATTTCATTGACGTATACTCTATGCGGCCAAGACGGGTGATCGGATGGTGGAACCGACTTGAAGGTGCACAGCTCGGAAGGATTGGCCTGGGAAACCGGCATGACGGTTGCACGGCATCGCCTCAGCAAGGCTTAGGCTTATTGTGACGCGTATGATCGATGATTGATGTTGATGTGAGTCTACCTGGTACGACCGATGGTAAATGGATTTCATTGTGAGACATATTGTGATTTTCGAAGCATCATGATTCACACAAAGCGGTTGCGAGATCGAGCATCTGGAGTTGATCATTCTTTTAGGGGGCCTTATATGACGTCAGGTTGCGTTGGGAGCTTTCAAAGCCTGATAGCGATTTCAAGACCAGCCAGACTCATGTTCGAGCTGACGAGCATTCCATCCCAACGCCTCGTACTATGACTTGTCCGGAGTAAGACAAAAAAAATGTTTCCACATTCGCGCAAATCATTTTAGTGTTATGCGGTGAGGGTAGCAATGAACCTTGGCAGTTGAATGCCCCAGATTGGGCTTCGTGTATCTCAGCGGCGTATTATTCCAAATGGCTAGGTACTGTAACAACGGATTGCCGTCCCGTCCGCGCAGCACTAGCAATAAGCGCTGACAACTTCCGTGTTCTCGTATGCGCTGGAGAGCCCGTTGTGTCACAATCTTGTCTCAGAAAAGCCGCGTTTGGTGATGAGGCTTTGACACGACTTAACTTTCAGCTTCCTCGGCAGCCTATTGGTGAACGAGGATTGCGGATTCTGCTTGGCAGGCTGCGCCGCGAATTCTGAGAGTTTCGGCTGACGGCGTGGGAGTTGTACCCGAGTCGTTTGATTCATACCAGCGTCTTGCTGCTCGGTGTAACTAACAGGCTATTGGAAGATTGTACAGCAAGAACTGCCATGCTTTTGCAGTAGCACCTCTCCGCTTATCTAGACCAGATGCGGCGTCTGGCGCTGGGTTAGCATCGCCCGGAGTGGCTCGGCAGCTCGGAGATGGACCAGAAGTTGTGTTCAATGAGGTTAGAATTACAACGGCAGATACATGGCCTGTACGAGGTACAAAGCTGGGATTCGGAGGAGAGCTAAGTGAGCACAAGGGGGCCTTTGAGATGGAAAGCTTGTGTCAACTGAATAGAGAGATGGAAACCGCAAGAAACAAAAGAAGATTGAATATCAAAGAAGAAGACGAAACAAAAGGGAGCGTCTATTTCAGTACTAGCTTGTACAGACTAGATGCCTCTACTTTTATTTTTGCATCTGCTATTTTTTTAGCATTTGATAATGTCACTACTGGGTAACGTTAAATTTGAGACACGGGATTGCTGGATAGCCAACTTGAGGTGCTAGATGGCCACTCCCAAACAAAAAGAGAGAACAAAGTGCGCTACAAGTTCCTGCATGATGGCGCCTTTAGTGGTGTGACATGATGCATGACAATGGATACCTCGTGGATTGTGCATTCCCACGTCAAAGGCGGTATGCGCTCACAGCCAGTGGTCAAGGGCGGCTAGGAGAGCAACGAAACTGTGCCTGCAGCAGGGCAACGTGAACGTATGGAAAACGTTTCGATGGATTCCATCAATATTACGAGCGCAACCTGAGCCCCTAGTTAGAAGAGCCCCGCCAGATTGGTTGGGGGAGGGCTGCGTGTTGTTTTGGCGGCAAAAGCGCCGTGGCCCTTGCTGGGCGGTTGAATGAAAAGGGCCTCAACTCCATCTTTCATCTTCGAGTACATGGATACAAGCGCGAGTATACTTGCTCAAGAACTCACGCACGCCACACCACACCAACGCACATGGACCCGGTTCGCAGTCAATGATGGCATGTATGTACATCCAAAAGCGGAACGTGCAATATAATTTATTCTGGAACCCGCCGATTATGGCGCAAAAGGCGAGCCCATCTAGAAGCCTTGTGCAGCTGGAAATTCCAGTATAAAAGTGCGGGCAAAGCTCACTAAGAGTCGATAGGGGGCTTGCGCGCCCCACCAGCCACCTACCTTCTACGGGGCATCCGGAGCTACCTGGCGATAGTCGCTCAAATTTACGGACTGTCTCTTTGTCTAGCAGCAGTACCAAGGTTGCTTGGCCCAGACCCCTGCGGGCGCAGAATTGCAAAGAAGAAACGCCCAGTATCTCGTTACGAGAGCAAAGTGCGCAGTAGCAATCACCGCTGAGAGACATGGGCTTGGTGCATTGTTATGTACCTTTGTTTGTTCTTATAGGCGCCCAGCTACCTGGCTAGGTATGGGATGGAACTTGGCATCCTCCCGTATTTGCGTGCAATATGGAGCACTGGCGTTATCACCGTGGACAAAGACAAGCTCCGTATCCGTAATAAAGAGCCCGGGCATGGGCAAATCAAACAAAACGAACAAAAAAAGGGTCTGGGTTAATCTATTTCTGCCATGCTTAAATAGTAGCCTCCCTCTTGTTTTTCCTTTCCTTGTCTGGGGGAATCTGTGGCTTCAGCTCTTCGACGTCGTTGTGACGATCTTGTCTCTCATCCATCTCCGGGTTTAACGTTTGCTGGCGTTAGCGATCGCCTTGGTTAGTGCGCCGCCTCAGCTGCCACTCTGCCAGTGACGTCGAGCATGCATGCTTCCCGTGTTTTTGACAATCATCTAGTCTGACGGCATACTTTTTGTTGCAGCTGGGTCTTGGCAGACTTACGTGGAGGAGAGAGTCAGTGAAGAGAGGACGGAAGATCGCACCAGAAGAAAACCGAAGGGGGCTTGCTCGAGTTGTTGCTGCTTCTGGCCTGGTGACTGCAACCATTGCTGGGGACTTTATCTAGGCCCCTTGGCAAGCCCGGTCTAGAGGTACCAACGGCATCTCGATACGAATATCGGCTCACACACACCATATACGAAGAGAGAAGAGAAACAAGAACTGGATTTGACGACTGCGCCTCATACGGAGAAACAACAGGAGAATTCAAAAAGAAAAAGAACAACAAAAACAACAGCAAAGGGAGGTACCGACAGAGTTCCGGCACTTACGAGTACAATACGCGCACTGTAAGTAAGATTTCAAACCATCCATGTCCCAGCGTCTCCGTACCGTCGTGCCGTAGCCGTGGCTCGCCGCTCTTGGTTCGGCGCAAAACCCACCAACGAGCGGCGCAAACTTGCACGGCATGGCTGCGACATTCCCGCCCGGGCGAGTTGGGCCGCCAAAGCTCAGCAAGCAGGAAAAGCAAGAAACCTCCTGAGATGGAGAGCGGAGCCCTTTGCTTGGCTTGGCTTTTTTTTTCTTCCCTTGGGTCTTGGTCTTCCTAGTCATGCTGTCATGCCAATCTGGCTTGATGGCTCCGGCATATCCGCTCGCCCCAGATAGACAAGCCGTTTGAGTGAAGGAGGCAATTAATAGATAAATAGTAGCCGTGCAACACACTCGTTCAGCCTGGCCTTGATTTGTCGCCCTTTCCGATTCTCCCAGAGTGGGAAGACATTTGCAAACTTGAGCTGCACCAAAGCAAAGCACCAAGCACACCAAGCACACCGAAGCGCCTACTGCAGCCCGCCTAAAGGCAACACGATACGAGGACATCATATCGGCCAACGTCGCGTGCTTGTCTCACGGGGCTCGTCACTAGCAGTCTCCCCGAGCCGACACATACGATACGAGGGCCCGGCTTTGCATCTCTCGCGACTGGATTTAAAAAGTCCGACCTGCGTCTTTTGGCTTAACTGCCATCTGATCGCATTTTGCTGCAGAAAAGGCTTCCCTCGTTTTTAACTCAGCATCGCCGCCGCCGGACGCCGGCCCCGCCACTCGCTGCTCCTATTTTATTTTTGGCTTCATCAGAGTTTCTCGATTATCGATTATTCCATTCCGTCGCCCCGGAGCTGACGACATACGAAAAAACAAAAAAGAAATCGACTTTCAGCTCATGATATCGCAATTTCCATAATTCGACGACCTTTTCGTTTTTCTTCGGCCTTTTTTCCAGATCGCCCGCCGCCCAGCCCAGGCGCACATCACATCGCACCATGGGTCGCAATCGAGGTTCGTAGCTCCATTCCTGTTCTTGTCCGCACCGTCATTTTTCGCTCTCGTCACCAGGGCTCCAGCAGACCCCAGCAGGACCCCAGCAGGACCCCTAGTCGGGCTCAATGTTGGACCCTCCCCAGAAGCCAGCCAACCCCCTTCCATGTTCCATCGTCTCCAAGCCCTTTTTTTCTTCTTCCCCCCCTGGGCTGCCGCTAGACCCCAGCATTGCGCAAGAAACGGTGGCATCATTGGCGCTCACGCAACCTGTGGCCGCTGCTTGTGCCTCCAGACTTGGCAGCCTCTTGGCCGTACAGGTACAAGCGCCAGCGGTGCATGCGCGGTACTCGTATCTGTTGCTGCGGAGATGCTGCTGCTAGCACTCAGGTACAGGTACCGCCAGCATGGATGGTTTCCATGTAGCCTTTCTGCAATGGGCATGTGCCCTGCCGCCGAATCCATTGAATGCTGGGCTAGGGGGCTCGATGTTCCCTTTACGGGCTCTTTTTTGCAGGTGCCTGCAAGGTAGTACGAGAAGTTAGAGGTTGCTAACCGGGCGCGCGTGTCAATGTCTAGTGGTCTCGTTCATGTCCCATTTTTCCTCTGGGCGCAAGACACCAACATCATCACCTTCATCACCGCCCTCGGACGAAGCTCCCTTTTCCTCCAAATTCAAGGTTAAGAAGCGGCACTCGCTTGCGCACATCGACCTGCGCAGCCCTCCAGCTTCCACGCCGTCGCCGCAGTCTGACTATGGCACGCCGGTAAACATCGACGCCCCAATCCGACGCAACCGAAGTAGCTCGCGGAATAGTGCACGACCCTTGTCCATCATCCAGACGTATCAGCCTCCCGTCATGGAGGTCAACGAGGACACCATCCCGGAGCTGCAGCCCATTTTCTCGCTGCTCAACAGCCACTCCAACAAGCTTTATCACGAAGGCTACTTTTTGAAGCTGGATGATCAAAACACCCGTATGTGGTCTTGCAAACCGTCCCCCGCAATGGTGCTGTCTGAGCGCTTGCTAACCCCAACACTGTAATAGAGGGCAAACCAAACCCCGATAGAACATGGTCCGAATGCTTTGCACAGCTTGTCGGGACCGTGCTCTCCTTGTGGGATGCCGCAGAGCTGGATGCAGCTGGTGAAGATGGCATGGTTCTACCTAAATTCATCAACCTCACGGATGCTTCTATCAAAGTGGTATGGCAAACCTCACGTGCTTCACCGTGGACCTTGAAGTCTAACTACTTGTCTTTACAGATTGAGTCTTTGCCCACCCGTTCAAGCGATGAGCAGCCATTACAGAACATCCTTAGCCTGTCCACCGCTGGCAGAAACCGTTACTTGCTGCATTTCACTTCTCATGAGTCGCTGATTGAATGGACGTCCGCCGTTCGGCTAGCCATGTACGAGTATGTAGCTCTTCAGGAGGCGTACACTGGCGCCCTGATTGCCGGCAGGGCCAAATATCTCAACAACATCAGCGTTATGATGGAGAGGTCCAAATTCAAGATTGAGGCGTGGGTCAGGGTCCGATTTGGAGCTGGTGTCCCATGGAGGCGCTGCTGGTGCGTTATCACGCCGCCTGATGAGAAGGAGTACGCCAAACTTCAAAAGGAGTTGAAGAAGAAGTCTCCTTATGATCGATCTGCCGCTCGCGTGGTCAGAGGAGACATCAAGTTCTATGATGTCAAGACCGAGGGTAAGAAGCAAAAGAGGACAAAACCCGTTGCTTCCATCAGTGAAGCCTACTCTGCATATGCCATCTATCCTCAGGCCAAGTCTCTGGTGGACGCTTCGACCCTCATCAAGATCGAAGGCAACATTGCCATTCACTCCACTCCAGCGTCCTCTTCGGAGGGCTTTGTTTTCATCATGCCCGAGACTCGCCCTGCCGTCAGTGGATTCGAGACGATGCTTCGCTTCCTGTTTCCGACATGGGACACCTTTGGCCTGTACGGCCGTCCGGGCAGACTTGTCGCCAGCATTTTGGATGCCAGGTCGCTCATGTTTGCCATGCCCAGAAGTAAGAAATACGGCTATCTGGACCTCGAAGACGTCAATACGCTCTTACTGGACAGCAAGAGCTCAACCTGGAATGAGAGGGAGTGGCGAAAGCGGCTCAAGGAGGCCACCGGCACGCGGATGAACTCGATCGAGGATGGAAGCCGCTCTTATTCACCGGCCTCCAACAGAGCCAGCAACAGAATAAGCTTCCAACAAAAGCCCAGAGTTGGTTTCGCTGGCGATCGCCATTCTTCTGAATCCAACAGCCCCATCTCGATGGGCTCAAACTCTTCGCCAAATGACATGTCTCCTCTTGAGATGGCCGGGCGAGTAGGAAGCTCTAGCTCGGACGAGGGCCGTGCTGTTACGCCAAATGCCTATGTCGAACCCATCGAGACCAGCATGGGAGCCATTCGCACGCCCGAGCCTGTTGTACGACCTCCTATGGTTGCACGCGATTCTCACAACCGCCCATCCGGCGCCCCCTACAACTCGGAAGAACTCCGCCGGGCCAACAATCGCCTGTCCAACGGCACTCTGGCTCAAATGGCCAAGGCTGGCGGCATTGCTCTGCCCGGTGTTCCCGATATCCCTGATGATGATGAGGATGAGGAGTTCTTTGACGCCCCGCCGCCGGTTCCCATGCACGGTGGTGGTGGTTTCTACGCCGGCGAGAACCGGTCTGCTCAGTCTCTGAACCCCCCGCCGAGCCATCACAGCGATCGCCCTCCTACTAACCACTCTCACCGCTCTAACATCTCTCACCACTCTCACCGATCGCAACAGAGGCAGCCATCTCCCTATGGGCCAAGAACGCCCTATGATGAGCCTCCTCATTCTCCGTACCACGCTCAGCCTCCGCCTCCGCCTGTCCACGGATCATCGTACTCGAATGATCAGTATGCTTCCTACAGCCCCGCTGGCTCTCCCGGATATGGCCAACATCCCCACCGGAAGCCTCTCCCCACGAGGCCAGATGCCCCTTACAACAACAAGCACCAAAGCATCACTCCCAACGACATCATTGACCATTACACTACCCAGTCCCGAGCTCAGTACGACGGCTTCCTGCCTCCTCAACCCCCGATGCACTTGGAGTTTGGCGACGAACTGCAGCAGCCTTTCGTTGACCGGCCCCGCAATGGCGTCTTGAAGACGACCGGCGGCGCTGATCCGGACGCACACTACAACTCAGGATTCGCGATTCCAGACGTCAACTTTGGCCCAACAGTCAACTACGGCGCCCCTGCGGTGATTCGCAAGCCCGCACCCCATACCGCGGAATCCCCTGTGCCAAAGGCGCCCAAGACACCGACGGAGCCAAGGCCCGGCCACAGGAGACAGGAGTCTGTGCCATGGCAGCCGGCCACACCAGCGTCGCCCGGTTCCCAGCGATCTTTCCGCCTCACTCCCCAGCAATATGTCCAGCAACGTGCTTCCATTGCCTCAGCACCGTACGGGCACGGGAGAACTCTCTCAGCCAACTCTCTAGGCGGCCACTCGGCGCGAAGCATGTCGCCGCAGCCCGTGTACGGCACCATTGTGCAGCCGACACAGCCTGGCGCATACCAACAGCCCCTACAGAGCACGCAGCAATATTAAAACGACATATACATTTTTCTTTTCGTTCCTTTGAAGTACAAAAACCAACGGTTGATCACACCATACCCTCCTTGCATTGTTTCCTTGCCTTGTTTCCCTCTCCTTTTTGTTTTATATCATGTGTGGTTTTTCCCCTGTCCTTTTGTACATGTCTTTTCTATCTTGTGATAGATACCCTTGTTAGGCGACAGTGATGTATATGCAACTTTGGATGCAGTATGCATGGTAGGCGTTGGGGTTGGGAGCATTCATATATATATATTGGGAGTATATCTGAGCATTGTCGATACTTGCTCTAAGATGTGCATTCATGGCGTTTGTGTTTCCTTTGTTTACGGAAATGCCCTACATACATTGTGCCAGTGGGCACGATAATAAACGATGGGAGAACATCATTCTTGATATCAGGTAGATTTATTTTTATACAGATGGAAATACTACCAAGCAAACGAGGATTATTTTCTTGTTCATGACTTACTGGGCTGATTCATAAAAAACACTGTTCGCGTGACTTTTTGTAAGGAGTTGTTTCTTCGTAGTAGGAGTAAGTGAGGCTTGTTTGGGCGGATGAGCAGGGCATGTGATTGCTTGGACGCTGGACGCGCAACATATGCTGTTTCACATGTCAATATGACTAACACAGTGGCCTCGCATCGAACAAACATCTCACGACTGTCGGTCTTACAATGAATTAATAATTCAGCAATTAGGCTTTTGGCACTAAGACGGAGCTGGTGTCCTTGGGTGTGTTGCAATTGATGCGATGGGCGGCATTAACGTGAGGCTTGCATATGTACAAGAGCACTGTATTGGATTCGCGCATCATTCGCTGCGTGCCTTGCGTGGTTCCCCACCGCCCTCTTCGCGATCGCTATCTAAAAACTCGTTTTCAAATTGAAATTTAGTAGAAAACTGGCAGATACTGAAACGGCACAGACAACAACAGCAGGTACTAAAGAAATATAGACACAACAACAGGTACTAAAGAAATATGGACATAGTAGTAGACGCTAGAGAAATATAGCTGGAGTGGCTGGTACTCGGAAACATTGAAGGTTCTGGTATTACGAAGCAGGAAGACGGAAATGGGAGGGAAACATAAAAGAAAAAAAGAAACAACAACATGTCATTGGGCTGCGTGGGAATCGATTGGGGCCTGGCGCGTGCTGCAAGATCTCGGAACCCGTGGCAACGGCAATGACGTGCAGGGGGTGTGTGTTGCATTATTTTGGTGATTTGACGAGGACGGGCTGAGATAGATAGATGGGAATGAGGCGACTTGTTCACGATCTGGTGACTTGATGGACGCGCGAAAGTGTGGCAGGGGTGTGTGTGTGTGGCGGGGAGTTGTTGATATGATACGAGGAAAGATTATAAAGAAACGCCAAAAGAGAGAAGAGAAGTGAAATTAGTTGATAGGGCGACGTGTTTGATAAAGAAGAGGCGTAGAAAGAGCGAAAAGTACGCGCGCGGTGCTGTCTGGTGTCTTTCGCGTGACTTGGAGGGCGTTTTTGGTGGTAGTTTGACCTGGCGGCACGCGGACACGGTACACGCTCTCCCATGGATCTTAGCGGTGTTGATTGTCTGGTGCTTTTTCTTGCCCGGTCTTTTCTTTCTTGCTCTCTTGTATGTTATGCAGGGTGTTTTTTTTTTTTGGTTTCAAGCGTTTCTCTTGTAATTGGCGCGAAATGGACATGAGTGAATGACGGGACACGGGGGGTGGTCGCTGATCGGTTCAGGCGGACGGATGAATTGCTGTTTTGTTTCGTCCCGTTTCTTTTCTTTTCTTTTTCTGACTGAGCTTTCCCGCCTTCTTTGCTTTTTTCTGCTTCTTCTCCCCCTCTCTGGACCGCGCTCTAGATGCCTTGACTCTCTGTTTCCAGTGGTTCATGTTGATTAACACGAAAAGTGCCCTGTAAGCCACTGTCAACCCCGCCATCGCTAAGCTGCCGCTGTCTTCTAGCGGGGAACTATAAGTGCTATCACTGCCGTGGGACGGGACGCTGTTTCTGCTCAAAGTAACTGCCTACATATTTATTTCTCCGCCAACGCCAAACTTCCCTGTCCCTCCCCCGGATTGTCATTTTTACCTTAAACTCAACTGAATATAATTTCTTCACATTCCCCACGTACGACGTCGGGATTGAAGTTGGTGCTTGTGCTTGTGCTTGTGCTTGTAGCGCAACGATCGTTCCCCGGTGGCGCAAAGAAAAGGGCGGCCGCTGCTTAGCTATCAAATACTACCTAATACTGCGGCACGGTGCGGGCTGGTAGCTCCCTTCAACTAATAAATCGAACGTCCAGGCTTCCGCCGTCTGTGATAAAAAGCGACCCTCCCTCTGGTGACCTCACAAACCGGGCTTTGGGTTAGCTTTGCTGCTCTTCTCCTTGACTTATACGCATAGCGAGCGCACGCTCTTCGCATTGGACGCGGCAACCTGGACCATTTCCACGCCGTAGCCTCGCCGGGTCGCTCCCAATGGACGGCGAAGAGCCAACGCAGGGTAAGATGACGACGGAGCCCGTTCACGGCGCTCGACTGGAAACGAAACGCTGACATTTCTTGTTTCTCGCAGCGACGCAAAACGTCCTCGACCCGCGCAGGGTGGGCAAGCAGAACTCGGGCTTCTCCGACGAAGACATCTCGGACATTGTCTGCGTGCTGTACCCGCACTCGGAGTGCGCCCGCAACGAGGTCCAGCAGCTGGCCAGGATCGGGTCGCCCTTCATCATCGGCAAGGACGAGGCCGACGGCGTTGAGCCCGACTACGAACTCGAGGACCACCCGAGCCGCTTCGAGTCCGACCCGACGAACCATGGCAACTACGCCATCCTGCTGCGGCTGTCGAGCCAGGCCAAGAACCCTGCGAACGGCTTCGTCTTTGGGAGGAACAATGCTAGGTGCGACGTCGTCTTCGTCAATGACCCGCTGCGCAGGATCAGCAACATCCATTTCCGCATATACGTCAACGAGTACGGCATCGTCATGATCGAGGACAAGTCCACCAATGGCACCTTTGTCGACGACAACCTCCTCACTTCTCGCCCCAAGGAGCTGGGCAAGCCGCCCATTACGAGGTGGACGTTGAGCTCGGGGTCCATCATCTGCATCTACCTACATAATCACATGAACGACCTTTCCTTTCGAGTCCGAATCCCGCGCCGCGACGGCGAATACGAGAGGGCATACGCACGACAGGTGGAGGAGTACTTTGCTCGCCACGCTTTGCAGGTAGAGACCATCACCACGGGGCCCGGAGGTCATGTTGATTTGTTCAAGACAGCTCAGCAGCAGCAGCAGCAGCAGCAGGCCACGCCGCGGCGCCTGGAGCGCCAGCCGTCTGATCAGCGTTCTCCTTCAAAGCCCAAAGATACCCGAGCTGTGCGACGAGAGTGGACTGGATCCGGCAAATACAACAGGATAGGCATGATTGGCAAGGGAGCCTTTGCGGTCGTTTACAAAGTCACATCAAAGTATGACGGAAAGCCGTACGCTGCCAAGGAGCTCGAGAAACGCCGCTTCATTAAGAATGGAGTGCTGGACCAAAAGGTGGAGAATGAGATGAAGATTATGCGCAAGGTGCATCATGTAAGTCGTGCTTTTAAATCATTCATCATGGCTGTGGTTGGCTGACGTTGCATCTCTAAAAAGCCCAACATTGTGCGATATATGGAAAACTTTGACTGGGACGATCGACTACTCATCATCATTATGGAGTTTGTGCCTGGAGGGGATCTTGGAAAACACATCGTAGATTATGGCCCCTTTAATGAAGAAGACTCAAAGACAATGGCCCAGCAACTGCTGAGTGCCCTCGCCTACTTACATCGCAATAACATCACCCATAGAGACGTCAAGCCAGACAACATATTGATCAATACGCTTCAGCCTCTGGACGTCAAGCTCACCGATTTTGGCCTTTCAAAAATGGTGGACACTGAGCAGACATTCCTCAGGACCTTTTGTGGCACACTGCTTTACTGTGCGCCAGAGGTATATACCGAGTATGTCGAGTACGATGACAATGGTATAAGGAGCAGAGGGAAAAAGGCTCGCCGTGTACCGGGCCAAAGGTACAATCATGCCGTGGATATCTGGTCTCTAGGTGGCGTCCTCTTTTATTCGATGACGGGGCAACCTCCATATCCAGTCAAAAGCGGCATCAGCTATTCCGAACTGCTGCATAAAATCATGACGGAGATGCTGGACATCCGACCGTTGGATCAATATTCCATTTCCTCAAGCGGTATCGATTTTCTCTGCCGCATGCTTCAGAGAAGGCCGGAGAACCGTGCGACAGTAGAGGAGCTTGATGACCATCCATGGCTGGCCGGCACAACTATTGAAGCCTCGCAGTCGTTTGATGAAATTACCGACGACGAAGACTACTTAGATCCACTACTCCAGTACGAGGCACACGAACATGCGGATGAAGATGACCGAGTGAGCGATTCCATGGGAGAAGAGGAGGAAGAGGGGGGGAGTGAAAAGGGGAAAGGAAAGGAGAACGGAAACTATACCTTTGGCCGAGGTACGCAACCTCGCCTCTTTGGAGAAGTTGGCGCTTCCGCCTTTGTCAACTCTGGAGCTGTACCGGAGCAGCATCTCAACCTCCCCGTCACAAACAGGAACGGAGTGAGCGGCAGCAGTGGTGGCAGCAGCAGCAACTTCGAAAGCCAAGTAGACGAAGCTTACGATTCTGGGGATTCCGCCGCAACTCTCGTTAAGCACCGTCGTATCTTCCGACAAGACACAAGCGTGTCCATTGCCCCCCATCAGTCTGCTGACCAGTTACAAAGCCTGGTGGAAGACGTCGCCTCACAAAACCTGAATGGCACCGGATCGGTGATAAGGCACGTGGAATCATCGTCACTCTACTTGACTGCAGCATCAATGGACTTCAACACGAGCAAGCGCAAGCCCCCGTCGGTTGAAGCCAGCGACGAGTTTGATAGCACGCCTACCGGGAAGCCAACCATCAAGAGGCTAAAGTCCGAGGTGTACACCAATGACCTTTCCGAGGAAGCCGTCGAGGAGTGCAAGCTGCTGGCCCGCATGCCGCCGATTCAGAGATCGGGATCGGGCCGTCAGATTGACGGGCCGGTGAGCAAGCAGCTGTTTTGGGAGCAAGACCGCAAGACGTGGCACCTCAACTATCCCGAGATGACGCAGCTCCAGTACCAGGCGTTTGTCCAGGCTGCGCGCGACAGGGGCGAACAGTTTAGCCCGGGCAAGACGCCTCTGTGGAACTTGGCGATGAAGTACTTTCCGCCTGTTGGCCCGGCAGAGAAGCAGAATGGCCAAATCAACTCGCCGATTGTGGGCCAGTCTCCTGACGAGGACGTCGCCATGGATTTCCCCCCAACCGCCGTACAGCCTGATGAGGATGCTGAGCCTTTCATCCCGGATTCACAGAATCTCGTGGTTCCTGTGCAGAAAGAAACACAGGCCAGGGCCATTGGCCTGATAGAACCTGATAAGAGCTCCTGCATTCAGGGGATCTCATGTCCCATGACAGATTCACTAGTATCATTTGGCCGTGGCCTGGAGAACACCATCGTCTACGAGGAAAGGACCGACACAAGAGTGCCAAAGTGGGCCTTCAAGATTCTCCTATGGAAAGAGGGCTACGATCCCGCCAAGGACACGACCAAGACGCCTCCTCCCTGGGCCAAGGACTCTACACCAGACAAGGACTCCTACTTCTGCTGGATCTCATCCAAAGCCACCAATGGAATCCATATAAATGGACATGCCCTCCCATCGGCCGATGTAAAGAGCCCTGCATCAGCCTCAGTGCACTGGGCCAAGCTCTACGCCGGAGACACCCTCCTCGTATGGGGCACACCCTCCGTTCAACTTCAGACCAAGTTTGTCTTCCGCTGCTTCTGGGGCGGCTCGGCTTGCCCGCGCCCGGCGAACCAGCAGAATCTCGAGTTTGCGGACGCTTCCCTGGCCGAGAAGCTCGACGCCGCCTGCCTGCGCACGGAGAAGCGCATTCGTGATGTTAGCGACAAGCTCGCCGAGAAGCGCAGCAGGATCAACGACGCAAAGGCCGAGGACCGGGAGCGCGTCCGGCGGCTCGACTTTGAGCGCGAGAGGAGCCACGCCTTTGAGCAGAACCGGCTCGAGGCCATTGAGCTGCTGGCCTCGAGGCAGGGTAGCTCGTCGAGAAAGGGCTCGCCTGGCAGCGTGGTGACGCCGACGACTATGTATCATTCGAATAGGCTGCAGTCGACTATGATTCGGCTGAGTCCGGAGAAGGATACGCTGCGGTCGCTTCGATGAGTGGGTAATTTACCATTCGTGGTCAGCGTAATCATTTCTTTACCATTTCCTTTGCCATTTTCTTCATTCTTCATTTCCATCTCCTTTTGTGTTAGTGGTGTACATCAACCAAAAAGCCATGTAAGCAACGCGTGAGCAAGCATCATGTCTTTCTATTTCCTTTTCCTTTTCCTTTTCCTTTTCCAATTTTTTCTCTTTTTGTCATCTGGTGCTTTACATCTATCTTCCCTGGGAAAAAGCTGTCTGTACTCACGCGGAAATGAATTTGGGTTCTTTTTTCTTCTTCTTTATTAGATGAGCAAAAAAAGGACGTATGAGTTGGATGGGCTGGGACAGGCTGGACGGAAGGGGGGGCTTAGGAAACTTGTCGGAGGGAATATTCTCGCGGCGCAGGCTGCATTTTCTTTTTTTATTGACTGCCATGCGCGTATTCATGCATAAAATGGGCATCTTAGTATATCGGCGTTGCAAATCCCAGTATAATTTAGACCATTTAGCTAATGCAATCTCAACTTCAAATCGAGATTTCGCTACCTCATTTACCTTTGGTGTTGATGCCAACAGACATTTCTGAACCCCTTTCTGGCCAGTAAATTGAATGCTAATCGCGCTGAGATGAGAGTCTCAATCTTCGCCCAGCTATATCGCTTCCCATAATGTCCATCCTTCACCCCCCTGAAAATCACTAGCATACCGCTCTTCCCTTGGCCATGACAGCGAGCAACGACGTTCATACATGTTTGCCAAGTTTCAGAAAATAAGAAAAAGAAATAACAACGCAAAAGCAATTTGGGCCTGTTAAAAACATCGCGTAGAGCCGTGAGAAAGAGAAAAAAGTCTATACAAATCAGACGTGGCTCATCCACAGCAACAATGGCGATCATCAAAAAAGAAATAAACGTTGAACAGCAAATGTAAATTACCCACCTACCCCAACTTTGTAAATCTCTCACAAATCTACTCGGAAGATGGCTCATCATCGCTGTTTTTGCTGGGAGCGTTCTCCTTATCAGACTCGTCGTCCAACATGATTTCGGGTCCAGCGAGATCAGCTTTACCCTCTGCTGAATTAGGCGATGAGTTAGTGGCAAGATTGCTGACAGATGCAGGAGAGATGTCGATGTCGTCGAATTCTGTGAATGGTTAAAAATGAAAACTTCGCACGAGTGACGTGGAGTTATCGACTTACCAAGCATGTTGGACTTTTTCCCTGGTGAGCTCTCTGGGGAATCTGGTTCTTCTATGATAGGCTCAGGAATCCAGTATGGCGTTGGCTTGGGCAATTTTGTTGCACTTTGATAGTCCTTTGCCCACTTGCCAGGAGTGCGATGGGTCCGTGTGCCAAAGAAGCAATAATCATTTATATCAGGAAAGGTTCGTTTGCGAGGTTCATAGTAAGGATTACTACTGGGCTGAGAGTAATCACTAAACGCACTCTGACTGAACGAAGAATCGTCTTGCATTGTGTGGCACTCAGGGTCAGACCGAGAAGAGAAATTGCTCCAGGGGGACGTCTTTTTGAATGTAGACTCTGCTTTTTGATCTCCTCCAAATGGAGACGTATAGTACCTCCAACCACCCCCGGACGATTCTGGGGGACCTTGAGATTGGGAGCCAGAGGTTGGTGAAAGGGGAGTCTTTTGCGATTCTCGTTCCTTTGTGGTGTCGGCATTTGTCGGGTTGAATGTATCGCCAGTGGTGCGAAGCGGTGGAGCGCCATTTTCATTCCCATTTCCGCTCTTGGAACCATAATTGAAAGTTGAGTGGCCACCTGGCCGGAATCCTTTGAAACCTTCTGTGGTAGGACTGGGAGTTGTGGTAGAATGATATGTGGAGGGCCTTGAATACCAATAATCTCCTCCAGCATTGGACGTGGGGGGCAGCCACGAACTTGCTGGGCTGTCCTTGGAAAAAGCTCCCCTGTAGCTTCTCTCTGGTATGGTTTCCACGTATCCGTCCTCGATAGCAGCAGAGGAAGGCACCTTGTGAGAACCTAGTGCTCTTGGGTAATACCCGTTTTGGGATTTCACCGGCGAAGTTCCATATATACCCACCCGACTTGGTATGGTATCATCGTCGGGCTTGATATCTTCTTCAAGAATCTTGGCATGCGATGAGGCGTTGCTTGATGTTCGAGAATCTGAGAGACGAATATCAACCTTCGACCTAAACTTCACAGACTTGCTCCCGGTAGATTGAGCTGAATCGTCGGTGGAAGCGTGCCCTTCCGTAGAATCGTCGGACACCTCTTGAGAGACATCAGAGCTGTGATCTTCTGCAGAGCGATGAAGACGACCACTCTGAGAATTTCGTCCACTAGGTGCCGTTGAATGAAATTGATGGCCGCCATCCGGCTTCTTTGCTTCTTCGATGGGCGAAACAACATCTTCAACGTAGGGGGACTGATATCTTGGCGTAGTCGGAGTATCAGGAGAGCTACAGTATTGACTTCCTGGGCTAGCCAGAGGGCTTCTCTGTGCGCGCCTTTGGGACGCTCCAGTAGGGCGAACTGGATAATATGGGGAGTCGGGGGAAGAGTTTGAGGAGCTCAGCTGGGGGCCACTTGTGGAAATCTTTAGCGTGTGTGGCATCTTCTTTCTTCCATAAGAATCAATCTTGTCATTCTTATCGCCACGAGCCGAGCTTAACAAGATATTGGATTGGTCGTCTTTGTTGCTCAATCCTTCCCTTGATTTAAACGGATCAACCTGCTTGTAATTCTGAAATTGACCACGGGCAGCAACCGAGTGTGCGTAGTTCAAGGAGGAACGATTTTCTGGAGCCTGTAATTGGTTAATGTTTTCGTCTTAAACCGATGTCTTTATGAATAGTTGGCCAAAGTACTTACAAAATCAACTACAGAGAAGTCTGCAACGGTCTCAGCTGATCGGATCTCTTCAACACATATCGAGCAATAGTTGGGAAAGGGCTTATCATCCTTCGAGATCGGGTGATTCTGATGGAAATCCTTGGATCTGGCAGTGCCGCAGCCATAACAGAAATGATGTTCCAAAATCCCTTGCTCGACGTTTTCTTCAAAGCAGTCTTCACAGTAGTTCTTGGAGGGCCTGTCTCCTGGAATGACAGGGCGCTTGCGGTGATAGTCGGAAGAGCGAACCTTGCCGCAGCCCGTACACAAGTGATGGCGAATTTTCCTCTTAGGGCTTCTCTCCTGCTGAATGGTCGTGAGTTGAGACATAGAGGACATCATTGTCAAGTCATGAGGCTTGGAGGCATCCGGGGCTTTGGGTTCCTTCTGGCGTTCCGTACCCAATAAAGAGTTCAACCGAGTGTTGAGTTCAGTCTGCAGAGCTGACAGATTACCCTTTAAGGTAGCATCCTCGGGGTTCTGCGAAAGTTTCATCACCACTTCGTCGAGTTCGCTTTGAATATGTTGAACTTGCTGAGAAATTAGGTTGCGCGGCTGTGGTGATGTCGTGGTATTGGTAGAGGGCAGTGGGCTCATTGGAAAAGGTACAAATTGATTACAGCCAAAAGTAGAATCATTGCCAACAGTAGAGTAGTATTGTGTCTGAGGGTACACAGAGGCTGTGGGAAAAGCAAACATGGGTTGATAGAATTGCTGCGGTTGAGCTCCTCCACCAATGTGAAGCTGAAGAGGCCTGGCAGAGGCGTCCGAAGCAGTGAGATTAGCAGCTTTTTGAGAGTGCCTAGACGTGGCACGGGGAAAGGTAGCTGAAGATGGGATGGAAAAAGCAGGAGAAGAAGCTCTCGTGGAGGCTGGGCTTGAGGACGACCTCCCACGAGACTTCGGGGGCTTGGAACTGTCCCGTTTCGAAAGTCGACGCGTAAGTAATGGCACTTTGGCCCGGTCAGGTGTTTTCTGATCATCTTTCGGAGAAGGAGCTCGTCGGTCATTCTTCTTTTCTTTGACTTGCTGCTGCTGGCGAGGCTTGGATGATTTTCGGGCTTTTGGCGTCTCATCAGCATCTTGAGTGTCTGATCTTTTGCTCTCTGCTTGAGATACAGCCGAGGACTCGGCCTCACTGGATTCGTCTTCGCCAGCGTCATATTGAATCCTGACGCTCTGTGTGTGGATCTGATTTTGATCCGCTACTCTGTCTGCACGTTCAAAATCGCGGCGTGTGGGCAAGTTGAAAGCAAGGCTGAGGAGATCAACGCCGCTGTCATCAGCTGGGTCCTTGCGCCGATTCTTCTTGCTGCTGCCCATCGTGCCAGAATGTGAGAGTGAGACAAGGAAGATTTGAAGAGAAGAGGTGATCTTGGAAACAAAGAAGCGACGGGATCGAAGTGAAGAAGAAGTGTTTGGTTGAGAAAGAAGTTGGGAGAAGAGAGAAGTACAGGAAGGTTAGTGAGTGGGAGAGAAGATGGAAGAAAAAAAGTGAAAGTGAAGTGAAAAGTGAAATAGCGGGTGTGACTTGGGATGAAAACGCGCCTTGCCTCGAAGATGCGCTGTAGCAACAATGTTTGCCAGCTGGCAAGCCCGTTGCTCCCGCAGCTGCCAACATCGGTAGCCGAAATTATGCGAATCTGAAGGCATGATCGGGAGAGCTTCGAGGACTATGTAGCCGATGATTAGATGCATCCATTGGAAGGTATTCTGATGCCTCATCAAAGTGGTGCATCCGATGTGTTCCATCTGTTGATTTGGTAGACATCGATCTTGGTTTCATTCTGCGAAATAGGGGCAAATCACATACACCGTATACAAACTGCTGCTATTTCATTCGATACAGTTTACATCAAGCAAACAAACATAGCTAATCAGCAATCGCTTTGAAAAGACTGGCATGATTTCTTTGCAAACAATGAAATTGATGTACATTCTAGACCATCTTTTGCCTAGATATATAGGAGCACCCAAGCCATGATTCTTTTTGTTGGCTCCTGTTAGCCCCCCTTAAATATCTCTCCGTGATAACACATTTTATCTTTCTAATCCACGCGAAGCACACGAGCGCCCCTCTTCTTGGTGGGCTTCTTCTTCTTCTGGCCACGCTCAAAAGCAGCAGCATTAGCATGATCACGGCCAATGTTATCCAAGTCTTTGACCTTGTAGATACGGATGATCCAGTTCTCGCTGGTAAAGGCCTCCTCGAGGGTGTTGAGAACAGGTCCCTGGTCGGGAATTCGGACCCCTCGGACTCTATCGGCGGCCTGTCCGGCGGGAAATAGAGAGGCGTAGTTGTAGTACGACATCTTGTACCTGTGCTTCTTGTTAGAAATCAATGACTTCCCTCTAGCTTTATTACTTCCACTTACATTAAGCTGTTCTTCATGGTCTCAGTGGCACCTTCATCAACGCGGTACTCTCCCTGAGGGGTAAAGAAGTCTCGCTCCTTGACCTCATCAGGCCAAATACCTTCAGCGATTCGAACCATCCACAAGAACTTGTTGATATCGTCACCAGAGTAGCCCAGGAGGGCGCCGAACACGACGAGAACATAGTCGACTTCGTGCTGTCTCATGATGGGGTAGCTGACTTCCTCCCTGGAGCTCATGGCTTTGCCGACGGTGGCAATGTGGGTGTTGTTCCAGGTGTTGTTGTCAACCAACGTAGGTCGGTCAGCCATGCCACCAATCTGGTAGCCGTAATCCCACCAGGACATAACCTTGGCGTCCTCCTTGGTGTTTTGGCGCAACCATTGGTAAGCCTCTCGGTAATCATCAATAATGTGCTGGCTTCCATCCGGCATACGGCTGGCAAGGACCACTGAAGGCGAGGAGTAGGCGTTGGACGTAACCCAAGTGCAGTGAGAGACAAACATCAAGAGGTAGACGAGCATGGATCCGGACACCATGACCTTGGTGAGGTTGCTGTAGATTCCAACATTAGGCTTCTCGCTGCCGCGGAGACCGCCCTTGACCTTCTTGGGCGCTTCTTGCTCCTCGACAGGAGTAGCTGATTTCCATGAGAGGTAGGTGTCGAGGATCTGAGAGGCAGCCATGGCGGCGGCAACACAGACGACGGGGGTCAGTGTAAGCATCAGACGCACCATGACACCGGCAAAGTAACTTCCGAAGAGGGCGTACACAACGACAAAGACATGCTCATCCTTGAGATCCTGGAAGCACAGATAGACACCAGCGGGGAAGAGCCAGATGAGGAAATTCAAGTCGAAGAAAAAGGAGGGCCAGGCGGTAGGCTGGTGCTCAGAGACGGAGGCAATGATGGGAATGTGGATCTTGGCATAACCGGTATCCCACAGAGAGTAGAAACGTCCGCTCCAGGGAGCAACGTAGCCCAGAGAAGTGAGGGCGACGAGACCCAGCAGACCCAAGCCAAATGTTGCCACAAGGATGGTGACAAGGAAGGTTTGGAATTGACGGCCAGAAATAGCAGATCGCACGTACTGGATGAAGCCAATGAGCTGGATGAAGCCGAAAATGCCTATAAAATTGATGTTAGCGATTCATGTTAAGGTGTGTTTTATCATGGACGAAGGATTTCTTACCCAGGGCGGGCATGTGCTCGCTAGTCTTGATTGGCAGGAAGCCGACAAAAGGAATCTGCATGCTGGCCAATGTTCCCAGAGCATACCAGGTGGTGTAGCTGACGTAGAGGCGAGTGCTGTACCGGCCCATGGCGATCAGGACCAGCGCATGCACAGGCAACAAGCAAGTAATGAAAGCGTATCCACCCCAAGAGGCCACCATGTATCCGTAGAAGAGCGCGCAGAGAGCTCCCCACAGCATGGAACCCAGCTTCAGGGCCTTGATCCACAGGTAAAAGGTAAAGACGAGAAGGAAGATGGCAATGGCTTCGTTATCGTAGCTGCCGGCAACGGATCTGGAGATGTAACCCGGCGCAATTCCCATGAAGACGGCAGCCAAGAGACCGGCAGATGGCGACGTGGTCATTTCATTGGTGAGGAGATAAGTGGCAAACGCAGTCAAGCCTGAGCAGGCGGGCGCAAGGAGGACACAAATGTTGCGGATGTCGACTGGGATTGTGAGGGTTCTGAGAGCGTGGTAGATGGCGCCGCTGGTGACCATCAGGCCGGGGTACAGGGTGCCTCCAGTAACTCGACCGAGAGGGTGCCATGTTCGGTCGTCAAACCAATCCCAGAACTTGTGGAAGCCATTGGCGACGAGGTACTTGGTTGCTCGGAAGTTGAACCAGGGATCAACTAGACAATTGTTGTTAGTATGTTAAGTGGCATTGGTTGGGGCGAGTCGTGCGCTCTGCGTGGAGAGTGCATAGAGTTTAATAGACTAACATTCGTGGATGATACTTTCAAATCCTAAAGATAGCAAGTTAGCTAGGCTGTTTCCTCTGGTATATAGCGCCACAAATGCAATTGGACGTAGCAATGGCTGCAGCATCGCAGCATCGCCATCGCAGCATCCATCGCAACTGGAAGAGTCGCTGGCTTACGTATAACAGAGAAGAGACGGCTTGAGATGGCAGCCGCTGCAATGAAGCAGAGAATGACAACGCGAAGCAGCGTCCGAGTGCTTTCCGTAGTGTAGCCTACGGCGGGCCCTTGGGTTTTTGCCGCCATTGTGGCTACTGGTGTGGAAGATGAATCTCCGGAGGCGTTGTTGGAGATTCTTCGTACCTGCTTGAAGCCGCGCTCAGACTGCTGAGGACAGCTTGGAGCTTAAGGTGCTACGTATGTCAAGACATTGTGGGGCTGGCGCGGGCGCCGGTGTTTTCCCGAGGGAGCATCGCAATCACACAAGATGCTGTAAGGATGTGTCTCAAGCTTCATGCGACAATTGAAAAAGTGGGCACGAGTCTGAATCAACGCTGAAGCTGTTGAAGGCGAGTGTATTTGAACCTGTGATGGAATGTGCTGTTATTTTACAGAGTACCAATACCAGTACCCTTGGCCATGAGCGTTACTGTTCTTCTCAGTACAAGCACAAAAGTGCAAAAAAGGAAAAAGAACCACATCCGTTGGTGCGGATTATCGTTCCACCTCATTACTGCGCATGTAGACACCAGCCATGAGAAACCTCATTTCTTCAGTCGCAGTGTATAGCTCACACGTGCAATGCAATTGGATGCCCATTTAAACGTTGATTTATTTCTCACAACGTTGTTGATACTCTTGTAAACTTTTCTTTTAGCTTTGAATCGTCTAATTGCGCATATTTTTACATAGTACAGTTCACCAAACAAATGACCCCAGGAAACCTCTATGCAGCGGCGCCACGTGTAGTTTCAAAATATACACTGCCTTTGCAGTCTGTGGTGTCTCATTATGCCTCGCAGGGCTTTTTTTGGGTCTTCATGACGGCCGCATCTTCTTCGCCCGCCAGCCTCTCTCAACTTTTTTTCAACATCGCTTCCTTGCTCCTCACCCCTCCATCACTCCACGTTTTGGTTGCGTTAAGGGCTCTCCTTGGCGATCTTCAGCAGGTACTTCTCGAGGTCAAATTCAGGGCTGTTGACATCGGTAGCGGCTGTCCCAGAGTTAGTTTTGCTGACAAAATCCCAAAATGCGCTTCCATGTCCCCCTCCATCCCCTGCGTTGCTAGAATAACCCCGCTGGAGAAAAGGGAGAGATGCCATGCTGCATAGTCTCTCGGATCATGCGTACCATCGTTTGTTGCTGCCGTGACTGGGCTGTTCTTCTTTGCGTACTCGGCCTTGGCCTGGTCTATCAGCTTCTGCTTCTGCTCGTACTCGTGCTGCGCGTGCTGAGCTCGCTGTGTGGTGGTGATGGTGCGCTGGTGGGAGAAGCCGTAGAACACGCCAAAGGCGAGGGCGGACCACCGGAGGACCTGGAAGTTGATCAATCAGACTTGTGTCGCCAAGCGAGGGCCAATTGCACGCGATCATCGCAGGATCGAGGCCGATGCGGGAAGGCTGCGGTTGGGCACTGCGAGGATAAGACTGCAACGTACGTTGACTCCTGTTGACGACATGGTGAAAATCGCACGTCGCGCGGCTGCTTCAGGCAGGAATCGGGGAGTGAGGGAGGATCTGGGGGGGTCGACAATGGCCGTCGATGAACCCTGTCGAGGAGTGGCTCGAGGGAATTGTTGCGTCGGCTGGGATGAAGATTTGAAAATGTCCTCGGGAAAAGTCGCAGTTTTTCCAGGCCCGGACGGCCGCAGCTGGTCCGGCTGTCTCTAGGCTTGTGCCATCGCTGCGGTCACGTGCAGCCAGCGTCTGGTGCTGCTCCACGGCCGATAAGCTCATGGCAATCGCCTCTAGCTGCCGATACAGACCAGTGCCATTAATATTACGGTTTACGGAGTATTCATTAGAGGATGAAAAGGAGTGGGCAGAGTGGCCGACCAGAGCGCAATCCCCTGTCCTGATTTTACTTAATCGTTTTCTTCTCTTTCCTCCAACTAGGCCAGCCTTTTCGAACCCCGCCTTCGCCCTCGTGAATCGCCGTCTCGCTGAGTGGCGCCGTGGCTTGACCTCCCTCCCTCTTTGTCCCTTCGCATTCGACCTCACCTACTGTTCTGGCGAGTCCCGCCATGGGACTTTGGGACAATCACGATGCAGCAACGTCGAGATGAGATTCTTGCCAAAAAGGCGAAGCTCGCAGAGCTTAAGCGCCAGAGGGAGCTTCGGGCTACCAGCCAGACGCCGTACAATCGCACTGGCATGAGCTCGCCCAGCGAGGTTTGTTCTCTCCGTGTGCCACCCGGTTTCGCGTCCGCTAATGGTCTGTTCTGTCACAGCTAGTATCACCGACACCACGAGGAGACAGCCGCCGCGAGATCGAAACCCTCATTGACAGCTTGGTCGGTAGCAGCAGACCCAGCTCGATTGGGACGGGACCCCCTGGATCGCCCGCGCATCGTGGAAGCAGGCCGAATAGTGTGCTCAGTGGTGGTGAAATCAGCAATGTGACTTCTGAATGGACAGCTTCCTTGACTGGACAAGGCGGACAAGCTACACCAGGCCCTACACCTGTGACACTGAGCCTTACGACAGTTCCCCTGACAACCGTTTACGAATGTCCACCGAGCCCTGTCAAGGAGGTCTTTTCTTACAGCAAAGGTGTACAAACTACGGATGAATGGGCCACCCCTACTAGGACAAGGGCCCAATCGATGGCGTCCGATGCAGATGACTTCATGGGTCCGACTTCAACGCCGAACAAGAGGCTAAGCAGGAAGGAGCGTGACCGAGAGGAGGAACTGCGCCAAAAGATTAGATTCGAGGTGGAGGAAGAGCTGCGAGCAACCAAAGAGCTTTTGGCCGAGGGTGGTACCGCGGCACAAAACTTTTCCTCAACCAACTATCCTATTAGAGAACTTACTGCCGAAGAACTGGAAGCCGTCACTCACTCAGACGAATTTGTAGATTTCCTAGAGCAGTCGACAAAGGTCATCGAGAGAGCCCTGGACCAAGAGACCTATGATATCCTTACCGACTATGCCCTACACGGCAAGGACCTCGAAGACAAAGATGAAGAAAGCGGTAACACGGGAGGAAAGGGAGGACATAGAGTCAAGGAGGTGGTGCAATTCTTCGATGATCGTTGGTCTAAAAAGCGAATGATTAGCGGGATAGATTTCTCACCCAAGTTCAATGAACTTGTACTCGCATCCTACACCAAGAATCCGACAGCACCCCACGAACCGGATGGGCTCGTCCAGGTCTGGAACATTCACATGCACAATCGGCCAGAATATGTCTTTACTGCTCAGTCCGACATCCTCACCGCAAAATTCTCACCCTACCACCCCAATCTCATCATTGGCGGCTCGTACAGCGGCCAAGTCTTGCTATGGGATACCCGAGCAAAATCTGCACCGGTTCAGAAGACGCCATTGACGGGCTACGGCCATGCCCATCCTATCTACTCGGTGGACATTGTGGGCACGCAAAACGCCAATAATATCATATCATGTTCTACGGATGGCGTCGTCTGCGGCTGGAGCATGGATGTGTTTGCGCAGCCCCAAGAGCTGCTCGAGTTGAAGAACCCCAGCCAGGCCAAGGTGGCGGTTGAGGACGTCAGCCCTACATCCCTATCATTCCCTCAGACGGACCCGACATTCTTCCTCGTTGGAAGCGAAGAGGGAACAATATTCCCCTGCCACAGATATGACCGTGCTGGTGCCAAGGCTGGTGTCGACAAGAAGATTAGCTACAAGGGGCATGCGGCACCTGTCATGTCGGTTGACTTCCACCCAGCCAGGGGCCCTGTGGATCTTGGTGACCTGGCCATTTCATCCTCCCTTGACTGGAGCGTCAAGCTCTGGAAGATTCGTGCTCCCGCGGCCACATCGACGATTGGTGCTGGAGATGGTGCTATTTCGCCATTGATCGATTTTGTCCGCGAGGACGTCGTCTACGATGCAAGATGGTCACCTGTGAAGCCCAGCGTCTTTGCCCTCGTAGACGGCGCTGGCTGGCTGGAATTCTGGGACATTGCGATAGACACGGAGGAGCCAGTGTCGAGAATAACGCCGAGCAGCCGACAGGATGGAAGGACAATGCTATCCAGGAGCTTGAACAAGCTGGCTTGGGAGCCCAACGATGGCAAACGCATCGCAACCGGTGGCATCGACGGTTCTCTTACCGTCTTCGAAGTGGCTAGTGGCTTGGGCGGCAAGGAAGGACTCAAGAATGAGGAATGGGCAAATGTGAAGAAGCTTGTCAACCGAGTGGAAGCCGTGGGCATGAATGGGGCGATGATGGTTTAGCATTTTTTTCCTTTCTTTTTGTTTACTGGCACGCATGGCACCTTAATTTTTCTTGGAATCCTGACCTGTGCAATGATTGATGAAGGTGAGCTTATATATGTATACCCCTAGACAAGTGTGAGGTAGAAAAAATTGGTAATGGCAACGGACTATCGTTTTACATGTCTATGTCTATACAGTATTTGTTGTACGCCTTTTCTGCTATTTCTTCTACCTTTATTAGAGCTGGACAGGGGTTGTGATGGAGGCGTACCTTGTACTCCGTGGTGGTCGGGTAAGCTCAGGTGCCCGCATTCTTAGCGTCACGTGAATCTCCATAGAGATGAAGATTATTTTTGCCGAGGCGATTCTTGCTCAGGATAATTTTGATCGTTATTTTTAAATACACGGCATGAAATGTCTATCCGTACAGTCCTCGATTGGATTGATTGACGGAACCACAATACGAGAATGGTAAGTTTGAAAACAACAAATTAAAATATCCCCTTTGATTATTCACACTATGATGTATTCATTTCGATGAATTCTGCAATGCTCAAGGTCATCTTGGCTTCAAGCCAACTTGACCGGATGAGGACAATTTCACCCCTGAGTCTCAATATTATAACGTGTCAAATCGCTTGTAAATTGCAAGTCATTATGCTAGTTCTAACAAATCATGAACCAGAAACTCGTCTGGGACAAAGCAACGCCTCAGCTCGCCTGTATCTAGGTGTTGTGCGGGACGCCAGCAGGATATCGGTTGCCAGCAACTTCAAACGACTCGACGAGGGTGTCAATCTTCTTCGCCTCCTCTTCCGTCAACTTGATCAACTTGGAGTTCTCCTTCACTCGTTCTGCTGTTGTTGCGCCGGGGATGGGGATGATGGTTGGTCGGCCTGGGCGGTTGCTCTGGCTGTGCACCCAGCCGATGGCGAGCTGAGCCGGGGTGCAGCCCTTCTCCTTGGCGAGAGCCTCAACTTGAGCGACCAGCTGGAGATTGTGGTCAAAGGCGGCCTTTTCGAAGCGGGGGAACTTGGAGATGAATCCAAAGCCCTGGACCTCTGACACGTCCTTGAATCTACCGGTGAGCATCTGTGATTTCTAGAGTCAGCTTATGTACTAGACGGTGCGAGTAGGGTTCAGTTCTCTTGGGGTTGAACTTACTCCTCGTCCAATAGGAGAATAGGCAGTGATGGGGATGTTGTTCTCGGCACAGGCCGCAGCAACGCCGTTGGTAAGAATATCCGGGGTAAACATGCTCAACTCGACCTCGACGGTACCGATCTTGGCAATCTTGGCCGCCTCTCGAATAGTATCGGCGTTACATTCAGAGAGTGCAATGGCGCCAAGCTTGCCAGTGTCGATGTACTCCTTCTGGATAACTCCAAAAGTCACTTCGAGAGGGACGTTGGGGTCTCTTCTTGTGCAGCTGAAGAGGTCAAGCTTCTTAGTTCCTCCTAGCTGGTTGATGATGTTGTCGAGTGAGCGTCGAATGCCCTCTGGAGATGCGTCGAGCTTGTGCGTAGTAAGATCCGCGCCACCCTTGATGATGAGCGTAATCTTGTCGGCATCTTCTGGATATTTGGTGAAGTACTCCTTGAGTAAAGTCATAGAGTTCCACTCAGGTGTGCCGTAGAACTCGCCGCCGTTCCAGAGAGTCATGCCGTTTTCAACAGCTGCCTTTAAGGCTGCAAGTGCCTGGTCCAGAGGAGGACGCTCTGGTCGCCAAGTGAATCCTAAAATAAGGTATCAGTAAAACTGCTTGTTTTTTTATTGATACTTGCGAGCAAACTCACCCATGAGGCCGTAGCCAATAGGACCAACGCTCTTGTTGATAACAGTGGCCATGTTGTTTAAGTGTGTGCTTGCAATGACGGGAATAGTATGAAATGAAGCAGATATTGTCAGAGATTGAATCCTTGTGCAAAGGGTTGTATTAAAGCTTTGTTTGAGCTGATACTCTCTTCGAAAAAACAATTCATCAACTCGATATCTCAACCTCTATATATCAAATTCTGGCCCCGCAGCATGTTCGAGATTTTCGAGGCAATGATGTAACTGTACGAAATTTCCTTTTTGGGCAATCGGAAATAACGAGTCTATTTCGACTCACTTATTCCGACAACACAAACCCGTCCTTTAGCGTCCCGATCTCCGAACTCAAAGGCGAAAGCACGAAACGGCTGTCTCTCTGTGGCAGGTTGGCGCTAAACTTTGTTTTTCTTCGCCTTTCCATCTGTCTTCTCGCTCTTTTGAGTTTTGTTGTACCTGAATGATGAATGTCCCCGGGTTTAGCTATCTCCAGATAGTCCCATCGGCTTTGGTTCGATTGCATCCGAGATCTGCTTAGCAATCTCGCGCTGTCTCGCGATTGTGAATGTCCATTATCGCGAACTGATGATGAATCTTTTTTCCGGCTGACCTATTCTGGTCCGATCCGAGATGTTGATTTCTATGCATATCATGCGTGGCTTGCGGACATCCCACTGGGGTTTTTTTGTGGTGTCGCGACTCCGGCGTCGTTAAACCCGCCGCGGAGGGCCGCGGGAGATACCCGCAGATGGCCTTTGGGCTGCGGAGTTATTTTGCGAAATGCGCGAGGACACAAGACAGTACAACAATGCATATGATTTCAGTTAACTACCAAAGAAAACAGACATCCAAATACAGGCTTTAAACGGCCTTTACACAGTCTTGAGCGAAAAGCCAGAAAATGACACGGCAATCTTGTCCCTCGCGTGGCCCTCGCCCGACTCCTCCGTCGGCTTCGCGCCGTAGATACCGACCTCAATCTCCTTGGCCAGGCCCTGACCATCATCTTCGTTGAACGCCCAAGTCACCTGTCTCAGCGCCCGCCTCGTCTTGCCTTGGCTCTCTACAACATACACCCACGCATCGGTGCCATCCCTCTCCACCAGGATCGTGGCCTTTGCATTGCCCGTCTGCTTCTCCGTGATGGGACTCAGACTCCAGTCAGAGAGAATGTCCGTGGCCACGACGCCGAGCGCGGGCGTGCCGTCGTTGAACTCGATGCCGGCCTTGATGAAGCGCGTGGCGTTGGGGTTGTGCCGGTTGGGGAACGTCACGACGAGGCCGCCCTGGTCGTAGAGCGTCTTCCAGGGCCCTGTGACGGTCACTTGGACGCTCTGGAAGTGCGCGGCGGGGACGGTGGTGTAGAGGTAGGGAGCTGTGAAGTTGTGCTTGGAGAGGGCGGGACGCCAGATGTCGGTGTCGGGGGGCACTTGGATGGTGATGGAGCGGCCGATTGGTGAGACGGGTTCGACGCCGGGGTTGTTGAGCCAGTGCCATTTGAAGCTTGACGTTGAGGCTGAGGCTGAGGCCGAGCCGGCGAGGAGCCATGCGATGTTGGTGAAGAGCATCTTTGTGAGTTGTGTGAGAGAGTCGAGTATAAGCTGGTGAGTATCGCGGCTTTGAGACGGCTTGCTCGTAATGAGGAAGTGTCTGTGTCTTGATCTCTTTATTGATCCATTCGTCCGATCCTGAGTATACTCGTCCCTCTATATATACAGCTTTTGGTTACACCACATACATGCATCACTGACATCCAGTTGTTACATCCCCACACTTCTATGCTACCACAGCATTTCTCATCTTGTTCAGCTCTCGCCAAGCTGCATGAAAGCTCCAATGACGAATAACGGCTAGACATCCCTGCTGTGCGGGGTGGCCTGGACATTCGATTCCCATCAATTGAGCATAAATTTTACGTTGCAGAACTAATTCGGGGAATATCGCTTTCGGAACTCACCCGTCTCTACGCCTTACGGCTACAACCTCCCAGCGCAGATTGTCAACCGATCCGGTTGAATTGGAGAAAAAACATGATGCCATTCCTGGGGCTGGAAGGGGGGACCTGCATGAAACTTCTCTCTTTTTCATCCAACGAGAATTTGACCTGATGCCCGCTGGTGCTTGGCACTGGGGAAAACAATTGGGTGAAACCATTGGAGGGAAAAAAAGAAACCGAAAGAGTAATATACTACTGCCATTTACAGTGAAAGCTTGTCAGCTGCGTGATGCCTCTACTCTGATCCTCGCTCTCAACCCGTCAACGCAATACCCCAGCTGCTTTGGACCATCCGTAAGCTCGACTTCTCTCTTCACCCACCTGCCCGCCTTGTCTTCTTCACCGCTTGCTTCCTGACTGTCCTGATCCGTCTCCGGGAGGGCGTCGTCCTCATCGTCGCTGTCATCGTCTCCATCCTGTTCGTCATATCCGGCTACGGGATCCCACTCCCCAGTCTCCCAAATCAGCCTTAATTTAAGGGGCGCTAAGCCGTACATCTTGCCCACGATGCCCTTGACGGCATAAATGTCAAAGGATTTTGGAATCCTGGTGATTCTCGTCTTCTTCCCTTCTTCGGAAGCTCCCTCATAATGAAACTCCGTAGTGACGAGGCGAGCTTCGAGGAAGTTGGGGTTGATTTCCTCACGACGAATCACGTCGGGCTCGCCATATGCTTCACACAGCTCGTTGTACCGCGGGTGTAGGACTTTGATGGAATCCTCTGCAGCTTCGGGTACCGTAGCCAGCTGCTTCGCGATGCGCGATAGGTAGAACATTTCGGCATTGGTGCGGTCTGTGGTGGTGATGTGTGTAAAGTTGAGCGTCTTGAGCTGAGCAATGCGGGCAACTGTAAACATGAAAGATTCATCCGAAGATTGTGCATTGGAATCGGCATCCATGGAGTAGTAGATGGGATTGTGGGTGATGCGAAGCGCTATCATGCCGGGGAATACGGCCGGCAGTTTGTCGACAAACTCCCAGCTGTCTATTTTGTTGTAAGAAAGATCGACGTATTGTACCGATGGAGGGAAGACGACATCGTTAGGGCCGGAAGAAGATGTTATGGCTGATATGTTGTTCCCCTTGAGCTGTAGATAGCGAAGGTTGTTGAGTGTTGCAAGGCTGGCGATATCCGACAAGCTTGTGAAATCATTGTACTCCAAATTGATCGATGTCAGAGTTGATGGTAGACTGTCTTGGACTATAGTCGGTAGAGTAGACAGCTGGTTCGATCCCACGAGAAGTGTAGCCAAGGAAGGGCATTTGCTTGCCACTAAACACGACTCTTGCCAACTCATCAACGTCTCTCCCAGCTGCAGCTCGATTACTCCGCCTAGAACCGACTCTGCACCATTAAGAGAATCGTCGGTTAGGATATCTAAAAATCTGTTTCCACTATAGGAGTGAAAAAGAAATCATAAGTCAGCATGATAACAGGGTTATGGTAGACACCATATGTGGTCAAAACTTACTTGATGCTAAGCTTCTGCAAATCCTTCAAATCACGGCATATGTCCAACACCGGCCCAAACCGCTCAAACAAGTTTCTACTCAAATCCAACTCCACAATCTTGGGCGCAGTCTCAGCAATCGTCGCCGCAATACCTTCTTCATTGACGTCCCCCTCCGTCCTCGCCACCGCAACCCGCAGGCTGTCGAGAATCACAATCTTGGTCTCCCGCAGCCGCGACTGTCGCTGCCAGATCTTGTCGAAGCCCATCTCCTGGGCGACCTTGCCCGAGATGACAATCTCAATCTTGGACTTGCCCTTGACCGCCCCCGGCGCATCCATGACGTACCGCTCGTTGAGGGCGGCGAGGAAGCTCTGGGGGGCGTCTGCCGGACGAGTTGGCCGGACAAATGAAGCGGCGGTGGGGGATTTTGATTTGCCTGCGTCTCGTCGCGTCAGCCGAATGAAATATATAAAATCTCAAACTTTCATAAGAGGGATAAGATGCAGTACATGTAAAGTAGCGAGTGCCCTTGTGAGAGCCATCGTGTTTGCCTCGTGCGGCATCATCCCACTCGACGCCTAACCAACTGCCCGTCGTGCCCGCAACCCCGCCGATGAAGCGCACCGTGCAAGCTGCGCCATCGTAAGAAATCCGCTGGCCGATGTGATGAGTTTCGCTCATTTTTTTTTTTAATGTTATGAGATGAGTGTCGGTAAAGGCATGTCTGGTTGTGAGATGGAGATGAGGTGGGATATAAAGGATAAAAAAAGCAGACGGTCAAGTCAGGCAGCAGAATTTGGCCAACCTGACGCAGGCAGCTATTATCGCTCCCCGACATCCACAATGAGGCAACAATTATTTACATAAATTTGTATACGATTTCTCTTTTTTTTTTATACATTAATTGGTTCACTAATCTGACAATTGAATTCATCATACAGCCATTTTCCCTTCAAGGATACGCAGAAGCGTGTTAAATTCATTGTTTCGCTAAAGGACCCATCGCGGGGTCTCTCCAAAATCAGTCATCAAAACGGCACATTATTATACAATTTACAGCTTTCCCTTGATGTCTCCCAGAATCTTGACCAAGGCACGGCCGTTGCTCAAGCACACCTTTCCGCCCTCGACAGCAACAACAAACCGAATCTCTTCAAACTCTCCCTTCTTCTCTCCTGTCCTCCAAACCTGGGTGATGAGCTTGTCACCGGGCAGCACGGGGCTGGCGAAACGGGCCTGGTACTCCTTGAGATTGGCAGGATCGCTGCCGCCTACAGCCTTGAGGATGGCATGAGCGGTAGAGTTCCACGAATACAGACCGTGCATGATGGCGCCAGGGAAGCCCATCTTGACGCCAGGCTCGGGGGTGGCGTGCAGGGGGTTGTAGTCGCCATTCAGACGGTACAGGTGGGCAGCCTCCCTGGAGATCTGGTTCTCCAGCACCCAGTCGGGCTTCTTGTCCTTGGGAGGGGGAAAGTTCTCGGTGGCAGGGCCCTTGGGACCGCCCCAGTTGCCCTGGGCCACGTAGAAGGCGCTGCCGAAGAGACGGGTGTAGACTTCGTTGGTGTTGGCATCGACGAGCTCGAGCTGGGTGTCGACGACGGAGCCGGGGCGGCCCTTGTCATAGACGCCGAGGACCTTTTGGCGGATCTCGAACTTGTGGCCCTCGGAGGAGACGGGCAGGGGCTTGAGGAACTCAATCTTTCGCTGGCCGTCGACGACGCGGCGGGAGTCGAAGTCGGGAACGCCGGGGACCTTGATCTTCTTCTGGGAGGCGTAGAAGTCAATCACTTCCTGTGTGTCGCCCTTGAAAGCTGTTCCGCCCATTTGTCAGCTTCTTGCACAAAGTCTGGCAGTCGGTCAAGGGATGCCAGCAATGGGCCACTTACGCAGGATGACAGGGTAAGTAGGGAAGACGGCAAAGTTGGGGTGGAGTTCCTGTGGACGGGATTGTCAATTGTGGCTTTCTTCTTTTTCTCTTCGAAATCAGCAAACTTACGTAGAGGAAGTGAAGCTCGTCAGCAGTAGCGCCGATAGAGTTTGCGAAGAGCAGCACATCGCGCTTCAGCCAAGAAACGGACTGAGGAGGATACTCGAAGCCGACGCCAGGTCCAGACATTGTGAATGCTTTTAATCAGAGAGGCCAAATTGGTATTAAGAGGAAGCGGATACAGATGCAAATGCAGGTGGAAAAAAGATTGGGGATGCTGGCGGACTTAAATGATGGAATGGACAAGGTGAGTCTCGGTCACTCAACTTCAAGCCGAGGCAACGCCTGTGGGGAAAAGCTCCAGCCGGGAAAACGAGATCGGCAGCCGAGCAACCCCGCGAACTCATCTCCGGGTGGCGCTTCAGAGATTAGATGATCTGATAATCTTGCAGATTTTTTTCTACGCTTCTATTGAGATGTTTGGCCATATAAAGGATATAATTTGACGTCCTGACTCTTATAATTCGTCGTTGTACTTGAGCTTAGATAGCGGGAGATACATTAGCTGGTACCTTAGCATGTGGCTGCCAACGTAAGCCGTCAATTGGACGAGGAAGCATACATGTGACTATCGATAAGCGATAAGCGATAAGAATCACACACACACACACTCAGTACTGTAGAGTTGCAATTCTGGCCAGTCAGTCACGCGATACAGCGCATTCGCATCCCACCTCCAATAGGAAACCATGGAGCCCGTCTCTGTGCATGAAATCAGCTGCGACCTTTCCTGTGCCTACCTCTTCTCGTTTGGCATATTTCTGCAGCATATTTCGACCAATACCAATCTGCTAAAAGGTCCACCATATCCCCCGGGCCCTGGCTGCGATGGCTCGAAAAGGCAGGCGTTCAAAAATACGACATGATGACAGTTGTCGCCCAGAATTTCAGCTTCACGACAGTCACTGTTTTGTTCAATGTCACTAGTTTAATATGATGAAGAAGTGAGTGCACAAAAGAAAACTTCATTCTTGCCGTAAGTAAGCTAGGTATGCTAAATGGTTGATAATACAAAGAAGAATGCAAAAAGAGTGTGGTTGTCCGAATTTCATAACATCATACGCTGTGTTGTTCCGTCCTGTTGCATGCAGATGGGCGCATCAGCATCAACCCAGTCTACCCTTGGCCTTGTCGCATTCTTCGAGAAACCGATAGATGCCTTCCAGGCCTTCATACTCCTCAGAGCATTGCTGCTCCGACTTGGTCGGAGGCGACATGCTTTCATATCCGTCCGTCTCTGAACACCAGGGATCCTCCGAATTTTCGTACGCGAATGCCTCATGGACGAAAGACTCATCGCCGAGTGAGGAAATGTCATCCAACTCATGCCCTTCCAAAGACCTCTCCGACCCTCCGGGGGACGTCAAGGCCTTTTCAGTGTCTGGTGCGAAAGGAAATTTGAGTGCCGTTCTAACGCCAGTGGCACTCTCGAAGCCAATGTCTTGACTGACAATGCCCCTTTGGATGCCAATGTCATCGCACAGCCGCTCGACTGTTTCAACATCAACGCCTGGAAATCGAACTCTGAGCAAGTTGCCTGATTCTAGAGATATCGGCAAATCGCCCAAAGATGAAAGACGCTCAAGATCGGCATAAATGGCCGTCAGGTCTTTCAAAGCACGGCCGAAATCCGCTGACAGGACATCGAGGAATCCCTCAGTGTTGAGGCTTGGGATAGCAGTCTCAGCCTGGAAGCCAGAGGCGGTGGAAGCCTGGACAAGGGCGGCAGCAAGAGGGCTCATAGCCGTGATGGTTGGGCTCAGCTGGAAGTCGACATAGGCACCAGGAGCGAACTTGGGGATGGCAGCCAGCTTACGCATAGCCTCATCCTCGAGCACGGAGACGGCCCGGTACTGAGCCTCACCCCGTGGTCCTGTTCCATCATATCGGATTCGTTGTCCCGAAAGGAAAAATGCTCTCATTGCCTGAGAGACGTTCTGCACGACTTGGGCAGGGGCCGTGGGAGTATGTGAGAAGTATCGAGCACCTCCGCCCAAGCTATAGCCACCGGCAGTTCGGGGCATAGCTCCGCCCGTCAAATTGGGTCGCAGAGCACTCGCAAAGGGTGCTCGACCAGAGAACTGAGCAACTCGGCGGGAAGTGTTGGAGCTCGGGAGCTTGGATCGATCTAGTCGAGGAGCACCGCTCTCGGAGCTAAGGTATCGTCGGACAATCTTGTGTGCATTCTTCGCCGCGTTGGTGGAAAAGCCTCTGGCACCACCTCGTGCCTGTTGTTTAACGAGGTTCGCTGGGTGAATGGATTGTCGACCGCTTTTGGCCGACACAGGAATTGGTTGAACTGCTTGGTTCTGAAACGGCCTCGCCGCATTGGCGAGTTTGTCCCGGACCACCGCAGTGGTCCTAGACACGGCAACTCGGAGGAGACGCAGGGCATCTGGGCCCCATATCGCCCCCGCGGACGCCATGTTGAAATTCTTTGTTTTCCTTCACCAAAAAGGTGGTTGAAAGAGGTTGAAGATGAAACTCCAGGAGAGATGACGGGAAGTGACGGACTCTCTTCTCCGTATATAAGTTCGGCAATGACATTCGCCACGCAAGCATGCAGCGCGCTAATGCGTTGGCAACACCGCCACAGATTAGATCTGCGCCACAGATGCGGGGCTGAGGCCGCCTAGTGCCAAACCGGGACTAGCGCGGGCTTCTTTATTTTTCTACTTTTCTTCCGTCGAGAAATTTTCCACCAATTTTTTCTTTCTTCTTTCTTTACTTCACAAACCACCAGAAGCTCTGTTCCGAAGCTGCAAGTGCACGCTCTGGTGCGAGCTCTGGTGGTTGGACTTGTTTTCACGGTAAGCTATATTCTTCTTCCTTTGAACGCGCCTTACATGATGCTTTATTTTCATGAACAATCCAATTCATACCAGACCATGGTGACTCTGTAAATTTTTACAACTTACCTGAACGAGCTTTGGATCGCATCCTTTTCAGACTCTTTGCCATTGGCGAGCTCTGCTAACGCGTCCCAGATGTCCAGGAAGTAGGGCTAATACCCCCTCGATCCACCCACGATTCTCTGCATTCTCAAAAGGTTGGTGATTTTTTCTTTCTATTTTGCTTCAGCTATTGTCGACTAGCTTGTTCTGTGTGATGAACAATTGACACCTCAGGGATTCCTCATGCTTAATATACGATGTGGATACCGTGTTTGATAAGTTTCAGCCTTGTCTGATCAGAACTATTTACAATTTTTACTGTTGTCGTCTTTTGTTGTCAAAGCTGTTTTGCTAACTCAGACTGTCAATAGGTAATTCCATATTCTCTCATACCTCAACCTATCCCACATGATGAAAATTTGAACGAACGGGCGGACATATCGAGCCTTGCTACTCTTCATCCCTGAGAAAGCGAGGACGTACAATCCTTGTGGTGAAGGGGAGTGAGAACTCAGGATGAGATCTCGTCACCTGATCGTGGTTCATAGGAATCGGTTCCTTCAAGCTAGGATTGTACATGTCAGCTAACTCGTACACTAATAGGTACTTATTATACAAAGCTTTTTCTTTACCTTGCTCCTGTATCTCTGTGATGAAATGTTATTATTTTGTATTCACACTGTCTGATTTCCGCGACACCTTCGGGAGTCGTTGGATATGAACAAACCTACACCTTCTGATAAGTAAGTGCAGCCCGCACACTACCAATTGCCCGTACACGTAGCTAACTAGTGGATAGAAAAATCATGTCAATGTTTTGCTGTGCTTGCTGGACTGCCGCTGGACTGGAGCTGACATTGGATGAAGTAAACTAGATGAGAAGTATCGATGTCTCGCATGGTTGATCAAATGGTATGTATTTTGTCTCTTTCCTTCTTCACTTTCTCTCACCCTACCATCATGATGACTTTCATTATTATCTACATTGGCCGAGTTCCTCGTGACGAAAAAAAGTTTCACCTTGGAGAACTGATATGGTTTCATAATCATCATTACTTGAGACAAAAGAGCAGTAGAGCAATGGCTAACTTTGCTGCTTTAGATATCATTATGAAGCTGCGAGATGTTTATCCGAGCTATGGTGTTGTTTGCTTGCCCGCAGACATGCTATGATGCTGGGATACCATGAGCTTCTATTCTAGTTCATGCTGGTAATAGAAGCTCATGGTGTCACACTGGTGTAGCATATGCATAACAATAATAATATACCCAAGTTTTGAACTATTTAGTCTATCCGCTTGTTCGCTCGTGTGACCTGAACTCTTCTCTTGCCACTCCGAACCATGTTCCATGTAAAGCTCGTAACACAGAAAAACAACCACAATGTATCATCCATTTTTACCCTCGACTCAATCATCTTCAAGGGAGCTGTAACCTCGCGTTCCAGCCAACAATGCACCTAATAAGATCCCAATCGCCATTCGCACCCACCCAATCCGTGACGACAATACCAGTGCTCGCCGCGCCGACCTTGAGCTGCTTAGGCCCCTTGCCGTCCTCGCCGTGGCGAATGCAGAGATACTCAACAATGGCAGGATTCACCTTGGCGGCGATTCTCTCAGGCCAGCACGTAGCATTGAAGAAGTTGCTCCCGCTCAGGAAGTTGACAAAGATAGGCAGCAGCGCAGCATCAGGATTATGATCATGGTCAGGCCCGACGACGTGAAACTCTCGCTCAGCAGAGCGCTCCAGCTGACCGCGGCTGTAGTCAATCTTTCGCTCAATGTTCTGGCTCTCCGTGACGTCGTAGAAATCCTGCACGCGGATGTGCCCGCCCTCGCAGGTCCCGTCCTCGCAGTTATCCGGCCAGTGCTGGCCGTCGATGCCCCAGCCGCACCCATCCCAGCACGTGCGCGCAATTTCCTCGTCGAGGCCGAAGCGGCGGACGATAATGATGCGGCCTCTTGCCTGGCCTAGGCTCGGGATCCGGGGCTCTGTCCACCAGCGGTCCGGGTGCTTGTCGACGTAGCCGGCCTTGAGGTAGCGGCTGAGATGCTGGTCGGTGCCGCGGCCGGCGCCCTCGCGCTTGATGCTCATGAGGATGGTCTCGCTGGGGTTGGCGTCTAGGAAGCGGTAGATGTCGTCGACCATGTCGGGGAAGTACTTTACGCTGGTGAGGGACACGGGGAAGACGGAGTGGACGAGGGCCAGGGTGTCGTTGTCTGTGTTGACGGAGACGCGAATGTCGAGGAAGCGCACGCCGTTTTGGAGCTGCTCTGGGACGCCAGCAGACTGGCAGCGGACTGAGGGCAGGGCAGTGTGGCATGTTGGCGAGTTGTGAGTGCCAGGGATAGAGAGCATGGGCAGAGGCCAGGCGTCATCCAGCTGCTTCATCCAAGCATGGAGCTTAGCCGAAGAGAAGATGGCGAGAAAGGCACCCGTAGGAACATACACAACAGTAAGATCCAAAGCATCATCCCCATCGTCGTCATCCCCATCAATCCTCGTCATCACCGCCGACTTGCGCGAAGGACTCGGAACATCCGTCTCATACCGCCGGTCGCCGGCCCGAAACGTCAGCCGGAGGACCTCGCGGCCGGCGGGATCGGCAGTGCGGACGTCGGTACGGACGGTGCGGAAGGGGTCCAGGTGGAAGGAGACATCGCGGGCGTCGTGCGAGTCGCCCTTGGGCAGGATGTGGTGGGCGGAGAAGTCGGTGGCGTTGATGAAGCCGGAGATTGCGCCGGTGACGTTGGACACGACGTTGCCGGTGCGCTTCTTCTCGCCCTGGAAGCGCTGGACGGAGATGAGCTCCAGGGGCGTGATGGTGAGGTTGCGGATGGTGAGGTCGGCCATCGCGGGGTGTGTGTATGAGTGAGTGTGTGAGAATGGGGATGAGAGAGCCAACAACAGGGAGATGTGTGAGATGAAGTTGGATGAGATGAGATGGCGATTGAGTGAATGAGTGAAGCCAACAATTGATTGATTTGTTTAGGGAAGCAAGGGAAAAGTCAAATCACGTCAAAAGTCAACAAAGACAACACGGAACTCAGCCCAATGGCCAAGACCATTAGTTGGTGGGGCTAAACTCTGTGCCTATCATAGCCTACATCAGCAACTTTGGGAGAAGTGGCGAAGTAAAACAAACACAATCGTTTCTTCCAAGTCAAGTAAGGGAGACGCAAAATGAGCTCTGTATCAAGGAGACCATCTAACAACTAACTCCAAAGTCCCAAAAAAAGGCCCATCTCAAACCCAGCTGTGTGGTGTTTGTATCCCTTCCGTGCTCGTCATAGACTCCCGGGTGTGGCTCAGCGGATGGCCCAACCGAGTGGGCAGCTCCCGATAAAAAGGTGTGGCGTAACATCTTTGCTAGGTCCAACAACATTTTTGTGAACTCGAAAAGTTGTTACTGAAGTCAGCTTATTAATAGCATCGGTAAGTAAAATGCGAATGTTGTGTTGATGTTGTTTGTATCAACATACTAGACACCCCTCCCTCCCTTGCTTGGGCTGAAAGAAGATCTAGATCACAGGGTGACGGGATGAGGGGGAGGCAACAGACAACATCGAATCAAATGCCGGCAATGACGCTTCATTATACGAGGACGTTGTAGAAAATGACGATGCGAGGTTTCAGAAATGTCCTGGCCCAACAACAAAGGGATGTCGTGATCTCAAAGTCATGGGGGTTTCAGGTTCTGCCTTGCATGTGATGTCCGCCAACCAACTGCGCAACAGCAACAAAGCAGTCCTGTCTTGGCACTACAGTACAACACGTGAACATCATTGATCAAATTCACAGAGCATATGAGACATGGATTGTTTGTCAAGTATTCATTATTGACTGCATCTAATCGTACGCTTCGTGTGCCGAAACAGTCAACTTTTCCTCCAATTCTCCTTCTCCGAAACTCCTGCTAATAGCCCGTCACCTCCTAGTATTCCCCGCCCGAAAATAGTAAAATACATAAAACACCCTTTTCAGTGTAGTGAATGTTATTCTTGAACATGAAAAGAAAAAGGCCCTGCCTTTTGGGTATATATGATGAAGATGCCTAAACGCCAAGTAACGCAACGCAACAAATGACCTTGATGTGTGTAGAGTTGAGGGTGAAGATGTGATGATACTTTGCGTTGATGTATGAGATGATAAACGCAGAATGTCTCTTAAGGTTTAGCAGCTTCAAGGAGAATTGCTGCTGCTTGCGCGGCGTTGCTTCGTTGGCGGAGCAGACATATCATTCTCATCCTCATCAGCGCCCCTCTTGCGTGTAAGCCCGCGCTGTTGAAGAACCTGGTTCACAATATCTTCGTTACCAACGATGTTCCCAGAGCCCTCAACCGTGATGCCAGCGTCAACCTCAATCTTGATGGGGCGAGGCCGGCCATCTTCGTCGATCATGGGGATGCCGCACTGGCCGGAGCTGTTCTCCTGGATGGCCTTGACGACGGCCCTGGCAATGGCGTTGGCATGGCTGGCGGGTGTATCCGTGAGGCACACGAGGTTGTTGTTCTTGGAGATGAGGACAGAGGTGTTGATGCGGAGGCTGATGGGGGAGATGTTCTCTTCCTCCTGGTCATCCTCATCTTCAGTAGCCATGGCTGATATGATGGCTTCAGCCATGGTTGGACGGCCTAAGACGAATTGTTGACGCATTTGCCGCAGTTGAGCAAGGTCTGGTGCGGTGTGCGGTGTGTAGGCAGGAGGTGGGGAGGTCAAAGATGTTTGATGTGAAGAGTCTTTGGGGCCGTTGATGTGGCTATGTTGTGGGATGGCTGCAGTAGCAGTAGCGGTCGATGATGATGTATTCATTGTGTATGTATGATGTGTCAAGACAAGAGATGTAATAGAGGATGGATGAACCGAACTCTTATAGTCGATGGACTTAAGGTGTCGTAAGTGAGCCCAGTTGAAGAGTGTAATGAAAGGAGATAGTGAGTTGCTGATATATCTCCTCGGCAGTGAATCAAAGTGTGAGAGTCCCACCAAGTCGCCTATTGTCTTTGCGTTTCAGACTGTGGAAATGAGAGTTGGTCGAAACAACTACACTCTAAATATGGGTGAAGAGTTTTTTTCTTCTCTCTTCTCCCTTCTTTGTCCAAAACCAACGTTCAAGGTGACAAGTTGAAGAAAGTCTATTCTTCCTGTATGTTTCCGAGATGGAGGGTCGGTATCAATGCGGTTGGTAGTGTATGTAAGCCGTGTGAGAGCAGAGCGGCAATGTAAATGCCCGAAGTGCGAGAGTGTATGGTATAAACCAACAGCCAAGGGAGAAGCACAGGAATGTGGATGCCTGATAGAGCCTGATGATGGCAATGATGATTATGACAGGATAGGACAAGAGTTGTAACAAGATCAATATCATGAACAGCGAGGGAACAGATCGAGGGGCCAAGGCAAGAGAAGAGATATATACCCCTTTTGAGGAAACAGCCCGGCTGTCAGTCTTGTGTATGAACCTCTTTGGCCCACCCACCCCCTAAGTCAACCCGTGTCCCCCTTGATTGAAGAAAAGCCAAAGATGGAACATGTCCGTTGCCGTTTGGCGACCACCCCAGCGCGGTCAATCTAAACCCCGTCAACATGATTCAACTGAATGATTGAGACGTGATTGATTCATGCAGCAATCAGGCCACACACCCCCCTAGGCCGTGCGCCTTTTTGCAAGTGGCTTGTCTTGTGGCCTTGGCCCACGACGCCTCGCTTGTCATGTAATCTTCCGCTAGCAACAATATCATTGCCTTTTTGGTGACTTGTGGCTCCGCGGTCAACTTACACGCACCCACTGCTGCGTCCCGTCTCCGCTGTTGGGAGGAATTAGGTAAAAAGAGGGACGGACATATGCCTTAGATGGGTGAGCGCACAGGGACACACAACTCACTCACACACACACACACAGAAAACGGCATCCGCTTGCACAGGGCCGTGACCACAGAGCACAATCAACGTCAAATGCAATCCTGGGATAAGTCAACCGAGAAGCGTTTATCCTTGCTTGCTGCCCCCCGACCCGAGCGCAAATGCCGCGTAGCGCACCCAAGCCGGTGGTACACCACACAGCAAAAGCCCAAAAGTTACACGCCCCCCGTTTTGATTCTGTCCGACGGTCTGGTATGGAGGGGTGTGTGATCTACAAGTGCCCAGCACAGCTCTTGGCAGGCTGTCACTATGTCGGCTGAGCTCCGTTGCCGTACGCACAATTCTTTTTTCACTGTTTGATTTTTTCTTGCGGATCTGAACCTCCGGGTTGAATGGGTTGCGGGAAGAAGGGAGGGGGGCCGCTTCTGGCGCATTCGGGGTTCGGATTGTCTCTCACGATACTCTGGACAAGCTCTCCTTTTCTCTCCCCTTGTACAAAGTATCTTTGTGTGTTTGACATGGGCGGCTGTTGCAACGTATCATATTGTCTGTCGACGAATATCGGTCGACGGTTGGGAGGAATGCCACGAGACAACAATCGCAGCAACAACAACAGGGCGTTGGTAGGAATTGCACACGTGGTTCCCTGGGATGTACTTGGATGCGGTTCCCATTGCCAAGGGACTGGATCGCAGAGCTGTACGTTGTATGCACGAGACTGACAAAGATGCATCTAAGATGCCACTATTGGATTAGCTGTCTGCAAGGGAGAAGCTGCGTTTGTGCGTGGAGGGGGCGGCCGGCTGTCGTGCCGTCATGTCATGGCGGAATGGAATGCCAGAGCCAAGCTAGAATGTGCAAGGTTTGTCACGGCAATCGAACGAGCGAGGTCCATTGAATGATCCATCCATCCAGAACACAGACCTGGTACAAATTGCGAGTCCCAAGCACCAAGTAACAAGCAAAGCATTCGGCGAATAACTGTACGCTGTCGGCCAACTACCAGCGGCGGTGAATTGCTGGCTGCGGCATGCACTTGGCCGGCCCAGCGTATTGTCTGGGTATTGTGGCGCGACAGATTCAATAGGCGTGTGTATCGCGTGAAAGGCTTTGTGTGTGGTGAGGCAAGAAATTGAGGGGGTGCGGATTGGATGTCTTAGCCGGCTTTTGTCTTGCTATTGTCTCTTGCTATTGTTGTCCGTATTGTCGTGCCGAAGCGGTTTAGCGCCCGCCGTCCCCGGACCCGGTCATTGCGGGGCGAGTCGCCGATGCGGGCGATCTCTCCTTCCCTGGCCACTTCTGCAGTAACACGACTGCACCACTACTGTGCCACTACTCTGTAGCTACAGCAGGCGCGGCTTGGACAAGGAAGTATCTTGGGAGTCTACTGCAGAGAGAAGGAGCGCAGCGGCAGATGAAAGGAAGCGGCTGGGCGTTGACATTACTCGTTGCAGTAAGGTTCGGCATCGCGATACGGCAGGAAGGGCCGACAAAGCACGAGGATAAACGTCTAAAGGCGAAATTGCTTGAGGAAGCTGCCGCATCGTGGCATGTTCTAGACCCGGGATGCCTTCCTCTTCCTCTTCGCGAGCCTCGCTTGCATCCTGTTTGACTCCTTTTCTTCTTGCCTTGACTCGTAAAGGACTTTGTTACTTGCCATTTATTCACCTAGATAGGCACCTCCTGTGATACTCAAGCTATAATGATAACAGATCTAACATTGCACGTACATGTTGGATCGTCAGTACTGTTTCTCTCTCTTCTCATTTCTTCTTCTCCTGCATCATGATTCTCTCGAAATATTCCCTTTCCAGCTACCCCACGCAATCATAGGTAATCTTATTTCCTACTGCGCCAAGCTTATTCCCACCATCATCTTCAACCTTACCTCATCTTCATTCCACCGCCAACTTCTTCTCTCTCCCACAACCCGAATCGAATCCGAATGGATCTCTCCATCCAGAAATGAATTCATCCTTCCTCCTTCGTCATCAATAGCCGCAAAACCGTTACGCCCACCCCATTCACAGCGCTATCCAGCCTACACGACACTAACACTATACTGAAAAGGAAATAATCGCAACACTTTCCAGCCACCATCCCGGCGACTTTCAGCTCCTGTCGCTCGCTTCCCAGTGCGGTCGGAAGCCACCAGACAGGCCGAAGAGCCGGCGTAGGCCAGACTACTTCATCTTGGGCTAGGAAAGGCCTTTTCCGCCATCTTATTTGCTTTTGCTTTTTCTCTCTTCCTCGGGGCTTCTCTCGACTAATGCATGCCCGTTTGATTACCGGCCAGTTGGAAAAGCTTGGCCATCCTCGTCCTGCTAATCCGAGTTAGACTTGGCCTAGAGTGACGCTGTTCCTATCACAGGTTTGCGTATCGAAATCGAATGAAAGCGTTTCTTTGTCTAAATGAGTTGTGGAGTAGGAAAGCAGAGAATATCCACACAGCGTATACGAGTACGTTGTCTGTTTACGCATCAAATTGCCAGAACCGCCAAGACCTCCACCGCCGTCAATGTCGTATCTGCGATCAAATTTGTGCTTTTTTTTTTTTTCTTTTTGCCCTCGCTATTGTTACAGGGACTGAATCAAACACATCAGTCGATACATATGCCCATAATTACGTCCTCTCCCACAACAGAAGCACGGGACAACGCAAACACGCGCAAAGGAGGAAGGCCGTATATGTGCTCCGTGACCTGTGGAGTCCGATGGGAAAGAATAAGAGATCCGAGATTCACGGTCATTGACGTGGTTGCGTGGCACGCTTTGGCCTGGGCCAGCAATGTGACAAACGAAGTAACCTCTCCATTCAGTGTGTGCATTTTGCGCGTTCTTGGCAATGAATATGAAGACCTTGCGAAGCAAGATATATGCCCCGCCGTGATATTCTCCACTGCTGTTGTGTTTTCTTCCTTCTTCCTTTTGGCAATCAATGAACGCCCTGGTGAATGAAAGATGTGGATATGGTATGCAAACTGCCAAGCGACAGTGATGACTGTTTGTCCCAAGATTTTTATTCTTCCCAGACAATTTTTGCGCTGTGGATTGTATTGTCCATCATGTGAAAGCAAAGAGATGTCCATTGTGCGAGGCTTGCCCAGTGGCTACTTTCATCTTGGTCTTGTTGGATCAAGCATGGCCTCAGCGTGTTGTCATGAATAGCAATGAGAATGGGCCATATGTGAAAGAGTCTCAAGAGTAATACAGCGGCAAACGCGTCAATCTCAACGGGGGTGATGAAAAAGAGAATCTCATGACTGAGTAATTGCCAAGTTGCGGGTAAATAGGTGCGAATTATCTGTTCTATATGCGAATATTGTCACATTCCAAGATCAAAATAACTGACCCTCAGTTGTATTTCACAGACTCGATGCAATGAGCAGCATGCTATAGTCTTCAACTTGATCTTTACAACTTCAACTCCGGTTTCTCTTTTCAACAATTAGATCTCCATACTCCTGGACATCAATCAATGCGTGCATAGCCGCTCTCGGATCTAATCACAAATAGCCCTTGGTATTCTTCTCACTCATGCTAGTACTCACACGCCCTCTGACGTCCCTCGTCCCTCGTCCCTCTCACTGATCGTTGCGTTCGGAAGACCCCCCATCCAACCACTCCGTTAAGCTTGCTACGTCTTATTGGCCTCTTTTACATCAATGGGTCAAAAAAGGAAAAGAAAAGAGAAAGAAAAAGAAAAGAAAAAAAGGCCCATGCACTGACCATGACGGCGTCGCCTTCTGGTCCCGGCTGCTGGGCCCGGGCATCGTATTTGCCGGCCCGGCGGATCGGAGTCAATCAGAATGCGGAGCTATTCCCAGATAATCCGCTCTGGATCGATAATCAAGAAAGATCATCATCAACATTGGCAAGTAACAAGCGTGGCAAGTAAACTTTCGTTATCTTAGATCTCAGTTTCTGCAGCTTTGTAACCTAGCCTAGCCCAGTCAACCATCCATTCATCCATTGATTCAATCATGGTGTCTGTCTGCTAGCTAAACTAATTGCAGTAATTGGTTATGCTTAACGCCCCTCCCAGCACCGCTGCCACGGTAAGGGACACGCACCAACGTCGTTGGTTCAGCGCTGGTCTGACCTTAGTCTGCCGCCAACGATGTGGCTTGATGGAAATAAGAAAAACGAAACGAGAGAAACGGAGCCGAGAAGGGGGTGTCTGCCCTTAAAGGGCGTGAAACAACCACATCTTCGCCTTCCATGGATGACAGAGACAGGCCGAAGGGAGAAGGCTGAGCACTGGCGCCCTACAGAACGCCGTCAACCAGAGCTGTGGGATTTCGAAGACACCAGATATCAGCTTAATCTCCTTGGCTTCAAGCTAATACTCGTATACAAAGAAACATGGCTGCTTTGGCTAGTTACGAGGTAAATTACTGAGCACGCATAGCGGGCAGGATGGGGACACTTTCCAGCTGAAGAATCCCAAGCCGGGTCCAATGCATGCAAGTTTACGGGCGTACTCCATGTGAGGTAATTGAATAGCCTCGTAAGCGAATTTTGTGATTGAAGGCCATGATGAATAGATGCAAGACCAACTACATGTTGAAATGGAGATTGCATGATGCAGGCCCATTCACATACACTTAACGGAGACACGGACAAACGAGCATCGTACCACTCACTCCGGCACGATTCCCTTTAGTACGATGACCCATCCGTCTAAGGAAACACAACCAGCGGAGAATGTTTCGAATCCGCAATAGCCGCATTGGCCGAGGGGGACACTTATGCAGACTTGCTCTTTGTCGGGCTTTAACTAAACCATGGCGTTGGTATTGTTATTTTCGGCGAACCGAGATAGCTTCATTCAAGTTCCGCGAATATGCAACTATCGACTTAGCATCAAACACTGACAGCCACTTCGGCCTTCTCGCGTCTTTCTCCCCCGTACTCCGTAGAGCGCGCCCCCCAATTGTATCTCGTTCCAGCGGCCGGACGTCTTTCCGATGGCTTAGGGACGAACAAAGACGCCATCTCCCCTTCGTGATAGTTCCCCCCTTTTTTATGTGTATACCCTACATCCCCTACCATGTCTCTGGGAGGTGCTAGTCCTGTCAGCTATATCTTTAGTCTGCGTCTTGCCAAACACCGGCGCCACGTTCGATGCGTGTGTCCCGGGGATCTGGGCATGGCACAATGGGCCATTGATTGATGTCTGTAAATAGTAAGTCTTACGCCCTCTTCTGTCACTTCTTCTGGATATAGGTTGGGAGTAGCAGGAGAAGCTCGCCATTGAGATGGCGGGGGAACCAAGACTAGAGTCGGGTCCTTTCTGTCGGGTCAATTTGCCTGCTGGGCTGGATAGTATGGCGCCTTCGTTTACAGAAGGTGCCGTATTAGATATGCCTTTAGTCTCAGAGAAATACAAGAACACATTTTAAAAATGAAAACAATAACATTCAGTCATCAACAAGCCTTGTTAATGAAAAGAGGAATTGCTCTTATTTCTTTCTCTGTTTGTGAACCATTGTTGCGGACAATTAGACTTGGAATCTGTGTTGAGAATTATAGAGGATTGCGTCAATAATGTCTTTGATCAAATGTATATGAGAGTAGATTTGTCTGTCGGTTTACGTTGGAAGCAGAAGGGGAAATTTTTACCTCTGAAGGTTGAAGTAGAAAAAGCTCCTCAATGGGTCGAGACTGCAGCTCATACAGTATCGTAATTGTAAATGATAGTAGTAATATACCGCTACGAATGGTCGTTTTACGTCTTATGTTTTGATTAGCCGGTGGGGGTCAATTTATTCCGCTCCGACTGCAACTTAATATCAGGCTGTGATATGATAGGCTTGTGGTTATTTGTTGGTTGCCATAGTGCATAAATTGGGTTGACATACTTGCTCATTCTTCTATGCTCACATTAATTACCTCAAATACTCTTTACATCACAACTCTCTAACAGCAAATATATAATGGATCGATCCAAGTACACTATTGGTTGGATATGTGCGCTTACCGAGGAATTTGTTGCGGCGCGAGCCTTTCTTGACGAAACGCATGAGCGCCTAAAAGATCAGGACCCGAAAGATTCAAACAACTATGCACTAGGCAAAATGTCTGATCATAATATTGTTATTGCTTGTTTGCCCTTGGGGGAATATGGCACAGCCTCTGCCGCAGGGGTTGCCATCAACATGGTACGAAGCTTTCCCAATATCCGCATTGGCATGATGGTGGGGATTGGTGGAGGCGTCCCTTCGAAGCGGCATGATATTCGACTCGGCGATGTTGTTGTAAGCACGCCAGGCAACGGCAATGGGGGAGTATTTCAATACGATTTTGGTAAATCGATACAGGCAAAGGAATTTGTCGAGACAGGGTTTTTAAACCAACCTCCGGAGATGTTACGGACAGCACTACAGTCCCTAAAGGCTAGTCATCAGCTAGAAGGACATACTCTGATCAACGATGTGGAAGAAGTTCTTCAGGACAGACCGAGATTAAAGAGGACATATTGTCGTCCAAACATCGACGATCAATTATATAAATCGACTTTTATACATTCCAGCCCGTCGGAAGATTGCCAGTCATGTGGCAGCGACCCATCTCATGTAGAACCGCGAGATCCACGCGATCAGGATGATGATGATCCAGCCATACATTACGGACTGATTGCTTCTGGGAATCAAGTCATGAAGGACGCCCTTGTCCGCGATAAACTCGGAATGGAAAGGGGTGTTTTGTGTTTTGAGATGGAGGCTGCAGGATTGATGAATCGCTTCCCATGCCTTGTTATCCGTGGCATTTGTGATTACTCGGATTCACATAAGAACGACAAATGGCGCGGATATGCAGCAATAATGGCCGCAGCATATACGAAAGACCTCTTACGCCATCTCATCCCCGAACAAGTGATATTCGAGAAAAGCGCCATTGACCTGCTTCAAGGTTAGTATTCCATATCCTGTACGGAGTAATTAATATGACAAGTCCTCACAAACCTACCGTTAATTTCCAGGCATACACGATCAACTTGAAAGCCTAGTTCAAAAGACGGACAGTGTCAACTACCAGCTTGATTTAGCCAAATTATCAATTGCTCACGGTGCTGAATTTGATTCATTTGCAATTCAACATGATGAAGAATGTCTTCCCGGGACTAGAACTGAAATTCTTCATCAGATTTGGGAATGGGCGGGTTCACAACGGGGGAAATGCATATTCTGGCTGAATGGAATGGCTGGTACTGGGAAATCTACAATTTGCCGAACCTTGGCAAAAGATTTCCAAGGAAAAGGAGTACTCGGTGCCACTTTCTTCTTCAAAAGAGGTGAAGCAGATCGAGGCAATGCGTCCAAATTTTTCTCTACTATCGCTAAACAAATATACCAAAAACTTCCCGAGATCGATTTGAGAAAAATTATTGAGGAACAGCCAGATATATCGAATAAAGCCCTTTCCATGCAATTCGAGACGCTCATCCTTCGGCCATTATCGACCTTGCGTTCGACAAATAGTGGACTTCCGCTGATGATGATTGTAATCGACGCGTTAGACGAGTGCGAGGACGACAATAATATCCGAGCCATAATTCAGCTGCTTCCACATTTGCAGGCGACTCAGTCTATTCGACTTCGAGTATTCATCACAAGCCGACCCGAGTTACCAATTCGATTAGGATTCAAAGATGTAGAGGGAGGTTATCAAGATCTGGTCCTTCATCACGTCCCTAGGGTCAATATTGAACATGATATCTCTCTCTTCATAAACCACAAGCTTGATAGTATCCGGAAATACAGATCTCTCCCTCAAGATTGGCCTGGCGCAATTAGGATTCAGTGGCTTGTTAACATGTCCATTCCGCTATTCATTTTCGCTGCCACTGTGTGCCGTATGCTTCAAGATCACGATCTAGACCCCGAGGAGGCCTTGGAAGATATTTTCAAATATGAAGATGAAGAATCTAAGCTAGATGTTATTTATCTTCCGATACTGGATCGTTTATTTTCCAAATATGGCAAAAAAGGGAGGCAAAAGCAGTTCAAGCAAGTTCAAGAACTGGTGAGCACGATTGTTCTCCTTGAGAACCCACTGTCAATCATCGCACTATCAAGTCTTATTGGCATACCGACTACGACAGTCAATACAGGATTAAATTCACTACATTCCGTTTTGAACATACCAGTTGATGAAACTGCGCCAGTACGATTTTTTCACCTATCATTTCGCGATTTCTTACTGGATCGCAAGACACGTGGAAAGACTGCACTCTGGATAGATGAAAAGGAAACGCACGGAAGGCTCACCAAGTACTGCCTCCGTAGAATGTCGAACAGTTTAAGGAGGAATATTTGCAATCTGTCAGATTATGGACTCGGGCCAAGAGAGATGGATGCTGATATTATTAATCGGTATATTCCATCAGAGTTGCAGTATTCATGTCGGTATTGGGTATACCATTTGAGAAAAAGCCAAAATCCAGTCACCCTTATTGATGATGCATTATTATTTCTACAAAATCATTTGCTTCATTGGATAGAAGCAATGAGTCTATTAGGCTTGGTTTCAAATGTTATTCACGCTATTCACAATTTGCAATATGTCGCCCAGGTGTGTTTCTTCAAGGAGCCCTTCATATATTTTCTCTAATTATTTTAGGGTGGTCACAATTCCAAGATGTTGGAACTCCTGTACGACGCCAGACGGCTTGTTCTTAAATTTAGATATATAGCTGGCGCTGCGCCTCTCCAGCTTTATATTTCTGGCTTAATATTCGCTCCAACCCGTTCAGCGACTAAAAAATCTTTCCTGAAAGAAAAGCCCGATTGGATATCCGTATCAAGAAACATTGAAGACAACTGGGACGCGCATTTACAAACGCTTGAAGGCCACAAAGAAAATGTTGATTATATCGCCTTCTCTTCTGACGGACTCCTATTAGCATCTTGCGCGAAAGATAAAACTATAAACATTTGGGAAATTGCCACTGGCACCCTGCGACAAACGTTTACAGGTCATGAAAATTCGATTTTATGCGTCGCTTTCTCACTGGATACCCAGACATTGGCATCTATCTCTGTGGATGCCATAATGAAGTTCTGGGATGTTGCCACAGGTGCCTCGCTATGGAATATAAAACTTCAAGATGATGAGATATGGGATGCTTGTTTTTCTCCTGACATAAGCTTACTAGCGACTCACAGTCGCGGCAAAACTGCGATATGGGACCTTTACTTGGGAGTTCAGAAGCACGAGCTGGGTAAAACTTCGTTGTTTCATTCTTCAACTTTCTCCGCAAATGGATTGCTATTCGCTGGTGCCTCAGACTGGGATATAATCATTTGGAATACTGTCACTGGCGCTGTACGACAAACAATCAAGGGCCAGTCAGGACGGGATAACGCTACATGTTTGGCATTTTCGCCCAATAGCCAGCTATTAGCATCTGCCCACGAGCCTGACTGTGTGAAGCTTTGGGATGTCATTACCGGCACTCAAAAATATATTTTCGAAACATGCGGGCATCTGACTCGCGTAGCATTCTCGCCAGATAATCAGTTCCTAGCAATCGGTCATTATAACGGCATAGTACTTTGGGACCTTGCCACATACCGCTTGTGCAAAGATAGTTCCAAATCTGCTGCCATTATTGCTTACTCTCCAGATGGCAAGACTTTAGCATCTACTGGTTTCAGCAAAGTCATTGAGCTTTGGGATCTTAATATGGAATTTTTGAACCAAGAGTCTTCTTCAACATCGACCCAAGAGATCGAATTCTCTTCAGATGGCAAACTTCTTATCTCTTCCCTTGACAAAGACATCAGTATTTGGAACCCGTCGCAAGAAAGTCTGCAACAGGTTTTATGCACAAATTCGCATGGATCAGCTACTACTATAGCACTCTCTGCGGATGGCCGATTACTCGCATATCCTTCTATACTCTTACCTAATCATCCTCGGCGTGTCGGGTCCGTTGAGGTATGGGATATTAAGATGGGCATCCACTGGTCTATCTTGACTAAAAAATGCCATATGATGGAATTTTTACCAGACTGTCAACAATTAGCAATTGTAGAAGAGGAATACATCGCTTTTTGGGCTTACACCGAGGATCTTACGCAAACCCCAATGCCTACGAAGAGTAATGACAATACAGCTGGAAGTCTGCAACAGGACGTGGAAAGGGTTGGAATGTGGGTTTTACAACGAACATTAAATCGCACAAAAGGTCATTTGGGTGCGGAGTCAAGAATTTCTTTTTCTCCTGATGGCCGACACCTGGCTATGTATCTCTATGTGGATGGTTCAGTTGGTCTTGACGTCGAGATTTGGGATTTGACTACAGGGTCATTGATACAGACTCTTGAACGTTGCTTTACGAATCTTGAGTTTGTGGCCTTTTCTATCAGTGGCCAACTCCTAGCCCGTGAGAGACGGGATGATTTTAAGGAAGAAGGGCGCATAACAACTTATGGTCCTATCATCGAGCCTTGGGATCTGGACACAGGCAAGTTACATGAAGCCTTGGCAAAAAAGCGCCGACGCAAACGCCCTAAACATGCTGTTTTACCCAGCCTTCTTCCAGTAGAGGGTGTAGAATTTCTAACATTTCAAAACCGATATGTTAAACGCAAGGATATTACAATATTCGAAGGGGAGTGGGTATGTTTTCAAGATCGTAAGATCTTATGGCTTCCCTTTAAGTATCGAGCAACTTCTTCTTCTGCAAACAATACTACTCTTGCTCTTACACATGGATGGGGAGAAATTACTTTCATACAATTCTCAGTCTCTGCTGAATTAAAAATCTAAATATGAATATAATAACATTATCATTATGCGAGAGTAGCTATACAATATATATAACCATAAGCAGAATATACTTGAATATATAAATATCAGGGGTCTAAGCGGGGGACAGAAAAACCGAGACTGAAAAGATTTACGAACACACGCGCCTCAAATATTATGCCTACAAATCCTAACTCTTTAAGTATCTCCTACGGAGTACTATATCTATATTTCTCTAGTAACTGCTATTATATTTATATTAATCTACTACTTTATATTGTTTTTATATTGCGCTAGTTTAATACATTAATTAGTTGCCTATATTGGTAGATGTATGTACTTATTCATTTTGCGGTCTCGCTTTTTCTTAGGCTTGCGTGGTTAGGACGTCAAACCACCCACCATGAAACAAAAAAGGAAAAAGGAAAGAAAAACAAAGAAGAAAACAAACTTTTCCGCAATGGCCAGATCCGAAAGACTCGTACGAGTACTACATTCACGCCCTCCCAAAAGCACAGACTGACTGACAGAACTGACATCATACCCAACACCCGAATCCGTGCACTCGCACTCCCCCCATCTCATTCTCCATAACCCGATTGACATTTCACACGCCCTCTATTGCATCAATTGAATACGCAAAACAAACAGAACGAAAAAGAAAGACATAACAAATAAAGTGATCGACAACACCTCAAAGACGCACCTTAAACGAACCATCCAATCGGAATCAGCTCCCCTTTCAGCCCCCAAAGAAAGAAGGAAAGAAGTGATCAAGGCGAGATGAAACGCACAAACTCCGACGAGACGAGACGGCACCAAGGATTGCTTTATCAGATCGTTGCATCGAAAAACGCCGTGCTTGCCGCCCAGAGGGACAAGATGGAAGGTGAAATGCATGCAGGCTGTCCTCGTAAGATTCACATCTCACGTAAGCCCTTCTCTACTCATCCCTGGCCTTTCGGTATCTTGAGTCTTCATGGATGTCAAATCCCAGCTGTCACTCAATAGGCGCCCGACGTATTGGACAATTCGTTTTGATTCATCTTGTCACTGGTGTGACAATAGAAGGGAATAGCACCACAGAGTCCGAGCGCCTATTCGACGGAGAGGCTACAAGTCTTCCCATAACCATCCCCATTATCCGCAACAGCCGTCATTGTAAATCACCATTTCCCCTCTTCTTACATTGTGTCCCTCTATTGTCTCTTCTCATTAGCATTGTCATGTATAATTTCAGCATGACACATCACCTAATCCCAAGACTGACTGTCCTACAACTTCGTACACCGTGACAATGCCATTCGGCGTATTGTTCTCAATGGGAACACCCGACTTGCATAATTATCGAGCACTCCTCTGCACACGCTGGCATAACAACTTGCAAGGTCCTCCGGGGTGGATCTCAGTATTTCTGCCGTCATCCATTCGGCGATTTTTCTCACATCCCCATCCGTGTGTCACTGTTAGCATGTCATGTTCCGACTTCCTATCTGGGGTTGTAAGCATAGGACAGGAGGATTCAAAACAGGGATCACAAAGGGTCTCGGAAAAACGATAAGTGTGCCTTGAAATCGGGCTTCTCTATTCTCAAGTCTCATGTCTAAAATGAAACTCTCCGAGCCATGAAATTGTTCCCGATCAACCGGCTTCTCCTGTTTCCAACCCCGACGACTGACTTGCATGTTCAGCAGCTCGGTCAAGAGAACTCGGGAAAAAAGATGTTGAACTTCTTTTGGTCCCCGAAAACGCCAGTTCTTGTTTATACCCATCATTAGCGTAGCTCATAAGTGTGTGCATGTGTATCCGTTTTGCAGACGTGACCCTGTTGCTGTCTATGCAAATAAACCCAGACTTTTGTCTTTGTTGAAAGACGCCCCCCGTTTGATCCCCCATAGTACCCTGGTATATGTGAATTTTTGATAACAAAGGAAAAGAAAAATACGCCTGAAACCACCGTTCGCTTTCCCGTAAATCCCAGTGGGGAAAGCCTTTAGGTTTCGTTGAGAACCGTACGCCGCCTTAAATGTGCCTGATGAAAAATCGACATGTAGAAAAACACATCATTTTGTAAATCACGTTGCAGAGCGCTTGTTGAATGCTCTGCGTGCAGTAGCAGCTACCGCTTAGAACTTGAGCTGCTTGGGCTGCTCCCAGGTGAAGGACTGGTTGGTGCCGAAGTGGCCGTTCTTGGCAGTCTGGAGGTAGATGGGGCGAGTCAGGTTCAGCTCACGGACAATGACACCGGGGCGGAGGTCAAAGTTGTCACGGATGATCTTGACAAGCTCATCAGAGGTCTTCTCAGAGGTGCCGTAGGTGTCGACGTAGATGGAGAGGGGCTCAGCAACACCAATGGCGTATGAGAGCTGGACGAGAGCACGGCGGGCGAGGCCGGCAGCGACCAGGGACTTCGCAATCCATCGGCCGACGTAGGCGGCAGATCGGTCGACCTTGGAGAAGTCCTTTCCGGAGAAAGCACCACCACCGTGAGCACCCCAACCACCGTAGGTGTCGACGATGATCTTACGGCCGGTCAGACCGGCATCACCCTGGGGGCCACCAATGATGAAGAGGCCGGAGGGCTGGATGTGGTAGATGGTCTTCTCATCAAGGTACTTGGCGGGGATGGTGGCCTTGATGATCTTCTCAAGGATCTCCTTACGGAGGTCCTCAGTGGTGATGTCGGCAGAGTGCTGGGCAGAGACGACGACGGTGTCGACGCGGACAGGGACAACGGCACCGTTGTCGTGCTTGTACTCAACGGTGACCTGGGTCTTGGTGTCGGGGCGGAGCCAGGGCAGGCTGCCGTCACGGCGAGCAGCGGACATGGCAGCGTTGAGCTTGTGGGCAAGCTGGAGGGTGAGGGGGAAGAGCTCGGGGGTCTCGTCGGTGGCATAACCGAACATGATACCCTGGTCACCGGCACCAAGGCTCTCAAGAGCCTGGTCAAGGTGGAGACCCTGAGCAATATCGGGGGACTGCTGCTCAATGGCAACGAGCAGGTTGAGGGTCTTGTAGTCGAAACCCTTCTCGGAATCGTCATAGCCGATGTCCTTGATGGTGTTGCGGACAATCTTCTGGTAGTCAAGCTTGGCCTGGGTGGTGATCTCACCGAAGACCATGATCATACCAGTCTTGGTGGCAGTCTCGCAAGCAACCTTGGAGAGGGGGTCCTCAGCGAGACAGGCATCGAGGATGGCATCGGAGACCTGATCGGCGATCTTGTCGGGGTGACCCTCACCGACGGACTCGGACTGTGGGTGAGAGTTAGTAGCTGCGAGCAAGCTGGAATTGGTGTTTTAGAGGTGGGATTTTGCTTACGGTGAACAGGAAAGTTCCTGACTTGGAAACGCCGTTGGGAGTAGACATTGTGGCGGTCTGTGTGTGTGTGAGGAGGGGTAAAAAGTAGAGAAGAGAACAACTAAAGACGAAGAGGAGGTAAGAGGACGGACAATCGCTCGAGGATAGAGAATGCGAGAGGGGAGAAAAGAGGTGAGCTGGCAGGAAATGATAAGAAATGGCTGAGGAGGAGGAAGGGGGAGAAGAAAAAAAAATGGCGGATTTGCTTGGATTTTTATTTAGGCCCGGTGGTCGGTCGGAGAGGGGCGGCCAAGCACGGCATGGATAAGATAACCTGGGAAATGTCTTGAAAAAATGCGACGCGGGTAAAATGCACCGCTGGCCTTTCGTATTCGCACCGCGGGTACGTGGGATTTGCAGCGGGATTGGCGCAGGGCGGCAGGTACCCAGCAAGTCACCCCGCTCTCGCAACACCATGCACATGCAAATGTTGGGATTTCGAAAAAGAAGCTGGCAGAAAGAATCCGAATACTAGTGCTAGGAAGACGGACATGGTTTGTTTGTGTGCAAATTACCGCAAACCCATTGCAGCCATGATTGACAAGGAGAGCCGAGCTGGACTAGGATTGGGGGGTTCTAGCCAGCAGTATAGGTGACAATTTTTACCATCTACATACAGGTACGAGTACTATTCCATTGATCCCTTTGAGTGAAGATGACTCAATTGTTGCAGTGTACGAGTTCTGTACTCAAAGAGACCCAACGTGCAATGTATGTTGCAAACGATAGATAGAACTTACCTGGTGCCAATTTGGACGCTGGATTGGATTTGGTGTGACTCGAACTCGGACCCAAAACGACGCCAAGCCAGAAAGAGACCGTCCAACACCCGTACCTGAGATGGCGTGTGTTAAAAGGTAACCTCTGCGAAAAGCCTTCTCCACCAGCCAAACTCAAGTACCCCTCTATGGCGGTCTAGCAGCAGTGCGCCCAAGGCCAGAAATTGCGCCATCTCACGTCAACAAGCCATCGATGCTCTGCAGTGACTCGTTCGAAATAGTGCCCAGCAGCAAGTAAGACGAAGGACGATCCCACCATCCCCCTCCAGCCCCCCCCAGCATGTGCAGCGATACCACACAGCACTAGTACCAGGTACATCTGCACATGCAAACAGGGTCCTTTATCCAAGTACAAGCTACCCTCATCTTCGCGCAGCAACTGCAGCTCCCCCTCCGTACTCTGTACCAATTCCTGCCGACCCCGCCGCCCAAGTTTCATCTCCCTCAACCTTTTGCCGCCGACGAATCTGACTGCTAAGCTGCTGCAACGTGCATGTGCTTGCTGCTGGCCCCCCCATTCGGGTCGTTTTTTTTTTTTCTCTCGCCCAAAACCCCACATCCGCCGAAACAAAAGTAACCCACGCCAGATGCGTAAAGCTTCGATCTACTAAGCTTGAACTGGGGCCCCTGGATTATTATTTTTTTTTTCGGCGCCGAAAACCCGCCCAGTCCATTTCCTCTCTCCCAAAAAGAAATCGCCGCCAACCAAGGAGAAGAGATAACACAAGGGAAGAAAAAAGCACCTGTGCATGTATATATAGCCAACAGAAGCTGTAAATCATGAGCAAGTTTGGCGCCATGGTCATGGGCCCTGCGGGGGCGGGCAAGGTATGGGCTTGTCTCTTTTGTCTGCTTTGGCTCTGCCTTTTATGCGCGCTTACGCCTGATCACAAAGGAAGAGAGGAAGGGGGCCCGGATGCTCCCTGATGCTGGTTGCTGGTGCTGATGCTTGCAATCCATCGTGTCGACATGGGAATCCCTCCGATCCTCCTCCGGGCTCTGCCGTCTTCCTGCGATAAGGCAAGGGAGTGGGAGTGAGCAAGACGCTGCTATGCGACGCTATGCGATGCGATGATGCAATGCTATGCCATATCACCGAAACACCACAATGTTGCCAAAAGAACTCCAAAAACACTGACTCACTCACTAACTAATTGCTTTCTTCGCTCCTCGTCTAGTCCACCTTCTGCGCCGCCCTCATCACCCATCTGCAGCTCAACCGCCGGTCGGCCTTTTACATCAACCTCGACCCCGCCGCCGAGTCCTTTGAGCACACGCCCGACCTCGACATCAAGGAGCTCATCTCCCTCAAAGATGCCATGGAGGAGGTGGGCCTGGGCCCCAACGGCGGCCTCATCTACTGCTTCGAGTTCCTCATGGAGAACCTCGACTGGCTGACCGAGGCGCTGGACTCGCTCACCGAAGAGTACCTCATCATCATCGACATGCCCGGCCAGATCGAGCTGTACACGCACATCCCGATCCTGCCCACCCTGGTCAAGTTCCTGTCGCAGTCCGGCGCCCTGGACATCCGGCTCGCCGCCGTCTACCTGCTCGAGGCGACGTTTGTCGTCGACAGGGCAAAGTTCTTCGCCGGTACGCTCAGCGCCATGAGCGCCATGCTCATGCTCGAGGTGCCCCACATCAACGTCCTGTCCAAGATGGACTTGATCAAGGACCAGGTCAAGAAGAAGGATCTCAAGCGCTTCCTGACGCCCGACGTAGCCCTCTTGGACGACGACCCCTTAGAGCGTAGCAGGAGGATCACCGAAGGGCCGGAGGGCGAAGATGACGAGTCTGTCCCGCCCGACGAGAAGAGCCAAGTGATGAAGGGCGCCAGCTTCCGCCGCCTCAACAGGGCTGTGGCCGGTCTCATTGAGAGCTTTAGCATGATTAACTACCTCAAGCTAGACGTCACGGACGAAGACAGCGTGGGCGGGATCCTCAGCCACATTGACGACTGCATCCAGTATCACGAAGCTCAAGACCCCAAGGAGCCCGACGACGAGCAAGAGTACGACGAGGCAGATTAAGATGTATGCATTGGATTGGAAAAGTAAAAAAACAAAATGGATATCAATAGGGTAACAAAAAGTGGCTTTAGATAGGTTCATATGTTGGGAGCATAATGCATAGCGACGGCGTTTTGTGGTTTGCAAAAAACAGGAGGTATAACTGATCGATCCCGTTGAGCTGCATCTTGAGAAACAAATTAAAGAAATGCAAAAAAAAAGATAATAATTCATCCATCCAAAAAAATAACAAAAACACCCGTGATCGAAGACGCGCTGTCGCCTTTGCCGTTATCAACTTCTCGTATCGTCCCCCCCCCCCTTCAACCTTGATATTGTTCTCCCATGTTTGCATCCATCGCCATTCATACATCATGTCTCGTGTCTTATAAAAAGTTCATGTTGTTGTCTTTCATTTGCTTTCCTCCTCATCATCCCTCGTGACCTCTTTTCCTAGACAAAGAAGCCAGTCTTCACCTCGTCTGGTCATACATCCCCCCTCCACTCCTCCTCGCCGAATACTCGTCCCACCTTCCACTCGCCTGCTGCCCTTCATACCTCTTATACTCATCCAACCAAACATTCTTCAACACAGCCATGTAACCCATAATCTTGGCCCCAACCACCGCCGCGTCCCGCGCGCTCACCAGCACCCCCCTGTTCCACACCCACGCCGCCAGTGCCACGACGGCCGCCCACAGCACCGCCCGCATCGCCAGCCGCGTCCACCACAGCACCAGCCGCCGGATCCAGTTGAGCACCACCAGCGTCGCCACGATGGTCGCCAGCGGCAAGAGGAGGTCCAGCGCGCCCTGGTGCTCCGCGAGGACGGCCATGCCGCGGTCCGCGATGGGTTGGACGAGGGGTATGAGGCTCGAGGCGCCGAGGCGAGCTTGCGCGAGGGCTTGACGCTTGAAGATTTGGAGGGGGGAGCGAGGGTCGAGGATGTGTGTGTCGATGAGGGCGACGACGTTGGGGGGGAGGAACGATGCCAGGAGCTGCTTCACGATCGTTTCGTCCATATTGTCTGGTGTTGTTGTGATGATGGTTTTGTTGTTGTTGTTGTTATTAGGTGATGGGATGTTGTCTTTCGTCGATGTGCGCAGGTATATCGCGTCCGTCTGCCGTCGTAGTTTGCTATAGATATAGACAAAAACAAACAAAGAAGAAATAATACCCCCAAGAGGGCACACCACGAACAAGTTTCTGTCGCGGTGAACAGGGATCCCGTGATAAGATAACCGCAGGACGTTCTTTCACTTGTCCAAACTCTCGTTCCTTCGTCAGGCGTTAGGCCCGGGTCAAGTTCGGATCTTTCTTCTGCAACGCTCCTTTGGTCTTGGTTCAAATCAAGATGCTTGTCCGTTCGAGCCTTTCCTCCGTCTGGTTTAGAAGAAAAAAAAAACCTAAACTGTTCGGTTTATTATTATGTTATCTTAAGAATCTCTCTCCTAATTTGGTTCGAGACCTCATCACCCCCGCTCTTTTTTTGCTGTTCCCGTGGGCTTTTTTTTTTTGGCCCGCTTCCTCGTGGGAAAATAAGCTGCTAACTTTACGTGCCCCGTTTGCATGTGATGCTGCCTCGGCGCTAAGCCGTTATTGATGCTCAACCAGCTCGAGATGACTTCACTGCTCTCGTCGTATTTATTTGCCGTATTATTATACTATTTTTCACTTTACAAATCCATGGTTTTCACATCATCACAATCATCTCGAATGAAAGCTGCATGACATATTCAATTTTTATTCCTTTCTATATGCTAGCCCAGGTGGTCGCCAAAGACAAAGTTCCTCCCGCCGCTGTCGTGTCATCATCGCAATTCGTCTCAGCAAGCATCGCCCCCCAAGCAGAAACGCTCGACAGACAAAGTCTTGCAAAGTGTTGAAAAGGAAGAAGAAAATTAATAAGTAATAAGACAAAAGAGAAAAAATGGAAAAGGGTATCGAAAGTGTAGGCCATCCGTGCCAAGAGAAGGCATCGGACGGCATTAAAATCATAGTTTGTCCACTCCACTCCCCATCTCGGCATCCACCATCTCCAGTAAAACGCAGTGCTCTTCTCGGTTCTTTATATGTGCCCAGACCCAGTGTATACTCCAAAATCCCTCCACAAATATTCCTGCAGGCCGAGGAATTCACCCTCCGCTTCGAGTTCAAGGAAGCTCAACCTCTCCCTCGAGAACTCGCAGGGCTGCTTCAATCCTCCGTTTGTACAACTCATGACCGCCGGGATGAGCTCCATCCGCTTCACCTAGTGCCAATACACACTTGCCGAGACTCGCCACCAATCGTTCCACCGTCAGCTGGACATCCTTGGACAAGACCTGGAGAGCGGGTGATTGTCCGCCTCGGCTGTTGCTGCTGGCTTGAGAGTAAATGCTCGAAGCATCAGTCAACAGCGAGTCTCTGATCCGCTTGAGTGGCTGATCGGGAGAACCACTGGGTGTCAAGATACCGCCGTTCAGCTTAGCCTTGTTGACGAGTGGAAAGCTCCTGTTCGTTCCCACCGATTCAAAGGACGAGTATGACGGCCGGTGCATAGTCTTGATCGAGCTGTGACTAACTGGTCGAGCCATCGTCATGGTGCTGCTCCGCTGGTGCACCTGACTAGAGACAATTCCGTCGCTGTCGGTTGAGTTTCGGAATGACCTCGCGTGTCTCTCTCGGGCATCCTGAAACAAATCGGCCGCAGTATAGACCCTGAAACCCGACTGGGCTGTTGAACTACGACTGGCGGGATCCTCTGCGGCCGTGGCAAACGTGTCGATAGACGCTGTCGAATCTGCACTGTTGCTCCGCTTATGCGACTGTCGTGTTGGGCCACGAGCCGTTTCCACCGAGCCCGTCGAGCTCACGCTTTCCGAGCGCAGTCGTCGCCCTCCCATAGTGCCCATGGCGGAGTGCAGAAAGAAGTGCTCATAATCAAAGGCATCTTCTCGATCTTCGTGGGAAATGGGCTGCTGGAAAGATTCGTGATAAAGCGACTCTTCGCTCTCGCTGGAATAGCCATCTCGGGCGGCCTCGGGGCTCGATTCAGCTTCCGTGTACTCGGTGGAAACGCTCTCGGCTGGCGAAGAGCTCCGGCTGCCATCAGTTACTTCCTGTTGGCTCATTTCCAACGGACTGGCCAGAGCTCGACCCTTGGGCGTTTCGCTTTCTTCGTAATTTTCTTCATAGTTGTCCTGGGGCTCGGGAGTTTGAGGATACTCATAATGCACCTCAGCTCCCCCTTCCTCTCCTTCCCCTTCTCCGCTCTCCTGCTCTTCCTCTGGTTCTTCCTCTTGCACCATCACTTCCTCTTCCACTTCCTCCTCTTCTTCTGCAATAGGTGAAGCCACATACTCGGCTTGTTTTCGTCCATGGTCGTTATCGCTATTACCAGTGTTTTCGTAAACGTATTCCACCTCCGAGAGCTTCTCGTCACTGCTGCTGCTGTGGTCACCACGCTGGTCCGCAAAACCCGGTTCCCAAGTGGCATTAGTAAAGGGGCTTGGCATGCGAAGGCTCTGAAGACTGCGACGCCTCATGCTATCTGCTCGCGCCTGTTCCTTCAGAGTAGATATCTTTCCTTTCAAGCCCTTGAGTTGATCCTGAAGATCACGCATCTGCGATGCTGAGGCGGAGCGAGTCAACCCCAACTCATTAAAGCCCCCCATCGTAGGACTTGCCAAGGTGGTCGTCCGCGAACCGTTCTGCTTCCCGTTCATGCCAGCACCATTTCTACCCTCACCCAGACTCTCCAAAGTGCTGTCAAGTTGGTAGTAATGGAAGTGCGGCTGAGAACCGTGGCCTGGCGTGCTCCCTAAGCCGTCCATACTTCTAGATGTAGGCAGGGGCCGTCGATAGCCTCCGGCAGAGCCAAGAGCACTGGCGGAACGTTGAGGATGACCTGACGTCTTTTGTGCACCATAAGTCGCTCCGAAAGCAGTTCCGTTCTCGTTTGTGCCCTTGGAGGGGTTTGTCGGAGATGGCGTTATACCGGGCCTGCGAAGGGATGTGGGAGCTCTTGCCGTGGTAGGTGATGGCGTTGAGCCGTCTGACACAGATGAATAGCTCAGTGTTCTTGCTCGGGTAAGATTGTCCTCCATGTGCTAAAAAGGGGGGAAGAAAACTATCATCAGTCCTTAATCTCTCATAAAGAATAGCATCGCTCCGTATGCTGGGCTTACAGTTAATCTCATTTTAGCATTGGCCAGAATCTGCTCGGCTCGCTTGCTGAGGGAAGCTCCGTCGTCACTCAGTCTCCTGGCAGACATATGATCATAGGCGCGTAAGTGCTGCGAGACAGGCGTCCCCTCGTGGTACGCAGATGCGACACTTTCCTCGTCATCGCCCTGAAAGATGCTATCGCCTCCCTGGCTGGCGGAGTCGTCAAAGTCGACAAAGGCACCGCCGTCGTGCGTTCCGATTGTGCTGGTTGATTCGGTCGACATCCTCCGCTCGCGATCCTTGCCCTGCTGTTGGCGCTGCTGCTGAAGTCGCTGCTGGATAAACTTCTTTCCTCCGTCCAGCGAGGCTCGAAACGGGCCTTCGTCACCCGAACTGTGGTTTGAGCGCTTGGACGCATTGCGAGACGGTATCGGACCAACGACGCTCTCCACCTCGGTGACCTCTCCAATGTCTGAAAGCATGGTTCCATTGCCGTAGATGATTGGCGTCGACATGGGATCGGGGTTGGAGTAGAATTCCTGCGTGAACTGGAATCCATCCTCGATATGGTGACCGCTATTCCACAGTGATGGGCCCATGTTGGGTTGGCTGTGATACAAATCGGGGCCATCGTAGTCGGGCAGGATCATGTCTGGGTTGGTCAATGTGGGAGACGCCGGCTGGGGATAGGGAACCGCCGTGCCGCGAGCATCCTGTCGGTTGTCATAGCGATTCGTGGCAATGGACTGCATCGTCACGGCGGCTCAGCTTAGCTGTGGCTGTTCTCCAAGTCGAGTGTTGGTGTTGTGCTGTTGAGTTCGTCGTTCTGGCCTGGTCCCCTCGTCCTCTTTATTCTTCCGAGCTGGGGGGGGGCAAAGACTGATTCAGATGAGGCAACACTACGGTCCAAGCGCCCAACAAAGCAGAATCCAGAGTAGCGGTAACGGAAAAAGAGCTGTACGACGGTGGCTAAGGGCTTGGCCGGCTGCTGTGCCTTGAACAACGAAGCAAGTACTGCAAAAAAAGAAAAAGGGAGAGATATTCAAAAACTCCGAGAGATCGATCGGGCGCGCCACGGGACAAGAAAGGAGCGACAGTGGATCGGGCGAAAGGACTCGGGAAAAGCTTCAGAACTGGGTTAAAGAGTCGAGGTCGAATGTGCGGTTTACTGTAAGCAACGCCAGACGAGCAGAGCACGCTCAGGCCGCCGTTGCAGCAATAGAAAGAACAAGGCAAAGCAAAATACTAGAAGGGATTGACAAAGAGAGGCCGTCGCGAAAAAGAGCAGCTGGAGAGCATCGCCCGCCAAAAATTGCGCCTTGGCCTGCGGTCTCGTGGCCCGGGCCGCCCTCCAGGTACATCCAAGTACTTCCAGGTTTGCGCAAATCGAAAGAGGGAGGGAGATTGGTGGGACAGGGGCCTGAGAAATGATCCAAAAGGGCCTCTTCTAGGGCGATTAGTGCGGCGGACCGGGACAAAGACAGCTAGAGGCCCAGCGAATGGCAGCCTCCAGGTACTAAGGCACAGCGCAGAAGCCCAATCAGGGCGCCGGCCGCCTGACTAAGGAGAGGCCAGTGCAAAAAGCATGGAGCGTCCTTTATGCGTCAAATCGAAATTGTTGTCATGGACGAGCGATGATGCGCATAGTTGCCTTATTAGTGCGTTTTTACCCGTGCGTTTTTGAGATGATTTTGTTTTGTTTCGCTGGAGCTGCGCATCACGTTACGAGACGCCGAGGGTTACAAAGGACGGGAGGTACATGTAAGGTACCTACCTGTTCACATGGATGGGATGCCATTCGATCCTACAGGTACTCCGTCCATTGGCCTCGACCTTTGACACTCGATACGGATGCAACGGTTCGTCACCCACGAAAATACTACCCAGTACTGTACGGCAACAATGGCTTGCCGCACGCACGCCTGCATGCATGCGCGTGATATTGGATGCAGGCGGCCGGTTAATATAAAAAATCCCCATATCACGACATTTGCTAGGCCACCAACCGACCGCACGGGTTGCCGCCACCAACAGTCACCGCACTCCATTTCTTGTCGCTCCCATTCGCAATATCCGAAATAGAATCCAATCGGAAAATGGGCTCCATACATGTACCACCTTGCAGTACAGCGCAAAAAGACTCTATCGAGAATACGACGATTAGTACAGCCAGGTACATACCCGTGTGCGACTGAGTGAACTTGATACTATTGTATGAAACGAATAATACTCCGTGCATGGCATCTCCGTCGCCCACTTGCTCTACGAATGCTTGTTTCCCTGTACTGTAATCGCATCGCCCCCCTCCTCGTATATCAAAACAAAATCAAGTACTGCTGGTATTACTCTCAGTCAATGCGGTGGAGGGCTGCATAATCTTACCCCGATGCTCGTAATCTCTCTCCGTTTCCGTTTCGTTTCGTTTTTTTTCCTCCAAGTCGCGGCGTGTTCGACCGGGCCCTGCTAAGCCGTTTCTGGGGCGGTACCTGAGCTCCACTTGCCTGGTACCTGTTCTAGTCCTGACAGGGACTCGGTCGATTGATTGGATGCCGTTGGCCTGGTCTAATATCCGTTCAAAAGGGTCGTATCCAGGCCGTGCTGATTACGGAGTAACAGGTACCTTACTTGTTACTGCTAGTACTTGTATCAAGTTGTATATGCCAGTCCGACCTCATATATTCAGCTGTACGAGGGTACAGTGTAAGCAGCTAATGCGCCTAAAACAAGGCACAATGACAGTTGAGGCAAGAGAAACAAGATACTCGACTTAGCTGCAGAAAAAGGAAAACAAAACACGGCAGATCATGCCACCTTTTTCTTGTCTCTCACACGCACACTCCATGTAATTTTAGCTAGTCAATTCCTGCTTTCAACCTATTTACCCGTGGATGATCTTTGCATCCAGACGTCTCATTTGCCATTCTCGTTTGCAGAGCTGCGTCATTGTCTAGCTCCACCCTCCCAATGGCTGATGCTCTTCGCGAGCAACATCAAGGCTCCGTGTCGTATCTGCTAAAGATCCGCCAAATCTTGTACAGATACAGTACTGGAACTCCGCGGCTCGAATGGCTTCAAATAATTCGGCCGCGTAACACGGAGCCAAATGCACCGGATCGGTTGCGCAGGTACTTGTACGCGCCGTGCTAGAGAACGCTTGGCCCAACTATTCTGCTTTCTACAGAGTGGTACAAGATGCCTCAACTCTTCTATGAGATTTTTTGTTTTCCCGTTTTAGGTGCCCCTCGAACCTCTTCGCAATCCATCTCATCTACTGTAGGTAATCAACGTGCCTTGCTTGCGTCCGCTGCGGGCCGAGATCGACCAGCCGTTTCGTTCTGTTTATTTTTATTTTCCTGCCCCCCGGAGCTCAAAATCAAAAGTGAAGACCCCCTGCATGGCCCACCCAGTAATATGCCGTTGTTTTAGTCTTTTTAAGAAAGGGAGAAAGGAAAAGCTTTGACTTTAAGGACTATTGTCTTGGATCCGCCGAATCAAATCAATCGTCGGCAAAGGCTTCGGTTCGGGCCTGGATGGTGCTCTTATCCAACGTCTCCTTGGAGGGACGGTTCGCAACCAGACGCTGTTCAATTAGCTTATCAAGCTTCAGTTCTAAGGGTAAAAATACACTCACCACAAGATTTCTTAGCAGAATGGCAATTGTGACCTTTCCGACGGATGGCACATAGATGGATGCCTTCTCCTTGACGGCGTCTCCATCAAAGTTCTTGAAAGAGGAAAAGTTGATGCACACTGCACCGTCTCTGATGAGTTCTGTCGGCACCTTGTATGACTCGGCGGGCACTCCTCCAATGATGACGTCGCTCAATGGTAGGCACTGCTCCAGACCCCAGCCCTCCTTCTCCTCTACCTGGTGGCGAGGCTTCTTGATGCCTTGGCCTCGAGTGAAGAGCTGGACGCCAGTAATGTCTACGGAATAGACCGTAGCACCATCATTGGCCAGCAGAGCCGCAAGGGGGCGGCCATTCACCTCGGATCGGTTGATGACGGTAATAGTCTTGCCAAACAGGCGGTTGCCGTAAGCGAGGATGGGGTTGTAGATCTGGAGGTGCTCGAGAATCTTGACCACGGCCAGCGGTGTGCAGGGCAGAATAGACTTCTTCTTGTTCTCGGGAGCGTCCAGGAAGCGAATGTTGTGGTACATGTTGTGCAGGTAGCTGTGGCGCAATCCCTCGACATCCTTGGAAAGGTCAACCGTCTCCTGGACGTACTTGTCGTGAGTGGGGTTCTTGGGGAAGATTGGATAGTAGACAATGATTCCGTCGACGGCATCATCCTCGTTGGCCTTCATAATGTCCTCTTCGAGGAGATCCTTGTCGACGATGCGCAGCTCAAAGTTGAACCCACTTGAAGAGACAATTAGTACCTTTGCCGTAGAGATTGCAACATGGCAGTGTTCTCACTTTTCCTCGCAAGTCTTCTTGGACCACTCAGCATATTTGATAGCGGCAGGGTCCTCGTTTGCAAGGAATGCTACCAGGGTCGGGGCACTGCTACCAGTCTCCTGGATCTTGGCCAGGGTTTCCTTGACCTCGAGCAGCAGCTTTTTTGCGATTGTTTCGGCCGTGATGACCTTGCAGGTCTTTGGGGCAGCTTGAGAGGACATGGTGATGCGACTGCAGAGGGAGAGCAATTCAATTGCTGTATTAGCGGAGATGTTGCACAGCCTTTCAAAGAATTGCTCACCTCTAGATGCAAAGAAGAAGATGAAAAAAATGAGGATGACGAGTGTGACTCTTGACCCCACCAAAGCCGGAGCGGAAAGAATGCGACTCTTTATGACATCAGCGCAACTTACTTTATACGCAAAAAGAAGAACAAAAAATGCAGCCTTACAAGCAATAGACCTTTCGTGAATGCTTCAATCAAGACGGGCGAAAAGAGGCGCCTAGGATCAGGGACAGCTCTGAGGGAAATGATTGAGCTGAAGCTGTCATTGTGTCTCGCAGCATGTGAGAGAGCGAAAAAAAAAATCGAGGCCCCTCTGCTCCGTCAACCGGCGCTCACTGCCCCTCTTACCGGCTACGGCTTAGCTCCAAGCATCAGTGATTGGATTGCCGGATAAGCATTTCAGCTGTGTTGACGTAGATGCCTACCTACCTATTATAAATGATTTCCATATGTTTAATTATCATATTGATCCATCCAGTTGATTGAAGTTGTTGTTGACTATGGTAGAGATTGTGAGTGCTACGTGGAAGCTGTATAAATGACTTGATTCAAAGTAGTCTCATCTCTGCGTGAGCGCTACTCGACAGTACAACATGTGTACAGCTAGAGTGAAGCATCCATAACGGGCAATAAGGCCATCAAAATGCTACTCAGCATTCCAACGTACATATTGTGTGGAGATGGAGCTGAGGATGGGGACGAACACGCGGGGCGTCTTGCAGCATTCCAGTCCCTCAGCGACCCCATTGTATTGCACTCTACAAGTAAGACACGCTTTGTCTACACACGTGGTATTATTTGGTAGTTTATTCTATTCCAGAAAAGCATGTTTAAATAAAGTAAATTGCATGTATCAAATTGACTACTTATCACGGTATTCCGGCGACAACAATCCCAACTAGAAGCTCTTCACGGTGAGATGCAGAGGACGTATATGTACATTGAGTGTGCTACTCTCTCAACCCTCGTCGAACCTCTATCTTGGTGCCTATTTTTACTCTAATTTACCTTCTACCGTCGCTATCCTTTTGCATCATCTGCTATTATTGTTTAACAGTGACCATCTATGGAATTCTTGCTAGCTCCCCATATGCCGGATAACCAAGTTGAGGTGGCTTGTCTCTCGTACATAAGCCAATAGTCCAAATGAAGCAGACAGCACCCCAATACAGCAGGATCATATTCTTCCTTTCAAACAATGCTCAGCTCAACACATATAGTACCCTTCTCATATATCATTCACGCACGCCTCAGTCCCGCGAAGCTACTCAAAGTATATTATATGAAGGGGGTGCCTGTCGCTGCTGCGGATGACATGTACACTAAAATATGCAGCTTTTCTGCTACACGGCCGCCTGATGTCGTCACGCGATGCCATCCTCTGAGCCTTAGATGAAGCTATACAATTTAGATTCACACCTTCATGTAGGCAAATCTCACCAATGCACAATAGTACTGCAATAAGCACTTTATACATACAAAAAGCACTCACTAAAGCGACACGACCATGTCCGCACGCATCTGTAGCTCACGGTTAGGTACTCACTCATACGTGTATTCAGCCCCATTCCCACCCTAGAGCCAGCCACACCCAAAAAAAGAATTCTGATTGAGCAAAAAAAAAAAAAAAAAAAGGAAAAGAAAAAAAAGTTGACACAGGTACCGCCCAACCCAAAAATAGGCTCAGCACTACTCAAACCCCTAAGCTACTGCGACGCTGCCATTTTAACGCCGCAATGCAATGCGGTCCTGCGTTAAACCAACTGAGGCAGGTCGGTTAGGAAACACCACACACGCACAACATACAACCCCTTTTGGCCCAGCACCGCCCTTGCATCTGTTTTTACTACAGACTTTGATACATTGATGCTTACTCATGCCATGGTAGTAGCACTAAGCATTCTTAGCAGTATGAAGTTAAAAGTAGACACACAAACACAGCAAGGGATGGATGGCGTTGGATCTCGTCGCAATTCTGAGACACTATGATGGAAGCAAGGGCAAAAATGTCTCTTCATCATGCGTCATTGTCTTAGAGCTCCCGACTTGCAGATCAATTACCTCGTTGAGTCGTTCATCGCCAAAGCAGACGGCCCCATGTTCTAGTATAGCCGCTCAACCGCTCCCCATGTCTGTCTCATCACCCGGGGAGAGGAGAGTGATCGTCGCTTACTTTACTCGTATCGCAGCCTCGGTGAGAAATCCACCATTGGCTCCGAGAGAATTGCGATGTGCGTTGGCTATCTCTCTACTAGGTAGGTAGCTTCGATTCACAGACACAGAATCCCTACTCTACATGGGCTCGTAACTTGACAAGTCGCAGTAGAAGCAGATCAAACTCGTAAAATCATTATCAATTAGAAAAGAACCAATCTATTAACACGCAGGCGCTAAATATCCTACATCGAAAACGACATGGTTCCATAAAAAGACAGACATCGTACCGCAAATATATCTAGATAGATTCGGACCAGAACCAATCTTCTTCCCCTTTTCCAAGTAAAAAAATATGTGCAATCAACTGTAAAAACCAGAGCTGTAGGCTCCCGTAGATGAAATTGGCATCAAACCCGCAAGCCGATTAAAACCCGAAATCTCCAAACATCTCTCGCTTACAGAGCGAAGTAAGCAGCAACCAGGGAGGCAACCAGAGCCAGGGCGCTGCCGCCAACGCGAGCACCACCGTTGGTAGGGATGGTGGGGGGAGCGGTGACAGCAGGGTTGGAGGCAGAGGGAGCAGAGGGAGCAACCCAGACGGAGCTGGTCTGGACACCGGGAGGAACGTAGACGGGAGAGCTGGGAGGAGGAGGAGGCAGACGGGTGGCGCTCTGCAGAGTGGTGGGAGCGCTCAGGGTGGGAGGAGCAATGGTGGAGTTGCGGCAAGGAACAGTGGTGGTAGCGTTCAGGATGACGGTAACATCAGTGACGGCCGGAGGAGTGTAGACGGGAGGAGTGTAGACAGGAGCCTGGGTGGTGGACTGAGTGGCCAGAGTAACGGTCTTGACACCAGTGGAGGTGGTGACAGTGGTGGTGTCCGCAGGAGGGAGGTTTCCGTAGCTGCCAGAAGAGGTGTGGGCAGGTCCAGCGGGAGTAGAGCTGGCCTTGACGCTTCCAGTCTTGATGTGGAAGGGGTTGGAGTACTGGAAGACGTTGGGGTCGCTCTCGGAGCGGAAGATGAGGCCGTAGAAAGCCTGGGTGCCCAGGGTAGCATCAACGTTCCAGACGAAGCTCTTGGCGCTGTTCTTGACACCGGCTAGTTTGCTATGTTAACGACCGAGTAGAGCATCTGGGCTCTGGAGAGCATCAACTTACTGGCAATCGTTCCAAGAACCTGCTGGGTGGCCTGAGTAGGGCCACCAATCAGCTCGATGGTGATGGTGTCGGCGGCGTACTTGGCGGGAACAGACCACTCAACGGTGAAGGGAGCACCGGAGGTGATCTCCTCGTTGGAGGTAGGCACGGTGATGGGGTCGAAGTCGGCAGTCTGGGCAAAGGCCGCGGAGACCAGAGCCAGGAAAGCAGGGACAGTCAGAGTGAAACGCATCTTGTCGAAGTGAAGTTGAACAAAAAAAGTTACTTGGGTTGAAAAGGAAGAATGAATGAAAATGGTTCAAAAAAGAGTGTGGTTGTCGTAAAGACAAAAGAGTGACTGGTATGCAAAAAGCTGAAAGGAGCGTTATGCGGCTGAGCCTGGAGTGTGGGTGAAGGAGAAACAAGAACAGAAACAGGTGGATGGAATGGGGGAGAGGTGAGATAATAAGCACGAGCACCTGAGCGTTTCATGAGGGTCTAGGCAGAGAATAGAATAGACACCCCCCGGTCAGCTCTGAGCCCGGCACACACTCAGACAAGTACAGGTACTCGTACAGGGAGCTACTGTAAGGACGGACAGGCGCTCCATGATGGGATGGACTCGTAAGGTAGCCACTGAATCCCAGCGGACGCAATAGCGCGGTTAGGCGAGCTGTGCGCGAGTGGATGCGGGTTTTTGGCGTGGACTGGCCGAGCCCCTACAAGCAAACGATGGCTCATGCATAGCACATGTAACCACGAAGGAGATTACCGCTGCTGTTGAAACATACTGTAGAATACGATATTCTCTGTCCTCAAAGCTGAGAATCTACCATCTCTACAGTTGCACAGGCAAGCAGCAGTACTGCACAGCGGCAGAGTTGAGGAATTGAATACTGTCGTGGTGATAGGCCGCCAGCGTGCAGCCATCGTGAGATTGCCTCTCCAATGAGACCATTGGCATAGAGCAGAGCTACCAAGCCACACAAGTACAGTACTTGCAGGGTACGGTACAGTCACGACCAGGGCCAAGGGGGCATTGCTTCAAGCTGCTGAGGCTAGCGCTTCTAGCTCGGGACGGGTACTTTGTACATTTCCTGTTCCTGTTTTCTTCTTGTTCCTGCAGGAGCCCTCCAACAAAAAGTGACGAACCACGTATCTGCAACCAGGCCGGGAAAAGCGGGGCGCCGGCCGTCAGGGGCAAAAAAGCAAATTACGCTGTTGAGGGCCGCTGCTGATTGGCTGCTAGTTGATGAGGTGCAGACAGGGCTGAGCCAGGTTATTTCACGGCTCGTAACTGGTAACTTGGGCTTCGGTTTGGCAAGATATTACTCCGTATCGCCATGCCAGGCCAGGCCACGAGACGAGCACGGGCTCCATTCCCCGTCCAACGTCACGTTGGCTGCTGGAGTGTACAGCGGGCGTGCTACGGGTGCGGTGCTGTTCTGTACCGATACCTGTGTGTGTGTGAGCGGTGCTGCTACAAAGGTTCTTTGCTCATTGATGAAGCTTGTGCCGCTGTTGTTGGTCGTTGGACTGAGGTGTATTCTTGATGAAATGGCGTGCGTTGCCATGAGACCGACCACAGTCTTCCATGTGGCTAGGCTTGCTGCCTTGGCTTCCCGTTGACGCATTGACAGCAAAAAAGAAAGAGAAAAGAGAAAAATTCCCGTTACCATCCAACCGCAGCTAGAACCGGCCCGTTATCGAATATCGCGCAATAACAGCCAGGAATTTGCCCTCGTCGATGATGAGAGAAAGACCCTGCCGTGTGCGATGCTGCTAGCTCCAGCCCTTGAGCTGCTACTATTTTCACCAAATCCATTCCATTCTTCCTTGGTTAAGACACTGATTGTTCCGCCAAGCACTGAAAAGCCAGCCTCAATCACACTCCTCTCGCCCTCAGCTCTCGTTCAGCTTCGCTCAGCTTTTCGGCTGCTCTCAGCTAAAGAATCTGTCTCAGACCGTCGTGGCGTCCAGACTCCGTGATTCGCGAGGCGGACTCCCGCCATCCTAGTCGTCGGAGCGGCTGGTAATTAAAGTCTGGTGTGACTGCGTGAATGCAGCAAACACACACGTCCAAGCTTCTCTCCATGCCCTTTCTCCTTCATTCACCAACCCGTGCCTTTTCAAGCTCATCCATGGCCAGGACTGTACGAGTATAATACAGTAAGCGCTGGCACTCAATTTGCGGCTCCTGTGGCTTGCATCTCGCAGCGGGATCCCTGTGAGGTCTACCTCGTCCCATGGCTATGCTTACAACTAAGCTGTTATGGTGCCCTCTTTTCCTCTTTCAAAGCAGCAAAGCTCGTGAGACTAAAGACCAATGCATCAAGTGGCTTCTCCGGGGCCATTTTAGCCAGCTCCATCCCCCCCGCAGGTAACAGCGAGTGATTCGCCGCTGTCAGCCGCGGTGCCTGTGCCTGGATTCACGTCGCGTCCGGTTGATCCATCGTGCTAAAATAGGAAATGCCCGATTCCCAGGCTATCGAACGCCCCTCGTTAGCCCAGAACGTTGAGGTGCATTCAAGCGCTGCCCAGCTCGCGCTGCGATTCGCCAGAGCGCGCGGCCAGTCATGCATGCATGCGCCGTCACAGCAAACGCGCAAAATGTTTTCATTTCCTCGCTTTTCATTTTAACGGGCGGCGTGGCGGAACAGCATCCCCGTCCGAGCCCTCATTTCATCACCAGAGCCTTTCGGGTACTCGCCGAAATTTAGGAGGGGCGGTGTGCAGTGGTTATACTCGTACGAGCACCGCTGACTCCCATGGAGGTTTAAAGTAGAGTACGGCGGAGATATTCGTCACCCTTCGGGGGTTTTGCAACTTATTTTGAGAAAAAGGGCAGCTCGCAGCCTCTTGGTGCCCTCAGACAGGCAGGTGGATGCTCATCGGCACTCATCTTTGCCAAGATCGTTGCAAGCCCCCCAATGCAAGATGGCGGCAGTTTATTATTGTCGTGGCTCCGTAGCTCATTTGCTTCTAGAAGCCTGGATGCTCCCGCCCTTTGTTCCATGACTCAACGGATCCATCCCAAGAAAGAAGGCTTTCTCCAGCTGATGAGAGACATCTGCAACATGGCACGCAAGTGCACACTAAAGGGTTCAATTGCTCGCTGCCCTCTAGACGGAATGCTATTAGTGGTATCCGCTCCTCTGGGGCTGGAATTGCATGCAAGCACCATACGAGGAACGTGAAGAGGACGGCGGAAAAGCACTCAATTAAGTTATTACCTTCTTGCTCATGGGCACACACAGGATATGATTAAAATAAACATGATTACTTATGGTCGCACAACTCTCCGATGGAAGGACTTTTTGATCAATAGTTGGGCTAAGGCTGATGTCATATTGATTAATCTGACCTGATAATCCTGGGTTGTTCGCTTTACATTGAATACTAATTAACAGTGCGTTCCCAGGTACACGTACTCGTACCTTGGGATGAACAGGGTCCTGTCAGGGGCAAACCCAATGCTCCAGGACAACGGAACTGTTTCACGGCAAACGCCGCCTTCACAGAACGCGGTAGCAGTAACAACATCCTTGACAATGCTGAGCTTCGTCATCATCCCACAGGGAAAGCATTTTCTGCTTTCCATAATCTGCGCCGTCAGATCGATATACCCTGCAACCCTCTTGTCACATGCGGCCTAGGATCTGAGATCAATGGTGACCCATCTGCCAAGACATGGGCAACAAAGATTTGAGCTACGCTTTGTAGGCGAATGTCCAAGCACATGTCATTGACATTTGTGGCAATACTTGCGCCTTATTACTTAGTAGTGTATCTCCAAGCTTGTATGCGTACGTACGAGTACAATACGGCGCCACAATCTCTTTGATACAGTAGCCGCACGCAGATGGGCAATTATACGCGAAGATTTCCTCGGAAGCATCTCACCAGAAGGCGAGAGAATTCTATCCCCTGTTCCGCGTACGGGAGTGCCGCTCCCCCCTTATGTAAAAAAGGTACGTACTCTAGATGCTTGTTTGAATCGCAAATCCCTGTGACGCGACCGGACCCACCAAAAAATCCCAGAGCGTTACTTGCACTTGGCCAGCCTTTCCTAAGCTTTCAGCCTCGTCCTCTGCAGCACCTCAACCATGAGCTCTCCCGACGAGCTGGCGAGGGACACGCCTCCGCCATACAAACGACGGAGGACCGGCGATACTCCGTCCCCGCGGTCGAGCTCTCCCGATGTGTTGGCCGGGGATCCAGATGATTTCCGTCCGCCCAGGCGAGTGTCGCAGCGCGGCGGCGGCCTGAGCCAGAGCCCAACCAAGGCGCAGTATCTCAACGATTTCTCTCGGTCGCAGACGCCGTCGCGGCCTCCCTCGGAGTTGGCTCGTCGGTCGCGATCAGCGTCGAGTTCCGGGTCGAGGACGCGCTCGCAGTCGCCTGTCCACTCGACACCGTCTCCCTCGAGAACCCCTCGATCGCAACACCGCTCACGCTCACCCACGTCTACAACCCAGTCGAGATCAGAATCCTCTTCTCCAGAACCACAGCAGCTCACTCCTCCTAGAGAACCACTCAAGCCGAATTACAGGGCGCGCCTCGTGCTACGCGGGCACACCAAGGCGGTTTCTCAGGTTCGCATCTCTCCGAACGGCCGCTTCATTGCTTCTGCGTCCGCCGACGCGACTGTCAAGATATGGGATGCCGCCACGGGGGCTCATATGGACACATTGGTTGGTCACATGGCTGGCGTAAGCTGCGTCGCGTGGACTCCGGACAGCAATACACTGGCGAGCGGCTCTGATGACAAGGCAATCCGGCTATGGGATCGAGTCACAGGGCGACCGAAGACCACGGCTCGGAAATCGGCGGGACAGGAGATGGCATCATTACGAGGACATCATAATTACATTCACTGCCTAGCTTTTTCACCAAAGGGCAACATTTTGGCCAGCGGGTCATATGACGAAGCTGTATTCCTGTGGGACGTACGGGCTGGACGGTTGATGAGGAGTCTCCCCGCCCACAGCGATCCGGTATCAGGCATCGACTTTTGCCGAGATGGCACTCTGGTCGTGAGTTGTTCAACGGACGGGTTAATGTAAGTTTTGTACATTCTGTGGGTATTCGAGCCTGAAACCGCATATGCTAATACTTGTGAAGCCGTGTATGGGATACAATGACTGGCCAGTGCCTACGGACTCTAGTCCACGAAGACAACCCGGCCGTAACTAACGTCTGCTTCTCCCCCAACGGCCGGTTTATCCTTGCGTTCAACCTCGACAATTGCATTCGCTTATGGGACTACATTTCCGGTAGCGTCAAAAAGACGTACCAAGGCCATACTAATCAGAGCTTCGCTATTGGTGGTTGTTTTGGGGTCCTCGATGGCGAGGCATTCATCGCCTCCGCGAGCGAGGACGGAGATGTTATACTCTGGGACGTCAAGAACAAGGAGTTGCTACAGCGTGTGCATGGCCACGAGGGCGTATGTTTCTGGGTGGACGTCCATGGCGAGACGATGGCGACTGCGGGGCAGGATGGCTCGGTCAGGGTGTATCGGCATATCAAGCAGTCTGGTGAAGTAAATGGAAACGGGACAAGGGAACTGTCAAAGCCTCCCAGTCAGGGGATGCTCCAGGGAGAGCTACCAATACGGCAGGATGATGTTAAGCTAGAGGATGCTATGAGCTGATGGATTGGCTTGTAACAATATGTCATTACAGCGTTTATTCATTTTCTAACTTTGTGTATCTCAATTCAGCTTGGAGTATGCAGGAAATAACACAAGGCTGTTTTGGAGATCATATCAATCACCATGACATTCTTCGTTAATAGAGGGATGATTGGCAAATGGGCGCTTGCCAATAAAGCAGCAGAGCAGTACAAGAGGGCAATTCGATGCCAAAATCAATCTACACAAAATCTACTTCTTACGGTAAGGTAAATGCCTCTTTCAATTTGCTGCGCCATTTTGTCTATCAATGCCAGAATCTTTGCGTATTGCCCGCAACTTTAGTTCACAGATACAGGGTAGCTTCTTCTCCGGTATCGGGTTATCAGCTTGAGAGTTGATCACAACTCATATATACGCAGTGATAAACCCGTTGATCTTTGACATGTGGATGTATTGATTTGGCAACATATATCTGGTGGTGCTTGTAATTAAATATGTGGCTAGTTGCATTAGAGAGGGGACTTACGCCTTATGTTGAGTTGGACAATCTACATGTGATATTTTCTCCAAGCCTCTCCGCTGCCCACTTCCCCGCGTGTTGGTGAGCTCTACTAGCATCTAGTAGGAATGTCTTGCAGAGAGCTAACACAACAACTTGGAAGCTTTGCCTTGGTCCTCTTTGCATCACATGCCTTGATCTTCTGCATGCTCTGCTCTGCTCCGCTCCGCGAAAGGCGCGTCATTTGATTTACACATGCAAGCGTTTTCCGGCTCCAGCAGCCACGATCCGCTAAGGGGACTTTTTTTTTACCGGCACGATGACATCTTTTGACAATCTCAAATTGACAACCTGGAAGAGGCTAGCATAAAGTTGGGAGGGCGAGGGAAAAAAGGCGCGCCACTATATCGCCCGAAGGGCTTGACAGATTTGTTCCATGTCGCTTATGTACATTCTTTCCTTCTTTTCCTTAACGCCTCCGTCACGCTAGCTGAGTAAGACGGCGGCGACAAGCTCGGAAGGTGTTTTTTCTGGGCATTTGCTCGCAACGTGCGGCGGTGGGCCGGAGTGCGGAAGCCGGGCAGTCCGTAGTGGCAACTTCAAGGTTCGATTTTTTCATTTGATGTTGCTGCAGGTTTTCCATGTTTAATCCAACAGACCAGGCACTTTGTCGGTGAAGGGAGCGACACTGCTAGCACCTAATGGGGGTCAATGGTCTACAGCCCGGCAAAGCGAGTCAAGTCGAGTTCCATCCTGCCGCAGGCTAGTATCGCTAGCTCAGGCCATTGGCGGTTGGGGGGATGAGGATATTGTGCTCGCCCAGTGAATTAGCCAAATTCCATTTTGTCGCCCTTTTGGTGGCGGGATGGGCGCGCGGATGTCACCAGGGCGTTTTTTACAATTGTTCGAGACAACAAATATCTTGATGTAGGTAGTTGAACAACATAGCTTCAGGGTCTTCTTTGCTGCGGACGATACAGAGCCGAGTCATGTACTTTGGCGCTGTTGATTGGCCGGATAAGGCTCAGTTCGGCGGTGCGTGCTCGAACTTTTGCATGGAGAAGTTTGGGGAAAGAAGAAGCAGCGTGAGAGGTACATGGCCGACGCACGCACCTGGCTGCATGTGGCATGTACATGGAGCTTGCATTAGCACGACCTGAATAGGCGCTATTTTGCAGGTCGAAATGTCGGGGAGCGCCCTTTTAGGGGCTTCCATGATCCCTCAGCGCATTGACTCGCCCGTGGTTCGGTGGAAGAAGCGTCAAGAGGCCCCAGAAACGAACAGCGGGCTTCCAGTGGCGCGCCTTCTCCGCGCCACGCCAGCGCCGGCCGCTAGACTCGCATTCGACGCTGCAGTGCATGTGGTGGAAAAGGCGACATGCGAGCCCTGCAGCGGCCAGTGGCTGGCGCGGTACCGCCTGGACAGGCAATCGATAGACGCCCACCTGCTCGATACAGGCAGCCGAATTGGACGGCTCTTGCCTGCCACACAACCAGACGTCAACAAGAAAGACCCTTGAGGGGGCGCTTTCTTTTTTTCCCTCTCTCCCCTCCATAATCCCGACTCGGAGCTTCGTCTTGCGTCGTCTTCCCTCTTTATTCTTCCTCCTCTCCTCCTCTTCCTCCATCCTCATCGGCTCTTCACCACAGTTCGTCCTTTCGCCTTCGCCTTCGCCTGCATCGCCCGGCTATCTCGGACTCAGGCCTGCGGTTTTCCCGGATCGGCTCGCGCGCTCAGGAATTGGCCTGCCAGGGCGCCGACGCCGCTGTTTATTTTGTCCACCCCCTGCCCTCAACCAGTCTCAGGAGACAGGAATGTCGGCTGGCCTTGACAACCTGTAAAAAGGTCGGGTCGCCGCCATTGCCGTTGCGCTCACCGGTTGCAAACTCTTGATTGTCGCTCCAACGCCCGGGCGCTCTCGAGACGTCGACTCTTTTTCAGGTCGTTGCACGTTGTGTCAGCCCTGTTGCGCTGATTCATATCCACCTACCTGATACCCTCCGCATTTCTCTCCACCGAGTTGATACTTTTGCCTCACCCTCAGGCCAAAAGGAAAAAAAGGTCACGACAACCCCGACAGCACCCTCTCTCACAGCCATTTTCTCCCTCTCGCCATACTCGCTTCCGTATCTCTGCTGTCGGATAACCTCCTCTTCACCGGCAACCTCACTTCTTGGTCGTAGCCTCCCCCGTATGCAACTCTCACAAGGCCCTCAAGATGGAGCCCGTTCCTGAGACGGAGCGCATGGAGGAGTTTCGTACCGTTCCCTCAGCCAAGGCTCGCGCCAACGGGCCACACGCTCTTTCCACACTCGATTTTGAGACGGCCAGAAAACCACCGAACTTGCGGCGGAGCACAGACCCAAGCCCGACATCTACAAACGCCTTCTCTTGGACCCCTATGGTCGCCCTTCCGTATCGCCCCCGGACAACGTCCCCTCTTTCTGGTAGCGCTCATGTTCGTTCACGGTCCGCCGCTAGCATTGGCGCCTCGCCCATGGGCCGTACACAGTCCATGCCTGGCGTCACTGGCTCGGGCCACCTGCTCTACTCTCCCCATTTCCGTCCAGCCAGTCCGGCGCAATCGCCTAGCAGAGTCCGCACGCCTCGAAAACCAGTGGATGAATCATTTCCTATGACGTCTCCCGTCCGGACATCAGTTCTTGACCACGACCGACTCCCTGCTGATAGGAGCGGCTCTCCTGTATTGGGCGCCTCAACCAATGGCACATTAACGCGAGTTCGCCGGCCCTCGTCGCCGATTCGAAATCTTTCCCAGTCCAGCACTGGATCTCTTCCGACCCTGCCCAGCACACCAACCTCCAGCTCGTCATCTCTCTACAGAGCATATGATCCCTTCTCCAGCAGTTACGGGGCCCTTTCCTCTGTACCCTCCACGCCGACATCGCTGAGGTCGCGTAGCCCCAGTATCTCGAGCTTGGAAACCATCCCGGACTCGCCCGATGCCGAGGAGGCGGCTCTTGAAGCTGAGAAACAGGCTCAACTAAAGGCTGCGGCTGAGATAACGGAGGCAGGGGACTCATCGGATGCAAAAGGACGGGGCAGTCTGGACCTGCCCGCCCGTGGTCGCACAATGGCTTTTGGCTCCAAAGACAAACGGAAGCGGTGGAGCGTCTGCGGTGCTGAGCGGCGTGGCGACATCGACCTGGAAACGATCTGGGAGGACTGAATGCATGCCCCGGTGGCAACTTTGAAATTATGAATGACACTGCATATGAGCGTGCGCAGACTTGTTTTGTTTTTCCTTTTTTTTCTTCTTTCTCTCTTTTACTAGGTTTGGTACACACGGGAAGGTCACTTTGTTTCACTTGACTTTCCAGGCGCACGGGACACGAGACGAGCATTGTGAAATTTTTTCGGAAATTGGCGCATACACACACTTATGCATATTGCTTTCTCCCGCACCTTTTTGATGGACAATTTTCTTTAAACCCACTCTTGTTTTTGTTGTGCGACCAGAGACGCAGCGGGCGTTTAAAATGAGAGTGTCTCTGGTCCGGATACCCTTTTGCATATCTACGTCTTACAACAAGGACTTTCAATGGCACGTCTGCTCCAAGCAGAGCAGCCACGCTCAGAACACAGAAAAAGCTATACGCCAGACTATGGCACAATGAATCAATTGGTTTCGTGAAATCTCAAATTTCTTGGCACGTGAATCTCCTCTCGCTGTGTTCCCTTGACATTGACTCTTGACCGTTCCCCTGACTATCAATGTTTTTTCTTGTTTGGGGGCCCAAGCAGGGCGAAGTCGCTCCCTTACTCCCTTTCCGCCTGGCCTGCAGATGTGGCTGATTACCTGTACACCGCGAGTGCACTATTGCACGGGATGATCCCCATCCGATAGTCTCCCTGCTTCCAAAGGGCTCATCCCGAGTCTTATTTGGGTTCCAGATTCATATTGTTATCATGCAGGGGCTGGGATTTGTGATATAAAACTTGGGTCTTCCATCTCGTGCTCTGGGAGATGAATCCTCGTCCTGAACGTCTCCCGGCATAATCTCTTGACAGGCCGTCCACTCATTATATATTGCCCCCCTCGAGTATCTGGTTGATGTTTATAATTTTCTTCTTTGATCCCCCTTTTTAATTCAATCTTTTATGTGTTTTACATCGAGAGCCTAGAACTAAGTTGACATGCGGTTTCTCACATTGTTTGCAGCCACTGGGCTGCTATCCATGGTGGATGCCTCTCCAGGAGCAGAGGGCGAGAAGGTATGTGAAATGACATGAAACCTGCGTGGTACTGTTGTAAATCGTGGTACTAATGGATGACCATGCATAGCTGGGAGCTGAAGAGCGTGTCATTGATGAGGTGGCCAAGGGTCTCTTGGATAAGAAGGCCTACATCTTACCAACATGCGCTACACTCAGCATCATCACGACCACCACGTTGACTGTTGAGACGACCATCTATGTCACTCCCACGGTCCACACTGAAGGGCTACCGCCATCCTCAACGACTCCCAACAAGGTCACGTCTACCACAACGGTGACTTTGCACCTATCTGTGCCACCCTACTCTCCTCCTAGCGGCGGCTCCAGCACCACCCATATCCTGCCCAGTCTTTCTACCTCAAGGAGCTCCAGCACACCTGGTAACCCCTTCACGTCTTCGCAGTCTTCTGCCACTTCCAAGACATCCTCGACAGGCCCGGGCGGTCAGTTTGTCACCTCATCGGCCTCCACCACTGTCAGGTCTTCGACCACCGTCAGGTCCTCGACTGGACCTCCTGCTGGTTCCTCCACGACTTCAGGAAGAGTGTCTACTACTCGGTCAACCAATTCTGGTAGCACCTCGAGCACTGCGTCTACTACCTCACGTACTGCTTCGTCGTCTGTGCCCGCATCTGGTTCTTCCTCGTCTACTTCTGGCACTGCCTCGAGCACTTCTTCGACACCTCCAGGCGGCCAGTTCTTGACCTCTTCCACCACTGTCAGCAGCCGTGCCTCATCTTCCACCGCTTCCAGCGGAGTGTCATCTACACAGTCTACGACCTCATCTGGCAGAGTTTCATCTACGCAGTCTTCCAACACGTCAAGCAGAGTGTCATCTACGCAGTCTTCCACTGCCTCAAGCGGAGTGTCATCTACACAATCTTCTACCACCTCTGGTGCAGTGTCATCTACGCAGTCGTCCACCACATCAAGCGGAGTGTCATCCACTCAGTCCAGCACTTCTGGAACGGCTTCTTCCACCACCTCTTCAGGCCCCCCTGGTGGTCAGTTTTTGACATCTTCTACATCTATTGGCGGCTCTTCCACCACTTCAGCCACTAGCTCTGTGCCAACCGATACAGATGACTGCGATCCAACAGGCGAACCCAGCAGCAGCGGAGTCTCGTCTACGCAGTCGTCCACCACATCGGGCGGAGTGTTTATCACCCAGTCTACCAGCTCAGCCAGCACTTCTGGGACGGCTTCTTCCACCACCTCCTCCGGTCCCCCTGGTGGCCAGTTCCTGACATCGTCCACCTCCATTGGCGGCTCCTCGACTACTGCTTCCGCCACCATCTCGGTGCCAACCGACACATATGACTGCGACCCTACAGATGAACCCACACCAAGCGCCACCTCATCTACCTCTGCCGTGTCCTCCACTTCGGCTACTGCTTCTTCTGCTACCTCTTCAGGCCCTCCTGGCGGTCAGTTCTTGACATCGTCTACATCCGTTGGCGGCTCTTCTACGACCTCAGGCCCCCCTGGCGGTCAGTCCTCCACTTCAGGTACTGCTTCTTCCTCCACTTCAGGTACTGCTTCTTCCACCACCTCCGGTACTGCTTCTTCTACCACTTCCGGTCCCCCCGGTGGTCAGTTCTTGACATCGTCTACATCTATTGGTGGCTCTTCTACTACTTCCGCCACCATCTCTGTGCCCACCGACACGGATGACTGCGACCCAACAGACGAACCTACGCCTGGTGCCACCTCATCTACCGCTTCGTCTGAGACATCTTTCACCAGGAGTTCCACTTCTGGGGGCATATTCATAACCCAAGCCTCCTCTACGTCGGCTTCCAGCACACCAAGCTCCAACACAGTGAGCTTTGCAACTCCCGTGCCCACTGATGATGGTAACGATGGCGATTGTGATCCTACGGATTCTGGTTCCGCAAGCAGCACCTTTGCCCCGCCAATTTTTATCACTCGGAGCTCTACAGCTGATCAGGGCAGCTCAACCAGCATCGTTTCCTTTGTGCCTACCTCCTTCTCTGTCCCTGGAGGTACCTTCAACGACCATGTTTCTTCCAGCAGCCTCTCTGTTCCCACCACTTTGAACACTCCTGCTAATCCCACTGGTACTCCCACACCCGTCAATGATGATGACTGTGACGACGACGAGTACCCCCTGCCTCCCCTGCCTCCCCTGCCTACTCTCCCTGGCTCCGGAGCCTCGTCCACCAGACCCGGTGGCGCATTCCCCACTGTCACCACTTTCAGCACACAGAGCGCATCTATCCGCGTCCCCACAACATTTGCGACCCTGCCTCGCACATCAGCCGCTCCCGCTGCTCCCAGATCCTCCGATATTAGTAACAACACTGGCAGTGGCGGCGACGCCGGTGACTGCTAGGGGATTTAATTTCATGTAACATTCATCAAGCTGGCCAAGACAAAAAAGGCACGGCTCCGGAAGTGGATTGAAACACAATTTGATGAGAAGCAACAAAGACGTGTGACATTGGGTAGTTATGTTGTCTCTTTCTTTTTCTCAACTTCTACTTCTATTTGGAATACATAGATAATACATACGATATTTTACATACAAAGTATAGCACAGCATCTGAACACGCACAGGGAGGGTCTACGGGAATACTGGTATCAATGACAGAATGATATGGGATTGGGAACGTGCGGGATGGATGAAACTGGGGGATTTCACTTCTTTGGATGTCTTTGCTTTTTTACTTCAATTCTTTCAAAATTGGTTTCATGTACCTGTACGCTGCTCCCCTGAACCATGACCAATCTTTGCCGTATCCTGACTAGGATCTTTTTTACCTTACTTTCTTTCTCTCCTCCTCTTAGCAGAACCAAGAATACGAAGGGCCTGTATCAAGCACATTGTGATGAGTCCCACGCTTCCTCCCCTGCATTCGGTCAACGCATTGCGGAAATTGTCTTTCAAGACATGCATTATCTTATATTAACCTGTCCTACTATCAAATAGAAAACTGTATCCATATCCAAATCCGTAATAAAAAGCTTCCCGTCAGATGCATTGTCATTAAATTAGACTTGTGACACCGCCGCCACCTTGTCGGTTCCATCCGCCCTTCCGCGGACATCCCTTGCAGCTGTACCAAGGTCAATAGTGTCAAAACGCACGGGTCATCAGAGACACGTCAATCAATATCCCGAGGCGCCAGGAGGCGGGAGAGCCTCTGGGCCGAACGACATGGGGAGAAGCTGCAAGGGAGGAAATAGTGTTAGCCAATCAACGGTGTTGGACGGTGTGTGCCGTGTGTGTTTGACAGGTAGCTAGCTTGATGGATTGGTTCCACGACGGCTGATGTGCATGTCGTAAAGCGGGAGGAAAGGAAAAAATCAAGGCACAATGTCTGAGCTGCAAGGGAGAAGGAAAGACTTACTTGTTCGATTGTCATGACAACGTAGTCGGAGTTTTTGTCAAACATGATGACGGGAGTCTGCAGGGAGCAAAACTCGCGGATGCTGCCAAGCGGTTAGTTTTTCAGCTGTCAAAGCCAAGCCAAGCCAACTCGATGCTGTCTCTCTGTCTGTGCTCCTTTTCTTCTCCTTTTTCGTCTTTCGCGCCTCCTTGGTCCTTCCCGCTGCTTTCTCCCTTGCATAATCCCAGCCCAACCCCGACAACTAACCACCACCACCTCCTCACCGAGAAAAACAAGAAAGGAAATAGACTGGGCTAGAACTCACAACTGCCTGCACATTCCACAAGGACTCGCCGGCGGACTAATATCCGTCGCCACAGCAATCGCCCGAAAGTTCCTAATCCCGCTCGTCACCGCCGTCCCAAAGGCCACCCTCTCGGCGCACGTCCCGACGGGATACGACGCGTTCTCCACGTTGGCTCCCGGAACATAAACCGTCTCGCCGGCGTCGTCGGCGCAGAGCAGCGTCGCGCCCACGCGGAACCGGCTGTAGCGGCAATACGCCGTGGCCTTTGCGGCCGTGGCGCGGCGCTGCAGCTCGGCGAACTCGGTGGTGGTGATGTTGAGCTGTGCGCAGGTTGAGGCGATTTGGGCCGCGTCGGCGCCGGAGTGGATGGGTGGGTTGGTGGACATGGTTGTTGTGTGTGTGTGTGTGTAGATTTTACTCGGTATCAAAGATGGATGGATAAAGGGGCGTAGTCACTGTTCGTCTTCTAGTATCTCGTTATCCAAAAACAAAAAGACTCCAATCAAATAATTATCAATAATAATTACACCTCCTCAGCACAAAATGCTCAGAAGGGGGGTTCTCAAGATCGCCCGGGGAAAGAAAAAGAAAGGGAAAAAGAAGAAAAAAAAAGGGAGAGAAGAAAAAAACAGTCTTTATCAATTCCGGGGGCGCCTCCTTCCCCCCACCGGAACACGCCGTGGATGCGGGGCGTCAGGCGGGGGAAAGTGCCATGGCAGCGACGGCAGGCGCCGGCTTGGCCTTTCGCCGAATGCGGACGGCACCTGCCTGCATCGCTGCGCTGGCGGGTTTCTTGGCGGTCCCTTTTTTTTTTTTTTTTTAAACTGATCCGGGGAGGAGATATGAGTACGATACGCAGCGGATACCTGGCTTCTGCATATGATAGGACCGTGTTGTGAGGTACACCGTCTGGTTGCTTGTTCGTATCACCAGCCAAGATTTTGTGTTATCAGCTGAGCTGGCACAATCTCTTGGTCATATTACGTACTTTGTACTCGGACTGCGTAATCTATTGGCAAATCGGTGTCCACTTAAACGCGTATTCAATTCTGCCCTGTCCGACCCTCAGATATCCTTCCATCACCCGACTCCCAGTAGGTACAGGTAGTTTGCTCAAAATATAGTTCATATCCTTTCATCCCCTCCTCGAATAGCGCGTAATTCCTCCATGTCAATTTCCCGCCCACCAATTATCCAGGCTGTCCAGTTCTTTGTTTGCATGTAAAGTGTCAAACATGGCATACCAACTCCGGACTCTCATCCCTGATGCAATCTTTGTGTGTGTAGGTATCGTCGAAGCAAAATATCACCCTTTCCTCCCATATTTGTTCAAAGGCTGCTGAAATAAAAAGAAAAAAAGGAAACAAAGGGGGAAAATAGCAAGAAAGCCAAGAAATGAGTAAATGACGTGCAAAATCCGTTGATCCTCCATGTAATGCTCGCTTATTTGATGGTTTCATGTCATTTGCATCTCGCCATATATCAATGGCCAAAGAAGAGAAGAAGCAAAGCAGAAGAAAAAAGAAGAAGCCAAAATCCCACTCCAAGACGAACCAAAAACAGAATAGAATAGGAGAGGAAGCAAAAGGCCTTAATCGTTTATAAATTGCACTTTGTCTCGCGCCCTAGTAAAATCCATCTGGCCCAATGCTAGTCCTGGTCGAGGTGGCCGACACAAACGGCGACAGAGACGATCCACTAGCATCGCTGGGTGTCGCTGGCTCGACTACTTGGTTTCTGATGGTCATTATCCACTCATGCTGCAGTAGTTCTATTGCCGTCGATCTCTGCTTAGGATCTCGTGTAAAGCACTTGGTGAGGAAGTCGATACCCTGAGGGCTGAGCTGCTCCGGGGACGGGAGCTGCGGTGGGTTGCCCTGAGCAATGTTGTACATGATGGCCCATTCGTTGTCCAGATTGGCCCATGGCCGTCGTCCCGTTGCCATTTCGAGAATCACGCATCCCAGGGACCAAATGTCCACCGCCCCAGCCTTACCGGGGTTATCGCCTTTGATCACCTCTGGCGACATGTACATGGGAGTTCCGGTCATGGACTTGTTTGGCTTTGTGGCGTGTAGATCGGCGGCCATTGTTCGCCCCTGACGAGCAATGAGTTTGGCAGCGCCAAAGTCCACATACTTGATAATGCCATTGTGGTCGAGAAGAATGTCTGATGATTCATGTTAGCGTTTCCCGACTGGAACGGAAAAAAAGCGGATTGTAATTAAGAAAAAACTCACTCTCAGGCTTAATATCTCGATGAGCAATTCCACTCTCGTGCAAATATGCGAGACCCTCGAGCAGCTGCAGCGCATACACCATGATGACCTCTTCCTCTTCGATGCGGCCGTGTTCCAGCAGGCTGGCCAGGGACCCTCCAGAGCAAAACTCCATAAAGATGTACACGCGATCTCGGTGCACTTCGATGCCGTGATATGATACAACGTTGGGGTGGTCCAGCACTTCCAGCACGCGCATCTCCTCGCGAATCGACTCGGCAATCGTAGGGATCAGCTTGGGGTCCTGGAGTCGAATCTCCTTGACCGCCATCAGGTGGCCCGTGTCCAAGTTCATAGCTGCGTACACGTTGCCAAATGTGCCTCCGCCCACAAACTGGCCCTGCTGCCATCGTACCGTGACGTTTGTTGCAGATGCCGATAGATAGGCTAGCGATCGGTCGGCCTCGTTGTTCGTCTCCAGCACTCGGCCCAGTGCTCGCCGCTCGGCCTCCTTGTCTTGCCGAAACTCGTCCACGCGAATGAGCTTCTCCAGTCGCTGCTCGGTAACGCCCAGCGTGGCCTCCTCGTCGTCTAGCATCTTGTTCTTGTCCTTCCTAAATTGACTCACAAGATTCTCGATTCTTTCCTTCTCGGCTTGGGCGGCCAAGCTGGATCTTGCCCCCATAATGTCAAAGTGCGAGATCAGGACAGACATGCACCCGCCGACCTTGGCACGCACCCTTTCATACTCCTCCTGACCCAGGCCCAAGATGTGGCGCCCGCGAGTCATGCCCATGGCAAACTCGAGAGCAGTCACCGCCCACCTGAATGTTCTTCGATCCGACGCCACGCAGTCATCGCAGATGAAGCTGACCCAGTCCAGCGCCAGCTTGGTCAGCTGGATGTTGTTCATCTGTCGTCGGTTGGCGTCCATGTATAGTAGTGAACGCTGGCCGAATTCCGTGGCCGAAATGAAGCACGTTTGAATGAGCTCCTGGCAATCTTTGCCTCTCGTCTGTTTCCTGATAATCTCGACGCTCTCCATGAATGCGTTGGATAGCTTGTAGGCCGTGCTGCGAATATCGGCCAGCCTCGTGTGGACCTTGTGAATGTTGGGCCGCGACTCCAATGCCAGGTCAAGGTGCATGTCGATGGCGTCGAGAAAGTTCCTTCGCGCGTTGGCGATGGCATCGCTACCCGTGGTGCAGAGCCGAACTTGCCCGGTCTTCATCTCAATATTGTGCTCCTTGACCGGCACGCCCACGACCTCGCCAAACCATGAAAGGCGAGCCTCTGGTTTAAGGATGAGGACGTACTGATCGCCGGAATCGTCGGCGAAGCGATCCGCAGAGGTAATGGCCAGCATGGGCGAAATGTCGTCAAGCCTGTGCCTCATTTCTGGAGACGCAATCAAGTAGATGTTCAGAGACTCAAACACGCCGTACGTGTCCACCTGGAAGTGGCCTGACGCTACCAGGTGGTCGTAAAACACCTGCAGCTCTCCCGGCCCCAGAGAGATGTTAAAGTCGCAGGCGTGCTCGTAGTTTTCGCTCAGCCTCCTCGAAAAGCGCTGGAGCATCCTCTGGCGGACGCGCACAGAATCCAAGGCAGCCTTGTATCGCTTGCTCATCTCTGGCCCGCTCTCGCTGGGCTTCTCCAAAAGCTCTCTCTCAAACATGGTGCTCAGTCGCTTAAAGGCCTTCAACGTCAGCGAACTGAACTGCTCCGCAACTTCAATGTTACCGCGTTGAAGGTTTCCGCCAATTAGGTTGGCAAAATCCCACTCCTGAAACAACAGCTCGGCTTCCTTGAAGGTGTTTTTATTACCGGTGAGCTTCCAGTTGAGCAGCTTGAAGTAGTACTTGAGGGCCCCCAACACCACCGCATCGAACGTCTCATCGATGCAGGGAGGCAGGTCCCACCCGGGTTCCGGTTTCTCAATCTCGAGATACTCAGTCTTGATCCTGATGGCGAACCGCAGGAGCAGCTGGAACTGGGAGATCATCTGGTCTTGCATCAACGGATTTTGCTGGGCCGTGTCCTTCATCTTCTTGGCATACTCCAGTCGCGTTTTTGTAATCTCCTCAATCAGGCGTGAAGGAAAGCTGATGAGGGTCAGCAGCTCGTCGAGGTATGGCGGCAGGTGTCGTTTCTGAAAAGGGGCCGAGTTATAGATTAGCGTCTCCTTTGCTTTTTTGATGACGTTTGATATCGGCACCAGCATTCCTAGCTGGACTAACTCGCCCCTGAGGATAACCTTTGCGTTCTCGTTGTACAGCGACTGGAGGCCGTCCTCCTTCATCAGCCTATCGAGGAACGAAGTCTCATCCGTGGTGATGCCGTCGACGGCCGGGGAACGCTGCTTGGTCCTGGAAAAGTCCAGCTCATCGTTGCCCACCCACTTTTTGAGAATTGCGAGCTCGGTGTTGATCATCTCGTTGATGTTATACCAAGACATGATGGCTTCGTAGGCTTCCAAGAACTGGGGGGAAACGGCGGTTTTGTGCTCGGCGACGAGAGCTGACCAAGAAGGATACATGCTCTGACACTTTTCAAGCTTCTTGACCACGTCCTTGACTTGCTCGTAGGGTGGCTTCCCCGCCTCGTTGGTTCCCTTGACTTCGAAGTTGATGACTTCGTCCAAGAGACGATCAACGCTCGCCCGGCCATCCTCCACCATGCGCTTCTGAACCGGAAGACGCCTTCCACACGATTCAGCTCGGAGCTCGAGCCACAGCTCCTGTCTGTATGTCGCCCTGTTGGTGGTGGTATCGGTAGCATTGATCAGGCGCTTCTTCTCCTGCCGGACGACATCTCCCGTCAATACGGCCTCCAGCATGCCGTGCCACTCCAACCGTTCCCGGTTTTCGGGTATTGAGATGTCTTCTTCCGTCGGCTGTATGTCGTCGTTGCCGTAGAACATGATGGTCTCTTGGTCGAGGCGGTCATCAAAGGGACCCTCAGAGGATGGGGTCTCGCCCTCCGAGTCCGATTCGTTTCCGGGTTGTGCCTGGAACTGGCTAAAATATTCGCCCGTGTAGCCCCCTTGCCGCAACGTCTGGACGTATGCTCTCTCTTGCGCCCGAAAGCGGCTGTCGCTCTGCCGCGGTCGCGTCTTGGACGAGGATCGGGGTCCCTCCGAGAAGGACGCCTGCGACTGGGGAGCGGGCTTCCGTGATGTGGAAGGGTTGTACGTATTGGACGGCATTCGCACGGGGGCCGAGGGACGTTGAAGGTACGGCGCGTCGGCCTCTCCTGCGCTGGGCCGCTTGGCAGGCGGGCCGCCATTGATGTGCGTGCCGGGCGGCAATGAGCTCAGCGAGCCGGTGATGCTGTTTGGGGCGTCGGCATATCTGCTGAGCGACCCCAGATCGTCTTGACGGTCGATGGTGTGCTGGTCGGCGCCGTTGGACTCAGGAGACGAGTCCTCGTCCTCGATCATGGCGTGCTTCATGTGCTGCAGGAGCAGGTTGGATGCGTCGCCGTCGTCGTCGTCGCTGCCGCCGGAGAATCGCACAGCTCGGTCCAGCGAGTTGGGCATTGCTTGGTGCTCGGGCAGCAAATCGAAATCGTCTGGGTTCACGTTGTTGTTCGCCCCAGCTCTCTCCTAGCAGGACAAGGTCCGCGGTGCTCCCTATCCAATATATTTCTGACTGCAGCTTCAGGCACGTCCCCAGCGCTAGGCGGCGCAAAGGCTGGCAATGAGAATCGTCCGAGTAAGGCGGTGCTCAGTCCGACATGTGTAGACGACGCAGTGGTGTCGACAGCTTTTGCGATATTTGATGCTGGCGGGGATGCTGAAGTGAAATTAGGTGATGTGGTGTAGGTACGGAGCAGAATAGTGAATAGAGGCTGCACGAAATATGGGCAAGGCTGTTTCGTTAGGTCGTCATTCAGGGCGCGGAGCTGGAGCCCGTTACCGGCTGGCGAATAGCAGGGCCAGGGCGAGGCGTTGGTGGACTGCAGTGGACTGTAGTGGACTTGTAGGGGGCAGGGATGAGGCTGGCATTGGCCTGTGCTGCTGTAGTTCTTGGGGCGTGGCGGCACGTTTTACTGGGCTGCGTGCGTGTTCTTTTGCCTCAGCTAGGTTCCGAAGCGGAGAAGATGCGGTGCCAGCTCACTCAATGCATGCCAGGCACCCTGCACTCTTTGTGTGTTGTGTTTGGCATTGATTGATTTATTCGATCAATGCATTCATGCTGCGATTGCTGATTCGAGTATCGAATGTGAGGGGAACTGGCGTGATAGGAGGGAGATGGATGCTTGAATTCATTCATCTCTACGTACAAGTATTCCAATTGCAAGGTACTGGTTAGCACGTGCGTTTATTTGGAGCCGCTATATGGAGAACCTGGTGATGCTACACGTGTAGGGCTGTACTCGTACTTGTTATCCAACCCTCAATCAATTCAAGTCACTTCAAATTGATGAGATATTAGGTTCCATTCAATATGCTGCCATCACCACGATGGAATTGACTGACCATGCTATGTAAATCCAGAGCGAAGCCAACATATTAACCGCTCTCTGGCATCTGCGTACACAGAGTAAGCAGTAATACGCGCGAGGAAAATCGAGCCGCCATAACAAGGTGAACCCTTGTTGTAGCCAGACCAGATGGTGTCTATTCCGTCCGTCGACCACATGTTGGCTCCCCGACTGAATGTTTCACAGCATCAAGTCAGTGTCAGGTGAATAGAGTGTCTTTCCAAAGCAAGCAGGAAATCAAGTGAGGCGAGATACATGGTGTACCTTAGGTATATACGTATTGTCAGTGATACATGCCCCTCTCCTGGACGGCCAGGATTGATATTTCCTCTCAAAGCATCAATGGAAACATCAAAATCGAGTACTGCTAAAGAGAGTCTCTGTCTCCATGTTTGCTATATTTTGCTGAATCCAACGAAGAACCAACAATATGGGCATTAATAGCTTCCCCCAACAATGCCAAGATGTGTAATTGCGACCATGTTCAAAATGGGATATCCGATACGAGAAGGCCCAATTCAATTCTGGTTGGCGTTGGCGTTGAAGCCACCCACATGTGAATGCGAATGCGAACTTCCCTGTCCATCCATTCCCCGCGGAACTTTAGCATCGCCAGTGGCAAAAAACCACCCCCTAACTAAAATCAAGCTCAACCACTCGGAAGCAAAAGAAAAAATGCATTGACAGTAATTCCATCTCACCAAACCAAAAGCCCTCCATGGAATTTTTACCCCAGAATCTGCGACTACTAATCGGTTTCGCCGCGGCCACTTTTAACGGCGCCCCACTCCGAAATACCGGCTTACCGAGGCACATGCGCATTCTGGGGATCCTTCAAGCTTACATCGACTCCATACTATCTGTAATCTTGCTCGATTTCGCCATGCTTCGTCTGCCATTGTCACTGTCACTATTTTCCGGTTGGACCGACGGATAACGGCTAACGGACAGGCAAATATATCAATATCAACCGTCGCTCTGCCTCGTTGATTCAGTCACTAAGATCCTCCCTCCTCTGTCTCTGTCCAACCCGTCAAACCGCACACCGATTGTTCCTTGATCCTCTCCCAGCAACAAGAAGAACATAGTCGCGTCGCAACAATGTCGGTCCCCGAATCCAAATACTTGAGCGCCATATGGCGAGACAACATCTTCAGTGAGTCGCCCGCCCTTGGGATTGACACAGACACGCGACACGTGTGGCTAACCCAATGTTTGCTCGCCCACAGAGGACAAGGTCATCTTCGTCACTGGCGGCGCAGGCACCATCTGCAGCATGCAGACCAGAGCAATGGTCCGACTCGGAGCGAACGCCTGTATCCTGGGCCGAAACGCCAGCAAGACGGAAGCTGCGGCCAAGGACATTGCAACAGCTCGGCCGGGCGCCAAGGTCATTGGCATTGGAGAATGCGACGTGCGCAAGGTAAATAGGATTAGGCTCTTGCATCGCAAACGAGATGGACAGCCAGTTGCTGACGACAGTCCCGATAATAGATTGAGAGCCTCGAGGCTGCGGCTGCGCGATGCGTCAAGGAGCTTGGAGGCATTGACTATGTAATGTGAGGAGCCATTCTTGTGCGCTGCTCCCCCCGATGGCGAATGCGATACTGACAGCCCAACAGTGCTGGTGCGGCGGGCAACTTTGTCGCCTCCATCGACAAAATCAGCTCCAACGCCTTCAAGACCGTCATGGACATTGACGTGATCGGCACCTACAACACCATCAAGGCCACGATCCCTTATCTCCTCCAGAGCTCGACCCCCCGCATCATCGCCGTCTCGGCCACCTTCCACTACACCGGCATGCCCTTCCAGTCGCACGTCTCCGCCGCCAAAGCCGCCGTGGACTCACTCATCGCCAACGTTGCGCTCGAGTACGGCCCCCGTGGTGTAGTCGCCAACGTCATTGCTCCAGGCCCCATCGCCGACACCGAGGGCATGGCCCGCTTGGCGAGCAGCAGGCCGGAGGAGATTGCCAAGTTCGCAAAGACGATCCCCTCCGGACGATACGGCACAGTCAAGGACATTGCGGATGCGACAGTGTTCCTCTTTAGCGATGCTTCCAGCTACATCAACGGACAGATTATCCCCGTGGACGGTGCTTCGTGGAGAAGGCAGGGAGCCTATACGGTTGGTGTGGATGCAGGTGTTGAGTACCCCGACTTTCTCAAGACGGAACAGATCTCTGAGGGTCTGAAGGGAGGAAAGAAGGACAAGTCCAAGCTTTAAGAGAAGCTGGAACGAAGAGAAGAGAAAGAAGGAAGATGTGGCGTTTGGGTGATGGGACGGAGAAATCTTGCCTTAGAAGACATGTGGCATATCGAGGCTGTTTATTAGCAGCCATAGAATTTAAAGCACAGCAATTTCAGAGTTATTTCTAGTTCGTATACAGAGTACACATTTTTATCAGCGCGTATACTCTGAGAGATATTCATCTTTTACATATCAATTTCCGCTGCTCTTAATAGTGCTGCCCTGCCAACTGTATCCTGTGAGTCGATACGACTCATATATAGTGCCCATGCTCAATCAACAGCTGAACAATAACTGTATGAGTAAATTCCGTCGCCACCTCTATTGCGCCTGATAGTAGTGGCACCCATAGTTGTCTATTGCGCAAACCGATCTCAGCAGCTCTGTCGAGCAGTAGCTCAACGATAGCCGTATGCCCCATCTCCACTGCCAGAAGCAGCAGTGTGGGCAGGACTACAGCAGAGGCCCCAATTTGCACATCGTTGTCAAGAATTTGCTGGATGATGACCATAGATCTCTCTGTGAATGCGTTTGATGGGAATAACGAGACATCCGTAGCCTCATGGCTGATGTCAGCGCCTCTGTCGAGGAGTAGCTGGACGATAGCTGCACGTCCCAATTCCACTGCTAGAAATAACGAGTCGAGCATGATGAGAACAGACGTCTCACATTGCGCATCTTTGTTGAGAATATGCTGGATGATATCTATACATCCATTTTCAGTAGAATTTAGCAGTAATGATGAGACATCCGTATCCTCATAGCTGATCTCGACGCCTTTATCAAGCAGTAGCTGAACGATGGCCACACGTCCCATTTCTACTGCCAATGAGAGTGGTGTCCGTTTATCTGGACCCTCCAAATTAGGGTCAACGCCTTTGTCAAGCAGTAGCTGAAAGATGGTTGCATGTCCCCTTTCTGCTGCCACTGATAGCGGTGTCCTCCAAGTAGAATCTTTCACGTTAGGGTCAGCGCCTTTGTCAAGCAGTAGCTGAACGATGGCTGAATGCCCTAGTTCTACTGCCCATGAGAGTGGTGCCCTTTCATCTGAACCTCTTAAATTGGGGTCGGCGCCTCTGTCAAATAGTAGCTCGGCGGCAACTATTTGATTTTCTTTGATCGCGGACACTAGCGGTGTTTGGGTATAAATATCATTTCCCACCAAGGGATAGCCCCGACGGAGTAGTAACTCAATACGAAGCTCATCTTCATGTTGTATTGCCCATGATAATTCAGTTAAGTGACGGTCATCTGGTTGGATGGTAGTTCCTCTATCAATAGTAGCCGAACAAGAGCTTCATGTCCTTTTGATACTGCCCATGATAACGGCGTCCAGTCCTGGTTGTCTCGAATATTAACATCGGCGCCATTGTCGAGTAACAACTGAACAGTCCTCTCGTGTCCGCCCTCAGCTGCGAAAGCGAGCGGCGTCTTACCGTCCATGTCTCTCGTATCAATAGACGCCCCCTTTTCAAGGAGTAACTTAACAATGGCGACATAGCCGTTCGCTGAAGCGTACAATAGCGGAGTTCGATCAAAGTATGCGCCGATGATTTTCGCGTCAGCGTCCATGTCGATGTTTTTCGAGTCAACGTTGACGCCATTTTCGAGGAGCAGCTCAACAATGTCTTCATGATTGTTTGCAGAGGCATAGAGCAATGGTGTTTGATTCCATTTGTCTTCCGAGCCCGCGTCAACTTGTCCCGTCTTTAGCAGCAAGGCGACGACAGTTACATGGCCATTTTCAGCAGCCCACGACAGGGGCGTCCGACCGTATGTATCTTTCAAGTCCGGATTGTCGCCTTTTCGAAGAAAATGGCCAACGGCTTTTTCAACTCCAAAGTATGCCGCTAGGTGTAGTCGTGTTAATTCCCTTGGGATCCGTTCAATGAACCTGGATAGCAATGCTGATGACTCCAAGGGCCTCACTGCCATCAGTATCTGGCTCGCTGCCTCTATCTTTGCCTTGCACTCTAGTAGATCAATGACTTGCTGACTTATTATAGCAGCCGCCCGAGCATGATGTCCCCAGTTATGTGCGGCATAATGATACAGCGGGTTGGAATTGAGACGCTCTTTTAGTTCGTCCCCCGTCTGACAAGGCCCGTTCTCGAAAGTGCCGAATGATAGGTACGTGGCGCATACTTTCGTCATGTATAACTCCCCCTGCGGAAACCATTCCTCGTGTGTCTGCTGGAGGAACTCTTGAGTCGTGTAATGAACCAGACGGATGATCTCACTGCTTTCATCAATCGTGACTAGTCCAGCACAAACAGATGTTAGAAATTCCATGTCGGGCATATACCTGAGGTCAAATTTCAACATATTTTCCCTGACTGCAAGCGCATGTCGGATCTCAACAATGGACAGTGGTCTTTGGGCGCGAGTAATCCAGATTAGAATCCGTTTTGCAAGGCGTTTAGTGACCTCTGGGTGGTCGTTGATCCGTTTTATGGCCTGTTTGTACAATTCGTTCAACCCTTCCATCCCACTGCCTAGTTTCTGCAGGACATCTTCAATGTCTCCTATTGTGGGCTGTTCCATAATTTCTTTTATGTGAAACATTGCAAGGAGGAACCTAATATTGGCATCAGCTCGACCATTCTCTGAATTTCAGGAAAATGTAGCATACATTCCACCAGAGGCTTTTGTCAATTGAGTGCTGATTTTGCCTTGAAGATCACCGTTAATCATGTTCGAACGCCGGAGAGAGATCTGCCCATTGAGATAGGTTAGGATGTCTCCATCAGTTGCAGAAATTTCCACAGTTGGACATCCGTCGAATTGTTTCTTTATGGACTCGCTAAATCTAGAAGTTGCAAGGATATTGACTCCAGTCTTGGTCTGAAGGTCGAATACTCCGTCGAGGAGCCCTAGCTGACCCAATTCTTGGCATTCGTCAAGGGCATCGATTACAATAAAGCTTCTTGAATAGTTTTCGGTTATAGCTTGGAGTGCTGCTGTGACCTCGCCCAGCGAAGGTTGCGTCCGGGTCTCCTTGTGTTTGTCGAAGAGATCTTTCACGGTCTTTGGCAGATGCGATTGGCCCTGGGATAGCTGCTTTAGCAGATTTGTGAGTAGCCTTATGGCCGTTTGCTCGTTTTGTTGGCGAAAGTTGCAATAGATGTACGCAAAACCAATTTTTGGATGACCTTGAAAATGAGTCAACAGATGATTGACCACTATGGCTGTGATGATAGTTTTGCCAGCTCCAGGGATGCCGGGGCAAAATAAAGTCTGCCCTTTAGTATCCAGCCATGTTTTATACTGTGTTGAATCAAGGAACCACTGGCCTGTTCCTCTTTGTTGCCTGCTAATGAAGTCGTTGTGCTGAGGGGCATAGTCAACAAGTGTAAGCCAGTCAAGGATAGCTCGCTGTTCTTGACTGTGTTGTTTATGGACAAGTTTATGGACCTCCTTTTCTACGCCATGAACTGTCTCTTGTACATCTACCACACTTGTATATTAGTAGGTAAACGTTGGACTAATAATTATTTATGCTACCTGGGACTTACCTGACAGAACATCTATGATCCTCTTTTCTGCCGTAACGCTGTTGGGAGCGATCCGGTATAGCAAGTCTTTTGCATACGCAGCTGCTACCATAGCCGCATAACCCTGCCATTCTTTATTTTTATGTGAATCCGAGTAATCGCAGATACCACGAATAATCAAGCAGGGAAAATGGTTCATCAGTCCCGCGGCCTCCATCTCAAAACATAATACGTCTTTCTCTGCTGCAAGTTTATCTCGAAGTAAGGCGTTCTTCATCAGTTGGTTTGCTGAAGCAATCAGGCCATAATGAATTGCCGGGTTATCCTCGTCCTCATCCCTTTCAGGTCGTACTATCAGCTCAGATTCATCACAAGTAAGGACGCAGCTTTCTTTGGTGTTTGGATGGACGACTCCAGTGGGATATAACCTGTCACTGCTTTGGTCCGGTTTCTTATACTGGCGGCGTAGCCTCTTATTCTTCTCAAGGACACTATTGACTGCTTCTTCAATCCGATGGCCTTTTCTCTCCTATTGAGCCTGGAGCCCTGCCAGTGCTGTCCGCAGAGCAACGGGTGGTTGGTTCAAAAATCCCGTAGCTAAGAATTCCTGGTCCTGAATATTTTTGCCAAAGTCGTACTGGAGCAGGCCACCGTTACCGTTCTTTGGAGCGCTGACTACAATGCCACCAAGACGGATGTCATGTTGTTCGCTCGGAGCACCGCCGCCAATGCCGACCATTAGACCAATTCTGACATTGGGAAACGAGTGCATCATGTCCCTAGCAACAGTTGCTGCTGAGGCTATGCCATACTCCCCGAAAGGCAAGGTAGCGATGACAACGTTGTGCTCCCCAATGCTGCCTAACGTGTAATTGTTGTTGTCATGAAGCGATACATTTTTCGGCCCCTCGTGTTCTTCATCAAGGAACTCTTGTGCGGCAACGTATTCGACTGTGATAGCACAGATCCACCCGACAGTATAGTCATCAGGCTTCAGCTCCCGCAAAGGAGTCTGCACATTATCAATATCCTTCTTCCACCTCTTCTCTGGGCTGGATACATCTTGTTGGGTATTCTCGAGCGCAAAATCTCTCTTCGTCATCGTTTAAGGCGTTCACTGGATATAAGAAGAATTGTGGAAGAGTTCATGAGGACGACTTGAATTTGCTGAGTTGAATTTGGCCCTGGTTTGTCGCTGCAGATTCTCTGTAGGATTCGTTAGATTCATTAGGCTGACTTCAGGCAGCAGCTCTAGGTAACCACAGCCTCTTCCGCCGAGTCAATCCTACTACCTATATGGCAAATGGATACTTTACCTTTGTCTGTACGGAACATGACCCCACAAAGCAATATCTACTACCAATGCCAAGCTGAAAGATCAATAGCGCAATGTACGGCACTCGTACCTCGTATCAATCTCGGTAAGCTTGGTACCGCATGTGTGAGAAGCTGACATGAGGCTAGTCTGCCGAAAAAAATTAAAGCATGCATCTCAGCGGATCCGATTGCCCTGGTACTGCGTCCTCGGAGATGTTTCACCCGTCAATCAAGAGCAATCGTTATCATCGTGCTGCTGAACATTGATTTTGAGGTTGCCAAGCTGGATTATTCAAACCCTCGGTAAAACGGCAGATGGCAGTATCGACTTGTAGATAACGGCGGTTTGCCTCCTTCACATGCTAGGACAATCGGAGAAACTACAGAATTCATGAGCTGAAAAGCAAACAATCAATGATGTCTTTCTTGCAAGTAGGCCGAAAGAGGGCGCGGGAATAGTCCGAGTCTGATTGAGTTTTGAGTATCCAGATTTGCTTTTGGCGGTGGCAACGGAGCACCAGATGCTTGGCTGCGCTTCTAGATCATTGGAAGATGGGCTCGAAGAGTGAGATACAACTCGGTCAATTAAACTCGTTAGCTGAACGCCATGGCACCAAGATTCCTCCAGGTGGCCACAGCCATGAACTCGAATCCTGCTCAGGATGTCTTGTTCCGATGCCCATTGCCTTCGCCTTTCGGGCCAGCTGCTCTTATCGGCCAAACCCCACCTTTGAGGGAGAAGCAGGCGGTTGTCGGGAATCGCAGGCCGGGCTGGAGCTGATTACGGCCAATGGCGTCGTGGGAGTATCTCCGGGTGGGCGGGGATTTTTGGGTGGTGGTGGTGATGGAGGTGGCACGTCGGCTTGGCGTTGTTCGGGGAAGTTGTTTTGCAGGTGACGAGAACGGAGGAGGGTGCTGGATGGGGGTTTAGCGTCGATAGTATATAGCATCTGCGTGAGCCGTGAGCTGTGAGAAGAGGAGATGGTGATAGTGATGGTGATAGTGATGGTGAGATGATGAAGAGTCTTGATAACTGAAGTTTCCCCCATGAGATGCCATCTGATGCGAGGTGAACATGGTGGTTATAACAATATCGAGACAAGCTGCTGTCTGTAAGAGTCAAGGAAGAAAAGAAGCTGTCATTAGAGCCTAAATTGAGCCCTCTCGTCTTTAATCGGAGCTGTCCGCTCAGGAAGCTTCCGCCCTGCCCCTCTGCCGATCTTCCAGCTTCCGTCTTCCAGCCCCCCGGCCCCTAAAAGCCTCCATACAACCTAACCTTTTAGGGCTCCTACAGGCCCCCAGAGGCCCCTGGATCGCCCCTCTCAAGCTTTACGCGAGCCACACGACAATCCCGCCCCAACCTTGCAACCTCTGTTTTTCTGCTCTTCTGCTTCCCCTCCCGGCGGGGCTTTTCTGCATCTCTCAACGCCACTCTTTTGCGCCCTCGACGGCTTCAATTCGCTGCCGTCCCAGCTTTCCACTCTGCAGCTTGCAGGCCTGTGAGAAAAGTCCCGGGCTAATTGGGCCTAGCAAAGCTTGTTCTGCAAACGGCTCGCTCACACATGCCTGCTTTGGGCAAGCAATGGGTCCCCAAGGCATGGGATGGACAGGGCCGCCCGACTGTGTGTATGCTAGCTTGGCTAGGTATCATGCTACTATGGATGCTTTACTTTGCTGTACATCAGCTTCGAGGCTGGCGTATAAGTATGCGGGTGTATATGCCCAATCATCCTCTCACGCCCTCTTCTTGCTTCTTCTCCCCCCGATCGCGACAGCTACAGTACGATTCAAGTACTAGGTAGGCAGGCAACCAGGTACTTCTTCTTTCTTCCATCTACAGCCTCAGCAACGAGCTTCAAGATGCAGTCCAAGCTCCTCCTCGCAACCCTCTCGGCCGCTGCCGTTGCCCCGGCCGCCGCTGAGCAGGTCCTCGGCGTCTACATCTTCCACCGTCACGGAGACCGCACGTCCAAGGCTTGGAACCCCGTCAGCCTGACCCCCCTGGGAGCCCAGCAGGTGGCCAGCTCTGCCGAGTTCTACCGCAACCGCTACATCACCAGCGATGCCGACCAGCGTATTGCTAGCATCAGCGCCAACCAGGCTGTCCTGTCCCAGCTGGCCGTCACAGCCCCGGTCGACAATGTGCTGCAGAACTCGGCCAATGTCTTCGTTCAGGGCCTGTATCCCCCGAACCAGACTGCCGGATCCCAGAAGCTGGCCAATGGTACCACCGTCGAGGCTCCCTTGGGCGGATATCAGTATATCCCCGTCAACACCGTCACCTCCGGGGCCAGCTCGTCCAATTCCGAGTCAAGTGCCTGGCTTCAGGGCAGCAGCGGCTGCAGCGATGCCGTGGTCAGCTCGAACAGCTACTTCTTGACTCCCGAGTATCTGAGCACTTTCAACGACACCAAGGATTTCTACCAGAACCTGCTGCCTGTCATTAACACCACCTTCAACTCTACTACGGCCACCTTTAAGAATGGCTACTCAAGTATGTATTCATATCATATTGTTAATCTCACCAGTAAGACGATTTAGTTCACTAACAGTCACCCTTCAGTCTTTGACTACATCAACGTCGCCACAATCCACAACTCCTCCATCCCCTCGGACAACCTCCTCACCAACTCTACCCTCACCAACCTCTACGACCTGGCCTCCACCCACGAATGGAACCTCGCTTTCAACAGCAGCGAGCCCGTCCGTGCCATTGCTGGCTCTGTCCTCGCCGGCCAGATCATGACTACCCTCCAGCCCATTGTTGACGGCAAGACGGCTCCTCGCTTCAACATCCAGTTCGGTGCCTACGGTGCCTTCATGGCCTTCTTCGGTCTCGCCCAGCTGCCCGCTGCCGACAACCAATTCTACGGCATCTGCAACTACGCCTCCTCCATGGTCATCGAGGTTGTCGCCCCTAGCTCCACCCAGACCTCTGCTGACGATCTCACCGTCCGCTTCCTCTGGTCCAACGGCACTGCTGCTGCCAACGGCCTCAAGGCGTACCCCCTGTTCGGCCAGAATGAGACCACCCTCAGCTGGAACGACTTCAAGACTGGAATGGACAAGTTCGCCATTGCCGATACTCAGGACTGGTGCCAGATTTGCGGCAACACCGACGGAAGCTGCGCTGCCAACTCGACCACCTCCAGCACCCCTGAGGCTAAGTCTTCCGACAACAGCAACATCACCAAGCCCGTCGCTGGTGTCATTGGCGCCCTCGTCACCCTCGGAGTCATTCTCGGTCTCGAGGCGCTCGTTATTCTCCTCGGTGGCCTGCGCCTTGTCAAGAAGTCGACTTTGGCCAAGGCAAACGCTTCTACTGGCGAGGCGGCCGTCAAGGCATAAATTTGGTGCAAGTGAAACTTTTGGTCGTACATAGTAGGCTGTGGCATGGATAGGAAGGGATGGATTGGATAACGTCATATACCCAAATTAAGAAGATATGAAATTTCTTTCAAACTCGCCCATTTTGCCCTTGATAATTGGTGTTTTCATTTCAATCAGTAGGAGTGAGTCTCTAAATGTAAGTGGAATATCATTCTCCGCATCGTATTAATGTGTCCTTCTTCCAGATCTTGATTAATTAGTATTAACAAAAAACAAAACATCCCGTACACCAGCGTAACACCATTGATTGCTTTTTGGTATCATTTTAGACATTGTTCCCATTATAATCGCGTAAAAAAAAACCCCCCAAAAGTGCAAATATTACTAAATCTCACCGCAGTGGATAGTTCTCAATACTCGCACGCGCTCAAAGCAAACGAAACACGACGGGGGGCGAATGTTATCATTGCAAGCCAGTCAACGCCAGCAAATCATGGCGGTGGTAAAACGCTCGACAGCGCTTACCAAACACGTCTACATGGACCAAATGTCAGTGGACTGGAATTGTAGAAGAGAAAGGGGAGCTTTGTCGGAGTGAGTGTATAGAGAGACTTACACATGGGGATGCTGATGAGGCATACGACGACCTGGACGATGGAGATGGCAATCAGGGTGTGCTTTATACCGCCCTTGATGAGCCAGTCATAGGCGAAAAACGTCAGGATGAAGCTAAAAATGTTCTTGAAGATGATCATGAGGGTGAAGCCTTCGATGGTGAGATCTCCTGTACGAGTTGTTAGTATTCAACCTCAGGTATATCGTGATGGCTTATCATGACTTTACAAGGAAAACAAGAAAGGGGGTTTCTTACTATAAGCATCGACAATGTACAAGGAGCTTGCCACAGCGCCAATCACCATGCCAGCGACCTCGAAGCCGAAGAAGACGAGCGGCACAATGTAGCTGAATTCGCCGGAAATGACGTTGCCAGCCGTCAACGCGAAGCCAAACAAGCCAATGCCGCCGATGATGAGCATAGGAATGACCAGCAGGATTCGAAACTCGGGCTCATAGACGCCGTGGTTCTTCCTGGTGAGATACTTGACGCTGGAGTCGGCAAGGAGGCCTGAGATGGCAAACCCGCAGAGGGCGCCGACAAAGGCTCCCGTGTAGGCGTAGCCGGCCGGGACCTCGCCCCAGAAGTAGGGCGGGCCGATGAAGATGGCGGCGACGAGAACGCCAATGAAGACGGTCCACCCAATCATGGTTCCCTGGATGAGGCAGCCCCAGATGAAGGCAGGGTTGAGGATAAGGGGGAATGGCCGGAGCAGCAGCACCCAGTAGCGTTCATCTGTCTTGGCACCATCGAACAGGGACAGAGATTCGACGAATGATTTCTTGGGGGTCCTGGCATTTCCAATGGGCTGGAGTGTTCTCGAGGTTGGGAAGAGGACGAAGCCTGTGCGTTGCTTTGATAGCTCTTCCTCATCCGACGGCGGATTGCTAGTTGTCGCGACGCGCGGCTGGAGCTTAATCTCCTCCTCGGCCTCTGCGTTGGTGTCCGTGTTGAGCTTGGTGTCTCTGCGATACGCGGTCTCGGGGCAAAGCAGGAAAACTGCGGGAAGCGTGGCAGCCATGAAGATGGAGACAAAGTAGAAGCTCCACTTCCAGCCCAACGATGCCGTAATCTTTCCGACCAGAATAGGAGTGAAGAAGGCGCCTCCAAAGATTGCCAAGTTGGTAAAGGCCATGCGCACTCCTCGCTGGTGGACAAAGTACATGTCGCCAACGGCGGCGTTGAGCAGGCTTTCATAGGGAGCGGTGCCGACGCCCTGGAGAACTCGAGCACCGAGCAAGCTGCCGTAGTTTGTCCCCGTGGACCCGGCCCAGGCACTCGAGGCGATGATGATGAGGATTCCGAGGAGGAAGAGATGGCGCTTGCCCCAGACGCGGGCAGAGGGGACGAAGAAGATGGCAGCAGCGCCGGCGCCAAGGAGAAAGTAGCCCGTCAGGAGGGCGACTTTGGTAAAGGTCTTTGTGAGGAGACGGGAGAGCGTGACGGTGTTTGCGGCCAGGATGGGGCCGAGGGACGTGGCGAGGACGCCGGCCCAGCAGAGGGTGAAGGTGATGAGATCGCGCTTCCATAGAGGCCAGTTGAGCGGATCGTTGGGGTCGTCTGAAGGCTGAGGAACCTGTTTGCGCAAAGAGAGTCAGTGTCTGACGCAGCTGCAGCTGCTCATCTCGATCTCGAGGCTCATGGCTGGCTGGAGGACGCACGAGGATGATGGGCGTCTTGCCGCTGGTGTCGCACTTGAGCCTGATCGTGTCCTGCTCCGTCGCCGTCTGGGGCTGCGAAGGGTCATCGTAGAAATGGGTTGTGCCTGGATTACCAAAGAGGAAGCCATTGTTAGTTTTGTCATTGGCCGAGAACAAGACGAGATTGTATCAAAGCATCGAGCACATCTTGCGTTGCGACTGCGCCAAGATTTTTGCTGCAGGTACTCGAAACATCCATCATGGGCTCCCTCCCCTTACCTGGAACTTTCCCCCCCGAGCTGGGCTCGAGGATGCCAAACGCCATCTTGACTGACGTCCAGTTGCGCGCGCTTCACTTGTTGCGCAAGGTAGAAGATGAAGAGAGAGAGTTACAGCTGGTACCTGCAAGTGGTGATGGGAATCGGCGCAACAGAGCTTGACCATTGGCCCAAGACGTCAATGCAGTGCAGTCTGGGAAGTTTCAAAAGTCGTGGGGTCGTGCAGCTCGGAGAAGGGCGTTGAGCAACGGATTGATGGCCGGGCAAAAACACGAATACGGCGGGCACGAGAAATGGGTCTGGCTTATATACCGNGGGGGGGGGGGGGGGTTCACACGTCCCTCCACACGCGTCGATCCGATCAATAGCAGGGCAGAACCCGCTATAAGCCCGTGCGTTACAGGCGGGATGGAGCGCTGGAGATCAACAGCAGACAGAAAAAGCAAGACGGCAAAATAAATAAGTATATCTATATAATAATATAGGCACCTGATTAGTATATTGAACTAGTGTTGCTTTATACATCCTACATCTGAACCTTGACAAGCCACATATAGGTGCCCCAGCAACAGCCCACCGCTGATGGAAGGAGGGACGTACCCCCCCGGTATATAAGCTAGACCCATTTCTCGTGCAGGAGAGAGAGAACCTGGAACTTCGAATACATTATACACACCCACTTCAATCCCGACGTAATTCCTATGTTGTGAGACTCCCGCTTTTCTGGTGACCGAGACAGGGGGAACGTCGAACAGCAATTGAAAAATCGCCGCTCCGATCTCGAATCTCCTCTTCCATCCAAGCATCTTTCGCCCAACATGATCGCCCACCGGCTCGGCCTCGCTGCCGTGGTGCGCAGCGCGACGAAGCCCAATGTCTTCTTCAGACAGAACATCCCGCGCATGGTCCTCGCCTCTGCCATGTCAACCTCTCAGGCCCGACCTATATCGACTCAGAAGCTCTCCCGGGAGGAAGGCCAGCAAGTCCTCGCCAACCAGCGCCTGAACCGCCCCGTCTCCCCCAACCTGGGCATCTATAAAATAGAGCAAACTTGGTTCGGCGCCTCCGCCTGGACCCGTATCACCGGCTGCGTGCTCTCCGGCGCGGCCTACGTCTACTTCACCGCATACCTCGCCTCGCCTCTCCTGGGCCTCCACGTCGAAAGCGCTGCGCTAGCATCCAGCTTCGCTGCCTTACCCTTCGTCGTCAAGGGCGCTATTAAGTTTACTCTAGCTTTCCCCTTTACCTTCCACTTTATCAACGGTATTAAGCATCTGGTCTACGACTTAGGTATTGGCTTTGCTAAAACTCAGATTAAGAGGGGAGAGGCTGCTCTATGGATATTAAGCTTCCTTGGTGGTGGTTACTTGGCTTTTGGCTTATAAAGGAGTATTAATGGAAGGTTTAGAAGAAATAAGGGGAGGGGATCTTACAAGAGCTGCATTATACCACTGTTAGAGAGCTGGGCACAAAGAGGAGAGTGATGAAATCAAAGAAGAGAACAATATGTATTCTAGCCACTCTCCAGCAGCTAGATATTTAATAATGACTAAATTTATCTCTAAACCTTCCAAAACAAAGAGGATCCTCTTCTTTTATAGACATTTTTCAAGCCATAAGGTCATAGCTTGAACTTTGACGCTTCTTTGCATCGTGAAAGCTTTTAGGCACCTAATATTTAGTAACTGCTATTATATTTATATTTCTGTAGTAACTGCTGTTATATTTATATTTCTCTAGTAGCTGCTACTATATATATATTTCTTTAGTTACTGCTATTTCATTTATATTCATTTACTAGTTAGTATTATTTTTATACTGTATACGACGTGTGGTATTAAATACTCTAAAGATCCAGAGGCGTAAACAGATTTTATGATAGGTACTATTGATTCAAATTTGTGTCTATTAGCATATTGCATGGTACCAGATATTTGCAGCTTCTGATGCGTTATGCATCTCAAGCAAGTGATCAAATGTGACGAGTCAATATGGCACTGGCAGCTACACAACACCAAGGAGAACCTCGAATCATTAATTCCATCATACAACTACAACTACAACCACTATTACAAATCCTTCTTCTTCTTTTTATCCTTCTCCATCCTCATCTCCTCTTCCTCAACCCATTTATTCCAATCCACAACCCGAGCACACATCCCCTCCACCGTCGTACAACACGCCATATATCCAATCCCCCCATCCTCCGGCCTCCTCCTCGCCTCCTCATCATTCCACAAAATAATTCAACCTCGTTGCATAACCCCCCGACTGAACCCACCTAATAAGCTCTCCAGGCTCACTCAAAAATCTATCCAGAAACGGCACCGCATTCACCAAGAGGCCATACCACTCCACCAAATACGAGAGCACCAGCATCAGCACCGGCGGCGGATAACTCATGCGCGGCCCCGTCGTACTCACCGTATCCAGGAGGAGGTGGATGTCACCAAACCTCACTGGCTTTCCTCTATCCGTCACGGTAAACGGCCGTCCGGCAACCTTGGCCGCATTTTCGCCCAGCAGCGCGTCTCCGTGCAACAGATGCGCCAGCGAGGCGTTCTCGACATGTACCCAGTTCTACACGACGGCCGCCACCCACGTCGGGAGTTTTCCTATGCCGAGCATCTTACCCACGATACTTTCGTTTCTGTGCCCATAAACAGCATTTCCAGGACGAATCGCGCCTGTGCGTAGCACCGGCATGCCTGGACGGGCATCTCTCTCGTCTGCATCACAGACCAGCCTCTCTGACTCGGCCTTGCTCTGCGCATAATTGGTCAGAAACGTATGTGGTGGCCGCAGTGGCTCGAAAAAGTCCCGATCATCAAGATCCTGTATAAATCCCCGAGGTTGCTGCGTCCTTCCCCACGGCGCAAACAGCCACTTGACTTGCTTCAAAGCGGCGTTTAAGCTAAACGTGTATATGAAGATTCCGGCGCCAACCTTCTTCGCTGCCAGAAGAGAGTGTGCCGTGCCAGTAACGTTGACTCGCGAAGTTCGCTCGTGGAACATCTCGTACCGCTCAAACGGACGGATCACGCCCGCCGTGTGAAAGACTGTCAATGGCAGACTGGCCACTGCGTCTGGCCAAGGGGCTTCGTATGCTTTAAGAATTTCCGCTTCGTTGGTAATGTCAATCTGGATAAAAGCCACTTTTGACGCTGCTCCGTGTGAAAAGTCTTCCTCTAAAAGTAAACAGGCCGACGCGCATCCACGATGCGAATAGCTTCAGGCGGAGTCCCCATGGCCAAAAGATACATAATAATCTGCCCTCCAAGAAACCCTACAACACATATTATCGTCAGCAGTGTCATTCCGCTTGCAGTGAGATATCGGCAGTAAACTCACCAGAGCCTCCTACCACAATATACCGTCTATCCTTACGACGCGGCAGCTTCCCCTCCCAGTCAATCCCCTCCCTCCTCACCCGCTCAAATACATCTCGGACGTGGTCTCTCGTCAGCGGCTCTCCCGCACGATCAACCACCTCCTGAGGTGTGTGTGAAAGCACCCAGTTCAGCCTAACCATGTAAAGCACCAAGCAAATGGCGCCCACGGCGAGCACGAGAAGATATTCTCCCATAGAGGCAACCGGCTTGTAGTAAGATGCTTATAATAGTCTGCCAAACATCAAACAGCAGACGCCAAAGTTCAATCCAGCTTCAAATGAAGCAAATAACAGTGTAAAGAAGAAAGGAAGTACAGCACATGGACGCATGCAAGACATGATAGCGGGGGATATGAAATCGCAAATACATCCATGGGTGTTTTACTTTAGTGATAGGCTACCTCGTTTGATAGGCTACCGATCATCAGGCGGCACCTCGCATCATTTCTCGAATTACCTATTACCATGTATAAAGGTTACCTGCGGTGAACATGTACTAATGCACCGTATGATGGCTATCAAGCTTCAGAGTATCCAGTCAGTACATCTGTTGGCTGACTGATCATTGTTCGGCAGCTTAACAACACCAACGCACTCTCACACTCTCACCACCACTCCGCAGCCCCATCTCATTAACTCCCATCAAGTTGCTTGATTAATCTACTTGATACCTATTTGTACATCATCATTGATCCATATGACTTCCGTATACTGGCCCCTAGAGTAACCCCTGAGCACAAAACAAAGAAACTCAGCGTAGCTCACCTCCCTCCGAGCCCGGCGCCGTATGCTCTTACTCGATTCCTCGAGAAGCCATCACGGTTCCAGCATATCTTAGCTCCCCTGTATGTGATCGAATCGGTCAATGACGAACGCGAGTGTGCAAACTACAGCAAGAAGTCCAACCGACCCTTCTTCACCAAAACGCCCACTTCTTGTACTTCTTCTTCACATCTACTTCCACCAATGATTCATGGAAAGCATCCTGGTCAGTGACGCCTCTCATGGTGTCATTTGAAGATCCAATATGATCCATGTGAGAAACCATCCCAAAGGCTGGCCTGAGCATGTCTTCAAAGACATTTTCAGTCTCAAGCTGGTCGGTATTCCACGTGGTCTTGTCGCCATACTCCAAGTTGACATTTTGATTAAAGTGGTGGCGTAGACGGGAGGACGTTAGGCTGGCCTCAAAATACTTTTGAGGCAAAGCACTGTTCAACGAAGTTTTGGGGCAGGCAAAAACTCGAACTGCCCCTGCACCTCGTCTACCGCTGGACAGGCTTTCTTCCATTGAGTAGCTCATGGTGATTGTGAGGACACTATGATCTTTCTTCTTTCCGTGGCAATATCGGGCAACTCGCCGCATGGTGACGGCCTCGAGTTCACGGGTACCATTATAATCTGGATACTGAATTGTCACATCGCCCTTGTCATTGGCCCTGCAAAAGAAATCCGTTAGCTTACTATTTATCCCGGCGCACACACACTCAGTTTGTCATTGACGTACAAGATTTCCATCTCGTCGATTAGAGACTCGACGTAACATTTCAATGCATACTCAGGCTCCAAAGCCCTCGACCGGACTCCGCGCGCCTTCATATCCCAAGCTCGTTGGGGGCAATGGAGGTGGATTGCAAATATTTCGTGGCGCGGACCCCGGACTCGATATTGAAACTTTTGGGCGTTTAATTCAATGATGATGGACTCCTCGCCTCTTGGACCAAAGTAGGTGCACTGGAAATCGTACCAAGTCTCCTTCTCAAACAGGTTCCACGGGGTTTCACCTGGTGGCGTAATGCTAACCAACATATTGGCATCACCTTCCGATGTCGATAGAATAGGGGAGAAGCCAATACGGTCTTGTCGGAAATTCTCGCCATTCAAGAGGTTGGTCACATCCTTTGTTGCAAACACCGGGCCAGAACCTGTGTGGTTTACGAAGCTCGGGGCCATTTGCTTGATATATATGCGCCCAAAAACGACTTCCAGGGAAACGTAGCCCGAGGCCAACTCAAGAATTTGCGACATTTTCTTAAGCTGATTCTCTGCGTCTCGCAGGACATCACTCTTCCCTTGCGGGACATCCCAATCGTTCTTACTGCAATCCTCGAGTTTCGGTTCCTTTGAACTCTCACCCGTTTTAGAAGACGATGCCACCGATTCCGCTGAAGGAGTCGGATGGGGTCGACTAGGGCCTGCATTTGCATTGGCAGGTCGTGGTGGCCTTTGCGATGGAGCATTTGGGTACCTGGCAGCATCAGCATATCGTAGCTGTGGCTTCGTCTGCTTTGTCTGCTTCGGTGACTTTGGTGCTGCTCCAAGCACGGGAAAGTTGGAGTCGAACTAAAAGAGGGTATTTTGGTCAGTGAGAATTCATAGCTTTATCTTGTCATTTGGACTTACTTCTGCGTCAACTCTGGGCTCCCTTGGTGTCATAGAAGCCGAACGCGCATTTTGATTTCTTGGGGCTGGTCCCTGGTGGGCATTCAAACCAGTCCTTCTAGGAGAACGAGTTCTCTGAGACGAGTTGGTGATGCTACGGCCGCCTCTCTGATTCATGGTCTGAAAAAACTCTTTCGGCTTTTCCTCAAGTAATCCAAAGTCAACAAGATCACCAACGTCATGCTCCTCAGTGCCCGCCAACTCGACCAGATCACTTGTCGAAATACCCATTTGAACATGCTTCTGAGCTTTGGTAGAAACATTCGCCGAGTTGTGCTCACGAGCATCCATCAAACCAAATTGGGCCATGCCACCAGTATAAAAATGCGCAGCAGCGTGATCCTGAACTTCCAGGGGGTTGCTTTCTGTCACAATGGTAGCAATTTCTGTCTCGGTCTCAGTCCCAAGCTCGGAGGGTTCGCAGCTTTGAAGAGAAGTATATGGAGAGCCCTCATAGGCAATGTCCAAACTGTCTGGCTTAGAAGGCGACTGCTGAGTCTGCGATTCATCGTCTAGCCATATTAGGTCATCGGAACGTTCAAATCGCTCAAACCGGATGATGTCTTCATTCACTTCTTGAAGGTCTGCAACTGTACTCCGAACCGCATTGCCGAGCATTTCATCCTCACATGGAACTTCCTCGTCTGAGTCGCTGAGAAAGATGAGAAGATCTTCCTGGTCGCAGTCAGACACCGCAAATGGATATTGAATCATGCTCTCCGATTCTCCAAGGCCTGATACAGCGCCTGTTGTTGTTGATGGCTCTAATATGTGGGAGTACTCGTTCTCGGTAATGGCCAGTCGCCGCGTAGATCTTACGAATGTATCCACATCCTGCAATTTTGGAGAAGCGAGAAGCTTCTGGTCGTTGGGTAGCTCTTGATTCTGTGCTACTCTGTAGCCATTGTTGACAGATACAGGGGAGGTTGGCTCCAGGTTATCGTCCACCACCGAGTCATTAAGGACGCTTTGACTGTTTTGCACAGGTCCACGAAAGGCACTGGATGCCCTTGTTTCAGCTGATGCCAGGATGGCTTGATCTTTCGGATATTTCCAGTCATGTACTACTTGAACCTTGGCGTTCTTTTTCTTGGTAGGCAAAATGTAACCCTTGAAGGCGTTGAATGTCTGTCCCACTTCGAGCTGGCGTGTATCTTTCAGCGGATAAACAGTATTATCAGTGATCCAACGGCCAGTTCTATCTCGAGTGTGAGTCCTTATGACAGCCGCGTTTGAGAGATACTTGTACTCCTCCGCAATAGCCAAGCTGCCAGACCGAACGGCAAAGGTCGCCTTGACTAACCCAACGTGAGACATCCATCTGTATGTGAGTTTGGTAGCCGCAGGTCCCTCGAGTAGAATCAGGTGCGATGATACCTTTGGTTTACTTGCCTATATCTCGTTAGATGTCTCAATCTTGCTATGGTAGCAGAGGAGAGAGTAAAATACGCACCAGTAGATTCAGAATCGTCTGAAGCCTTTGTACCGCTCTATCAACCAGATCCATTGACTGCCAAGATCCGATATAGATTAGATTCTCCCTCAGGTTGTGCGACATTTCACAATTCGTGTGAAATGCAAAGTCAACCACATTGTTAGGCGCGTTCTCGGACTTTGAAACGCGGGAGAAGACAGACAACAGCGTATCGATGGAGACTCCAGTAGAATTCTGCAGCCCTCTCCACACTGTCTTGAAAGGTAGTTGGCCCAGTATTGCAGGAAATCTGTATTCCTCAAAGTCTTGATAAAGGTCGTTACCGATAGACTTGAGGACCACCCATGGAATTATGAGAGGTTCACTGGTCTCCCTGGAGACGACATCTGGATGAAACGTGCCCTCACGCACATCAGAATCTACCACGTTAAAATCTAGTGGTCGGACCTCCTTTTTCAGGAGCTTGTGCAAAAGATGCTGGATGATATCGGAAACTCGGTTCTGAAACTCAGTCACCGTGATACATTTGAACCAGGGTATTTCTGGCTCATACAGTATCTCGAGAAGTTTGCCCTGGAAGAATAGTTAGTAAAGTCTCCAACCAGACCAACATGCTACAGAACGCACCTGACAGGCCGATTGGGCAGATTCAATGATACGCTTGACACCAAGTGGGAGTAATGGAGGGTTGCAGGTGATGTAAAACTCTACGACACCATAAGACCCAAGTGTTGGATTCGGAGCTGCCAATGTGGCCAAGGCCGTTCTCACTGCCGATGCATCCGCGTTGTACTCAGAGCTTCCGCAAGACATTGTGACAAAATGTCCACAGACAATAGTTGAGATATAAGGTAACGACAGCCTATACTTTGTGATCAGCTTTTATATCTTGTAGCTATTCCCACGCAAAGCAGGGAATTGCCGGTATAGGCATCGAGGCGCCTCTGTGCCCAGAAAGAAATCATAAGGTGGGAATCTCCGACTTACCTAGCAATCGGACCACACTCGGGGTACAATAAACGGTTCTTACTGCAGAAATCAAGACATAGAAGCTTCCAAAGTAATCCAGAATGCACCTAAGCGACCTCTAGAAATGAGGAAGGTCAGCAGGGAACCGAAGCATCAACACCCAAATCAGTGTCCAAACAAAGCCGGCTATCCTCTTGCACAGAGTTGGCCAAAATGGAATACAAGCAAAGGACCAACGTATAAGAAAACGAGAAGGCAAAGACGAAGTTTTATGCCATTCTCGTCATGTGCTTATGCGGATTGAGGTGAGTCTGTGGTTGGAAACGAAGAAGGAGAGGAATAGGGAAAAGGAAACAAACGGAAAACAAGAGGAGGATAAATGAATAAATAGGGTACCTGTGGTCGAGAATCTTAGGGCTACAAAGAGAACAAAGTAGCACAGCAGCTGCCAGGTGGGTGGCAGCTGGGAGGGAAAGTGCAGCAGGCACGTGAACTCCTGACCGCTTTGCACGAGAGCAATTCACTGCAGCTTTAATGGCTTCAACGTTACTTGTAAGTGAATAATTTAATATTGCCTGTAAGTGAATAATACAGTTAATTGTATTGTTTAGAAAAGTATAGAAACCTAGGGGGTTATGAATAAGGGAGTGTTATCAAGAGGGTGAAATTTGTATGCATCTTCTGTCGAGGATTGTTGATACAGCTTATTAACAGGTGTATGTTGAGTAAACATATCACTGTAGAATCGCCAAAATGCAGTAGAATCAGCTCTTTTGTTTATTAGATTCTCATTTCCTCAACATCATATGTAGAGTCTAACGCAAACACAGCTTACAAAACAAAGATGCGTCAACTGATTGTCCGCAATATACCGTATCATTCAGTAATAACTCAACAAGAACAAGAACAAAACCCACAGGTTAAGTCCTTAATATATGCATTCATATTCCATATCTTTGTTTTGTATTCTCTTAAACACACAATGGCTCCTTATTTATCATTTATCTATATATATGCAAGTGTACTATATCCTTTCTCGCAGCCAAAGCGCAATTATACTCTCTCCCAGCTTCCGTATCGCTCTGTTCCAAAAAAAGCTAACAGACATAGCGCAAGCATGGGTGGAGATTATACCGCTTTAGATTCTTTTCATTCTTTTCTTTGTTCTTTGTTCCTTTGTGAAAAATGCATCCAACGCCAAGTGCATCACGAAAGCAAAGGCTTCCCAGCATGCAAAATACAGAAGAAGGGGGAGGAAGAAAAAACAAGGGTGAAGGGGGAAGAAGACTATCATATCCTGTCCAAAGCCAACTGACCGCTCTCTCTATGTAATTAACAGAAACGAATGAAGAAGTAGTAGAAAAAACACAGGGTCAATGTAGGGAGAGAAGGGGAAGAAGTAATAAAAGCAATAAGCAAAAAAAGACAAGAGAGGGTTAAAGGGGAGAAGGCAGGAGAGAGAGAGAAAGTGGTATCATTATTTAAAGTCGCTGTAGCCGCACATCGGTGGTGGGAAGTGGGAAGCAATAACACAAAGCAGAAGAAAGAAGAAGAAAAGCCATGAGCATAGAGTCCCCCCGTAAGAATGCACCGACAGTTTCGATAAAAAACGCAAAGTGGTTCCAACGCCAAAAGGAAAAAGGCAAATCCAGAGGGAGAATATGGCCGTGATAGAGGAGAGAACAGTAGAGACAAAAGGGGGCGCGTGGCGTAAGGCAGTGATGCCATGCAGCTTCACATTCACTCAGCACCCTTGACGTTCGCCTTGACGTTTAGCGCCCATCTCAGCTTGTCCAGCGTCTCCCTAGACTCTTCCAGTATTCTTTGCTGCTCGGCTTCCGTCTTCCTGGCGTTCTCCTTGATGTCCTTGAGATTCTCCTCCTGCGCCTTCTTGTACTCCTCAAACAAGCGTGCAATGTCTTCCTTTTCGCGCCTCAGCTTCTGGATGTTGCTGTCCTGCTGCTCGCACAAGTCTCGCAGTGTCTGGATCTTATCGTCGTCCGACTTGCGCTCGTCAACGATGGTGGTGATTTCCGTCTTGATCGTCGCAATGGCCTTGTTGACCTCGTCGCCCTGGTCGCGCCAATGGGAGGAGATGGCGTTGTACCGGCCCTCCATCAGCTGCGCATAGCTCGTTGCGTCGTCGGCCTGCGTTTTGGCGTCGCGCTTGGCCTTTTCCATCTCGTCCCTCCAGTTCCGCTCCAGCTCTTGAGCCGCCACGGCCTTCTTCTTCTCCATGTCGACCGTTGCCATGAGGGTTTCGACCTGGCGTTCTTTTCTCGCTAGCAGTGTCTTGGTGACGTTTGCTTCCAGCAGTCGGCTTTCGTAGTCGCTGACCATGCGCTCCATCTTGTCCTCGACCAGCTTGGCCGCCTGCTTGGCCTCTTCCGCGCGCAGTTTCTCAATCTTGATCTCGCGCTTTAGGGCGTCATTGTCGCTGACGAGCTTGTTGATGACTCGACCCGTCTTTCCCAGACCGGCCTTGCCAATTGTCGAATCCCATTGCGCACTGTCCTGGTGGTCGAGATCTCCGTCTCCCAAGCCGCCGTTCTCTTCTGGCGGTGCCGGGGTTATGACTCTCGGTATGGGACCGACGACTTCGATGGGGGCCTCAGGCTCAGGCACCTCAGGAACGGTAGTGGTGTCGAGATTAGGTTTCGGGGATGGCGCCTCCTCGATCGTCCCGTTAGACGCCACGGTGGACAGTCCGCTGGCCTTGCTGGTGACGCTGCTGGACAGCCCGTTGCTCTCGGGACTCGTCTCAGAGCCCTCGAAACTGGGCACGCTGCGGATCGTGGCCGTCCTGCCCAGGACCTGAGCCTGCTTGGAAACGGAGGCGGCGCGACTCGGCATGGCGTTGACGGTGCCGGCAGAAGCTGGTGTTAAGGTTCTGGTGCCCGGTGAATCATCTAGCGAGGGGCGCGCGGGATTGGAGGCTGCGAGGGGCGATTCGCATCAGCGGTCAGTCAAATCAATCACTCGATCCGGTCCAGATAGCAGAGATGAATCGGGGGGTTGTTTTGTTTGGTGATGGTTGTGACTTGTGGTTTGTGCAGGGCAGTGCAAGTGCAAGTGTATGTACAAGACAAGTACAGTACGAGCCAGGTACGGAATAGGTAAGCAATCTGGTGTCCAAAATAAGGTACAAAGTGTCATGTGTAATTAAGAGGTGGAGCTCGTTTTCGCGTAAATGAGCAGCAATGCGTGCAACGCGCAGCCGTCACTCATTAGAAAACCGGAGCCCGGAAGAGGCGAGGATTTTGCAGTCAGAGCGCAGCCGCAGCGATCAAGGGGCGCAGAGTGTACTGTAAATGTACCTAGCAGGTACTCGTACTCCGTAAAGAGGGTAAAAAAACACTGACAACATGAACTCTTCATACTAACCTGTGCCCTGCAGTGAATCCTGGTGAATGCTGAAAAACTGCTTGTGAAGGCGGCGAAGAGCCATGTCTGCCTGCAGCTACCTTGTGCTTCTTTCGCTTCAATTCTCCTCCGTCATCCACTGTCTCATACAAATGGATAATATGATGGAAACGGCCGTGTTTCGTTTATGCTGCAAGCACCGCTGAAACCGCTGCCTCAATCTCAGTCTTCAAGTCAGTCAGCGCAAGTGCCCTGTGCCGTGCTGTATTATGAGCCGGGGGATGGAGGGCAAGGGTCGATGAGATTGGTGATGTAAGATGAGCAGAGCTGGGGGCGATGCAGTATTCGACGATCACGTATCAGAAGAGAAGCAACAAACAAATGTCAAGTATAAAAAGAAGAGAAATAAAAGAAGAGAAGAGAAGAGGAAACCAGAATAGACGAGATACGAGCAAAACAAATAAAAACTTCACCACGTCATGCCATGCATTAAAAGGGCGGCCATTTGTTAGTTCGTTCTTGTACACGTAGCTACTGTATACCGCCTCTCACTAATAAACAAGGGGAAGCCCCCAACGGCAACCAAAAATAATAAACGGCATCCAAGGGACATAATCAACACAATGCGGCCAATCACAGAGAGGCAGAAGAAGAAGAAAAAAGCAAAACATGAACACACACACAGCCCCTCATCCTTCTTTGTTTTTGCTGTCTCTCGCTTGCCGCCTTTCATGTCTCTCTCTAATCTCTACTCAGCCTGCAGCGAAAAAAACAGGATCAGCCTGCAGGGGACGCCATGCTTACCTGACCTATGAACGGCTTCACGTGTCGCGTGCATTGTGTGGTGCTGCTGCATTGTATTTGTTGCGTACTCCGTAGAGATGCTGCAGGTCTGTTAAAAAGGATGCATCCATGCATGCATGTGAAGGGGCTGGCCAGGCAACCAGGACGTGCGCAGCAACTCCAATAAAATATCGCCGACGACGTTATTAATCATGGGGTATGATGTAACTGCAACGACAAACTTTGGAAACGCAAAATACGGGGTAATCAATAAACATTGATTGATTGACCGTCCAACACGCCGCCGTCCTTCTCCCTTGCATTGCCAATGTCACTTCAGCTCTTGACTGACGGCTTCTTGTTAGCGAGAAATAAGCTGCAGGGTACCCCATTCAATCCATCGATGAAGCTATTGGGACAAATCTCGCTTCTCAGGTGTGAAGAGTAAAACCTTGGGTAGATGACGCATGAAGCCGGAAACAACAGCAGAGAATCGTGTCTGGGACCAGCAGAAAGATTTCTCACATGTTGTAATGAATGTGGGAAAAGAAAAAAGGTTGCATAGAGGTAGATACAGAATATAAATTCCTGTATAATATTGGTATTGTCCAAATAACTGCTAGGTATAGTATTTATTTGCCCGCCAAACTCTTCATCTGCCCGTTTGTAAACCTCATACAAAATTTATTCATCGCCCCCTTCTTCCAATACACTGGGGCAGTTCCGTGGTAAACCATCCCTATACATACACATCTCTCTTATATCCCGGATATCCGCGCCATCTTTTCTCATGTTCGCGTGGCGGTCAACGAAACGCCTTGCCCCGATTTCATACGCAAGTTCTACGCCGCTATTACGACTTAGTAAAGTCCCTCTATTTTGTCCAATCATGATCTGGCCATGCATTCTGTGACGAATCCCTCCCACATTCGAGCCGATACTTTTTTCTTTGTCTTGCACAGCTTCTTGGCTGCTGAGAACTGTCATCTTTCAAGCTGTTGGTATCACATCTGGCCCCTCTCCTAGTCATTCTGTAAGTAGGTACAGCGCCATTGTTTATGTGGTAATGGCAGCTCCTGCTGGTGCTGGTGTCGGGCTATCGTTGTTTTCGCGGTTTGTTGCATTTTCTAGAAATAGTGGCCGATATTTGGTAAGATATTTGCCGGCCATAGACCTAGCATCTTCGTCTATTCCAACCGTTAGCTCTGTATGCCCCCGACCGATAGTCGTATGCTTAAAAAAGTGGTAAAGGGGAACGAAGGGGGGGGGGGGGAGAAGAAAAAAAAGACATACAGTCTGTCCAAATATCTTGAACTGTATCCAGAGCAGCCTCTTTGATGGGAGGCCGCATAATCACCAAATACAGCAAGCTCGTCAACGCCAACTGCGTCACACTTGGATCTCGACACATGTGCTTCACGCGAGAAAGAATCGCCCGGTTTAGCTCGGGAATCTCGCTCAGAAACCGCGTCAGCACCTTGTCCTGTGGGCGCAGGTACGGTAGAAAGCCGTCAATGAGCCGTAGCGTGCACTTCTCGTAGTATAACGGATGGTCGCCCCCGGCTTTTTGTTGCACCTTGTCGTTGTACCACTCCTCGCACAGCCATGATACCGCGACGTCAATGTGCGTTCGGAAGTCTTCCATGATGTAGTTGTAAAGAATCTCCCTGATACCGTTGTTGAGGGATGACGGCCGGCTAGAGTCGTCTGCCTCGGCCTTGACTGATATCTCTTCAAGCCCTGCCGATGACCGTGTTGCCAGACGTGCCAAAATGGTCATCCAGGAATCTCTGCTCTCGGAGCTCGCTGCAAGGCGATTGAATCCGGCCTTTTGCTTCTTCGTTGCTGGTTCATCTAGAGACTTCATCATCTCTAGCACTCTCGTTACCGTGCCATTGCCCGCGTTGAGAGCCATCTCTGGCGTCAACTGCTGCGGCTGGGGAAGGCTGAAGGATCTCAGCCCCAACGTGTCGTCCAGGCTTATTCTGGGTTCGGCCACGGCTGGTGCCGGGGCGCTATCCAGCTTGTTCAGGATCTGCTCCGTATCCTCTGCTTGATAAAAGTCCGGCTCATAGTCATCCTCATCCTCGTCAACACCCAAAGGCGCAGTGTTTGGATTCAGCTCCGCTGGAGGGCTATTGTTCAGCGTCTCCAGTCGGCCGCGAACGCCATCTACAGCCTTTGCGAGGACCTGGGCATCCAACCTAGACAGGGTATTCACGGCAATTCTGGCTACGAGGCTGGGGGGAACCTGAGAGACGTCGAAGAACTTGAGTCCATCGTTGCCAATAAGGGTAAAGACGTCGGCCAGGCTATGGGGGCCTGGGCCCAAGGGGGGGATCTGGATCTGGGAAGCCTCGATCCGTGGGCGCTTGGCATCATATCCGTCTTGTGGCTTGGGCTCCAGAGGTCTTTTCCGGCCAGCACTGTCGAAGAGCTCGGCTACCATACGCATTGTGCCCTCCACATGCTGCTGTATTCTAGGCACGATTGGGTTGTGGGGGTCTCGCTTACTCAGGTGAATCAATAGCAGCCGTGCCGTCTTTTCCATGGACTTGATCATCACCTTGGTTTTGGGGGTCAATGGCGAGTTGGCGGCTTGTAGAGGGTTGAAGTTGAGCAATGCATTGAGGATCCGACTGGAGGTAGCCGGGCGAGTCCGCACCATGATGGACAAGCAGTTCAAAGTCGCATCTACAAGAAGACCATCGCTAAGCTTGGTAAGTATAGGCTACGCCTCAAATGGTCAGGGTACCAGATTCGAGTTGGAACTTACTTGTTCCCCTGTAATATACTCAACATGCGGTCCAACAGCCCACTTGCCTCTGCCTCGAGAGTTCTAGGATCGAGCGTCTGGTGGTTGGGCGGCACTTTGTCCAGAGAGACATCCAGTCCGCCACCATACTAGAAGAACATTATGTGTTAAGGAGGTCTACTTTTTGTTGTCTGGAATAGCCATCATTTCTTACCCTGTGTTCAGCGCCCGAAGCAACGCTTTGCGCCAGCACCACTCGCTGGGCAAACTTGATGCAGCATATCCTCACCGTGGGAGGGACAATGTCCCACAGCTGCAAAATCTTCTGCTTGATACTCACCATCCTCTCCCACGTCACCGTGTCGTAGCTGTTGTTGATGCTGCGATGGAGGCAAAGGTCAGTTCAACGATACGTTTCTTTACAATGGGAAGAGAAGGCCACCGACATCCACCTCATGGCCAGCGGATAGATGCTCGCTGCCGTCTGTATCACATTCCTCAGGACCTGTGCATCACCCTCGTGCTCAATCAGCGACTCCAGTGTCGTCAACACATATGGCTGCATCGTCTCCTTCTCGGAATTGGGCAGCGCCGGCGTGGCAAATGCCTCGGCCAGGAAATCAGTGACCCATCGTCGCAGCTCTATCGGCGCCGTGGGCCCAATGATGGGCAGGATGCCTCTGACCACGCTTGGATAGTACTTGACGTCGCCCAGGACCAGCTTGCGGGCATCATTGAGCTGGCGGATCTGGTCTGGCACAGAGAGGGCCGACGAGGTAGCCATGACGTCGACGAGGCGGCAATGGCAGGCAGATAGATATAGATGGTGGTATCTCTCAATGCGTGGGACGAGCGATAGGCACGAGCGAAGCGGACGACATCAGAGGAGGGGAACGTGCGGGAGAAGAATGCAGATGCAGATGCAGATGCAGCATTTGAGGTCGCGCGACAAACAGGCTAGGCTACTGGAATAGTATCAATCTCTTTCTTCTAGTCGATCGTCATGCCCTGCGCCAATCTCTCCCACACCAGCCACCACAAGTTCTTGAAGCTCGTGACTCGGAGTCGCAGCAAGTCGCGCTTGTTGGAATGGCGCTGCCGAGGTCGTCGATATCGAGATGCTTGGCGAGCCGTGTTCTTTGGTGAAGTCGCAAAGGCAATGCAGATGGCAGATTTGCTGGTTGCTTGGGGAAGCTCTGCCAAAAGGTTTTGGCGACGGGAACGTGACGCGGGTCCAAGGTGGCAGATCCCTGTCAGAGTGTGGTCGGCAGTAACTCGTAAGAACTTTTTGGCCTAGGCCTGGAATCTGGGTGCTTTTTCGAGGTACTGGCTCGGGCGACTGGCTGCTAACAGCAGTGCCTGGGGTGCACGGCAGATGCTGTTTAGCCGGAGAAGCGCCGTCAAGGTCAGTTCTGCGCTCATCCCACTCTCTGGCGCATGATACGATGCATCTTGGCCTTGAACAAGAGCTTTGCTGCATCTTGCTTCGGAAAACATGTACAGCTCTCCATATCGATCAATGGCGTACGTCTCCCATCTACATATACTCTTTGATTTGCGAAACTCAATTAACAGAAATTTATTCTAGATCCCATACCACCTACTACGATCGGCGCCTGCGACAAGGCCCTGCCCTTGTTCGAGCGAGACGGCCATATCTTTTCAAGAATGCTCTGACCGGCCTTGGGCTCTTTGCGCTCGTTGGAGGAGTTTGTAAGCTCATGGATCATCCATACCCCGTTCACCCGACTGCAATGACTGACGCTGTCTTTCTCTTCTCTTTACTACAGACTGGTATACCATCAGCGCCGTTGGGCAAGACGACTTCGAGGATGTCAAGGTTCCGGATGCGCCTCGACAGGCGTCCAATGCGAAATAAATACATGTATACATATCTATGAAAGAAAACTATTCACGACAACGAGATAAGGGCGCCTAGGCGTTGCAAATTACAATCCGTCAGCTAAATTTGCTGTGTACTATTACTTTTTAGAATCTGAAAATGGGCTTTGTTGATTCAAAGCCGCTTGCCTCTCCTACATTGTACATCACATATCACAACCCATTACAAATATTGGGCCGCAATTGTTGAAATGATATTCTGTTGCCTTGAATATGTGTAAATGATAATGCGAAAAAACAAGCCGCCATTTCTGTACAATGAAAGACTTCCCTTCTGCCATGCAAAGACAATCCCGTTGCCGCCAGTATCAACCTCCCGAAACCTGGACATGATAAACGCCGTCGAATCTTTATTACCAGTGTAACCATCCTTGAACCCTTCAGACCAAAAACACACACGCATAGACAAAAGAAGATGAAAAACAAAAGGCCGCACTTCCTTTTACAATGAGCCGACAACAAGCCCTGATCTTGGGTATCATTAATGTCCGAACGCAGAAATCCTCATATCACAGCCCGGCTACGCGGGTCCCTTTCTTGAACAATATGCAATTTTTTTTGTTTCTTCAAATGGAAGAGCAGGCACATCTCAAGCCGCTGCCGTTTTTGACCCGCGACCAAGTCCCGAGATGCCGCCTATTTGCTTCATTTGGTGAGTTGCTGGGTTCAAGATATTCCGCGTTATTTCGGGCGACTCGGATAGCCGTGCAGAGAGAGCAGGCGATCGAACTGCTCCCGGCCCATCGAGAGCTACCTTGAGATCGGTCGAGGCGGAAAGCGCATTTTGTGGTGTCCGACCAGCAGGGACGGGGACAGCTGGCTCGGGGCGAGCTTCCGCCGAAGCTGAATGGTGCTGGTAGAACTTATGAGAGGAGTGATTCGGGTTTGCCCAAGGTGTGTTCTTGACAAACTGCTCTCCTGCTGGGTCAAGACGAGTCAGGTGTGGCGGTTGGTATTCCTCACGGATCTGACTTATCGAGGGCTTGTGCCGCAGACGCCGGGTTCGCTGATGGCGGGTCAGCAAATGAGAAATAATTTTTAAGCAATGGCTAGCTGTAATAATAATTTCGGACTCACTTCCATGAGGGCCAAGTCAGCTTCCAGCTCTGATGCAGATGCTCCTTGCAGCTCCGGTCCGGCTGGGAAGCCTTCGTACTTGGCGAGGCCGGCGAGAGTCGACACCTCTGTGTTGTAGGCAATGGCGTTCCGGACGCGCTGCGAGGGATCCTTTGGGAACAACAGGCCATAATCTGGCAAGCTGTGCGCACTACGCCGAGCGCTCTGCACGTCGTACCATTGCCTGTTGAGAGCCTCCAGAGCATGCTCTCGCTTCTCGCGGATAGCCTGAAAGTATTGGCCCCATATCTGAGCTTTCTGTGCTACTGCGCGCCGCTCAAGGGCCTTGAGTCGGTATTCGTGCTCGGTATTGATAGCTTGTAGCTTCTGTTCGAGTCGGTCATCAAGGCACTGCTTCATGTTGAGGTATTCAGGATGTGTAGGCTCTGGGGCATGCAGCGACTGCTCCTCCTCTTCGAGCCTCTGCAGCCTATCCTTGTAAAGCCTGCATAAAATGTGAGCAGAGCGTCGTCGAGTCGACCAAGTCAGGCGGCTTACCGGTCCCTAAAGATACCAAACATTTCCTCTATCTGAGTCCAGTCTCGATAGGCAGCTTGCTTCTTTTCCACTAGATTGTTTCCCCATCAAATTAGCTTGTGCGTGATACACCTGACTGATTCTGGGAAAGCTTACGCTCTTCGAGATTTCTCGCCGCAGCATCAGTCTCTTCGTCAGCTTCGGGTTCTGCCTCGTCTTCCTCGGGGTGATCGGCCTCAGCCTCTTCTTCCATTGTGGGATCTTGCTGCTCGTCACGAACTTCAGCTCGAGCTTCGCTGTCGGCATCATCTGAGACGACCGTCTTTCGCTTGGAGCCGGTGCGTTTGGTCTTCCTTGTCACCTCTAGAAGCTCGTCCTCTGCCGGTGTGTCTTGGGCCGTGGCAGACGCCTCATCGTCGTCCCCGGGGGACCCGCGTCCGCTTGCCGGGTTCGCAGCCGGTGTCGCGTCATCTTCAGTAGCTGCAGGAGGACCGTCGCCATCTCCGTTGGCAGCGGAGATTGACCCGGTGCGTTTCCTCGCTGGCTGTTCTAAGTCTAATGGGTGTTCGATGGCGGCAGATCGCTTCCGCTTCCTCTCTTGTGAAGAATCGCTCCGGGCACCTTCATCTGCCTTCAAAGCCGTGGTCAAGGGCTTTGTCGGCGATTCGTTCTCATCAATGTCGTCTTCGTCTTCGTCTTCATCGTCTTCCTCGTCGATGTGGCTGTCGTCGCCTGAGGCAGAGTCATCGCGGCCGTTGGCTAGCGCCCTGCGGAGCTTGCTCGGAGTGTGCTCAAAAGCCTCTCCGTCATTGAAGCGCCCAATTCCAACGTCACGATGTCTCTGTATTTGTGGAGTGTCGTAGAGTCTCAGGGTTTCGGCTTCGGTGTCGTTGGCCTCAGAGTTAACGTCAGATGCTGCGTCGGAAAGGGCGCTGTCAGAGTCTGATCCGCCGTGGTCGGTGGCACGGGTGTCTTCAGGACCGACGCTCATATTGTCTCTGTCAAGATGCATGTGCTCAATCTCCTCGTCGTTGGCATCTTTGTCGTCGACCTCGCTGAGAGGGCTGGAGATGTTGCTGTCCTCGAGATCGCCGCCCGTAGCCACGGGGGGGAAAGCAGCCGACGCCGAGGCCGTCGCTGCCATTGTGGTGCCGGTAGCGCAGAGCGAGACTCTTGAGCAGACTGCTGATGCGAATCGGCAGTCGAGACAAGGGCGGCTTCAGCTCTGTCGGTCGACAGTCGGGTCAGAGGGCAGAGGACCGGGCGCGGACACCAGCACAAGGTCGGCAGCGAAGAGTTTGAGCGGGCGCTGGGGGTGGGATCGGGGCCGGCGAGCGGGTGAAGGGCAAAACGACGTGATGTTGATCCGCGGGCCAAGCTGAAGCTCAGGCCGTGTCTGGACGGTCTTTTTGTCTCCGTGACGGGGTCGTGGCAGAGAGGCCGGAACGGGCTGGGAGGGGAGAGGAAGAAGACAAGGTGCCGCTTCGCGCATCTACGAAGTAGGTATCGGCTGTGACCTTACAGAGCGCTGCACCAGCCGCCTGCACAAGCCCCAACAGGCGAGCCAGGCCCTGGAGCGCTGGAGCCAGAGCCCGGGCGGTGAATCCTGGCGTGGCAGAAACGCGGTCATCTGCGGGCCTTCGGGCCAGCGAGGCCAATGACGCATTGTTCCGCTGAAAGCCCGGCGGCGGGACCCAAAATTTTTAGAGCTTGCTCTGAACTTTTCTGTCGCTTCCAGTGGCTCCGTCGCAGTTTGGCGAAGCAAAGCGCCTGTCCAGAGTCTCTTTTTTGTCGAAGCCTCTCGCTGCAGAAACAGGTGCAAAATGGCCAAATCGTGAGTTTTTCTGCAATTGAGGGCTTTGGTTGATCTTGCTGATTTTTTTCGTGCAGAAAAAATGCGCTGGCCGTGGCGTCCAAGGCCATTGACCCCACGCTCGATGCTCTGTTCGCATCCAGTGTAAGCATTCTTTCTTTTCGGCTTGATCAGAGCAACAGTTAACGTAATTGATAGGCTGGCCCTGTGACTGTTCCCTCACAAACTCGATTAGGAGCACCGCAAGTGAAGAAGAGCTCAAGCGCTGCCAAATCAAACGAAGAAGACGGCGATGACCAGGGCGACGATGAGGTGCTCTCCGAAATCAGCGAAGAGCTGGATTATGGCGACGATGACGAAGAAGAAGCAGGCGATGACAGTGCCGAAAATGAAGATGTCCAAGACGGCAATGATGAGGATGCCATGTCGGTGACAATGGAGGCGGCTGAGGCAGAAGAGAAAATCAACGGCCTCGAAGAAGCCAAGCTGAAGCGCGAAAGAAAACGCAAGAGAAAGCAGGACAACGACGACCTTGAGGGAAAATATCTGGCCAAGCTTGCGGATGACGAGGCTGAACCATCTGGCAAGCGCCTGAAGGGAGGTGAAGAGGATGCCCAGGATGGCGCCAAAGAGGACGATGAGGACGAGGTGCCCGTACATGAGTCCCTCACGCAAGAGAGCAAGCAGTCCGAGGTTGAGAAGGCTGCTCGGACTGTTTTCCTGGGCAATGTCGCCACAGAGGCCATTTCATCCAAGTCAGCCAAGAAAGAGCTGATGAAGCATCTCTCTTCAGTCCTTGACAAGGATGCCTCACCGCCGCAAAAGGTAGAGTCTCTGCGTTTCCGGTCCGTGGCTTTTTCTACCGGCTCAATGCCCAAACGAGCGGCCTACATTACCAAAGCCTTGATGGATGCCACCACCAAATCCACAAACGCATATGCAGTCTTTTCAACTCCCGCGGCAGCTCGAAAAGTCGTCGCAGAGCTCAACGGAACTGAAATCCTTGGCCGTCACATCCGGGTGGACAGTGTTGCACACCCAAGCCCAATGAATCATCGCAACTGCGTCTTTGTTGGAAACCTGGGCTTTGTCGACGACGAAACTGTTTTGAACCAGAAAGCCGACGGCGAGACCGTTGAAAAGAAGCGCAACAAGGTGCCTTCCGATATTGAAGAAGGCCTCTGGCGCACTTTTGGTACCCAAGGCAAGGTTGAGAACGTTCGTGTTGTGCGTGACTCCAAGACCAGAGTGGGCAAGGGATTTGCATACGTGCAGTTTTATGTAAGTTGTCCCTCTCGCCTGGTGACGAGATTCTCTCTTCCTTTCATGTGGTTGCCTTGAATCCCATTGTCTTTTTTCCCTCCCCGTCTTTCTTTGTTGCTGACTTAGCTTTCCAGGACGCCAATGATGTAGAGGCAGCTCTTCTTCTCAACGGGAAAAAGTTTCCCCCCATGCTTCCCCGTTCACTCCGTGTAACGAGGGCAAAGGATCCGCGCAAGACGGCTCAGGCTGTCGAGCGGGCCAGGTCCAAGGCAGATGTGGCCGATGGCACTAGCCGCAGCACAAAGTACAAGCCCAAGGCAACTCCAGAGGAGCAGGCCGCCGCCGGACGAACCCGCAAACTGCTGGGTCGGTCTGCGGCTGCGAAACAGCGACGTCCCGGCAGGAGGTCGTTTGCATCGGCGGCAAAGGACGGTGAGGCGGCAGAAGGCGGAATCAAGACTCCGGAGGCCATCATTTTCGAGGGCCGCAGAGCATCGTCCAAGGATGGGCTTCCCAAGGACCTCAAAATGGGCAAGAAAAATAAGAAGAAGGCGGGCAGGCCAATGAGACCGCAGAACCGCGGCGCTAAACGGGCTGCGGCATGGAAGAAGAAGTGAAGAAAAGGAAAAATCACTCGAGGCGAGCAAGAAGAGAAAATCGACAAGGGCAATGCGGATTGAGAAAAAGAGGAAAATAGACAATCCTGGGAGTGCCGCCCTGCTCCAGGTTAAGCAACGTGGGTGATGAGCGAAGTGAGTCGAGTTGATTCCCTGCTTTTGCCTTGCTGGCCCTGGGGCTTGTAAAAGGCAGCACTTTGGTATAAGGTCCGAAGTATAATACGGGCGTGTTTTCTGTGGAAAGGCGGCGAGTTGGCTTACTCATCACATGAGAGGGCAGGCGGGCCGTCTTTTTAAAAAGTGTACATATCAAAAGTCGGTTTTTTTTTTTTTCACTGCGTTTCCCCTCTCCTTTTGGGAGCCCTCTTTTAATCACTGCCTGCTGCCTGTTAGAGGGTACCACGTATTTTTATGTAAGTCATGGATGTCATTACCGTCAACTGCAGGGCAGAGAAAAAGGAGAAAATCATTGGCGTTTGGTAGAAGGTGAAAAATACATCATGCTATAGGGTACTTCACTGAGTGCAACATGTAAACGCTGTGAAGAGTACATCTATTGCCATGAATTATTTGCCAGGCACAGGTAGGTACTTCAGTCTGTGCAAGGTAAAGGCTGAATACCGCCTCGAAAACTAATATTAGCATCTACTTACCTAGTGACCTGTAAGAGTTGCACATAATAGCCCTGTATCGCCACTTTGTCAAACCGATGCCACGTCATTAGAGGCGGACTCGAAACGAAGCCCTGCATCCAATGATAAATCCTCAGTTGTCAGCATACATGCATACCGATCTGCTAAAGTATGGAGGCAGCAGGCAGCCAAGTATAGCAATGGAACTCGAAGCCATAGAACACGCACATGAGTTTCTCTCCTCCATTTGTCGATTTTCTCATAATACTAAGGTAAACTAAACTACTAAGTGTGTCCCTCCCTATATAGCCACTCCCAGGCCTTCCTCCTTTACAAAAAAATTGTGAATATCATTATGTACAACGAAAGAGAACTTTGGTAGGATTAGAGGTATCTTTTTTTCTTCGCATGCTTGCTCCCAAACGTACATTTCCAGCAAAAAGAAAAAAGCAAAAGACAAAAGAAACAGAAAGCAGAAGCAAAAGAGGGGAACGATAGTGGCGGTCTCAATCTAATCAGACTCCAATACGACCAAATTTTTTCTTCTTCTCAAGCCAAAAACCTCCCATTAAAATAGCAAAAGCAATCTCTCTCTTCGTTCAGTCATTGTCAAAGCGGTTCCTAGGCTTATTATGTCCAGTTCGTTCAATGAACCGCATCTAGTATTCCATGGCGGTATCATCACCGTCAAAGGAGTCGGCGGCAACCTCTTCGTAGTCCCTCTCCAGGGCAGCGAGGTCCTCTCGAGCTTCGGAAAACTCGCCCTCTTCCATGCCCTCACCGACATACCAGTGCACAAAGGCACGCTTGTTATGCATCAGGTCGAAGTTGTGGTCCAGTCGTGACCAGGCCTCGGCGATGGCGGTGGTGTTGGAGAGCATGGAAACGGAACGCTTGACGGGAGCAAGGCCGCCCTCCGCAGCGGAGACGGGAACACTCATGGGCTTCTGGTAGGTGATTCCGACCTTGAAGCCTGTAGGGCACCAGTCGACCATGTGGAATGTAGACTTGGCCTTGATGGCGGCGACTGCAACGGTACAGTCGCGCGTTACAACGTCACCACGGTACAGCAGAGCAACGGCCATGTACTTGCCATTCTGGGGGTTGCAGACGACCATCTGGTTGTTGGGCTCGAAACCTGGACATACGTCAATATCTCGGATACATACGTAAAAAAAGCCATGGGGATGACTTACACTGGAAGGTCAGCTCCTGAATCTTGAAGCTCTCATGAGAGCTCTTCTTCGCAGAAACGACAGGGGCGTAGCTAATCAAGGGGTAGTGGATACGTGGGAAAGGAACAAGGTTGGTCTGGAACTCGTTCAAGTCGACATTGAGGGCGCCGTCAAATCGCAGGGATGAAGTAATAGAGCTGACAACTTGAGCAATGAGACGGTTGAGATTGTCAAACGAAGGGCGGGAGATGTCGAGATTTCTCCGGCAAATGTCATAGACTGCCTCGTTGTCTACTAGAAAAGTGCAGTCGGAGTTCTCGATGGTGCTATGGGTGGACAGGACTGCGTTGTAAGGTTCGACGACGGAAGAGGATGTCTGAGGAGCAGGGTAGACGGCGAACTCGAGCTTGGTCTTCTTTCCATACTCGGCAGCGAGGCGCTCGAGCATCAGGGCGCCAAAGCCGGATCCAGTGCCGCCTCCAAACGAGTGGAAGACGAGGAATCCCTGGAGCGAGTGACAGTTGTCTGCGACATCGCATCGTCAGCTATCAATGTTGAACAAGCCGCCTCATCAACACTCACCCGTAACACGACGGATCCTATCCATGACAGGATCAATCATCTCCTTTCCGACAGTATAGTGACCACGAGCATAGTTGTTCGCCGCATCCTCCTTTCCGCTGATTAACATCTCGGGGTGGAACAGCTGGCGATAGTCGCCCGTGCGAATCTCGTCGATGGGAGACGGATCCAAGTCGACGAAGATGGACCGAGGCACATGCTTGCCGCCGGCGGTTTCGGTGAAGAAGGTATCGTAGGAGCCAGGATCATCGATATCCTTGGCGTTGGGGTCTATGCGACCGTCATGGCCGAGGCCGTGCTCAAGACAGTAGCTATGCGACGACAAAAGATTAGCATCAAGCATCAGATGCGCTTATAAATCCTTGCGCAACAGGTGGAGGGGCTCACGAACAGCTCCCAAGCTGCGTTACCGAGCTGAACACCGGCCTGGCCAACGTGAAGATGGATGATCTATATGCGTATCATGTTAGCGATGCTTGTTGTAGGGAAAATCATGTGGCGTGGTTGAGCGCAAATGGACGCATCGCGAGCGCAAATCCGCGAAAGTGGGATGATATCATAACTCGGCAAAAAAAAAAAAGCAGAGAAAAAACACTCGTGCGCGCAACAATAGACTGACCTCTCCCCTCATTTTGAAAAGATGTTTCAACAACTAGCACTCAGTTAAAAAAAAAAAAAAAAGCTGCAAACAAAAGGTATCCAAATGCTGGTAGACAAAGATCAGGCAAGAGGAAATTCGGCCTGGGCAGAAGAGGGATCTGGTGATGGCATACCAGTGGAGTTTTTATAAAGTATTTGGTGGGATTTTTTCTTAGCGGGGGGAATTCTGGTTATGGATCATCACAACAGCTGCCAGGGACCGCTTATGCCGGGCCTGACGAGAGGTACCTGCATGCACAGCCGTTTGGCGCTGGCAGACGAGGTCCAGCCTGTTCCGCGACGGATAAACACCCGCTAAAATAGCGCAAGCTGGGTAGAAAGAAGAAGCTCGTGGGCTGCATGTTTAGAATCTCGTCCTATGGCCCAAAGCGGCGAGAAACATGGTGTAAGTGGCGGGCCCCCCCTAAAGGTAAACAGCACATCACCCAAAAAGAAACCTGAACGGCAAAATGCGGCCAGAAACCGGGGGCTGGAGGCGTTGCTGACAATTTGTCTCGGATAGCAGGAGATGAGCTTATTGCTGCAGAAATGCTGGAAACTCCCGTCCGATCCAAACCGCGGTGTAGGCATCGACATTCTTGAGGGTCGTTTTGTGACTGCCTAGCTCTAGGTAACTACAATTCAGATGCAAGAGTCGAGATTCAGTGGGTCGCTGTTTTTTCTTCTTCTTCCAAGGTTACCCGCAGCGGTTCGTTTATATGAGGTTTCATCAGTAGTAATTTATCTATCAGCCGAGCTTTTGGTTGTTTGTTGATTGCCGAATTGCCGACATGAGCTCTGCATGGATGGATGGCGTTGGATTATGATATAAACCGAGCTGGAAATAAAATAGCACGCGAGCACTACCTTACTTGCTTACCCATGTCTGACAGTCCCGAACAGATGGAACCGCTAAAGCTGATGCTAGGTGCCTACAAGCACGAGGAGCATGGATGCTCCAGGCATTGATGCATGGTTAGTCAGATCGCCGGCCCCGTATTGGGGGCAAATGCTAGAAGCGCTAGTTTGCATCAATGGCGTCTCGTTTCTTACATAGTAGGTAGTTGTGATGTTTACAGATAAATAGATGTCTTTGTGTTGCTGCGGGTAACAATTTCAACCTTGGACGTAGACAGACAACGCACACTCATCTTTACGACGAGTCATTATTACCTAGCCCGTACATATCGTATTGACTGTTCAAGCGCCTTTGATGCTGCCTAACCTTGACCCCTAAACTCCATTCATCTCCTCCACTCCCTTTCTTTTGTAGCCCCTTTGTCTAATCTACCACCCAGGCTCAAATCCATGCTTAACTGCTAGAGGCGATATCACGCTGTTCTCTTCCATATCCATCCTATCACCTCGTAGATATAATCAAAACATACAAAGTCGACTGGCTGACTTGCTCTCTTTTTTTTTCTGCTCGCAAATGTGGTATCATAACTAGTCCTTCTGAGAGAGACCCAAACAAGATTAAATGATTTTAAACTCCCCAAAAAGGGTGAAACAAAAAAGCCAAACACCGGGTTTACCCCTCACGAGGCTCATCCCTACTTTCATCTCCAGAGGCCCTTTCCAGCTCGTCAATGCGTCGCTGAATAGCGGCTTTTTGCGCCATCAGAACCTGGATTTGGCCGTCTCGGGCCACGGTCGCATCCTCGCCATCGTTATCTGCGACGCTGTTGGTTTCGGTGGTAAAGTCGTATGCGGGAGGCGGCTCGGCACTGCGTTCACGAGCCCGTTGATGCGAGCCCAGTGGCGGCGAGTTGGTGTACATTTGCCCCTGTGTCCTCTGTACAACGCCGAGCTCGTGCGACGTGCCGCTTGGGTGACCCTTTTTTCTTCGGTCTCGCCTCCACAGATAGATTAAAATAGCCGCTCCAATGCTGAACAAGCCGAATAGTGTCACGCCAACCCCGATCCCAATCTTGGCGCTCATCGATAGTCCGCGGTCGTCTTCCCGCTCATCGTCGATATCGTCCTCGTTTGTCAAGCCGAGGAGCGGCTTATCTTGCTCCCTAAAGAGCGCCCGAATGGTGTTGACTGCAATAGTGGCGCTGTAGAGCGTGGTGGTTGAGTTGGTCAACACATCGTATGTGGCAGCTGTATGGTTATATATGATGGGGACTGCCAGAACCGTAGGAACCTGGCGCTTACAATGCCCGCCGGCATAAGAGTATTCGCTGCGGAAAAAAGTTTAGCACCAAAAGCTGCGGAATCAAAAGCTCGCTCAACGTACGATGAACAACACAGTGCTGTGGTAGTTGCCTCATCTTCATCCTGGTCAGTGTTTACCGCAAGAGACACAGTCGTCCATCCATAGGGGCACGTCGCAGGGCTGAACACGCCGGTGCGTCCATCGTAAAACATGCCGTCTGGATAACAGGACAGAGTAGAAGCACCAGGAAGAGGTTCCAAATCCAGATACGCAATGGGTTCTGAGACTCCCGCCGGCAGGTCGCTATCATACACGTACGTCCATGTGCAGCTCATCGGCCGGTTCCAATGCGTTGTCAAGGGCGGATAAGGGTTGGCTGTGATGTAGGAGGCGCCATTGCTACCGCTCCCCGTGATGGAAGCCGATGTGGTTGGCGGCAGTGCCGTCGGCGCAGAACCTGGAACGATGGAAGAGGTCGTGAATGACGTGAATGAAAATGAAGCCGACGCCGTGAGAGACATAGTGCCCAAGAGACACTACTTGTACTCGGATACTCCACCCGTGATGGGATAAGGGAGGGTGGTGCGATCGACAGAGCAGACTTGCAAAGTCAGCACCCAGCCGGCAGTGCGTGCCGCAGACGGACTGGTAATTGGTCGTCGAGCGTCGATATCCCCGGACCTGCGCATGCACGATTGGAAATCTCGTATCCTTATCGAGGGCGTTGAGAGTTTGGTTGGCGAGAGCAGAGCGTAAAAAGGGCAGATCGGATTAGAGGTGCGGCAAGGGACCAAGAATGGACGAGGGAGTCTCTTGAGTCGACACGGCAAAGCGGACAAGGGCGAGTGCAGGCTGCAGGGGCGGATGGATGAGAAGAGACGGAAACCTTTAATGGGTTCTGGCCTGGAGTATAGAGGACGGAGATGGTTTGACAAAACGACGCGAAGCTTTTTGATCATGAGGCTGCCAAGAGACGGGTAGGTTCCGGCAGATGGAGACAAAGACAAGGACAACAGCTAGCGGTCGTGTCGTCTCAGCTTTGCTTGCGGCTCTGGCAGGGACGCTCCCAAGCCTCCATCACCATTGGCGACGACTCTGCAGCAAAGACTCTTGTCCTTCCCACACCCCCGTTTTCTGGGGGTCATGGGGAGAAGAGAAAATGCCCCAAGGTACCAGGTTGACAAACAGACTTCGTAATGGGCGTTGGCGAAACTGGTGCCGAGACTTTGCCAAGCCGACCGCCATCCAGCGGTGCAGGTCTCGGCGTTGCTTACTTTTTACTTGCAAGAATTGGCCGCAAAACGCATCTGGGGCAAAAAAGAAAAGAGAGTCTGGAACCTGCGACTAGTTGTTGTCTAGCCTCGGTTCAGAGTGGGAAAGGAAGAAAAAAAAAAGGCAAAGACGAAAAAGAAGAGGAGGACAAAGAAGCAAAGGAGGAAATACCGACCAAGGGAAAAAGAGCGGTCATTGTCGGCCGCGTCGATGGTATCAGTGCCAAGAGAAAAAGCGGCAGTTAGTTGTGGATGTGAGAAATGAAGACACAGACGTGATGAGAAGCACCCGCAACGGAGTTATGAGTGGGGTTTCGTTTCCAACCAAAAAAACAAAAACTAGAAGAAAAAAAAAGAGAAAAAAGAGACGGACGAATGAGGAAAACAATAACCGACCGTCCGGTAGCAGCCGTCACAGAACAGATGGAAAGATGCCGAGGGAGGGCATATCAAGTGATGCAGACGCAGCCAGGGGGGCGGTTTAGGTTGCTTGGAGGATGATGCCAAATTCTCTTGGCGGGCTAATTCCCAATGCTAGGTTGCTAGTAGCATGCGAATTAGCGCTGGGCTGAGGAGAGGTGATGGGATCTACAAAGAACAAACATGCTGTCCCAAGGATGCCCAGTGCTTCCCATCTTGGCATCCTGTAAAGGCAGCCTATGGAGTGTGTACTGGAACATACTCGTACAGTTACTTGGTAGCATCTTGACGACCCACCCGCTCTCCTCAGGTCCTCCAAGGGCGCTCTCATTATCATCGGCGACCGGTACCAAGAACAAGATCCGTGTGTCCTTGCCGCGTGTACTCATACGGTCGGTACTCGTTGTGGTCATGGCACCGAGCGATGTGGTTTATGCAAACACGAGAAACGCCTTGGCCCGAGGCTCGGGCTGCATTTCGCCCCGTGGTTTGTCGTCGCCATGTTTTTGTGGTGTAACTCGTAACACGCAACTTTCGCCAACAGGTGCCTATACCGGTGCAGCCATGGCGCGCCCTTTGCCCAGCCCCGAGCACATGAGAAGCCGTCGAAGCTTCTAAGCAGAATTCAGTTACACGGGGTAGCGAACCTCGCATACATACGAAGCGGTGCGACAGTATGCCCGCTTCCAGCTCTCTCCCGGCTCCGCAATACGGAGGGCCAAACAAAGAACCGGCGTTAGTATTGAGTCTAAAAGCAAAAACGGACCCGATCCGGAAATTCTATGTTCCCGTTGAGATGAAACAGCCACAGTCCAACGAACACACCAGCCACACCGAGATAAATTCCTAACGCCACAAAAAAATCGCCTACCCACCAAAAGCCCACCAAAAACTTTCGCTCGTCGCCAAAGTCACCTGACGTGGAGATCAAAGGGCACGAAAACCCTACTGCCAGAAATTAGTAGTGCCGCATTCCGCCCAACCCTCCCGCCCTTCCCAAACGACTCCATCACGGTCATCATATTCGCTCGTCGATACCCTGCGCGTCGATAGGCGAATCCTTGAATCAACACACAACCGCGATCATGGCTGACGAATACGTACGTTTTGTTCTGCTCCTCTCCTCGTCTTCAGGCTTCAGGAAATCACCCGGTGGGATGGAAAGAGACAACAAAAAATTGGAGGGTGGAAAAAAAAAAAAAGAGAATGATGCACTCGGCTATTGCGACACAATTGACTTTTGGACGGAATTATTCATTTTTGGAATAAGGAACATGGGCGCTGACGTTTTTTTCCTTTTGGTATTATAGAACGCCGAGGAGGCCGCTGAGATCAAGAAGAGAAGAACCTTCCGCAAGTTCTCTTACCGAGGAATCGACCTTGACAAGTACGTTTCATCCTCCTTTCATCCTACATGACGACGAAAATATCAAATCGAACCGTTGTGTGGAAGCGAGAGAGAAAACAATGGCGCTGACATGCACAAACCTTCCCACAGCCTCCTCGACCTCTCCTCTGACCAGCTCCGAGATGTCGTCCACGCTCGTGCCCGCAGAAGGATCAATCGCGGCCTGAAGCGCCGCCCCATGGGCCTCATCAAGAAGCTCCGAAAGGCCAAGCAGGAGGCCAAGCCCAACGAGAAGCCCGACCTCGTTAAGACCCACCTCCGAGACATGATTGTCGTCCCCGAGATGATTGGAAGCGTCATTGGTATCTACTCCGGCAAGGAGTTTAACCAGGTCGAGATCAAGCCTGAAATGGTTGGCCACTACCTGGGTGAATTCTCTATCTCATAGTACGTCGCTGTGAATTTTTTTGCGCCCAAAAGAAATGCGCATCTCCCTTGTTCATGTTTGTTTTACTGACGCCCCCCACAGCAAGCCTGTCAAGCACGGTCGACCTGGTATCGGTGCCACTCACTCTTCTCGTTTCATTCCCCTCAAATAAGAAGGTTGTGGTCTTGGGTGGTTTCTGCATTCACGGACATTTTTGGGCGAAAAGGACTGGTTTTAGTAGACGGAGGAAAGCCGCTACTGAAGTTGTTGATGGCAATGATTTCTATGATAGTACAATGAGAAACATTGTTCACGCTTTCAAAAAGGTCATCATACGGAGTAGATGCTGATGATACATAACAAAAAAAACCAGTTCCAGCGTCGCTTCAACCATGATGCGCTTTTGCATATATCTCCATTGGTGCTTGTCCCCCCGTCGGCCCCGCTTCCGTCTCCAAGGGGTCACAGTGAGTGTCGTCCTTTTTGAGCCGTTAGAGTTGGCATGTCCAGACTCTGGGTCATCTCATCCTGGCGCGGAATGAGGCCCACCGAGCCGAAACCCTTTGCTGAAATGAATTATGAGTCTCGGGTGAGTTAGCCTCACCTACCGGGGTTACCGTCTCTGTTGGACCCTTGACATCTCTTGTAGTCTTCCCGTCTCTTGAGGCTGCGACAGCCGCTGGCTGCACGGTGCTTTGTGAGATATCAACAGCATCTGCTGGAGCCTCAGTCGTTGCTGAATCCACGATGTCTCCTGTGACAGGAACAGGCTGAGACTGAGTCGAAATAGGCCCCGGCTCGGGCTCACTCTGATATGACCAAATTCCGCGAGCCCGGCGACGCACCCCCTGCCAGAATTGTCTAAAGCGAGATGTCTCCCCATCCCGAGCGCCGCAGACGGCACAACCAAACGTATTGCCCGAAGGTCTGTTATAGTTGATGAATATTTCCTGACCCTTCCTCACATTCCTGAGAAGTCTGACGGTGATCCTGACCGGTGCCTCTGCTTGGATCCAAAATTGAGCATTGGCGCACTTGTCACACGCGTGGTTTATGTGAGACGCAAAGGGGTAGATGTTTATCCTGTTTCGCTGGGGATTGCTGAAAGCGTACTCCAAAAGGAAGCAGAGAAACTTAGTGGCCTCATGTGGCGTGAGCTCTAGCGTTCCCAATGGCATGTATTGTATATGGGGGAAGTGATCCTTGAACCAGCTTTGGTCCAGCACCGCGAGCCAGCGCCAACGATCAACAACTGACCTCCTCCATTCGGTCTCTTCTGCCTGCGCTGGATGAAGACAGCTGAAGATTGCTCCCTCACGCAGGATTCTGTGGCCTGCCGGAAAGCTCTGTGTAGTGAAAACGCCAAGTCCACGTGAAGTCCTCGTGTGCTTGATTTTGACGGCAAGTGAATTGGACATGTATGGGAGATAAAAATTGGCTCCAGTCGCCTGGTTAGTTGGTTCGCTACCCTCTGGGCGAGCCGCGTGAACGATTCGTATCCCCTGATTTTTCAAGCTGTTTTGCCCGTGCACATTGGAAGAGTGAGCAGGGAGGCCTCGACTTGGCTTCACCTGTAATCTGACATTTTCCAAGGGACGGGTGGCCATGAAGCTCTCTGATTGAGACATGATGGGACGTGGGACGGACAGTTGACAGCGTAAACGACTGATATTGAGCACAAAGAGTGAAATAATTAAGTGGAAACGAAGGCAGGGATATAGTGCATAAAATCTGGGTAGTATACTGAAAGAATGTTTCTGACGAAAGATCGTAATACTGCGGCTGTCTGAGTGAGATATGAGAAGAAGAGGAGGAGGAAGAAGAAGAAGGAAAAGAAAACATGGTGATTTATCCGCGAAACTCTTGGGACTGTCTTTCTTTCCAATTTGCGAGGTTCGTCCTGCCTACACAAGGCAAACGAGTCTGTCGGTCGTGGCTGATGCATGGCTGAGGAGCATAATGAGGGAAAGACGTCTGGTGGAAATTGCGTGGGATCATGATCATCTCCTATGGGCTTATGAGAGAGAAAGAAGGAAAGGTTGTTCCAAAGGCTGCTCTTGAGGAAGAGCTGTAAGAGGCGCACGTGATACTGATCTTGAGAGAATTTGCAGCCAGCACTCCAGCGGCTTTGAGAAGAGAAGTACCTGGTATAGATGATCAAGGCCAATCAGTAGCTAAATGTAGAGAAAGAATATGCATCCATGGATAACCATATTTAACGCTCATCTGTTTCAATAATCCTAGATATTTTAGTAGCATTTAGTAGCATTTGGGCGTTAGTAAATGCCTTGCGTCTCAGTGGCTGCATCAAACAAAACGGGTTGCTACTACGAGTTGTAAGCAGCAGCACTGATCCCTAATTCTGTAGCACCTGCGCATTGCGCCACCGTCATGCCAGGGTACATCCGGCAACTTGAATCAACATCACGCATCAAACTGGCCCCAATGTGTTGCAAACTTTGTTCTATAGATTGGATATACTGTAGCAACTGCAACTACTCTGCCTTGGCGGCAGCCAGCTTGGCCGCCTTCTTCTCCTCCATCTTCAGGTGCTGCTGTCGGTAGTGTTCCACAGCATGGTCAATGTTGGCGAGGTGGCCGGCCTGGATGTTTCGCGCGGCGTGGGATTGGAGAGCTCTGTTGTTCGGAATTGGTTAGCCAAAAGCGAAATCCCTCGTTCTCTCGTGTAAAAAAGCAAAACGTACTCGGGGTATGCGACGTCGACAAATCGGTGCTTGTTGGAGCCGTTCTCGAAGAGATTTCTGTCATAGCCGGCCTGCTCCATGGCCTTTGTGTGCAGAGTGTTGACGGCCTCCCAGTCCTCGGCCTTTGATCGATACTTGTTGAGCAGGGCGGAGGGCGTCCAGTTGTCGCTCTCCTGGGGGCGGAACTGGTAGACTAGGACGGTACCCAGGAAAGCGCCCAGGGCAATAACGGATCCGGCCTATAGAAGCTTGAAGTCAGCCTTTTGCGTCTTCGTCTTGGTTGCGTGCCGAGCATTTATTGCTAACCCCAAAGGACTCGTTGACCGGAGCGGGCGAGTGGTGGCCGTGGGACTCGGAGGCGTAGGTTCGGGTTGTCCGCTGCAGCTGACGGGCGGCGCAGACTGCCCTTGATCGTGCGGCGAACATTCTGGCGGCGCTGGTGGTCGTCAATTGAAGATGGTCGTCGCAGAGGTAAAACGGGCGTTGGGATTGACCGAGTGAAGTCGTCGCCAGATGTGGGTTGCGGATGACATAATGCAGTTTGGGCCAATTAGAGGGGAGCAGTAATTCCCCGCCATCGACAAGCTTTCCTTCACACCCAAAATCTACAGCACATGTACAGTGATCTAACGTGGTAGTAGTACCCTAGAGCAGCACTTTTGGAGAGCCATTACAGCTTGCACAAAGTATTCAGCTCTGTATCAGTCACCAGTCATGGTTCATTTTTCATGATGCTACTCTATTCCATCTTTCAGCCAACCAGCTGAGCTTGAGAAAGCCACAATGGGACACATTTCCTCTACGGAGATGGTCCTTGAGCAGTGATGAGCCGTCGGCCTTATTGTAATCAATATTGCCTGCATTGAAGAAATCCCATGGCGGACTGACGACTGTACAGCTGGGCGCTGAGTGTGAATCTGCACTGTGACGGCATCAAACATAGTGTTAGAGACTTCATTTGTCCGACCGACACATCCAGGGATTCATAGTGTGACTGTTGCTGCCCCTAGTGGCGCCGGACTGTCCACCAGAGTGTTGACCGGTTCGTCTATATGCCTCTTCGTATCGGGTGTTTATGACACGGATGTTGCCCGAAGCTCAAGTTGCTACCTAAGATGGGAAGGTTGGGTTGTTGGGAAATGTCAGTCTGCAACCGGTGAGGATGATGGATGGTGTAAATGAGAAATCCATTAGCCATCAAGCCTTGAGAATGCCATCTCGCAATGGTGTGTGTGTGTATATAGCTGACATGAAGCATTGATTGTTACATGTATGCGTATGCCTTGAATAAGAGCTAAGCAGGCAAGTGACTTCTGTCACTTTTTTGTCCTCCCAAAGCACTCATGCAAGCTTGAATCTTGTTTGCCATGTAATATCCCGTCTGCCCCCCTGCTTTGCGTTTAGGCCTTTGTCTAGCTGCATGAGCCTTTTGGCGACTACGGCGCTTTTTCAGCCTCCCGCCTGAAGCTGAAGCAGTTATCATATGCATCAGCACGGGTGCTGCTACCAAGAGATTTAGCGCGTCGTGCTGCTGGAAATAAGAATCAATTGGAAGGAGAACGAAAATATGGATTCAATTGTTGGGTCCTGGAGTTATACTTGGGCTGGCTTGGTATTCATGCCATATAATAGAGAGACATGATTATTGGCTTTTGGTAGTATCACTTGAGGTACATGCTCCATCACTTGGAAGCACAACTGTTGCATGGATTGATTAAAGCCACCAGCCACAAGGATCAAATAGAATCCAGCAGAACATTCAAGGCACATGTACCAATACCGATTCACCTAACAAGCACCTTTTGCCGGTACAGGCAATTCGTATTCTCGCTGGACATGTTTGTACCTTACCTACCTTATTAGTTGGTACGAGTACAGAGGCGGCACCCCTAAGCACTGGAAGCTATCTTATCGCTCACTGCCAACCTAAGTTGAAGCGAAAAGGGGAAAGGACAGCGAGAATCCCCCCTTGTCCAATTCCACCTCTTACATCTCGCAGAGCTGAGCTCAGACTTAGCACAAATTGATCTCGCAGCCACCGTACGGGACTGTGACTGTGCTTGTGCGAGCCCATTGATGGGATCCGACGTCGCAGGGTCAGCATCCGCTTCACAGTCACAGACACAAGCTGCCACCGCTCGCTAACGGCGGAAGACCCCTAAAAAGCAACTCGACAACACGAGGCAAAGGCCATCTCGGCTGGTCCAGCCATCGTCATATCCGTCGAGAAGGCGTCCAGAGAAGCTGTCGTCTCCGCCCCCCTGTGCAGGCACATGCATAGAAAAACGCACCAAGGGTTGATCGGTGTGGGGGAAACCAACACGAGTTCCACCTCGGTGAGAGCTTGGACGATGCCATAGGCTGCTATAATGACGACCTGCGTTGGGTTCATTTGCCTTTGCTGGGATTATATGCAGGCTCCTTGCCCTGTGGTTTGCCGTCTCTGAGATTCCCGAATCCCGGGGGCTAGCTCTGGCTCACTTGCCTCGAAGCTACGGGATACTGACACCACCGGCTGCCACCCTACTGCTGATCAATGTGACGTCTCGTTTGACCGGCCCGAGCATTTCTCACAAACATTGTGAGTGAATTCCGACCTCTTGGGCTGGAGGCATGTCTCGTAACATGGTTACTCGGGCGCAAAACCTCAAGCAGCGGGCTATACCGTCGGGTTTGCTGGCGGCAGCCCCTCTTGGGCAATGAATGATATCGCTTCTTCGGCATCCGTCTTCCATTTCCAACTTGCCTTTGGCTCACCACAAAGCAGTCAATTGGTAGCTGCATATGCTACTCACAGCGGAGACGCACAATACAAACATTGCCACGGGGAGAGATGTGGTTGAGAGGCGGGAAGCGGTCATGATGATATGGCGTCTCGCAGCTCCATACCTGGACTCTTGCGCCATAACAGTTGCCACCATTAGCTATGCCCGGAAAGCTGCAGCGCGGTAGGACCCCCCGGCCAAGAGGCTCTACTAATCCCAGAGCGCCGGTAGAACTCCTATTGTCACGAAAACGTGCGGTGCCCTTGGCCGCTGCACCTTGCCGGGTCTCTCCTTCATCGGAAGTAAGCTAAACTCTGTTCCTGCATGGTAACACACAGTCGGGTTGCAGCTCCATAATCATCAATGATGTGTCACATATATTCAGGCGTCTATCCTTGAATATGATGTGATGTATGTGGTTCAGACCCGAGTATAATATGCGGACGATATCCTGTGTCTCCCAAGGCCCCTATCATCCTTGGATTGACTCTGTTTGAGCGACCAACGGGCTGCCCAGAGTACCCTCCCCTTTTCGTTTGCTCCCATCTCAGCATCTTATCGCGACGTTGACTGGCCTACCGGAGTCAGCTGTGATCAACGGCCGCTGGCACGGCACGGCACGGCACGGCGCGAGCCACTCGGTGCTTGAAGTGACTGATACCAAGGAGATTCGTGTTCAGTCACTCACTGTCTATGTTTGCCCATATATGAGTGTCTCCTCCCATCTACGGGAAACACAGTCCAGCATGGCATCTCTGGCGCTGCCTGCAAGCAACCCTGGGACATCTTCGTCAATACTTGCACCGTTTCCTGATTCTATCCACGCGTGGATCGCTTCTCCCATAAGCTCAGGCGAGATGGGGTCCTTCTATGATGTTATCTGTCGATGCAACAAGTTTGAAGAGGCGAAGAGCGCAGCCATGTGGGAGTTTGCCGTCCTAGACAACTCTGTCCCAGTTGGATATATGCTTCCGGAACATGTCGCCGAGATTAGATGGGACAATACAAGCTTCCATGTCTCCAAGTCCAAGCGCAAGATACACCTGGATCCGGTCGTCAAGCCGGGCGACGACGTTGTCGAAATATGCCGCCGCGAATTCATAACCTTATGCGAGAGAAACGTCGACAATCTCAATGGCTGCTTCAGAAAGTGGCTCAGAAAAAGATCAGACTTTCACCCAATCCGCGGCCTTGATGTAAAGCTAGCTGGATTGGTGATCCCTTCGCCTGCCAGGGGAATCTTTGGCATTGTCACCACGGGTGTTCACATGAACATGTTTACCGTCAGGAATGGCAGGATCCATGTGTGGGTTTCGAAGCGCTCTCAAAACGTCACTTATGCTAGAAAGCTCGACCAATTGGTTGCGGGAGCGATGGACCCGGCAGACAACATGGAACCTCTGGTGACGCTCAGGCGTGAAGCCATGGAAGAAGCAGGGCTTTTGGTCGACACTGCCACGAACATGGTAACTTGGAACAGCACCCATGTCGGTAGAGTCACGGCCGAATCGATGATTTCATTCTATGACCAAAAGGACCATATTGCCGGCAGTGAAGAGGGCCATGTTGAACCGGGGATCCGATACACCTATGACCTGGAGGTTGGCCCCGATTTTGTCCCGTACCCTCAGGAGCCGGAGTCCATTGATGGGTTTATCCTGAAGCCCGTGGAAGAAGTAAAGAGGGACCTGAAGAATGCCGAGTGGAAGCCGAACTGCGGACTTGTCATGCTGGATTTCTTACTCCGGAAGGGCGAGGTTAGAGAGGGAGATGATGAGAATTTCGGATTGTTGAGACGAGGCCTTGCCCGGAAATTGCCATTTTACAACCTGTGAAATTTTTCGATTGAGATTTGCTGGATGAAGTCCTATGGGTGGATTCGGTGGTACCTTCAAGATTGGGAACATGCCGAAGGTATCTTGCGACCCTTTTCGTTTTGCTGTGGAAATCTACTGGGCCGATGTATTTTTAACGCGCAGTTTCTGCTTGCTGCTGACTCGCTAGTTGTAATGAAGCTTCTCTTTGGCCTTGAATCCCTTTGTTTCACCTTGACCATCTGTGCATGCGCTGATGTTGGTAGCAGGGAGTATCCGGAGCGACGGGTGAGGCGGTTGGGTGTTTACAAATGAGGAAGATGTGGATGGGAACAGTCGAGGTGCCATGGCAGAGCAAAATGGTGTTTGGCTTACAAAGGTTTGACGGAGCACAGGGTGAGTGAGTAAGTGAGTAATTGCGGCGCAGGGAAATTGGGGACGCGGCACGATATTAAAAACAGCAGCTCGAGTTTACTGATCATCGACTACTTTCTACTTTCTACGAGAGCGATTTTTTGCCTTTCTAAGGCCTGCTATAAACAATTTGCTATGTTGGAATTTTGCTTCCGTGATGGATGGATTGTCACCCAAGAGAATGAGAATGAATGGACGAGTGATGTATGTGCCCGTATGGATCCCCTCTCTGCCGGGGAGTATCCATCCATCTAGACTACTTGACTACCTTATCGCGCAAGGATGGAGAAATTGTGGACATTCGGGATTTTTTTTTGTAATATCTGACAAGAGATGCGGGACATGGGGCAAGGCAGCCTTTGGGGACCAAAGTGAATGCGATGCGACGCTGCCTTTTGTTGTTCATCTCATGGTGAGTAGACAGACAAGCGTGCTTTCTCGTTTCTTTGAATGGATGATGAGAAAACCAGAACTACTGCAGAGTCACACGGAGAGGGCTAGTTGCTTTTCTTTCCCCTCTTGTTCCCATGCTTCTTTTCTTCCTTTCTGTTTTCTTGGTGGGTGGCTTTATTACGGCAAGGCACATTTTCACATGGGAGGCGGCGTTAGATGGAGATAAACGCCTCAACAGTTGATCTATCTTGGCTATTTCCCTCTTCGACTTTTTGCGTCTGGCTTGGCTCTATATCTCTGAACTAGCTGCTTAATACTATAGACACTAGTCTAGCATTGAAAGCCATTTGGCCGGCGCAAAATGGAGAAGATTGTGGGAGGAGAGGCGAAGGGCGGGAGCTCGTCTCGTCCCGTTGGCTCAGCCTTGCAACTGGGAGTCTGTTTCTCTCTCTCTCTCTCTTGACTGGGCGGGTTTTGATGTGGCTGCTACTTTTGCTAGTGCATGAATGCTGGTGTTTTTTGTGCAAGGTGCATTTTTCTTGGGGCGTCGAGGCAGACTGGGGATCATGATGCATCTGAAGATGGGGTGAGAAAAAGAGCTCATGGGGGAGAGAGAGGATTGTAGGGGATGAGGTGGACGGGATGATGCTGGATATATTCTTTGCTTGAAAATAAATGTTTTATCACTGTTGAGTTGCCTTGGAGGAACACAGAGTCGTACAAGAGGCGCACAAATCGGTGGGCGCTTCTGGTCAAGGGTTGTAAATAAGTGAGAGAGCACAGGACTAATACGCATATACTCGTACGCAGTCACATTCACATTCGCACACGCACGGGCTGAGATTGAAATGTGCCCTGCTTGCTGTGCTGTGCTGTGCTGCGGCTAAAAAAAGCAGCATCCATCCTGCTGCACCTTGTTGTCTCTCTCTCTTCTTTTTTTCTCCGGCCATGTTAGTACACATGATACTATTCCTACCAGAGTGCTTTAGCGGTATGTAAGGGAGAGAGAGAGGAAGAGAGAGGGGCGTGGCTCGGCTGCAGCGTCGCACTGCGTCCAGCCGCAGTTGATGGCTTGACAGGGGGTCGGTTGGGGCCTGAATTCTGAAGTGATTTTTTGGCATTATTGATTCCTGGTGAGATGTACTTTGTAGAGAGAAGAGAGATAAAAGAGAGAGAGAGACAGAGAGAGTGGTGAGTTGGTGTTTACTGTAGCTGAGAGGAAAGCCGTCCGTTCTCAGTCGATAGTTGATGGTGCTATCTACATAGACTCACTCGTGCACATCTTGGCTTAAACGAGCTGAAAAAAAAAGGACGAGATTCCCGTGGCCTTCATGTCTGTCTGTCCGTCCCCCCTTGTCCGAAACGCCTCGTGCTTATTATTCTTCCTCTGCAGTAGATTAGCTTCTTACTGGACTAGTACTCTGCTTTTCTGTGATAGTACTCGTACGTACATTAGCGAGAGGGATATGCAATGCACGTACAACAAACAAGTTCCTAGTCGTACCGCTCGCTTTTTTTTCTTTCTTGTTACTCCTCTTTTTGCTGTTCCCATTCCTTTCAGCTCATCAAACCACGGGATCCACCACGGCGAATAAGACGCGGCTGCCATCCTGGGGCTGAAGTCGACTAGCAGTTTTTTAAGCATAGTTTGGTTTTTTGCCTCTATTCCCACGGGCTGCGGGTGGCTCGCGGGCTAGGCTGGTCTTGGGATGGGGCCGGGCTGGGGAGACAGACAAGGAACAGGGAGAGAGAGAGAGAGAGAGAGAGCTCAGGTCCAGTTCCGATTTTCTCTTGCTGTACAGTAGCTTGGGCATTTCGCCTCGTTCTTCGTATTTCAGATGGGAGTGGGGAGTGAAGTTTGGGGTGTATAAGTGCGTTTGTTGTAGTGGTGCGAGGTTGTGAAGGAGCCGCATTGGGGGAGGGCGGTGCGAGAGCGAGTCTTTTTTTCTTCTTCTTCTCCTAGGGTCTTTTGTTTTTTTGTTCTTGCTTTTTCTTTTCTTTTTATTCTGTCTGTTTCAGCATCTTTTCCGTCTTTCTTCCTTTTGGGAGGATAGTCTGGGTAGATTTGTCGATCTTTGTTTCTTGGTGGTTTCCCCCTCCCGATCTCGCTGTCGTTCTGCTGCCGCTATTATACCCGTTGAACTGAGTCGTTGTGTCTCAGACTCTTCTGCTTCTCTTCAATCTTCTTCATATTGTGTCCTTCGTTGAGTTCTGGGAGTAGAATAGACACGGTAAAAGACGAGAGCCTAGTTTCACCTCTGTTAGCCTTGCGTCAACTTACAACGAATACGACTCTCTTCGAAACCACTTACGCATACCGTCTTCACTGTACCAATGCATTACACCCCGGCAACTCTCCTCCTCCTGGGGGCAGTTGCCTCTACCGCTCGAGCAAGCAACGACAACCAGCCCGTACCCAAATCAGGTCTCCAAGAATCATGGGCGTCACCAGCCAGAGAAACCGTCGCCGTCGGCCATGATAACGAACAGCAGGTCGCCCTGGGATGGTCTCCGAAGCCAACTCAAGCTCCCAAGCCTTTGATGGGCCGCATGATGATTCCCCGAGCAGATGATTTTACGATTGGACCCCAGACGTGCGGGTTCGTTCCTGGGACTACTGGCAGTGAGTTGGTCTATTTCTGAGGTTTGAGTTTGGGATGCTGACCGTTCGTAGATTCGTTCACGTGTATATCGGTTGGATTTACATGCACGCCTCAGGCCAACTTTGTCGGATGCTGCGAACCAAACAGCTCGTGCAGTCTCATCAAGACGACGTGTATCGACTACCAGGCGTCCAAGGGCGGTGCTTGCAACCTGCCCTCTGACTATCACACTCTTTGCTGGTAAGCTTCTCCCCTCCCCTCTCAGCATGGATCCCCCTCTTTCACTTTGTTGCTGCGATCTCCCAACTAACATGATCCTCCTTTTCTTCTTACCAGTGGCACATCATCAGTCGGTGCCTGCTACACCTGGGTCGTCTCTACGTCCGGCTCGGGTGACGAATCAACCAGTCTGCATACCCTCTTCGACTGCTCCCCTCAAGCCGGCAGAGGCACACTCCTCACCGTCGACCCGGGCTGGTCGTTAACACACAGCTTCGGCTCAACAACAACCACGACTTCCGCATCGACAACCGCAACAACGACAACTTCCACCCCTGAGCCCACCCACAAGAGCAGCAGCACCAACGTGGGCGCCATCGCCGGCGGCACAGTCGGAGGCGTCGCCGCCCTCGGCCTCGTTGGTCTCGCGGCGTTCCTCCTGGTTCGCCGTCACCATCCTCGCAACGCTCCTCCAAACGCCACTCTAGGCGGCGCTCCTAATCCTCAACCAGGGAACCCTCCCGCCGGAACTACTTATCCCTCGGGCGTCCCGCCGGCTGGATATCCCGGCGGATATGCGCCCGTGCCGATGCAGTCGCCGCCGCAGGGCTACGATCCTCACATGAGCCAGTACGGCCAGCAGCAGGGCGCCTATCCGCAGCAGTACCAACAGGGACAGCAGTATCCTCAACAGCAGTACGGCAACTATCCGGTCCAGACGAGCACTTCGCCGGTGTATACGACTCCTTCGCCGGGCGCTTTCAAGGAGGGCGACATGTCGCCTCAGCAGCAGGCGCCTCCTCCGACTGAGTTGGCTGCGGTGAACCCTGTTGGAGCGGAGAACAACAGAGCAGAGCTGGGTACAGGTAATTAGACGCGGATTTCTAGGGTTTGGGGTATATCGAGTGTTTTGTTTTTCATGGTTTGGGTGGGAATATGCAAGCCAATGTCAGTCTTTTTTCTTCTGTTGAGCTGTTGGATGAATGGATTTGGGTTTTGAGATGATATCATGAATTGGCTCGGGACATAATGAGGGACGATGCTTTTTGAATGGGTCTCTTTTCTTCTGCCACCCTTTCTAAAGCACAAGGTATATATGATATCTTCACACGTGTAAATCAATAAATATTACGAATAAATCCACCTTCTCGCCTTAGCCGTCAGCTTCTCATACAAGTCTTGATGAAATCGTCTGGCATCAAGCCCCCTTACTCATGACAATGTGGTTACAGCTTTACTCCTTTGTGGCCTTCTCCCAGAATTGCGGCCAGCTGACAACAGTATTACTCACACGAGCCTCTTCCGCGGCAAAGACCATTGCGTGGCTGCGAATCACTTCTTCCACAGTGCAGCCGACAAACTCGTTTTGGGCCTTTTCGGCCTCCCATCCGTGGTTCTTGACGCGATCGCAGGCCAGGACAAACTGCCTCGTGAGGCCCAGGTCGCCGCCGCCGTGGCCCTTGTGCTCCATGTGCGGCGTGTAGACGGTGGTCTTTTTCGTGGCAAAGTCCTCCACGACAATCTTTTCAGAATCGGTGTAAATCTCGCCATGCTCGCCGTAGAAGTAAGAGAAGCGATAGCACTGCTTTTTGGTTTGGGCCACCATCTGGATGGTGACACGTTTGGCGGGCTTGACGGACTCGGGCCACGTAATGGTGACGAACTGATCGTCACACACGTTGTTGTCTGCTTCATAGACGCATCGGCCGAACCAATTGCGAGAACTAACTTCGTCCTTGGGTGTTGACTCGTCCCAGTCATCCTCTAGAACCTTGGTGATTGCCTTTTTGCGCTCATCAATGGTTTTGTAGTCTTCAATGTCGTGCACGACGGTGGTGACGGGCCAGTCAGTATTGCCAGTCCCAACTCCCTCGCAGTTGGCACTCAGATATACATTCTTGGCGGAATACTTGCAGCCAGAGTCGCCGAGGGGACAAGTCATGCAGTTGGTGGCTGATCCGGCAGCAGCAGGCTTGCGACTCTTTTTGAAGTACTGCAATCCTCCAGTGGACGAGACAAAGTCGGGAAGATGAGGCTCGCCCTCTCCAGCCTTTTCCGGAGAGCAGAGAAGCCACAGGATGAGGTCGACGTCGTGGCAGCACTTGGTCAGCAGCGATGGCCCTGAAGTAGCTGAATTTCTCCAGTTGCCTCGCACGTACGAGTGTGTAAAGTGCCACCATCCAACGGGCTCTGTGTGGACGACGCTGTTGATGTCGCCAATGACTTTATCCTCAACAAGCAGTTTCCTCAGCATCATGTTGTGAGGGCTATATCTGAGGACGTGGCCAATGGAAAAGATGTTGGTTTTCAGCTGAGGTTTGAGAGACTTGTATATATCGAGACAGTCTTCGAGTGATGGTGCAAGTGGCTTCTCGCACATGATATGGAGGCCCAGGGGGGCCAAGCCAACGACAACCTCTCGGTGCATCTGATCCTGGACGCAGACAAAGGCACCATCAACGCCCTTGGGAACATTGCTTTCTCCGTTGGCAACTCGCTGGCGCCGCTTCTGCTCGTATTCGACGAAATCGCGCCAGTCTAGGAACATCTGGCCTTCGCTCGGGCCGCTGTCACCCCAGATGTGATGCTTCCCAAGCGTCTCCCGCCTGTACTTGTCGGGATCAGCCACAGCGGCAACAACGCCGTTGCTGGCAATATCAATACCCCTGGCATAGCCAATTCCTCGAGCTCCGGCGCCGATGATGATGAAGCGAGGAGGGTCTTCCGACATTTCAGGCCTCGGAAGAGGCTTGACATGGGGGTCGTCGGAGACCTGGAGCGAGGCCATGGCGACGATGGATATGAGACAAAGTTTAGAATGTCAAGCTCCTGGTCACGATGATGTGACTTCGCTTTCTGTTGATATTCTGTTGATAAAAGGAGTCGTCGTCGATGAGTGATTCGGCTCTGTCTGTAATATATAGCCAATGGCCCAAAGCTGCTAGCCCAGGGACGCCGTCCGTAGCCCAACCGGGGTCACCCAATCAGGATCGAGCCGATTCAAAACAGTGGTTCGACGGCATCTTAGCAATTGGACGAGAGAATGTGCAACGTTCCAGTGCTAGAACCGCTAGCAATGAGGGGGAAGAAGGGCGCTGCTTATCGCGGGCATGCTTGGGCTTGGGTGGGGGAGGGGAAGATGGATTTCATTTGATGCCAATCTTGTGAGAGACATGGACTGGGACGCCACATGGCTAGGTGCTGTTAGCTCCCTGGATCGCTCCCCTAGATCGCTGAACGGGCCCCCTAAACAGGCAACTTTCGGCGCTGTAGTCGCTGCCGGGTTAAGGTGCTGCCCTGGAGCTTTCTGCGCAATTGCGGTACCGGTGCTCCTAGCCCGGATAAACCAAAAACAGAGACATTGAGCAAAGCCTCTCCCGAGCGTCGATTCAACCAGACTCGATTTTCTCTTTGTCATCTTGCTCCGCCAGCAATCATTAGGCACTACTTTCTCAAACTAAAGTTTTGCCGTGTGGTTACATCCGATCGTTTAGAATGCCGGGTTCCGAGTTAAGTCATGCCTCGGCGACGGACGATGCCTTGGTCTGGATCGACTGTGAGGTGAGATATGACGTCGAATCTTCCCGTTCGCCAGATATTTCTTTTTTTCCTTACTAAGGCTTGACTCTCGTGTATAGATGACGGGCTTGAACCCCGACACCGAGGAGATTCTGGAAATTTACTGCATCTTGACCACGGGAAACCTCGACATCATTGACCCCGAGGGCTTCCACGCCGTCATCCACTGGCCGGCCTCTCGCCTGGACCAGATGGACGAGTGGTGCACAAACACGCACGGCAACTCAGGCCTGACGGCAGCCGTGATAGCCTCAGACACCACTCCGGCCCAGGCAGCCGAGGGTCTGTACCGCTACATCACAAAGTTCATCCCCAAGCCGCGGACGGCGTTGCTGGCCGGCAACAGCGTGCATGCCGACAGGGCCTTTCTGCGAAAGGAGCCGTACGGCAGGGTCATGGAGCACCTGCACTACCGCATCCTGGACGTGAGCTCGATCAAGGAGGCTGCTCGACGGTGGAGCCCGCAGCTTCTGTCGCGGGCGCCGGCGAAGAAGGGGAGCCACAAGGCGAGGGACGACATCCTGGAGAGCATCGACGAGGCCCGGTACTATAGGGAGGCCATCTTTGGGGGAGCATCAGGTATCATCAGGTAGGCCGTAGGAATTGAAATGAAGAAAAAAACCTGTTGATGCAAGCTATTGAGATTCTTGTAAGAAAGCAGCCCAAAGCAAGCAACCAATTGCGCGTCATTGATGTCATTGTTGGACGAGCGCTGGGCTTTCGTTGGACCAGGCCACGACTTTGACCGCCATGAGGCAACGGCTGCAGCTCCAGTTCGGAATTGGGATTTGCCATTCAATGGGATTGGGCACGTTCGCACTGTAAATCGAAACCAAGACGACGTTGATCATACAGTGCCAATTGAGCCCACGCCAGCACGGCTTGCCCCTCCATCGCTTGTTCAAGATGCCCAATCCCCACCACCAGCTCCTTGAAGCTTCCCCTCATCGCCCCTTAAAGCTTCGACGTCCCCTATTATTCCCGCTTGCTGGGCTTCCTAGGAGCTTGTTGGCAATAAAAAGCTCTCCGTAGCCGGTTGGCTTCAATTCAATTCTATTCTACTCTCCCAATCCACAGCATCAATCCCACTACAATCTCACCCGCCGCCATGAGTGCCAGCATCCAGACCGTCGAGTTCGAGCCCTTCCAGGACCAGAAGCCCGGAACGTGCGTCACAGCTTTGCTGCCCCGCCATCGTCTTTTACACGGATTGAATTGCTGACATTGGCGTGCCAATCCTCCAGTTCTGGCCTGCGAAAGAAGGTCGTCGTCTTCCAGAAGCCGCACTACAGCGAGGCCTTTGTTGCCAGCATTCTGCTGTCCATCCCCGAAGGCGCTGAGGGTACGAATTCATCTGTGTTTTGTTTCATCTGGCGCAAGATGCCATCGAGAAAAGAGGCCAAGCTAACACTCTCCCGTCTCTCCAGGCGCTTTCCTCGTCATCGGTGGCGATGGTCGATTCTGGAACCCCGAGGTGATCCAGCTGATTGCCAAGATCAGTGCCGCGTATGGCGTCAAGAAGCTTCTCATCGGCCAGAACGGAATCCTCTCTACTCCCGCAGCCAGCCATGTCATTCGCCTTCGCAAGGCGACGGGTGGTATTCTGCTCACAGCCAGCCACAACCCTGGCGGTAAGTCCCTCAAGCTTTGCCAGACTGAGCGTAAAAGGACAGTTGCTGACGACGGATGTTATTCGATCAGGCCCTACGAACGATTTCGGCATCAAGTACAACCTGGCCAACGGCGGTCCCGCTCCCGAGTCTGTTACCAACAAGATCTACGAGACGTCCAAGACCTTGACGTCGTATAAGCTTGCTTCCATCTCCGACATCGACATCTCCACTATTGGCACAACCACCTATGGCCCCCTCGAGGTTGAGATCATTGACAGCACCGCCGACTACGTCACCATGCTCAAGGACATCTTTGACTTTGACACCATCAAGAAGTTCTTCTCCTCCCACCCCGACTTCAAGGTCCTGTTTGACGGCCTCCACGGAGTCACTGGCCCCTACGGCAAGGCCATCTTTGAGAAGGAGCTTGGACTCACTGGTGCCACCCAGAACTGCATTCCCAGCCCCGACTTCAACGGTGGACACCCCGACCCTAACCTCACCTACGCCCACTCCCTGGTCGAGGTTGTCGACAAGAACAATATTCCCTTTGGTGCCGCTTCCGATGGTGATGGTGACCGAAACATGATTTACGGCGCCAACGCCTTTGTCTCTCCCGGAGACTCTCTCGCCATCATTGCCCACCACGCCAAGCTCATCCCCTACTTCCAGAAGAACGGCGTCAACGGCCTTGCTCGATCCATGCCCACCAGCGGCGCCGTCGACCTGGTTGCCAAGGCACAGGGCCTCACCAGCTACGAGGTCCCTACCGGCTGGAAGTTCTTCTGCGCCCTCTTCGACGCGAAGAAGCTGTCCATCTGTGGCGAGGAGAGTTTCGGAACTGGTAGCGACCACATCCGTGAGAAGGATGGCCTGTGGGCTGTCGTTGCCTGGCTGAACATCATCGCCGCCCTTGGTGTCCAGAACCCCGGCGCTACCCCCTCCATCAAGCAGATCCAGAAGGACTTCTGGACGCAATACGGACGCACCTTTTTCACCAGATACGACTACGAGAATGTCGACTCTGACGGCGCCAACAAGGTTGTTGGCGAGCTCGAGGCTTTGGTGGCCGACCCTAAATTTGTGGGCAGCACCATTGGCGGTAAGCAATTTACTCTTTTTACAACGAAATAACAGCATCAGGCTAACTCAATCGAACAGAGCGCACCGTCACCAAGGCTGGCAACTTCTCCTACACTGACCTGGATGGCTCAGTCTCATCCAACCAGGGCCTGTACGCCGGCTTCTCCTCTGGCAGCCGCATCGTCGTCCGTCTCTCCGGTACTGGCTCATCCGGCGCCACCATCCGCCTGTACATTGAGCAGCACACTAGCGATCCTTCCAAGTACGACCTTGATGCTCAGGACTTTTTGAAGGACGAGGTCAAGTTTGCTACTGAGCTGTTGAAGTTTAAGCAGCACATTGGCCGTGACGAGCCCGATGTCAAGACCTAAGCATCTGATCGTGTTGATGAATCCTCATTTATTATTTTAATTTGAAGCGTAGTGTTTGAAATGGGAGGGAGGGAATTAAAACTGCATGAGATTATGCCTAGCAAGAAATAGCTGTATTAAAAGCAATGAATTACAAAAAATTTTGAAGTTAAAATTTTTTTTTCAAGTCAGACAAATCATTACCCATAACAATAACGTGGTCATCAAACCAATTGACATGTCCATGTTTAAACAAATTTGGAGTCGTGAGTAGACGATTCATGAAATAAAAACACAACAAGTTAAAAACAAAATTCCTCGTAAAAGGTGATTGATTGTCTTCAGTAAACCTCTCATATGAACTTTTCTTTTTGCGGAAAATATCAAAACGCCATTCGCCAGAGCTGAAAGGAGTAGCCGGGCATCAGATTATCATTCGTATCGTCGTTAGAAAACTTTGTAGGAGATGTTGAGAGGGTATAAAAAACATATAAAATAAGATGGGAAACAAATAAAACTGACAAGCGTTGCTTGAGACGTTGTGTTTTTTTTTTTGTAAAAACCGATTAAAAAGAAGAAGGATAACAGGGTGGGTGAAATTAAGCTCTTGGGGTCGTTGGTCGAGATACCGCCCTGGGAGTATTTGGCCTTGGAGTGATGGGCCGCGAAGTATTCGGCTTAGTAGCTGGGGGAGAGAAGAGATCTTTGAAGCTTTGGGCAGCTATATGGAGAAGTGTTAGAAAAGGAGTTGGGATTAGGGGACAAGTTGAGATGTGTGTTTAGGACTCGACTTACCTTCTTCGTTGTAAAACTGAAGCTCGAATGCTCCGCCGGAACCCTTTCGCTGAGCTTGCTGCCGGTACTGCTGGCAGAAAACGTACAGCTGAATGTCAGCGAGGCGAACTCGTTTGCGGCTGACTCGCTTGAGCCAAGTGGGCGACGCGGATTGATGGGTTACTGCAAAGCGGCTGTTAGTCTATACTGATGCTTTGGTTCTTCTTTTTTTCTTAGATAAAGGGAAGGAAACATGGCATACCAAAAGCCGTCCAGACGGGACATTGGCGCAGCTCTCCCTCCCAAACGGCGACGTGGAGGCGGCGGCCGCCTGTATGCTTATCTTCGTAAACGATGAGTGAGTGCTTGAAGCCGTCGTCCAAGATGCACCTGAGTCGGAGATGTTAGCAACAAAGAACCATTTTGTGAAGAGGAATGAATGAGACTCACGCTTGGAAGAGCTTCCGTTCGCCTTTTAGAGTGTATTCCTTGGTTCCCAGTTGGATTGTTAGGGTGTTTCGAGACTTGAGAGCCAGAAAGGTGCAGTACATGAGAATGAGTTCTGAAATATCCCTGTTAGTAATGACCCGTTTATTGCGGCGCGAACACTATTGCGACTAAATACTCAACGCCTTGGGGTGTGAGCTGACATACCTTCCCAAGTCTGAAAGCGCAGTGTTGCCCAGAGTTTGGAGCAGTTTTCAGAGCGGCTCCATCTCTTGAACTGAATAGAATCATTCTCACGCTGAATACACAGCTCGTGCACGCCGCGGACTGAGAACCATGGTCCGCCCATGTAAAATGTCCGAAGAAGAAGGAATGGTGAGCCATCTCGTCCATCAGAATAGGCGATGAGGGAAATCTTGTCATCGTCAATGGGTCTAGAGTAGTCGTCAAATTAGCAAGGCTGCCATGATGGGCTGCTGGCATATCGCATTGCGTGGATAGATAGACCCTACCGTCTGAATAAAACCTTTGAATTGTTAGGGATGCTAAGATGGCCCCATGGCCGATGTGGTCCAAAAGACTCGGATCTGTCAAAATGTTCATGTTTGAATATACGCTTTCTTGTTGTAGCTACGGGGGAGGGGGGCTCTGATGACTTACGGGAGCTGGCTTTTTAGAGGTGACCGGGATGGCAGGGGCAGAGAAAAGATTTGCTCGGCCCAGTGAACAGACTGCATCAACACATGTAAGTGACATGTTAACATGTAAAAAAAAAGCAAAAATTCCTTACCGAGTCCATGTCTGCAGGTGGTATACTCCCATAGCGAACCAGAGGACCAGCCTGTATTGGAGGCGGAGCTATAGACAGTCTCTTGTTAGTATCGAGAGCAATTTTTTTCTGACGTGGTGAAATTAACTGCACATACGGATTCCTCTCGCTTCCCGCAAATTCATAATCTGCAGGCGGAAAGCTTCCATCATGTTGAGGTCGAAGTTGGGCGATCTTGATGTAACATGTCAGCAGCCTGGACTAAGACAAACGTCAGACGTCAAAAAGCATGTTTTGTTTACCTGGATAGCAAGTCCCGGATGGCAGAAAGATAATGGTTATACACAACAAACCGTTGCGGTAGTTGCAGACCGCCAGCCTCGTTGGTCATGTCGTGAAACATTGTTCGCCAGCGGTTTACCTTTGTCAATTTTCGGTTCTCATAGTGCGTTGTGATGTCCCGTAGAGATCGTGACATGCACGGCAGGATGGTATTAAGGGGATCCAGCACCAGCGGCACGCGGTCCTGGTGAACTTGGGACAGGTCGGCCAGCTCTCGTAGGATCAGGCTAGAGGTCTTGATCTCGTCGATGAGTGGCTTCAAATGCCGACGGTTCGGCTCTGGTATGGCGAGGAACAAGCCCTCGAGCCGCAGCCAGACACTATCTGACCTCTCCGCTTCCAAGCAGCATCCCTTGAGCAGGTGGGCGTCTACCAAGGACGCGGGATCCTCCTTAGGTGAACCAAGCTCCATGGTGTGATTAGAAAACATGTAGACGGAATATGACGACGGTGATAGTATTAATACGGATCGAAAAAAAGACGAATATTCCAAGAGGATCGCTGTGGCCTATCCAAGCATGGCCTGGTCCAGATGGAATAATGAATCGGGTGTACGGCGGATTAATGCGAGCCAAGCGGTAACCGGTCAACTCGATACCTTTTTTTCTTCTCTCTTCTTCTTCTACCAGGTCTCTCTCACAACAGCTGGCTAGCCGCTTCACGTTCCGGAGCCGGTGGAATTGGATTGGCTATTACAACAACCTCATACGATATACGATTCGTTGCACATGTGAGCCAACCGCAGGAAAGGGTTGGGGAGAATGGAAAAATAGAAAAAAAAAAGAGAAAAAAGACTGTGCCTCTCTTGTCAGTGGAAGACAGCCAGACAACGATCCGAAAGATTGGGTCGGAGCCAGATCAAATCGAAATGTCGGAGTGGCAGGGTGGACCGGTAGTTAAAGTCGGGGCGGGCGGGGGATGGAGAGCAACAAGAGGCAGAGCCATGCAACATCAAAACCCGGCATGGAGGGGCATCTATCTTCCCACGCTTGTGGCACGGAAAGCCGGTGGCAGCCCAATGCAAATGCATGGGATGGGGGGGAAAAGGGAGAAGATGCAGAGGAGGGAGAAGAAGAAAGAAGAACAAGGGCGTCACTCGCAACACCAACACCAACCGGCCTTGGGCCTTGAGACACGCACACGCACACACACACACACACACAACCGTACATACATTATGCAGCGTGCCAGCGTGTCCGGCATAGATTGATTGTGCTCCCTGCGTCAAGAAGTCAAGAGATACCTACAGTAGACCCAAGCAAGGCCGTGCAGCAGCAGCAGCAGCAGCAGCAGCAATCAGCATCCCATCGGATGACCAACTGGTGCATCGCCAGCAGCGCCAGCAGCCCAGTCAAGTCACCCCATGCTGCAAGTGGCGGGTTTCGACCCCGACCCAGGCGAGGCTCGCAGCAGCTCACAGCATGCCACGAAAGCAAGCGCAAGCGTGTGTCGACCCGACGGTTTGCGGTGCATTGGGCCGGCACTTGCATGGTCCCCGATGCAGCAAAGCATGTTCATGTTCGCACAAGCTGCGCACCATTGGCTCGCTTCGGGTGGAGAGCAACGGACGCTGGGCCAACAGATAGCAGCCGGGCATCTGATTGAGCGGTGATGCTGCGCAGTGATGTGATGATTTGTGGCTGGAGAATGACAATGGGCTCAACTTGTTGTTTTCGTGGGCTAACGGCCAGCAGGCCTCTTTTCCGTGGCCGCATGTTAGTACTAGCCTTGGTGACACCGACACCGACATACGAGTACTCGTACAGTACTGTACTGTAGTCGCAGAGCCGCCATTTGAGGCTGAGGAAGACGAGGGAGGATGAAGCGGAGAGTGTGGAGAGGAGAGCGACGCTTGCTTGGGGCGGCCCGGGCTTCCGTCCACCGGCCCTCTCCTCTCCCTTTTTTTTTGCAGCTATTCTCGCCCTCGTTGTTTTTTTCTCTCTTTCGCTATTCTCCCTGCGCTCATGTTGAGATTTGGCGTCGACGGAGGAGAGCTTCCGGGTTCCGGGGTCTTGAGGCTCCGCAGGCTTGGGTTGATCCGTGCCGGCTGCACACCGCCACCTCCACCGCCCATCCGAGGGAGAGCTTCTTTGTCGCACCAGCCACGTCGAAAATAGCTTAGTAACATGCAGCTCGAGTAAGAAGAGAGAGCTGTGTGAAGCATACTGAGGAGCGTTGGTACTCCGTAGTAATCACCAAATCCATCAACTCAAGTCATCAACGCTGGTAGAAAGAGATGTGACAAAAGAATGAGAGAGAAAGAAAGAAAGAAAGGAGACCAAGAGCATGTCATGTGTGGTTGCAATTGTCCATGTTTTACATTTTAATCTTGTCAATTCATGGCCGTGGCTTCATTGTTATTACGATGAATGAAGCTCACGCAAAAGTTAATTTGATATCGCATTGTAGCTCTGCCGGCCACTACCCCGTCCTCAATTACAAGAATGCGAGACCCTGTTCCGTTGAATTCCGGCACCTGAAAGCAAATAGTACGCAACCCATTCCGTGCATTCGTACAACACCGTCCTGCCCATAATACAAAGAAATCGACATCACCAGCCTGGGCCTGTCATGTTCGGCTAAGCAAGGCGAGCGGCCCATTGCCATTAATCCTCAGCCCAATGCTTCGTGAATCATTGCAGAAAGAATCATCTAAACCATGATTCCGAATTTTCCACCATGGCAAATCCCCCGCTTACGATGAGTCCTCTTCCTGGTCGGCCTGTCAAAGTCAAAGTCAGCATTCATCTTGATGCCATTCAATGGGGCTGAGCGAAAGCGCGTACGTTGTAAGCCTGCTTCTCATCCTCATAACGCTTCTTGTCGGCGGCAGCCTTGGCCTCATAGGGGGCACGCTGCTTGTCATTCAGGGCCTTCCACCGCTCACCGAGCAGCTTGCCAACCTGGCCGAATGAAATGCCGGGGTTCTCCTCACGGACGTTCTCACGCTGCTCGTTGGCGAAGAACATGTAGGCGGAGAGACCGCGCTTGGGAGCGTTGGGGTCTGGGGAATAAAGTTAGCCACATGCCACAAAGTTATCGACGATTACAAGACCACATACCCTTCTTGCTGCGCTTCTTGCCACCATCCTTGGCGCCACGCTTTCCTGCTGCAGCCTTGGGCATTTTGGCTATGTGGTTTCTAGAATGGAGTTAGTCGGGCCATGTTCTTCAATGAGATGAAATGAAAATTGAGTGAGTGGTGGGTGAAGCGAGAGAGTGACAAAAGCAGAACGCGACCAAGTAGAGATAGCCACTAAGCTTGATTGCAAAGGTAAAACGAACGACATGGCGGAAGTGGGCTGTGTAGAGGTAGAGGCATTGAGGTAGAGGGGTAGCTCTGCTTGGTGCAGCTCGATGAGCTAGGCATGAGGCAGCAGGTGAGGACACCAAAAGTGCAATTGAGGCTGCTTGCGCGGGTGAAAGAGGGTTTGAAGCTCAAAAAAGTGCTTTGTGAGGCCATCTCCATACTCTGAAGAATTTTTATCCCGCAGACGAGCGTGGCTGCGATGTCGAGCTTTTCACTCTCCAAATGCGACCGCGCAAGTCAGAGCGCGCGTGTTGAAGATGGGCAGGGGAGCTGTGCTGTGCTGTGCTAATGGGGAAGAGCAAGAGTTGCGTCTCGAGGTGCAGAGCTGCATCACCAAGAGCAACGCTGCGAGGGCAAAAATGAAGCTCAAAAACAACTCAAAAACACTCGGGACCAGCTAACTGGGTGCAGTGCACGAGGCAAAAGACGTGGTTGCTGGTGACCTGGTGCTTGGCTGTGATGCGCGGCGAAGTCAAGGTACTCACCAGATAGGCGCGTTGTGTTGCGACGAAGACGCGGGTGCAGTTTGTATGGGAGGATTTTGTATGGGAGAATTTGTATGGGAGAGGGAGAAGGGGAGCGAGTCTGTATGGGGGGAGGGCCAAGCAGCCTTTTTACTATGGGCGAGTGATTGTGAGTGCGGGCTGCGGAGGGACGCGCGCACGCGCCGAACGGCCTAAAAAGCTACCACCCACACACTCTCTCCTTCGCCCACGCTCTCACTTTTTTTTTTTTTTTTCCCTCCTGGAGGGGTGACAGTTTTCTGGGCTTGGGGTTGGGGGGTGGTGCTGGGTACCTGCGACCAGTGCCAGTATGTGCCTCGCTGGCCCGGCAGCGGTACCTGCTGTACTGGGTACGAAGCGCTACGACGGAGGTACTCGTACTCATATGGAGCACGCAGGACTGGGCTGCTAGACTCTAGTAGGGTCCGGAGCGCTGCAATAGGCGGCACTATGGGCGCTGGGGACAAGCGGCTGTTTGCACTGGGCACACACTGGGCAACACACACTGGGCACGGGGTATGTTTGCCGACAGCAGGTACTCGTACCTGCTCCCTGGAAATGCCTAGTGTCTGAGTACCTGCTGCAGCGACGTTTGAGGTAACAAGCAACAGCAACGCAGACGATCCATTTTGATCCAATTTGCTGTGCTGTGCTGTGCTGTGCTGTATTCGGCGAGGCGAGGCGAGGCGAGGCGAGAGGCGACTTCTGCTCTTCTCTGCTCCATACAGCCTCTACCTATGCTCCATACAGCCATACACTGCCATACAGGTACTAATAGAGGCATTGATTTGATCAAATGTTGTCTCGCCTAACGGCGCTGCAGGACCAATTCGCACGAGTACATACAAGCAAGCATGGATGCATCGAGCTTTTCCCGCAATGCCTGCACTTGCACCGCAACTGCGTGTAGGTGGCTCCTCTCCTGCCTGCACTTGGACCTGTCCATACGTTGTCCGTTCTCCGCAGTGCAAATGGCAGCATGCATGCCGCTTGACTTGGGTCTCGACTCGACCTCGGATCGCAAGTACGGAGCAGCAGCAGCTTATACCAGTACGAGTACAGACAGGCCAGGGAGATGGATATGGCAACCTATGTAAGGTATGGATCTCCAAGCATCTCTGGCTAGTACGAGCATGTTCTTTGCCATTGATCATCAAAAGCTAAGTAGATACCTTGGTTGAAGAGCCAACAAGGTTTCAAGCATCCTACCTCAATACTCATGTACTCGTAGCTGAAGAAGAAACCCGGCGCCACATGGGCATTTCGTCAGTATCTTGCGGCGCTGCTTCGTATCAGTGACCTTCAGTTGGTGATCCGCGCAAGCCTCGCGCGTCCATCTTCTCCTAGCTCAGCAACAGGCTGTCGTCATGGATGCTCCTGTTTTTTTGTTGAGCCAAGTTAGCAGCAGCAGTCACAGGCAAGGTGCTTGCTTGGTCTGCTGATTGCGCAATACTGTACAGGTACAAGGCCTGCTTAGCCTTCCCCTCTCAAGGACAGTCCACGCCCTTTGTACCCCATCGTCCGCTTTGCAAATCGCACTGTGTACTTACGACTGCACCAACCCTCCCTCATCCTTGAAGTGGCTGCGCTTGTACTCTCTCACCGGAGCGAATCCACCAAGCTGCCTCTCCCCTGGACTTGGGACTTGGCCGTAGGAAGCTCTTGGTATCGCTTCCTCCATTCACAACCCACGTCAAGCCAGGTATCTGGTGCCCTTTTCCCTTTTCCCTCCCTCTACGGAGCATCGCTGCTCCATACTCCTAAAACGCATTGGCAGATCAATGCTACTGCTGCTGGTACTGCTGCTGCTGCTAGTACTACTGACACCCTCCTTGTAGTCTTCTGGGCTGGTGCCACACCTCGACCGCGACTCTCCATTAGCAACCTACTGTACCCATGTTTTCGCCGGATGCGCTGCGAGGCGAGGGTGAGGGGACTCGATGGTACAGCCAATTCCGGCGGTAGCACGGAGTACCATTCGCAGTAGGCTGGATTGGAAGGTGCGGAGTACCACATGAAATGAGGCTTGCCCATGCGTGTACTCGCACACCAAAAGTCTCTCTCCCCCTTGATGCTAACTGTGAGTGCATGTACGAGTACTAGCAGTTGAGAGATGTTTGAGCTGGGACAGACCGAAGACTGCGTACGTGGTTTAACAAATACTCCTCTGACAAAGTACGAGGTACATTCTACGCATCGCAGAAAAATAGGCCGTATACGATGAATTGCCCCTTGTTGCCCTGCACCTCGCACATCTCCAGCTGCTGTGCTACCGGTTCGAGTACGAGTACCTACTTGCATCGCTGCTACTGAATCGGCTTACTGTAAGTCTCAAGTCGGCTGAACGCGGCCCTTATTGGTGTTTGACATGCGGACGAAACAACGGAGTACAAGTACTCGTACTTGCGCAGGCAGATTGCTATGTGCGCCAAACAAGGTCAAGTTACATGACCAGCTGCATGCCTTTTGACACGCGGAAATTGAGACTGGACGGCCGCAACTCTCGCAAGAGGTACCTTATTTACGACATGCTGGTACTCGGTACCATTGGAGCATTGGTTTGATTTCAAAGGAGCCGTGGAAATTACTATGGGTGGCCCTGCAAGGCCCTTCTCGCACTCCTCACTCCTCACTGCAACACAGGCTCGCATTGGCGTGCCAGAGAGTTGCGCCGACTGCTGCCAAAATTCTTAGCGCGGAGCCCATCCTTCTGCCTTTCCCCTCACACTGGTCTCACGATTTAAACTGGGGCGTCTACTGTACGAGTACTCGGTCTCCTTTGCCACATGTTGGCTGCTCTGGATGGCATTGAACCCTCTACATACTCGGACTGGTAGGTGCTGCTAGAGGGATGCACTGTACGAGTATGAGTCTTATGTCCGTATTCTGCGACACGGTTTGCTTCTGGTCTGGCAGCAGGGCGCCGGCGCAGGCAAGGAGACGAACGGGCTGCCGCCTGAGTCCGGACTTGCATCTTCTCGAAGCATTGATTATGATTACCTATTGAAGCGAGTTGCGGCAACCAAGCGTACCGGGGAGCTGACCATGGACAGCTACCTACGAGTACTACTACTACTAGCTTGAGCTCTTTTGCTGCTGATTGCTCCATCGGCTGTTCCGTAGTGCTACCTCTGTCAAGTGCGACTACTGGTGCTCGTTGTCGGTATTATTTGGGTCCTTCGTCCTCCGTACCGCACGCGGCAGAAACCTTGGCTACTGTACCAATATTGCAAGCACTGGGCTTATTTCGCCCAGACCCGGTTGCATACAGACTGGAGTGCATATAAGGTACCTGACGAACCCCCTCGTGCTACCTCGATGCTTTCTAGGGATATGTACTTGCTGCAAGTTGTTCCTCGGTGGTCAAGATAAAGACGCTCCGATAAACAAGCCACCCTTTTTGCTCTAGGCATTGTCACGAGCATGCATAAAAAGCCAAATCAAGGGACTGCAAGTACTTGTATGACTTGGGCTGGGCACATATGGCTTACAGGTACATCCAGCAAAGATGGAGCGGCGGAGGACTCGGAAGGTTCAAGGTTGTCACTGCAGGCTATTGAAGGGTGTACTTGTAGTGTTGCATGACGAAATGTACCGTCATACGACTTTTGCAAGTACTGGTACTTTGCCCTTAGTACCTTTTTCCTACACACCAAGCGCGAAACAGGGACGACTCGCCCCCTCCCAAGATAAGGGACCGCCAGTTTACCAGCAGCACTGTGGCTAGCAGTACCGCTCCGTACAGGTCCTCATCCATTGATCTCATAGTACGAGCACAGGTAATAGGTGATGGACCGAGAAGGAGCACAGGCGCATTGATTCGGCCTGTGACACGGAATAATACGGACAACGCAGCTGAGATGAGGGCGAATCCTGCTGCTGGCTGACGAACGGGATTGGGAGGCTTTTTTCGATCAATGCTTTGCTTTGAGACGTACGGAGTAACGCGTACTGTGCGCATGTATTCGTACAGCCAATGCAGCTCCAAGCAAAGCAAGCATGGGACCAAGGTAAGTTAAGGCATGCTACTGATGCTGCCAGGTATTACGAGTACAGGAGAGGAGCAATTGATCCAGGTAGCATTGATGGATGAGCAGGGAAGAGACGATGGCGGCAAGCCAAAACGAATTCATGTCTTATGAGCCTGTCCTGCCCAAAGCACATTCCGGACCGGGTGCGTACAGCCAGTTGTTGCGAACACAGAGAGGCTGGCCAGCCATTCCGACGCCTGCGGCATTCCGATGCGGTATGTACGAGTATGAGCGAGTAACTCGTACAGTATCGGCATTGAGACCAAAGCAGAAGCGCGGCAATACTACATGCAGGTACCTGCAATCACCGCTCACCGGCTATGAGCGTCGAGGTCATCCGCAGCTGGCAATAAAGCCGCAGCTGCAAAAATGTCCCAGTTCGTGTACAAGGACAGTGGCGCGAGCTGGGTGCCTGTACGAAGTAACTCTCGTACCAGCAGGACTGGGCGTGCGGATACGGATACACTGGGCTGCTAATTTTCTGGTACCTTAGTACGGAGTAAGGTAGGAGGAGCTCGGATGCCTGTTCACGCAAGAAGGAGCCGTTTTTATTTATTTTTTCTCTCAATGGCAAAGTAACTCCCCGGCCAGCTAGATACTGTGTGGTACAAGCCTCGACCCGGTACAAGCCTCGACCCTGGCGCATTCAAGCCAAATGGGGGAGCCCTTTGCTTTGCTTTTTTGCTTTTTCTCCCTTCTCGCACTCCCCACGCACGCCTCTGCAGAGGAAGGGCCAAAAAAACAATGCCTGTAATTAGGTAGTGATGCTACTGCAGCGCTCCACTCAAACATCAACATCGCCCTTTACGCGTGAAAATCAACAAATCAACCAACCGGCACGCTGCGTGCCTTGTATTAAAGGGGACGGGACGGCATCTGTCGCGATTAACAGCCAAAGGGCGCAGTCGCAGTCGCAGTCGCAGTCGCAGTCGCAGTCGCAGTAACATTGAAGTCTCAGCTTTCCATCCTTCTTCCTTCTCGAAAAGAGCCCAATGACAAGCTGCCAGGCATCATCACGTGGCTCCCTTCAGCAAGGTGGGTGGTCATAGCTCCCACGCAAGGTACCGCTCAACCCGCTCCAGGGCTCTCAATTTCGTCTCCGGCTCCAATCATGTACGAGTACTAACGGAGTAGGCATGCTCCATACTCGAGGCTTGTTTTCTTTTTTTTTTCCTTGCCCCTGGCCTGGCCTGGACTGTCAGCTGGTCGTGGTTCTTCTGATCTTGCACCGCGGTTTTGACCAGGAGACTGATTAGTCATGCGTATATATTGCACGAGGCTCTCGATCCCGCCTGCTTCCTTTAATATTTCGCCCCACGCGGCCAGAGGCGCGTTTCGATGCATGTTGGGACGTCGCGCCTCCAAAAGCGTTGGACACTTATTGTATGGTTTGCAGCAGTCTCTTCATCTTGTGAGATCGTATTCGAGGTGTTGTCTTGTAGTGGAACTACATGCGTTCGTCTGACACGCATCGATCCAAGATGGCCAAACCCTCCGGGATAAGACAAAAGTAAAATGAAGCAGCTCTTGTTTGCTTTTGCGTCTTCTTAGTCTTCATCTTCGGGATCTAGAACGATATTGCGCAAATCTTCGTCTCCTGCCCAATCAACGCCACTACCGGCAATGATGCCACTAGCTACACCCTTCATGACCTTCCACCGCTGCCTGCTCGACTTGACTTCCCTCGTCAACTTGTCCATTTCTCGCTGAACTTGGGGACTGTCCAGCCGGATGGCCTTCTTTTGCTTGGCCTGCTCTGCAAGCTCAAACAGCTGCTCCGTAAGCTTCACGTTCTCGCGGCACATGCGTATACTCTGCACCTGGACGCTGCTCAGGTCACGGCGCAGCTTTGTCCTGCTCTCTGCGTGCTTGGCCACTGAAATGGACGTTTCGTCCCTTTCCTGCACGTATGGGAAGAGATCTCTGCGCACTGGGTCAGCAGGGGGGGAAACAACCATGGACTCAGCTATGATGATACGTGCCGCTCTATGGGGGATGCCTGGGTGCCGCTGTGGACTGCCTTGAGGATGGGGTTTGCGACCATTACTGCTTCAATTGCGTCGTTTCGTAGTCTGTATCTTGCTCTCGCGGTGAGAAGTGCGTTCTGTGCCGCCGTGAGATCCTCGTCACCTTTTGCGCCTGAGAAATCCAACAACGTCCGGGTGAGCAAAGTGACTTTTTCCATCGGCGCGCCTGGCATGTGAATGTGACCTTACCGGCCTGCTGCGCGTTGATGATGGCGATTTCAAGCCGTAACTCCTGTAGCTTGTCGTACAACTCCAGCACTCTCGTCTCATCTTCGGAGAGGGGCAGATGCGATTCACCGCCGTCTACACCGGTCATGGCCTCGTCGACCTCACTCATCTTGGCGGTGAATGGCGCTGGGTCGGTCAAAACGCTGTGTCTGGCTGGCTTGTTCGATGCTTCGAGTATTATTGCTGACTTGGGATTCATTTGTGGCGCGCCATACTTTCCGCACGACCAGCCACAGCGGCCCGGCTTATCTAATGTGCTGGCTTTCCCTGTAAATCCAATGCGTAATGCAGGGCCGCCCCCCAAAGCCGCTACAAAAAGTCACAAGGCACCTGTCACACTACCCAGTATCTAAATGTCGCTGATAAGGCAGAGAGCATCTTCGGCATCATTTTGGGTTGGCAGCCTGTGCCGTCCAACGACCTTTGAGGTGGCGCGCTTCGGACGTCTTTCCCCTCTGCTCCTGAGAACCGCGACTTGACTGCAGCTCGGCATTCGATCATCCTATCCTAGATAACGCTTTCATATGAACTTCGGCTCAGCGCCGCTTTGTGCTTGACGGGAGATGTCTTGGGATGGCTACACAGGTGTTGATTGCCCATACGGGCCAGCGGCTGGAGGTCGATACCACGCAGTTCTCCAGGTATTTGCTGCTCTCGTCTGCTTTGCCAGGCGCGTGAACTGACTGATTGCTGTAGTCTTGACGACTTGAAGTCGTGGGTAGCTCGGAATAGCGCCGTGTCGTTGCAGCATATCGTTGTCTTGACCCCCCAGGGCCGCAGCGTCAAGTTGGCAAACCTTCACACAGAGGTATGTGGTAGCCATGGGCTCTCCCTTTTGCATCCTTGGTTTGGTAGGCTAACGCTCCCCCCAAGAAGGAGATATACGTCTACGATATCCGTGTCACGCAGCCGTCCGCTGGCAGTGCGTCATCGCTCATCTCCGAGGCATCGCTGCCTCGGCGCCAGTCTATCCCCAACGCCCCGAACTCGATCGACGATATCCAAGCAATCACGTCATGGCAGGAATTATGCAAGGAGCGTCGCAATTGGGCGACGCGTATCATGGAGGACTGCGACCAATTGAACGCGGCTGCGCAGGCCCGATACGACGAGATAGACGTCATGATCAGGTGCCTGGATGCCGCCGTCACCAATGTCGAGATAAGCGTCAAACAGATTGAGCCAAAGTACAACGAACTGAAGAAATGGGTTACGCCGGCCCTGTCGGAGCACGAGCAGCTGGTTTCATCCTGGGATCGTTATCTTGATCTGGCCCGGAGCATACCGATAGCTTCAGGCTTGGTCAAATTCATGACCCGCGGCCAAGTGAACAAGGCCGACCCTACACTGGAAGATCTAATCGAGTTGGAAACGGCCAACAAGGCCGGCAAGTTGGCTCCTACGGCGCATCGGCGGTTCAGCCAAAAGGCCAGCGAGCTAGATGGAGCCGCGACCCAGATGTACCAAGGGTTGGAAACTCTTATTGGCGAGTTTAATTCTTTGATGAATAGATCTCTGTTGGGCCACAGCACCGATTCTTCGCAGCTCATGGAGGACATTGAGGCGGTGGCCAAACAAATCGACTCAGATTACCGTACAGCCCTCAATTATGGCAACTCACAGCGAGACTTGGCTCAGGCTTCAAAGACGGCCTCGATTCACACCGAAAGACTTGTCCCAACCCTCCGAAAACGAGCAAAGGAGATGGATGAAATGGCTCAGTATGCGACACAAGCGCGAAATGCTATTGCGGCGGATTCTGTAAGCTTTATGCGGAACATTACGGAAATCACCTCCCTGCACAGCAGTGTCAGGAACCAAATCAATGTCCTGAATCAATCCGAAGATGACATGACAACATTCGACTACCTGCGACTCATCCAGCAGCTGCCATACATGTACGCCTCCTTCATGGTCGAGGCCATCCGAAGGCGAGAGTGGATCGACAAAGTCAAGGCTGACTCTTCAACGCTTGCCAACGAGATGGCCTTATTCCAGGACGAAGAATCGAAGCGTCGTAAGAAGTGGCAAAAGATGGTTGGCAGCATGTATGGGCCAGGACTCGATACCAATGTTATGGGTCTCGAGGTGAACCTGCGGGGTGAAGATATTCCCTGGCCCTCCATTGGGAAGCCCGAGTTGGAAGAGTTTCTTCAACTACTGCAGGAGCGAAATACGGACCAAGAGATCGTCAATGATGTTGCTAAGCTCCTCCAAGAGCTCTCTGCCCCCACCAAACAGCAATCCAAGAGACTCAAGGCATTCAAGAACGGCAGCGTGCACGAGGCAGCTCTGGGGAGAAGTGGGCTCTTGATTCGCGGCGATGACGATCTCATTGGCTCCCTGCAAGATGAAAAGCTCAGGCTGGAAAACAAGCTCAAGACAGCCGACAGCAGAGTACGCCGCCTTGAGGATCTTCTGCACCGGCAGAGCCAAGCCTCGCGCCCTGGTAACCTGTTTCCGCTGCAAGGGCAGAACGGGCATTCGAGACATAATTCCATCTCATCAATCAAATCAGCCCGCGTTGAAGATCGACCACCGTTATCGGATGGGACGGAACAGCTGTCGCAGCGGATAGCGCAGTTGGAGAACGAGCTTCGCGAAGAAAAGAAGCGCTCGGCGGACTTCCAGAAAGACCTTGACAATCGCGTCAACGAGAGAGATGACATGAGAGATAGGATCGAAGAAGTCAACTCGACGAAGAAGGATCTCCTTGAAAACATGGAAGCCCTGAAGCGCGAGTTTCTGGACGAGAGAATCTCCTTGGAGAATGAGATCAAGACGCTCAAGGCCCGGCTGGAGGATACGGAGGAAGAGATGGATCATTTTGGGGAATCGCGGGAGAACGAAAAGGCCAATTTCGACGAGAAAATCCAAGCCCTCGAGGCGGAGATTGAGCGAGCCAACAAGGAACGGAAGGACGATATGCTCAAGTCCCAGGGCCAGGTTGAATTCTTACGCAAAGAGACGCAGATGCAACGGGATCAGCTCGATGCCTCCGAGCGAAGACTTCGTTCTGTACGCGAAGAGGCCCGACTTACCTCCAAGAAGCTCGAATCAGTGGAGGAGAGTGCGGAATCTCGACTCGAGTGGCTAAAGAAGCTGTATGCCGAGCTGTCGCCAGACACGGCCATGCCAACTGACGAGGCTGACCTGACCGAAGCTCTCATCTCCAATGCCGCTGATATCATCGAGAAGGTGCGGAATTCTGGAAGCACCGCTTCGCTCTTAAGATCTGAGCTTGACAAAGCCACCAACTCAGCCAAGGAGCTTCGAGCCGAACTGACGCAGATGAAGGAAAACCTCTCGTCACAAGAGATGTCTACGATGCACGCTCGTGAGAACCTTGCTGAGGAAAAGGCCAAGGTAACCGCCTTGGAACGCGAAGTGACGGAGAGCAGGGAGGAGCTGAACCAGCTCCGAAGCCAGCTATCCGATGGTGAGACTGGATCTGAGATGCTCCGCAAGAAGCTCGAGAAAGAGGAGAAGAAGGTTACGGAGCTCTCAGAAGAGGTTGCCTGGCGACAGTCCCAGGTTGGCAGCCTTGAAGAAGAGTCCCGGCTCTTCAAGCAGAGATTTGAAGATGTCCAGTCGAAGCTATCCGCGCTTAGCGCGCAATACGAAGCGCGCGACGGACGAACCAAGGACCTAACACAGAGGCTCTACTCTCAGAATGACCGTCTAACCAGACTTCTGGAGCGGGTAGGCTACTCCATCAGTCGAGATGCGGGCCAGATGGTGATCACAAGGGTGTCTCGATCTGACAAGCTTGCTGCAAATCCCAACGACTCTTCGGACCCCGGTTCTTCCCTTCGCCGGTCGCTTAGCCTAGGTGGTCGTGCCATGACTGATAGTTCCGATTTAGAGCTCCTCTACTGGGTTAGCAACGCAGACCCTACAGTTGAGGATGAGAAATACCAGGCCTTCATGGAGAAGCTGGGCACGTTTGATACCGACCTGTTTTCCGATACGTTATATCACAGAGTCAAGGAGGCGGAGCACAAGGCACGAAAATGGCAACGGGAAGCTAGATCATACAGAGACCGGGCGCACAGCTTACAAAAGGACTCTCATAACAAGATTGCGTTTAGGAACTTCAAGGAGGGTGACCTGGCACTTTTCCTCCCGACTCGAAATCAGCAGGCGGGAGCCTGGGCAGCCTTCAATGTGGGATTCCCGCACTATTTCCTCCGCGAGCAAGACGCTCACCGACTTCGTCACCGAGAGTGGCTTGTTGCCCGAATCTCCAAAATCCAGGAGCGTGTCGTGGATCTTTCCAAGAGCCTACAGCCAAGCAACGAGACTGACTCGAATGATGAGGAGAATGACAACCCCTTCCAACTGTCAGATGGCTTGCGATGGTATCTCATAGACGCCCAAGAGGACAAGATAGGGGCACCCACAACGCCCGGGATGGGTAAATCAACCGTTGCCGCCAATAACGTCGAGGCCACGGCTAATATTCAATCCCACGCAGCCAAGGGGAAAGGGAGGAGTCGGGACAGTATAGCGAGCATCGAGGGTATTAACAAGACTCTTTCCAAGAGCCTAGAGAGCCGTCGAAGCAGCTCGGGGTCTAAGAAAGCCCTGCCGTTCCACATCAGTGGCGGAACAGCCCTGTTGAAGAACAGTGCGCTGGCGAGCGAGACCAACTCTCTTCGTGCCGCTCCTCCCGACACACCGACAGCCACAAGCCCGGTCCAGGGTAGTGTCCTCAGTGCTGCTACCAATACCGATGGTGGGCAACGAGGCGGCGAGCCGTCTGCGCAGGACAAGTCGGGAAAGGCCCCCGAGGTACGAGCCGTTGACTCTCTACTTGGGCCCTAGGTCACTGATCGGTTCGTGACAGCCACAGCCACAGCCTCACAAGAGCAATCGGCGTAAGAGCTCTGTTGCTTTCAGCCCGATGAAGAGCTCCGGTTTGTGGGATCAGCTATGGAGCATGGACTATAGCTACGAAAGCACGCCTAAGAAGAGGTGAAGTTGATGTTGGAGTATTAGGTCATATCTGGGGGGAAATATGGAGTTGTGTGATGGAAGGCGCGGCGGTGATAGTTGGACACCTGCGGGCATTAATTCTTTTTAATCATGGGCATTGATTTTAATTTAGTTCATTAACGGGGCTTGTCTTTTTTTGGTACGTCTTCTTTCGCGGGCGTTTGGGAAGGATTTCAGGTCGGATGCCGTAGTTGTCGTAGATTTCACTTACAAGACAACTCGGATTCTAGGGAGGGGTCAGCTAGGTAATTGTAGATTGTACTAGAAAGCGTGTGAGGTAGACAACATAGTCGAGGCGTGATGGATTAGGTAGTTTGGGGGTCATTGATAAGGATGCTGTTGATTTTGAAAGTGTGGTTCCTTCTATGTGGTGTGATTGTTTGGTTCTCATTAATCCTAAGTTCACAATATAGGGCGTCAATGAGGGTGGAGTTGGTGGTGAGGATGTACCCTGTACTTTGGGCCTAAACTGATTCAGCTAACATCACGTTGGTTATGAGGGCAAAACTTGCCCAGAGAATCCACCATCAACCACACCTGAACCAACCACCGCCAAACGAAGCTAGGTTTTAAGAGCATCAACAGACTTCCCTGTCTTTCTAAACATGTGACAGCCATTCCGGAGCTGATGGAGCTTCTTCACTCCTCTGGATCTGCAGGCAACATGTCGAGATCGCCATCTTTGCCGCCCGAACTGCTGCTCCTCGTTGTCGAAGCAGTGCTGCCGCCAAACCCACACCAGCTGCTGCCAGCCTCCCACATCTCGACCAGGACGCTGCTGGCGCTGGCGAGGGTATCGCGGGCAACATACGCGCAGGCCACGCGGCTCCTGCGGCAGCGCTGCGTGTTTGTTGACTCGGGCCGGCGGCTGGCGGACCTGCTGCTGTGCATGCCGCGGCTGGTGCCGGGCTTGCCCCCCGTGCTGTCGCTGCGGCACATGACGGCGCTGTACATTGCGCCGTTTGGGCCGTCGCTGGACGACCTGCCGACGGCGGCGTGGGTGCGGGAGCTGTTCTGCGAGGTGTGCGAGACGCTGCGGCGGCTGGTGGTGGAGATGCCGTTTGGCAGCCTGGACCCCTTGGAGGACCACCTGAGCGTGCGGCGGACGCTGCGGGACGGGTTCGAGCAGCTGCACCGGCTGGAGGAGTTTGCGTGCGTGGGGGAGTACCCGGCGCTGAGCGTGCCGCCGGACGGGCACACGGACGTGTGGAGGCTGTGGCCGGAGCTGAGGCGGCTGGTGCTGTTTGATGTGCCGATGGATAGTCACTGGCTGTGGTGGGACATTGCGACGCTGCCGAAGCTGGAGCACGTGGTGCTGGCGAGGCCGGTGAGGCTGGACAGCGTGAATCTCAAGGACGAGTACTTTCACAAGCTGCCGAGGGAGGACGCGAGGCTGGGCAGGGAGATTAAGGTTGTGTTGATGGACCTGGTGTATGATTTGGGGGTCGTGAGGACGGAGCGGTGGGGGGAGATTGATCCGGAGGAGAAGATGACGGTGGAGGTGTTTGAGGTGCCGTTGCCGTTTTATGGGGATGAGACGCCGTTGGAGTTGGTGACGGAGTGGGCGAGGAGGGGGGCGTTGGATGGGAGTGTTTGGAGGTTGGATGGGACGAAGGTGAGGCAGGAGGATGGTGGTGATGGGTAAGACGAGGATGTGGATGAGGATGTGAGGACGAAGACGAACTATTAACCCCGTGGTATACGAGACGAGATCCTCCAAAGAGTCTCAATGCTATCGATGTAATGGCTTATTTACATGGCATGATATAATCAGTATTTATCTATATATTATATATCTCTTCTTTCTTTTTTTTTAGTTATTCGTTCTTACTTCATCACCTCGTATTTGCGATACCTTTGCTACACGCACAAGCTGTCCGGACCTGAGAGATCTCTGCTCGAAACCGACAGGTCTTCAGATTGTTTGGTGCAATACTGCGTAAACAATTGGCGAATCTGATCATTCTTCGACGAAAGGGCGAAGTCGATTATTGTTTGAGGGATTGTCATCTCATGTCGCATTTCCCTGAATAACAACGCCATCGCGTCATGTCCACCCTCGTGATTCGTCACAGCCGCCCAGAGGATATCATCCGTGATGGTAAAACTCCGTTTTCCCCAGTACAGAAACAAAAGAGACGTTAGCTTTCCAGCATTGGTGGAATTGGCTACTGCTCTCTGCAATATCTCGGTTGTATCAGAGGGCTTTCTGCGGTGCACCAAGAGCCTCTCTGTGAGCCACACACTCGCATTTTTGTATTCATGGCGAGTATCGTGGGTGCTGGACGGCGGTATTCGAACGGCATGTAACAAGAGTTTCTCGGTCAACTTGTCGTAGTCGTCGTCGTGGTCTACAGGTCGGCCGATGATCTCTAGTTTCTTTACACGAGAGTCTCCCCAGTTTGCTACATTGTCGAAGATGTCATCTGGGAGATATATATGATTCTTTTTATTACGAAGAATCCTTTCCATGATTTTGCACCCGCAGCCTTCATTTAAAGCTGCTCCTCTCATTAGATCGTCTGATACCGGTAGATAATCAGTTCCGTGTTGAGAGAAAAACTCAATAATCCTATCGCCACAAGCCTCGTTATTTGCCGCCATGATTATAGTAGGGACTGTCGCGATGGCATCCTCGTCCATGAGACGAAAGACTATCTCGGCCATATCCGCGCTCAGCCTGCTCCAGGCTATGGTATGGAGGTGCTTTCGGATTATTTTGACTTGCATTCCCCAATCGTGGAGGAGATGCTTGGCAAGGTCTTCATTGCCGTCCCTGGAGAGTAGTTCCACGAATATTTGGCTTTGGACTTGAGGTGACTTTAGCTGAATGAGGGCCTTCATGTTTTCGTGAGAGTATATCTCGTGGCAGTTGGAAGCAATGCGCCTGCATATCCCTTTAAGATCATGGATGAGATCCCGGACTGTCGCTGGCGGCTTAATGATTGCCAGATGATCGACTTTTGAGGGGATACATCAATAGGATGGCGTCTTGAACTAATTGTTGCTCCGGTTTGTTGTAGTCCGCGTATAAGCTGGGCTCATTTCTGGCATCGGAAGACATGCCTTTCAATGCGTAAATCATGTCGCGCGGCTCGGTTGCCTGGCTATCGCCGAATTTCGTGAGTAGTGTATAAAGATCTTGGCTTTCGCTCCACCATGATGACGCTTTCCATGGTCCCCGGCATGACCTCGATAACGGCTTCTTGGTGATAATCTGGCTGTACATCCAGAAGCTGCGTAGCAATGCTCAAGATCCATGGTGCGATGGTCTTTGATCCACAGCACAGCAACGCTTCCCTCGCGTTGGTCACTTCCTGCAGTATCCAAACTCGCGTAAACCAAGGTTGATTGAGGACATGCCAAAGGCCTCTCTTCAGCCGATGAAATGATTCCGGGTTTGCCAGAGCAGGCCCGATGGAATGTGTCCAGATGCGTCTCCAGTTATCGTCGTTTTGGCTCCAGCTGCTGTAAGGGTAGCTGAGGCTGATCTGCTGCAGTCTGCCGAACACAGTCATGAAATTGTCAATGAAGGAAGTGAAGGGCGTGCTCTCGCCTAGCCAGAAGATAACTCGCCCTGCTTTTTTTTTTTTTTGAAAATGTCGCCCATTTGCTGCACTTGGTGGCCCCTCTCCTTGTTGTCATCCTGGTTGATGCAAATGGCATCCACCCACAGTAAAATTCTCTCTTGGTTGGGGTAGCGCAGTTGTTGAAGAGCCTTGTATAGATTTTCCGTCACGGCGAGGAGCTTTCCGTTGACGGTAATGTTTTCGGGTGCTTTTGCAGAGCCCCAGGTGTATGATAGCGCCTCGTACGGTAAGACGTCTTTCTCTGGACAGAGCCATGCTTGAATGATTTCGCAGGATATTTGTTCAGATGCGGACCCAGGAAGAAGGCGGAGCAGTCGAATCGCGTGCCCTTTGAGATCAATTTGGTCGTAGTTATATCGACTCATTTGGGCAATGCTGGTCCAAAGAGGGGTAGCAAATTGGAAAGCGATATTGTGGCCAGTGTTTCTGGTGTTCCAGTCTGCAGAACATAGACAGTCAGATCGATATATGTTTCGAGAGTCTTCTATAGTTGGAGTTTCCGTAGCACACCGTAGGCCGCATGGACTTGTGGCACTTTGATCGCAGGACTGGTTGCCTCCAAAAGCAATCAAATGTCAGAAAGAGGCTGGGTAGAGTAGTTTTGTGTGACTGCAATTCTATGCCGTCCGATACTAACGAATCCTACCTATCAAATGAATTGCGCAGTGATGGCTGGATCCAACTTGGCATAGGCAAACAAATGTCTGGCAGCCTTGCTCGCCGGAATACGCCTAATAAGAGGCTTATTAGTTCTCCAAGGGGTAATCCAGGCTGGAGTGGGACCCCGGCCAGCTGAGCAGAACTTGCAAGCTCTCGCTAGACAATGTTTGCGTTCAACCGATCGTATAATTTCATCGTCAAGCTTGGAGTTGTACTCTCTGTGACACTCTCAGCATTCATCATTCATGAACCCAGAAGACTGTAGGCTGGCTTTGATTGTGGCAGTGCGGGAAGTTCAGGCGCCATTCGCTGGACTTGCATGCAAACAAATTACATATTGCCAAGTACTACGCCTTGGGTGTGAATATGCGAGTGATGGGTGCTCTGGGAGATGGGTCGGAAGTATCGGGGTATCATGCATGGGTATATTTTCTAGGCTGTCATCAATAGAAGTATGCAATATTACGATCCCTTCCGTCGCCATCTCAACCCTCTTCGCCAAAAGAATGCCAACAATCATCTCGCAACTGGCACCTTTGTTGGTATTACGCTATTCGGCCACTCCCATCCGCACCACTTTCAATAACAAGCTTTACAATATCCTGACTCCTCAATAGAGAAGCCTACAACAGCGCTGGACTGCTGTCGTAGTCTCGTGCGTCGATATCTGCACCCGTTTCAAGACTTTTCTTGCTCACTACCCAATCAAGGGGCGTTTGGCGCTTAGGGATGGCACCATATATCATCATATATCATCAATGCAGATCAGCTCTGGCAATCCTTCAGCTGCAAGGACGTAGAACAAAGTCGATTTCGGTGTGTGTAGACCAATAAATGTGATCCATTATATCTGTTGAGAGAATTCAGGCGCCTAAGAATTAAAGGATGAAATCGTTGACATGGCTGGGAGGTTTGACTCATACAAGGTAGGCGGATCCAGTTGAGCTGCAGTTTGGTTGTGGAGGCAGTTAGGTATGTTCCCGAGGGGAGGACAGAAAACCCGAGACCGAGAAAACTTCCAACAGCCATACGCATTGAATTATACGCCTACAAAAGCAGGATTTGATGAGCCCGATTGGGTGCCCATATTGCTGAATGTATGTAATTATTTATTTTGCGGTCTCGCTTTTTCTGACCCTCGATTGGAGTGCATTCAGACTTCGACTGGTGCCGAATCTTCGATGAAATCGAGACAAGATTTCATCCCAATTATCGCAATTGGATTTCAATTCGACCAGAAAATCGGTCTCCTCTTTGCTCCATACGCTTGCCTTCTCAAAAGTCAAGCCAAGGCCCCCCGCTCTTGACACTACGCTAACGAGCGATCGACTCGTCCCGGAGAGCGTCTCAAAGTGGGACAACCTGTCGCGCCATTTGGGATATTGCTGACACGCTTCGATCAAAATAGCATCTTCCTCCTCGGTCCACCGTTTGTATTTGTCCGCAAAAGGACGCACAAAATCGATTCCCAACGCTCGTCGTCTCATGTCCAAAGCCCCTACGGTGCGATTTGTGCCAAATTTATCATCCATGCTAATGGCAACCTCCGCCAGAGATTTGGCTTGCTTCAATTGGTCTCTCAAAAATTCATCCTGCTCGTCGGTGTAGGCAAATTTCTTTGATAAAGGGCCTTTTGGCTTCAAAGGGTCCAATATCGAAGCCCTATTCCTCACAGCCTTGTAGTTGCGATTTGTGCCCAGTTGATTGTTCATATAATCGGCGATTTCAGTCCAATTTTTGTCAGATTTCGAGAGATTTTGTAAGAGACTATCTTCCTCCTTACTGAATCTGATTTTCGGAGCTGTGGGGCCCCTTGGCTTACGAGAACGCGGTCCCGTAGCTTCATCATTCGTGCCTGGTAAGGGTCTGTCCTCTCCATTGCTAGATATTGGGGCCCCTGTTGCACGTTTCTTTGTCAAGGTCTTACTAGGTTTCTTGGGCCTAACTCGAGGCACTCTCTTGCGTTTTGCGTTCAGACGTCTAGGCGGGGATTGAGGTTGGACTAAAGGTGCCGCCTTGCGTTTTGCTTTCAGAAGTCGGGGGGGAGGTTGAGGTTGGGCATCCTCACTCACTTGGTCAACATTGGATAATTCGGTTAACATTTGCTGTGAATGCCCATCATACGGCGTACTCTTTGATATATCACCTCTAAAAACGTGGCCGAAGACACCGCTCATGGCTTCTTCCCAGATTTGAATGATTAAGATGCCATAGGCGGAGCATATCCATCCATATCCGAAGTCAGCACCGTGACGTTCCAAGCATGCCGTTATCGCGGGCAATGCCCCATGAGATCTAAGCAGTCCTTCAACCTATGAGGGTGATAGATCCGGGTTTAGAAGTTCGTGTGGGTTAAATAGGCCATTTTGGTGGTATGGGTGGCTCTCAGACTTGAGTAGAGATCTAGCGAGTGCTTCTTGCAGCACGCCTCGGACAAGGGATGCCTCCGGTGGAAGATAGCCAGCCCTGATGTAGTCTAGAACCCAACCAAAGCGGCTTTTCAGCTCTCTGATGTCTTTGATTCCCCAAGAGGGACCAAGACCGCCAATATACAGACAGTCCCAAAACTCGGTGTCGGTTAGATCGAGGGCATCTGATTCTGTTGACTCGTCGAATGTCCTCTGGTGAATATCACGCATGATGTAGATCAAGGTCCGTAGGGAGGATACGCTCCCCCCTATGGCTAGTGGCGCAGCAAACCGAAGCTTGACACGGAGCTCTGACCTTGTCCCCTGCTCTCGTTTCGACTTGTCACGGGAATATCCAGGCCATGAAGACAGAAGTGCGCTGTATCGCGGCGCATCTAACGGCCAGTCTAATCCATCGACCACGACATTGTCTGCCACAAATTCTTCTCCCTCTACTTCGGTTTCTTTGTAGTCGAATGGGTATTGATCGGGAGGCACTGTAGTTGGGGGATCTGAGTTCGGTTGGTTGGAAATTTGTCGGTGTTTGGCTGTGTCCAGCCATGGGTCATATGTCCATACCGGGAGAGTGGGGGTATCTGGGATGGAATTGCGCCAACCCGAATAAATTTTTGAAATCATGAGGGGTCCGAAAACTGGCATACGTGATGCGGGTACTCCATCTTCAAGAAGCTGGGCCCAAGACTGATGCCATACTCGAAGTAACTCATGCCACGTCCAAGACCCGAGTGAATGTGATTCCAGCTGCCCTGAACCTCTTCGCGCGTAAAACAGCACTACCTGACGGACTCGCGCAGCAACGTATCTCGACTCCGCCTCAGAGGTGAATTTGACAAAATCAGGTGGTGTTGCTAGGAGATGTTAGTTGGAAATATCTTGAATATCTACATTGAAGAGACTCACATGTAATTTTGTTCCAGACCTCTCTGTGTAGTAGAGAGGGTAAGAACGGTAGAACAGATTCTAGGTCCCGACATCGAGTAGGTAGGCTGAATCCAGCTTGCTTGAGAAACTGGAGGATGGTGCCATGGTGAATAAGCTGGCCTTCAAGAGCTGGCACATGATAATATAAATCATCATCGCTCTTTGGTTGCTCGATAAGGTCCTTCTGTTCTAAAAACTCTTTTATCTCGAGAATCCGCTTTCAGCGCTGTTGCCACCTGCTTGTACTGAAAGTGATTAACCCAGAATCTGGATGTTGGCTTAACTGAAAATGGAGACGTGTCGCATGTTTCTTTGTCATATTGACTCCTTGTTGCTCCAAAAGACTGAGAAGCTGACGCCAATCAATGCCCCGTGGGCGAGTATGGCTGTAAAGGGATGTATGATGTTGCGCAAAGATATCGATAAATTTAGCAACATCCTCAGGGCTCCATAAGACTCTTATCATCAAGGCCCCGAACCCCTGCTGTGGCTGTTTGATTGGGATGGCTCGGTTGAGGCCGTCGAAAGGTGACCGAGGCATCTGGTCCGGTCTGAGTCTGTGTCCGTGTAGCGCTCCAAACTTTCTAGCTGATCCATCGTCCAGGAATTGGGCAATCGTACCGAGATATATCATGTCTATGGTCTCTGCCGAGGTCAGAAGAAAGGGTAATTGGAGTGACCCCTGATGCATGTAACACCTCGGAAATGGTAAGACAGTCAATAATGCTAATGAAACTTCCGTAATGTCATTGTGCGATATTCGGCGGTGTACCCATAGATATCGCTCTTCATTTTTGGATTTCCGAGAGCGGCCTTTTATTTTTCGGATTGATTTGATGCGGGAGATGTGAATCTGATGATCCAGAGCACGCCTTTGAACCCCGAGCCATAGTTTTGAGGAATTGATGGCCGCAGTCAGCGAAGCTGCTTGACCGACGTACGCCATATCGCGGCTGAGAGCTCCTCCCTGACGACACTTTCCAAGCAGAGTGTACGTTCCAATGACAGCCGGAATTTGAGAATGATCCCCCATAAGAGGAAATGATTCCAAAGCGCTGTGCAACGTATCCCAGTTAGTTTTCCCCAGCGCATTTCGAGTACGAAAAGACCGCACGTGGGGATGCAGGAGAACCTTGAGGACGGCTTCTCGACTAGTGTCGTCTGCATTTGCAGAAAGCCATCGAAAGTTGTTGAGTCGAAATGGAGACTCTTCAATCGTCTCCTCGGAATAGCGGGTTATCTCCTCGAAGATTCGATTGAAGATCTCCACGTACCATTTGTCGTGTCGGTCAATGTTTCCTCGGAGAGGTCCTGGGACTACAAATCGTTAGTTGGGCCATGATTGGAGGAGCAAGGAGAACATAATGAGATAGGAAGAATGGCAATGCTTTTATACCTGAATCAAGGGTTGGCGGGGGTCCGCACGCCGTACACATGTCGTCGATCATCTCTTGAGCAAGCTCCAGAGTCAATGTCATATGTTGCTTGGTAGTTTCTACAGCATCATCTTTTTCCAAATCGAATTCCGACTCCTTGTCCACGTCATCATCTGAATCAAATTCCAAGTCTTCGTCCATGTCGTCGTTCAAATCATATTCCAAGTTTGGGTCCAGGTTAAATCCCAAGTTTGGATCCAATTCGTTGTCCGAATCAACTTCCGAATCCGAGCTATAGGTTGTGACGAGCTCAATGAATTGCGAATATCCATCAACGTCTTCAGCAAGTCGCCTCTTGCATCCCTGATTGGCTTGTGTCACAGGCTTGGCATGTGTAATAGGCTTGGCTTTTTGCCCTCTTTTAGATTTCGCGACACGACGACCGACACTCGTCTTAAAATCTGAGGCCCTTGTTCCCCAGCTGCGTCGACCCTGGTTCCAAGCAAGGAAAGACATGATGGCGAAGCGGGGAGGAAAGCTCGGGGTCTGATGAAATGGGGCGCCACTAGGATGATAGAGATGTAAGAAACGGTGGAGTTTAAAATAAGAGGAAGGAGCGTGAGGCAAAAGAGGCCGTCCCGGGCTTTCCTTGGGACAAGATATTGTTGTGCAGTGACTGCCATCGCAGTGAATTGAGTTGTGGGACAGTCACCTGATTCAAAAGTCAATCGGACTACCTACCTAGTACATATGGCTTCATCAATTAGGTCCGATCGGCCGATTCATAACCCACAACGTGGCCCCTCCACGTCTTAATCGACTCCCTTTGTAGACGAGAAAATCAAGCTTCATTTGAACCTCAGCACAATACTTCTGCTTCTAGGCAAAGGGAAGTGACTCGACATCAACCACGGTAGTGAAGAATAGGCACAGTTCTGTATACGAAATTGGCGACATGGAGCCTACTGCGTGAGAAGCCGTCATGATATAATTAACATCTACGGCAATTCTGCAACCCTCTCCCGGTACGTCTGCTCTGCCCTCTTCCAAACACCTTCAGTATCCCGGCGATCCAAGGTCAACAAGCTGGGTAGCAGCAACGAGGAATACTCGTCACTAGACTCACGAGCGACCATTGTTGGAAGGTGATCGATAGCAATAACGCGGAGCTCAGGTCCATCAAGATGGCCAGAAACAGGGACGGTAGGGCTTTCGAACGAGCTGTAGCTAGAATACACGGGTATTGGGTTGTTGTCGCTATTGGGGTCGCAGCTGACATCGCAAATGACACGAAGTCGCCTCTCAGGTCCTGATAGAGACTCCAAGGTAGTAAAAGGAGGAGTCTTATCAGCACCTAGGTAGACACAGTTGACGAAGATGTCGGACGAGGCAATTTCAGGAAAAGGCCCGCCTTTGCTCGTCTCGGCCATGTCCCATTTTAGGATGTTGTTAACGCCAACCGCCTCTGCTGCTGCAATAGCCCCCTTGCCACAACGTCCCAGGGCTCCAATTATGATCAGTCGTGGAAACTCGCCGTTGTTTGCAGATAGCGCTGCCTGCAGATTTGACTTCACAAAGTCTGCCAGAGCAGTAACAGAATCGAAGACTGGCACTGGGCCTTGGGGAACACCTGGGTGCAAAAGTTGATGCGCCCAAGATAGCAAGGCCAAAGCTGTACCGGCGTATCCAGCCCAAGAGCCAAATGAGGCCACTCGTCGACCAGTCTCATCGGTTAAAAATTCGAGGTCGTAGAGTAAACCACCGGCCTTTGAGAAACGGGATAGTTCGGTAGCCCAACCATGCTGCTTCTTGAAGATGTGAGCAAAGTGGATGTATGTGTGTGGCAACGGAGCTGCAAGGTCAGCAAGGACTTTTCAAATGCGCTTGATAGATGAACGCACTGCCATCCGCCTCAATCTCTTTCAAACCGAGAATCACATCATTTACCGGCGCATTGACCCATGACCCAGCCGGGACGATCTCAGCGCCGACAGCTTTGAATTCAGCAGCCTTGTAGATTCGGTCCGGCGATTCTTCCACTCGGACAGTGTAGCCGGCGTCGATGAGAGCCTTGGCCGTCTCGGGTGACACTGATCTATTAGCAACACATTTCAACGTGCGTCTGGGGTACCGTACATGGAGAGCGGCGCTCTAGCGGCTTGGTCTCAGACCGCAGGTGGACAACAGGAGGCGACATTTTCACAATCTGCCCGTGGTGGTAGTCACGATATTCCCGATACCTTTAGTTTTAAGTCTAGTTTGCAGGGACGGTAGATAGGTAAATACACTTTTCTTTCCACTGGATTAAATTTAGTCCGGTGCCTGTGACTCATCTCCCGCGGTGACAACGGCCGGTTGAGGCGGAGAAGTCCCCACTAATAGCCTGGGAGTCACGTAAAACGATAAAGCAAAAAGGTCATGTGATACCAAAAAGGTCGTGACTCTGCCACCATCGTTAAGAGCATTCAGTGCTGTATCAGGTGGCGGCTGTGAGGTTATTGTATATTTCGAACAACCTCGGCGTAGTTTTTGCATCAAAATGGGTCTTAAGAAGACTCTTGTAGCCTTCAGGAACCCCACGAGATATACGTACATTCTACTTGAAAATACAGGATAGTACCTACTAAGGTAGCTATTCTCTTGTCATGGCTTGATGGGTTTCAAAGTACATGGGTACTAGGTACCTACTAACCTGGTACCTACATGTAGTACCTAAGGCTAAGAGAATTCACCTCGACTGGAATGATACCTAGGGACCTAGTACCTAGGTAGGTAGTAGGTTGTTTTCATAAGAATCCGAGTAGTGGTGAACCCCTCGAATCACCAGGCATGAGAAGTAGTCCATCAACCCAGCAGCCTCCATCTCAAAACATATGACATCAAGGTTTCGGGCTATCTCATCTCTAGTGATGCCGTGCTTCATGACCTAATTCCCAGAAGCGGTACCTCCATAATGAATCATCGGCACACAATTTGTTCGCGGGGGTCGATACACCAAGTTGGACTGCATGCATGAATTGCAATCAACTGCATCCGGATGATGGTCATACCTAGTAGGCAGCCCGAAAGAGCCAATCTGGCGAAGAATTCGGATAATCGTGCTTATTCCTTTCCGGAGATTTATCATGCATCTCCTGGAATATATGTGGGATCTTGCTAGGCTTTATTTCGTGGATCGCACGAAGACTCGAGACGTAGGATGAGTGATCTAGTGGAGTCATCTTTGGGACGGTAATTCGCACTATTTTACTATTAGCAACAACTTTTCCCATATCGTACTGTATTAACTACTCTGCAGCCAACGGCGACATACCGAGACGATGGTCAATATTGCTGCCAGGAACTCCACCACCAATCCCCACCATTAAGCGGGTGCGAATGGATGAAAAGCTTCTAATACCCGTTGGCTCCACCCTTCGTAAGTCAATTGGAAGGTTATCTACATGTATATTGCTCGCCACATTTGCAGCACTGAACAGGCAAACATGCCAGAACGATGTTCTGTGGCCCAATATGGCCTAATACATATGTGTTGCTGTCATTTACTTCCATTGGTAGTAGTTTATGAACACAAACTAACATCGCGCGGGCGGCAGCCATCTCATTGTGAAGAGCGTAGATCCAACCAATAGTATAGTCGCTATGCCGGAGTGTTGGGGCAGGTGGCATATAATTGTCGCCACAAATACCCTTTTTCTTGCTCGAAGGAGTCAAGCTTTGCTTGGAAGAAGCTGACTCGGATGATATACCGAACATCTTGGTGATGCATTCAAGATTTGTCTACATCCCAATACTGAAGGCACATTTGATACATGTTAGTTGGTCTTGTTTTTGTGGTTAGGTAGCCTCCATGCTTGATGCCAGCCTTGCCTTTCTGCGCCTCTTTGCCAAGACGCTCACCATATTTAGTCTTGAGCGGAGAGTTATGCAGCCTCATGCTGAATTCTTCCAATCAAACAAACTGGGAGTCACTTAATACCTGGACAAATCCTTCGGCTTTTTGAGGGAAGACTGCACGTGCTTAGTGGTGAGGGGCAAAATCCAAATGTGGGTTAGAGAAATGTGCTATCAGATATTAAGTCCTTGATTTAGAAAGAATTGCAAGCCGTTAGCAGCACTTAGGGAGTTGATATTATGGACACATACATGAGCGAACATAGTTCTCGTGTAATTCTCAAAGCTATGCGACACCTTGTTTGACTTGTCCCCAAGCAGTGGCTCAAGCAGCAGCAGCAAAAGGAAAGTAAGTACAACAGTCGTTCAGTATACATCCCCAGAGCATATAATAGCGTCTTAACCATAGAAATCTATGCCACTAAATGATACAGTTATTCTGATTAGAATGCGCACATCAATTCATCAATTATTAACACCGCTCCTTTTTTCAGACTCTAGATGTTTTTCAGAAACAGCATAACAGCTGACTCACCAACTGCTGAATCATACCAACCCATATATGCATTCTGGCACAATCATATCCACCCCAAGCTTTCCGTTATCATTCGCAAATTTCCATAGCTACTAGCAACTATATTCCCGTCCACACGAGAGACATATCTATATCCGGCTTTCCCGCCCGCACCATCATGAACCCGCATGATATCTAACCAATCCTCGACGTTAACGGCGCCAAACTGTTCGCTTGTCGGAGATATCAGGACTGAACAATATTAGGCCGAGGAAGTGGCTGATGTAGCCACTGCTGAGACGCGATTTATACATTAGTTTCTCCAATTGCCACGTCAGGTCGATCCGTATTGGATGGTGGTTGCCTGGGTAAGCCAAGGTTCAGCTCGATGTTATTCCACTGGAAAGAAACTAACTGGTGTACTGAATGGAAGTATCATCAACATCATCCAATTGAGGTGGTGATACGACGATACAAGGACTTGCAGATGATATCTCAGTTTGATAATTCGAAATAATTACAGAGCGTTTGGGGCAACTGAACCCATTACATCTACAATGATATACTTTAAGTTTTGCAATACGGCCGTCCAATATCTAAAAACATCGCAAGCCATACTGTGTGAGCGAACCTAATCATGGGACCATGGTAGGGATTTTGTGCGGTGGATCTGAGCCACACGCCTTCATCCGAGTTTGGGCAAGTCATGAAGCTATCACCAAATACATTAGAGCTAATTCAACCTAATGATGTGGCCTAAAGATATCCAGTACTAGGACCCACATGATCCTAAAGCCCATGGGAAATCAGAGACGTAGAGATAGTACGCAGCGTCCCTGGGCCCGAGAGTCGATACAGCGAATGGAGACTCTCCAGGAGACTTTCACTAAGACCAAAGACTGGCGAGTTCGCACATCCCTTCCAATTCAGGGATTACAACAACAGCTGTCAAAAGAAAACTGAAACTGGAGATATCATGTATAATAACCAATGGCCCACAGATATGAGGTGTCTTGTTCATGAATGGAAGCGGTTATTGCTTCAGCTGATTCTGCAGCTCTGGCGCTAGGCTCGCTTTGGACGCAGCTGGCTGTCGTGCGTTAGTGTCTTATATGTTGAAGATAAAACTGCGTGTCTTATAGGCTGGCATCTCATTCACCGTAACGTCACAGGGAAGCATCGACGTCTATAATGGGGATAGTGAGTCGGAGAGGCAGACTTCGGATTGTAATCCCCCTTCGTCCTGGGCACGGAGTATTCTTTAGGCTGCTGTCGTGGGGTCTTAGCATCTCATATTTAGTATTTATAGGAGCGGTTGCAGCAAACCTGCACTCTACAAACCACCTCAACGCACCATATTTCCCAGGTGTTTTCATTAATCATGGAGGCAATCAGAATGGAGGCAAACGACCTCTGGAACCATGTAGTGGCGACCTACGACCCTTTTACAATCAAGTTCGCCGGCATCACAGCCGTCAGCCTCTTCAGCTGGTGGATACCCTGCATCGGCTTCACCTGTCTTGAATACATGGCACCGTCTTTTTCTGAGAAGCACAAGATGCAGCCAACATCCAAGAAAGTCAAGCCCAAAGATGTCTTACGCGCTGCCGGTATGGCGCTTTGCAACGACCTTCTCAGCATCCCGATGTATATGGCTCTGTCATATGCCTTTGCAGGGAAAAACCACAAGGCCGTTGTGGGAGTTGTCCCTGACCTGCCTACACCAACTGAGTTTGTCCTTGGATTTGTGCAGAATTTAATTTTGCGCGAAACCTTCAACTACTATTGGCACCGTCTCGCGCACTGGAAGCCACTATATAGGCGATTCCACAAGGTGCACCACGAGTTCACAGCGCCAGTTGCCTTTGCCTCCAAGTATGCGCATCCGCTTGAGTATCTTACGGTTGACTCGCTGCCGGTTTTGCTGCCGCCGCTAATACTGAAGACTCATATTGTAACTACGTGGGCTTTCATGTACTTGGTCTTGTTCTCATCGACAGTGATCCACAGCGGCTATGACTTCTTTTACGAGGCAGCTTATATGCACGACCGTCACCACGAAGGAGCTGCGAATGTGTATTATGGATCCTGGGGGCAGCTTGGAATGTTGGATTGGATTCACGGAACCGTTGAGAAGGACCGCAAGAGAAGACGCACCAAGGCCGAGTAACGATCTTGGGGCGATGAAATCGAAATGCCGCTAATATGGCTTCTTACAAGTGCGACGAACAATTGTACTGTTTCTACGTATTAGTCTTTTCATTTTGAGGAAGGAAATTGAATGCAGTCTTTAAAATGCGACGATGTTTACTTGATTGGGAAACGGTGAAGACTTGTTCTTATTGCAAGTTTCTCTGACTACAATGCTGGGGAAGTTGATATCTACTGAAAGACGATACACACCTCATCGATGCAACAAAATCATGTAATATAAAGCTTAGCTATCTAGAGATTTCCGTTAGTCGTCGGTAAATTCGACCGAATGGTGGGTAACTGTTACGGCTACGCCAGAGTACGCGAATGTGCGTTCCTTGAACTTGGCGATTACGGCGTATGCAAAGCGAGAGCAGACATCTGACCCAGGGACAGAGTATAAATTTAGGTTTCTGTATATCCTAAAAGTAGGTGATCAGTACCTTCGCTACTATATATGTCTTTATATCTGTCTGGTTCCTTGACAATCGTACTCAATGATTGAGCCGTTTCTGAGCTATCTTTTTGAACCTGTCAATAAGCGTGTCTCAAGTGTTATTTGTAACCAGAATACTTCCGGCAGTAATTGTACTGCGCTGTCTTGCCAGGATCCAGTCATTTCAGCTCTGTGATTCACTCGACAATACCCATTTCGCTGCCCAGGAACCGAAACCAAACCTTTAAACGTGAATATGCCTGTTCTCCAAGCCAGTCATCAATAGCTCCATCTTGCTATATCACGTCAAGACTCCGTTCATTCCCTCTCTGAGATGCAGCGCTCAACATAAACACAGCTCCAGGATCCTCCGCATATTGAGCCAAGGTGGACCTCATCCTGCTCTAACCTCGGCCCCCGAAAATGGTAAGGTTACACCATCAGGGACACCGAGATTGGTAACATGCCAGGAATAAGGCCCACAAGATAACCCACCCAGAGGGGCACAGTGCATGGCTAGCAAGCAGCTTGAGGCGGACTTTGGCGGGTCAGCAAATATACGAAATGAAACGATCCCCCCAAGTCTTAATTCTTCTACTGCCGCCTCATCTTGCTTGTCTGATACAGTGCGAATAATATGAGAATTCACACGTCTATAACACTGAATAAGTGTATAAAATCGGTCATGATGTGCTGCAACACACCAGTATTAAGACTCCAAAAACTCAACCCTGAGATCCTCGTCCAGTATTCTTTGGGCATGTTACTTCATTGAAGGCATCTGTTTCTGCCGCCTTGACCTTTGTCTTGCTAACTTGCCAACTTGCTTTGACTCTGTTGCTAGCCATAATATCCGCTGACAAGGCCACCTGAATCCATTATGTCTTCTCGCGAACCAAAGTTCAGACAAGAAATTCAACAGGTAAGCGCTAATAAGCCGGATTGTGAGAATATCTCGATACTGAATCTTTTGAAGATGATGTATGTTTCCGGAGAAACATTAGATCCTTCCACCGAAACCATCCTTCTTATTGAGACTCTTGTCCAACAACAGGTTTTTCACATGGTCAGCGGCCGCTCTTTCAGGTTAAAGTGCTTCATGTCTCATATCATTCCAGTTAAAGTTAAGCCAGGAACTTGCTTGGCGACGGGGTGCTCGCTTCTTTTCCAACGACGACCTCATTTTCCAGGTCCGGAATGACAGTGCACGCGTTGAACGGATCCGCAATTTTCTTGCCTGGAAGGCAGTCCGAAGGACAACTAAAGATGCGGACGGTAAGGAAGCTACGGATGATTTTGTATTTGGAGAAGATGATACCGGCGCAGGCTCATCACAGGATGCCCCTAGTAGTACAGCTCAAATCATGCCGGTTTCGTTACCGTGGGATGTGGAGTCTTTCTATGAAGTACAGGTTCCCATTATTGAGCATCATGGGGAGTTGATAGGAGCTGCATCGCTTGAAAAGCTGAGAAAGAATGATGAACGCACGCAAGACATGACTGCCTCCGAGTATGCCACCTGGTCGCAGTACCGACACGCTTCGTTCACCTGGCGCAAGGCTAAGCGATTCCGCGAATGGGCCGGCCTGGGTATCATAGCTGAGCACAAGCCGAACGATGACGTGCTCGACATTCTGGGCTTCATCACATCAGAGATGGTGCAGAATCTTACCATCGAGGCGTTGAAGATACAGTGTGGCGAAATCGAATCTCGAAAATACTCTATGGACAGTTCATATGAGACCCAGGATGCTGGGGGCCTATTCTCGCCACCGCCGAGGGCAAGAAACCCTCTAGAGACTCGGCATATCCGCCAAGCATTTCAAAATTTGCAATCTCGTCGACTGAGAAAGACTCCGTTCAAGAACCGAGGACGGGTAGCATATGTCTTGGTGAGAAGTTCCGCTGGTATCCCCTTCATGTAGCATACTGATTGATAGCCAGATTTGAATCCCCTGAAACTCGACCAGAACTCATCAAAATATCGAGAATGAACCACAAAGACCAATAGCGCATTAATTAGTGACTATAATATTCAATAAGTTGACATCTATTAAGCAATACAATCATGTAATACTCTTCATTTATTCTTTACCTAGGCATTTTCGACACCCATGTCCATATTCTCCAACCATATCTAGCCGCTCCTTTGGGGTGTTCATATGATCGGATTGACAACGAATGAGTGAGCCTGTGTCAAACAATACTTGGTCGGGTTATCGAAAAACAAAATAATGCTTTAACTTTGAGATACAATGAAATTTTAAATGTGCGGTATGAAACTGGCCCAGTTCACTTCGAGAAACGCGGCGGCATCCACTCTTCGAAACTCCAGAAAGGCCTCAACTATGAGATACATCCTCGCGATGCCATACACGATGGCAACAGGCATAATCGTCCAAAATTCCCAAGGAAGTGGGAGCTCAGTCCACTCATAACTCGCTTCTCTCTTCTGCTGTTCCTCCCTTTTGATTGCCTCAAAGTCTGGTAGCTTCTTTCGGTCCGTTACCCATAAGTACAGCCATTTCCAGCGGCCAAGTCGCGTCCAAGATGCCATAGTCTCGAAAATCCAGAAAATGCCCGTGACTGCAAATAGGAGCCAGCTAGCTGTCTGCCACATGATCTTTTCCGTAATGGTGGGGAATGAAAAGCCGCAGCCTGCCACGTGAATTCCCGTAAATAGTAGTGTTGCAAAGCATACACAATACTCTTGAAGCCCATAAGGATTCATAGGAAATCGATCGTTAGGAATACGCTGGATTGGTCTCTGCGTCGGGATCACTGGCATGTTCATGAAAGGTTGCACATTCATGGACCAGCCAGGCCCATTAACATCGATGAAGTCCAGTGGGGTATTTCGCCATGATTCGTTGTTATTGAGAACTTCAATTGTGGCCCTTGTGTATAGAGGAATCGGGGTGTGAACGTTTGAAGGCTTATGTTGCCAAGTGAAGGATGTCATCAGCGAGCATACAACAATAGCTAAAGTGTTGAGCTCCAGTGTTGTGATTGTGAGTCGCTGCGTCGCCCGCCCGATGCATTGGAGAACAAAGTAGCCAATTTGGAAAGCCGTTATGATCTTGGCAAGCTGGTCTTGCTTAGATTTGTCCCAAATCTCCTTCAAGTGATCCACATCGGGATAGTCGACATGTCCGTGTATGACGAGCCAGTGTAGCTGTTTCGCGTTGAGAGGAAACGGATCGAACGTGGTATGGCCTTTAGGGTGTAGCATAAACCCTCCCATATCTGCGAAAAAGGCCAGTCGCATATTGAACGTCTTATGGCCCGACTTGGTAAAAGACTTGACTGCTTGCTTGGCCCGGCTCCACTGTCCAGCAGCATAACTTAGAACTATCTCGGGTCCAATTATAGCAAGAACCATCCAAAGAACACGCCGACGAACCAAGACCAATGTGGAATCACTTGGTGCTGGCAAATTCAGGCAAAGAAGTGTGTATGTGCAGACAAAAATAGTCGCAAAGCAGGTCCACACAATGTCCCAAGTGCCACGGATGTTGGGTGCTCCGACCCATCTGGATATTTTGCCATCCAGAGCAGCCACAAGCGTATACTGGGAGACGATTTGATCTTGAAGGGTTGCATTAATAGAGCTTGTAATGTTTGACAAATGCGTAGTCGGAGCGGCGCCAGCCGCGTGAAGGAAGATAAATAGAACGAGCGAAATAGCAGGGGGGGTTATCATGATGGGCAGAAGAGAATAACAATAGAAGGCCGCTGAAGAGTTTAAACAAATAAAAGGCAATAGTGAGAATATATCGCATATCAATTAACAAAAAACTTTTTACTTCGCTACTCATTTCAATAGAGAGTGCATATACATATATATACATAGTCGGTATGTTCTGTCCTGAATCATCAGATACATCCTTCTGGTATCCCTCCATCCCAACTGCACGACCTGTACTCAATATCGCCCTCACTTTGTAGTACATATTCTGAAACCAACAGCTTCTCAATTTAGAGCCTTCTCGTAAAATCCTAAGAGATTTTGATGAGTGGCCATCCCAAGTATTTTCGGATGCCCAAGCTTCAGCTTGCCAACTATCGGCTACCGACAGGCCGTCTAGGCAATACAGTATCAAAAACAAAGAGCATTGGTGGTGTGGAAGGTCTTTGTATTTAGCATCTTATTGGATGTTAGTTATGTGGTGGCCTTGTCATACAGGCTACACCACTACATTTGAGGTACAGAACAACATGTTGGGTGGTGGCTGGTAACAGCGGCGATAGAGGATTCATGAGAACTAATCAATGAGATACGTGTTGGGCGTCCGAAGATATTCTGCTGCAATAGCCTCCCCCCACATGGGAAGATGAGGGGACCATTGTCTATCTGTTGGTCCAACATTTATCTTTCCAAGGCACACCTTTGGGCTGTTGATTCGGCTACCAACTCTACTGAGCAATCCGTGGAATAAATAATTATTACATGTAGATATACTCCATTTTTACTATAACTAAAACCTGAAATATACTGCATGAACAGTATCACTGGCCCAGTTACAGAACGACGATAACTCAAGTGTAAGTAGTACGACAAAGTTAATGTTGGTTCTCACTCATTTAATCAGGCTAGGCTCCGTGGCTTTAGCTGCTTCTGTGGCCGCTAAACAGCGGTTGCATCGCGCCACAGTCAGGGGAACAAGCGGGCGCTTGAGTAGTGCTGTTCGGTGTTCCTAATTTGATCTCATCAAGATTATGCCTCATGACGCGCCAGCCTTGCGCACGGCGTCAACAAACTGCCTCGCTTTATTTCACTTTTGCCCAAGACCGTGACCTCTCACTCCCGAGTGAAATCACTGGTTGTGGCCCTGAATGCTTCAACGATCAAAAAATACACTGAAACGCCAAAAGACTTCAAACTCGCTCCTTGCGGGAAAAAGCAAAAGACGATGAGCTACGAAATCGGCACAGTGGTGCGGTCTGGCGTTTATGCGCTTCTCGCATCAACAGTGGGATATTTCCTCTTTCTTGGTGTTTTGACTATTCCCGCCTGTCAGAACCAGGCCATATATCTAAACAAAGTCACCTTGACCTGGGGCCAAGATGTAACCATCCCCGAGCAATGGGGCTTCCTTCACAACCAAGTCACGCCTTTCACTCTAGATACTAGCGATGGAGAAACGCTGCATGCCTGGCATATCCTCCCACCTGGGCTTTATCAAGCGTATGAGAAGGAGCTTATAGCAGAGCCTGCTGGTATTGCGCTCGACATCACTTCTCGGCTGGGATTCAAGTTGTTGAGGGATGATCCAGAGTCTCTACTTGTCCTCTACTTTCATGGAGCGGCAGGCACACTAGGGTCTGGCTGGCGGCCTCAAAGTTACCGGGCCATGTCTGCACTCAACCAAGACAAGATCCACACAGTCGCCATCGATTATCGTGGCTTTGGGATGAGCTCTGGATCCCCATCAGAACAGGGTCTGTTGACCGATGCTCTCACTTTGGTCAAGTGGGCAGTAGAAGTGGCTGGAATACCGCCATCACGCATAGTACTTTTCGCGCAGTCGCTCGGCACGGCTGTTAGCGTTTCCTTGGCTCATCATTTAGCTACCCAAGTCGACCGGCCAATATTCTTCTCGGGGATGGTCCTCGTGGCACCGTTTGCAGATGTTGAGCTCCTGACGGCTACGTACCGGATTGGGAGTACAATTCCACTGCTTGATCCCATTGCTCGTTTCCCCTGGCTTCTGGACTTCTTTAATCGGTTTATTATTGCCAAGTGGCCTACTAAGAATAAGCTCGCAGAGTTGATACGATTCTGTGAGATGTCTTCCGATGACTCGGCACGGTACGACATTACCATTATCCACGCAGAGGATGACTATGACATTCCTTGGGAACACAGTGACTTATTATACTGGCACGCTGTTAATGCATCCCTGCCTCATGGAATAAGCTATGAGGAACTTGAGAGGGAAAAGCTAGCCTCAAAATCGGATTTACAGGCTGGAGGTTGGGTCGTGAATCAAGAGACGCAGAAGGGAAGCCTTAGAGAAGCCATCACAACATGGGGGCTACATGATAAGATCATGTCTTATCCTATTGTCAGTTTGGCAGTCTCGAGGGCTTTCCAGAATGGGGACTAACGAGAATATTTGACACGCAATACTTTGGATACTACATAGATGTGAATGTAATCCTTCTTTTTCCGCATGACACTACTTGCCTCTCGCTACATCCTGTTGGTATAAACGTTTGCCGCCTTCACGGAATATAGATTCTCGATTTTATGTCTTTAATATCTCTGTATACCATTCTATACACATTCCAAATGCCGCAGAGACCAACCCCCAGGAATATAGCCGCAGGCATATATGAACCATACACGCACCATATTGTCTGTCAGTAAGCTTGTGCCATTTCCTCCCGGTCCATTGGCTCGTCTTTATCAGAAACCCAAGCAAGGGCTTTGAGCCAAACCACCTCTTCCACTTTATCATTCTTTGATGGTGATTGAGACGTAATTGTTGGATGAATGAAAAGTCCAATCGGGCGGCCGTTTAACTGCCCACCCATTCTTGACGTCAACGACTGTTTAACTTCTATCCACGGATCACCGGGTTGAAAGTGTCGTTTCCCAAAGCTATTTAAGCCATACCATTTGATGTTGGTCCGCGTTTTCCACAGTTTGAGTGCCAGACTAGCAAAGCTAGCAAATATCTGTACCAGATCTTGGTGGGCCTCATGGTCATATGTCTCAGAAAGTAAGAACTCGTAGTTTTCCACAAATCTTTGAGCTTCTCTCTGCAAATATTCATTCATTATTGGTACTGATCTTTCCAGGCACTCAATAGTCTGAATCCTCCAATCGATTACTGCATTTGGTTGTGCTGTGTACCATGCGTGTTAGTACTAGAACTTGATCAATGGACACGCATAATACGTACTTTGACCAAAGTTTTTCTCAAGCTGGTACAAGTTAGAGCGGCTATTGGTATTCATGTGTAATGCTTCTGCCAAGAAGTAGGCATCACACAAATACAAGTAGCAGAGTCTGTGGACTAAGGCAGCCTTCAGTAGCAGGAAGGGACCGCTCCCGTCAGGCGTATTTACGGTGAACTTGAGGTATTCTGCACTTTTCAAATAGCTCTCGCTATTGTTAATGAGACCGACTTGGAGAAGCTTAGATAAGGCCGCATCTTCATCAAGAATCCTCTCTGTGCACAAATCGGCACACCAAGAGAGGACATCGGTTTGTAAGAACTTATTGAGCTCTTCTCTGATCATATCGTCGGTTATTTTTCTCGAAACATTGTCCGCTAGCGTGGAGATGGCAGTTGCATGGGCCCGGGTGATGATAGTCTCATTCTCTGTAACAGCTTTCGTAAGAACAGCCACCTCTTCGTGCGCCTTTTGAAGATCTTTTGTCAATTTTGTCACAGTATTCTCTAGATATAGAGCGCGATGTCTTATCTCTTGTAGTTCGTTTGATTCTAGCTTGGCTTCTTCGTAGGGAGTGGAGCTTGATCTTGGACCTGGTCTTGAAGCAGATGCTTCTGTATGGCGTTTCTGATCCTTCTGCCGTGACCTAATAGAATCTCCGGGTGACAACAGTTGCGTTGCCCTTCCAAAAATGGTACTCAAAGTGCTCCATTTGCTTGGTTTAACATTCAGAAAATTCGCGACTGTACTAGTATTTTGCGATAAGTTGTTTGGGCGAGGCTGCCTATATCTTCCATCGGCCGTCTCTTCCAGATTTAAGTGGTCCCTCGATATAGGTGGAACTGTGTAGTCATTGTAGTATCGCTTTTGTTCCTGCATGCTATATCTTCTCTATTGGATCAAAAGAGTCATAAGCAGCTGATTAACCTATTGATACCGAGTGAAAGAAGGGTGGAAGAGAGGGAAAAGAAAAGATAGTGTGGAATACCTCGTCTCTATTGTATTTTCCAGTAAGGACTCTTTCAAAGCGCCTCTGTGGCTCTGCTTCCATCATTTCGTAAGGAGATGCTGCTGTGCGATTATAATGTGAGCACTACCTAGGGCAGTATAACGAACGTTTTGCGATGAGATATGCGTGCTACAATTAAGATTCTAATCTTGCAATGCTGTTAGGATGACAGAGACTGAGCATAAACAAGGTTGGAGAAGAAGAAATTTGAAATCCTTGAAATGAGCCCAAACTAGCAACAATTGGTATGTAGACAACAGTGAGAAACTAACAACAGACATATTGTAATACTGAGGTAAGTTCATTCTAAAAAAAGTCCTAACTGTTTTAATATCCATCACACCGTCGTCAGGCCAATTGAAACAAATGTGCAGCGGCTTTCTCATTTACGCTGCCAAATGAGTGTTGGATACGACTTGTTGGCATCCTGTAGGTCTGCAAATATGGCCGGCGCGTATGCATGCGCAAGCTTGTGATCAGCTCAGTATGCCTTTCGATATGCCTTAAGACTATCTGCCGTAACGAGGCTGTGAATAATATGCCTCGTCTTTGACAGTTTCATGTAGCGCCAACACATAACATTGGAGGCCTACCAAGACAGGCCGAAATTTCTAATGCCCCGTACGTGTGCTATCTGCCCATAAGATAAACTCTCCAAGACTGACTTATGTTGCTTTTTGATTTCGATACCTATCGACTAAACAAAACAACTATGGACTTCATTGCTAAAAGAACTAAGCTGATTGTGGGCATTGACTATGGAACCACGTACTCAGGCCTCAGCTTTGCACTTTCTAATGCGACCGACTTCAAAGACATATTTCCATGGACCAAGTACCCCGGTTCATCCTCACATGGTGCTGAGCACTGCGTGAAGGCACCGACAAGAGTTGCTTTCATGGATGAAAATCCGGAGCTGGATGATAACGCATGGGGCTATCAGGTAGAACCTGGTATGAAAACGTACGCCTGGACAAAACTTCTTCTCGATAAATCCTCTTTGGTGTCTGAATATGATGATCCTGATCTTTACCTACCGGGCGGTATGGACATCATGCAGCTGCCCAAAGGCCGATCAGCCAAAGACGTTGCCACAGAGTACCTCAGAGGCATGAAGGCTATGTTTGACGATGCCGTCAAAGAACACCTCGGCTCTCACAAGATGGAAGATCTACCAATTGAGTTTTGGCTTACAGTTCCAGCATCCTGGAGCGAGAAAGCAAAGCTGCTCACAAAATCAGCAGCAAGAGACGCAGGATTCGCTGCACGGCGCATGGATAAGATTATGCTTATTTCTGAACCGGAGGCAGCAGCTCAGCTTGCATTGAAGTCCAGCCTACATCGTCTGGAAAGTTTTGTCAAGGTGCGTATATATGCATACCGTCGAAGTTCCTGTTACAATTGGGCGATGCATTTGCTTACATTTACACAGCCGAATACCGGTGTAATGGTTTGTGACTGTGGAGGAGGCACGGTGGTATTTTTCACTCTCATATGCGATATATCGTTTGATTGTCAAAGCTAATAAATTGCCTAGGATATCACTACTTATGAAGTGGAGGAGACTCGACCAACCTTGGAACTTCGGGAAATTGCGGTCGGCGTTGGTGAGTTTTATTGCTTGAAACCCATCTGTAGAGTAAAATCAGAATGGTATACAAAGTTAACCTACTTACTCCTATGCAGCGGGTAAATGTGGTGGAACATTTGTGGACAGGAACTTATTCAAGCTAATGGCAGACCGCTTTGGCGATGCTTTTACATCACTTGAGCCAGAAGAAATAGGTCCCGGTAGTAGCTTTATGGACCAGTTCGAGCTCAAGAAGAAAGATTTCAGCAAGAAGACGCCGAGCAAACGTGCACATCGTTTGATGCTCCACATGCCAGGCCTCAAAATCAGCTCTTCGATGGAGAAGTACTATGAGAGACGGTCTTCATCTGTTCTTCTGACCCAAGAAGATTACAAAATGCTCTTTGACCCAGTCATCAATATGATCATTCGCCTAGTGGAAGAGCAGGTGAACCAAATCAAATTGAAGAAAGAGCGGCCCATTGAAACCATTGTTCTAGTTGGTGGCTTTGGATCATCACCATACTTGAAAGAACAATTGACAGAGTGGTGCCAAGATAGAGGAATAAGGCTAACGACACCGATCACTGGCGCGTAAGTGGACCTGAAGAGCAAATTCTGACATGTTACCTACCCGATCTACATAATCACAAAGACAATGACTGAATGTGTTAACCAACTCATTACCCAGGTGGTCAGCTGTGGTTTGTGGAGCGGTTTTACGCGGATTAGAAGGTTCCATTGTGAGGCAAAAGAAGTGCCGAAGACATTATGGTTTCGTTGCGAGCCTCGAATACGATCCATCTGCCCACGCAGGGTTTGATGAACAAAAGAGATTCGTATGGACGGAGCAGGTAGCTAACGTCGAATATTTAACGGGATTCATGCAATGGGATGTCGGCAAGGTAAGCAATATTGACAGCCTTAGCACTTCGAGTCTTCTCATCCTGTCTTATTCCTCTTAATGGCCTACTTATACTGTAAACAGGGCGAACTTATTGATTACGAAACTGAAATTAACTCCGATTTTCTCTCACACTTCGAAGACAACGTACCAACAAGGCAGAGGTACACTTTATATTCTTGTAACTTGGATGACGCTCCCGAAACTATTGAGAATGAACGTACGCAGAGCCTTTCCTTTAACCGTCCCTTTTACATAATATGCAAATCACTGATCTTTTGCGCGCGTAGGAATCGAAAAGGTCGGCGAAGTGGTGGCTACGTTAGACGGCCTTGACAAAAATGAGCTGAAGCACGTTAAAAAGCATGGTACCACATATTATTTGCTTCCGCTGACTCTGAACATCCGATTGGATGACGAAGTTGGTCACTTGGCATTTCGGATCTTTTATCAAGATAGAGAAGTTGGAAAAGCGGCGATTAACATCGTTGAGTAATTCTAATCCGAAGCGTCTTTTGTCGCACCTAGATATGCACCAGTCTAAATTTTTGCGTCACTGAGAGTCAAGAGAATTTTGTATATTATCAAATGTATTGTATTAGTTGACTATGTTTAGATTGTAAAACTTAAATGAAGGTATAAAGTTTCAACGCTTTTACAACTCACACTCCATCACTTGCTGTTTCCACACCCTTAAGGAGAGATCTTCACCATATAGCTCAAATTCAAAACGCCCCTTCCATGCAATTTTGTCATCTCCGAAATGATTGTTTAATGATATGCTCGTCGACAAAGGAAAGTAGAAAATGGTATTAGAGAAGAAATTTGTTTTGGTAGTGCTTTAGAGCACGTTGATTCGGCGAGGCTCATGTTTGGCCGCCTTGGGAACGACAACGTTGAGGATGCCGTCTGTAAAGCTGGCCGTCACACCATCCTGGTTGACACGAGCGGGAAAGTTGAAAGTGCGAGAAAACTCGCCGATGCTTCGCTCGGTGAGCCAATATTTGGCGGAGTCGGTAGGTTGCTTCTTGGAGGAGTCGGCCTTGACCACCTCGCCTTCGGCAGGGGCGGTGGTGTTTCCAGCCTCGTTTTCGTCCTCGACAGTAGCCTGGTGAGGAGACTTGGGGCGCTCGTGCTCGCCAGACTCAGTGATGGCGCCGCTCTTGGAGGAGTCTTCGAGAGCACCAGCAGGTGGGGTACCGGCTGTGTAGGTGCGCTCAACTTTGCCGCGGATGACAATCGATTGAGGGTCGGTAAACTCGATGTGGACATCCTGCTTCTTCATTCCAGGGAGCTCGCCATGGAGTTCGTAAGCTTCGCCCGTCTCGCGGACGTCAAACTTGGGCTGCCAATGAGCGATAGTGCGGCGGCTGGTACGCTGGTTGTCGTTGCCTTGGCGGGAGTAGTTGTCGAAGTCCTCAAGAAGGCGGAAGAGAGGAGTGAAAGAGGTCTCGGGAGTGTAAAAGTTGCGCTGAAGAAAGGCCATTTTGGATGATGAGATGAGAGGCTTGGTGATTGTTTGTTTGTTGATGGTTGATGATTGGTTTAGAAAGAGGTGTAGTCTTTTGAGACTTGGTTGTGTGAGCGCGTTGTAAGAGTGTTTGTTGTGTGTGTTGATTTGTTTGTGTCTTGTGTTGTGACAGAAGAGGACAGACGATGGAGGATTAGAACGACTTCTTTATAGTTGGAGGAGTGTAAACAAAGATGATTCTTGAATCTTCGTCGGCATACTGGAAACGGAGTCTTGGAGTATTCTGGAAGCTGTGGTGAGATCATCGCGACTTCATCACGACTTCATCACGATACTGCTCGTAATGTGTAGAATTGGCTGGACAGTGCCGGAGCTTTCTCGAAATTTCCATTCAGAGCTGCCTACCGTATTTGGCAAGTGGGGTCTCAGTGGGGGTCCTAAAGCGGGAACTAGAAGAGGTACGTACCTGGGCACTTGGGTACGTACCTTTATCTCCCTTCCTGTTCGTATTGGACCAACTCCACCAAGAATTGGGACAAGATGCCCTATGGAGCATTGCATTCAATCGGTCAAATACATTGCAGATGCACTATGTTATTGCGATACGTCATAAATTCGGATTGAATGCAGATAGTCCAAACTCTAGGTCATCCAAAAGTGTAACGATCGTGTCCCTGCGTTGGGTACATCCAAAACTCAGTCACCTGCCGCGAGCGAGACTTGGCGGAACACGAGAAAAACTTCGAGTGCGAGTAAAACCACTACATATTACAGTCGCCTAAAGTCAGTGCATCCGCTTGACACCAAGTTTTAATTGCTTCATCAGGAAAGTATGGATATTAATAGAGCAGTGCAGCCCCTTCTACTTTGCGGCTAACTCCTCGGCTTACCCTGAACTTAATTGGGATCGTGATTTGTAGCGAATGCTCCAAGGTTTTCTCTTCAACAAGCTTTGTATGCTCACTCAATTATTAAAGCCATCAAAATTCAGTGGTATGTCCAGCTACATGCCAATTGATTCTTGGTACTTGCAAATCCTGAGAATTCTGTGTCAAGATGTGATCCGTAACGAGATACACACCAGAGAGAGCGTTGAGCCATAAGCTATATCATCAAAAAATTAAAAACATCCATCAAATATAGCAGAAACATCTACCATAAGAACTGTGAGTGTAAGCTGTGTCCAATTTATATCTGACCATCATTATCACTATTCGTATCGCTGTCATACCCTTGTCTCTATGCATCCCACCAAAGTCCAATAGTGTACTTGTCAGTTTCCCAGATGTAGGAACCGACTATCGCCATTATGCTCAATGTCAGCAGGTGCATGCTCAGTTATGTCGCTTGAGACTGCTAGCGCATTCTCGAATCCATCGCATCCTGGAGGATTATACTCAAGCTCAATTCCAACTGTGGACCTAGCTCTCTGTATCGCTTGAAGAGTATCATTCGTAATGCGTTCAATGTCTCCAGGTGATATCAAAGAGGCTGCAATAGCTGAACGTAGCAACATTTCAACTCTGATTTGCCTGCTTCTTTCTACATGTCATATGAGTTAGCAGTTAGCCAACTTTAGTGAACTAGAAGCACTCGCCTGGGCTAGGAAAAGCTCCATTAATGGAGAAAATTTGATACATCTGTTCCATTTTCTCGGCTTCTTTCATACCCCCCTTAATCCGTGTTTGCAATTGGCTCTGCTGTTCCGTACTCAGATAGGGAGAATGCGCTTTTCTTTCACACTGCGATTCACAGTGCTCTCGTAAGCTGTCACCATCTTCGAACTCTTCAAAGCATTTCTCACATAGAATGGCCGGAAGTATGTGTTTGCGAAGTAGATGTTCTCTGCAAGAATTAGTATTTGGCATAATGCTGGCCGACGCTGGTAGATGATGATATGCTAACCTCATTCTTTGGTATGTCTTCCAACGTCTCTTCGCGCAGAGTTCCCAGTTACCCTCCCCGTAATCTGATGGATTTTGCAGATAAAATGGGCAGTTATAAGCATCTAAGTCATGCCCATCTTCATCGGTCTTGCACACGCGTCGCTTTTTACTCTTTCTTCCACTGGTGCTATATTGGCTGGGTCTTATTCTCTTCGCTGCATGGTAAGCAGGACCCCCGCTACCATGACTTTGTGTTTCTAAATTATCCGAAGCAAGTTTGGTGAAATTTGCCTGGTTTCAAAGTCAGTGAATGCATCAAATGCTGAAGAAATATGCAAACTCATTGACCATATTTGAAAGCAAAAACTGTGCAGGCTCGAGATTATAAGACCCAAAATGATTGCGATGGAGGCTTTTATTAGTGGTGGGGGCGGTGGAAAAAGTCATTTCTGAAGATACGTCATCCATTGCTCTAGAATGAGTATCGGATGAGTAACTTGGGATAGTCGGCGAACCATATCCCAATTGTTTTCTAAGAGAAGGATTCTTGGAAGAATGAGAAGGAACTAGAACGGGGTGACGAGGTAGTGTGTAGCCCCCGAACTGATTAGTGTCTGGGTGACTGAAACAACTCTCGGTTGTATGTGTGGTAAAGGTGTCATCCATAGAGTAATCGTGAGAGGGATATAAATTATTGAATTCCGAATTCTCGGGCGCAAAAGGTTGTTGGCTCCCCGAAGCATTGTCAATGGTAGATAGCTCTTGCTGCACCTCGCCATAAAGTTGGAAGAAGGCACGTCTCCTATCATCTGTCATCTTGTGGATACATGTTGCATCTGGAGTCTCTAGCCATTGATCGGCATCATGGTTTTGTTGAATGGCTCCATAAGAGATTCCGGAGTAATGAATTGTCTCCGGAGAGTTCGAAGGCATGGAAGCCTGATTAAACGGCAGTTCTAATATTTCTTGTCCAGAGGACGGAAATAGCACATGCCTCAGATGTTCTTGCTGCTGGTGTGTAAAAACATCCTCTGATTGGCTGGTATCGTGTGCATTGCTGGATGTTTGACCGCAGTCTCCTTTGGTGTTTTCATGATGGCATAGAGGGATGCGGTTCGCCAAAGACCAATTCTTCTCATCGGTAACTTGACAACCAGCAACATGATGAAGACAATCAACAGATGTATCGTCATCCTTAGTCTGCCCTTCTGACCGAGTTTCTTCGGTCAAAGTCTCTTGTGTCTCTCTCCATTCGAATGTGAACGGTACGCTGTCTTCTCTTGGTTGCTGAGCTAACCAGCGGCCGAGCCCCGGCCTGTCATCGCGAGGCTGGCCTTGAGCATCGCCAGGCCTCGCAGAGCCTGGAGGCTGATCATCCATTGTGTTCTGTAGACACGATGATCGTGGGATTTGGTGAAAAGAAGGGCAGAGTTCGGTATCGTAGCCTCGTGATGGCTTTGAAAGGATAGAATGGAACCTTCAGAATTGCAAAGGCGAAATAAGGCATCGTTTTAATCATCCGCGGCCTTCTCGCGCAGGTGCGCACGCTCTGGACCCATTCTCAGAATTGCTGCTGCGCTTCCGCGCATCTGCGCATACCTTGTTGCGTAGGTGCGTATATGCGCAGCCCATCGCGATGCCAATTAAATGGAAGGTAAATCGGCGATGGGGTGGTTGAATCAAGGGGCGTTATACACGTTGAACATCTTCATTCGTGCGTAAAGAAGGCAACAGGCCGCCTTAAGGATGCAATTGCATGAACCTTAGCCGTAGAGTTCTAGCGGTCAGTCTGTGGCATTCCGTGGGAAACGAGAAAGCCAAACTTGACGCCTATTGAAGTTACAATTGCGAATAGTTAGAGGAATACCTTCATCTTATGAGCGAAAATAAAAATCACTTCTTGGACTCGATTCTTTCAACATCTTGGCTGCTGCCTTGTGTTGTTCTCCATTGAAACAATGGAGAGAGCTGCATACATAGCCTTGGGAGCAGTGACAGTACGGCTCACACTAGACGCGCATACTCCAGAGGGGTGTCAAATTATAGCAGTGATCTCTTCGGAATGTCTCCCGTAAATTTCTTGCTTGCAGATTGAAACGATGCTGGATGATGGCTGAGTTGCAGTGAGGATCATGGCAGCGGTTGTATGGCTCTTCTCGCAAATTTCCCCGCCTTAGTTCGCTATAAGCGGTTCAGCGGGGCTCTATCTCGATGGTATTTATTGAGCACAGCGACTCTGAATGGAGGCAAGTACTGCATTCATCATTGGCGGCAAATCCTGGCTTGGCGGTTTACCAATAGCACTGGCCTCACAGAAAATGAGGCATCTCCGCCAATCGCCTTTTGCCGAGATGGTACTAGGAATCCCATCTACGCGCGGTTTATTTTATGACTGACATTCGTCTTACAAGGCCCGCCTCCCACGCCCAAACTTCTCAGCAGAATATAAGACAGTGCCATACAATGTAAAGTTCCAGATTCCAAGCCCAAACAACGAAGACTGCACCGTAACACCAGATGAACCAACAAAGGTATTTGCCTCTATCGCTTCACTAGAAAATAAACAATTGAATGCCGTTCAGGTGATATGGAATAAGAACCTACCTAGCAGGGAAAATGCCAAACAAGCGGTCAATTTGTTGGCTGCGCTTGGCTTGTCGCGGACAGGATGATCCAAGAATAACATGTAATCTTCCTCTGTTACAATCAAGACCTTCCATATCTTTTTAAGTCTACCTCTTCCGCGATATTTTGTTTTGTAATCACATTTACTTGTTCATGCTTAACACACATGTGTACGTATATTATCATCAATGGCTTTAATGCTTTTAGACGTTTATTGCACTCCATTCTCCCCTCTGAAGCAGGCGCGCAGTAATTCATGAACGAAAGCAGTGACAACAGAACTCCTCGACTAGACAGCTCCATCTTCCTTTTGTCTACTGCCAGAAGCGGGTGGATAACCGAATTTACTGTTTCGCGAAATTGTTGTGACGGCAACATTGAGCTCATCATTGTATGTAGAGTATGGCTATATGTAATGCACTCACTCATTTGAAGATGCAGGAAACGAATTGGTCTCGGAACTATCCGCATAGCAGTGGGCCGGAATTTAAGGATGGCTTTACATTCTGACCTAAGTGGACCTTGACAAGACCTTCGCCCGGCATTAATTATAGCCTTCAGCAGATAGAGTGCTCAATAGGGAATTTTTCTGCGACCGGCACTTAGGCTGACCAATTGGTCCTCTACCTAGCCATGAGAGTAATTGAGCGGTGATAGGGCCAACAGTTTTCACAACGTGTGCTTTATTTTCTTAGTTTTGTAGTGAATTCCTAAGGTCATTTGTCACAAGTCTGACTTTGAATTATTAATTTTCTGCCAATGGATCCTTCGAAGCCGATTGAATCGAGCAGTTCTCTGCGAGAGCGCAAATCGCTCGTGGGTACTGACATCCGTCACGCTGAGTTTAGGACGAAAGTGTCTGCTCTCTTTGACATTAAAAGGTTGGAATCTTCTCGAGCATATCAAACTCTTACACAACTGCTCAAGGGTTTCCATGATCAAACTAACATTGTCGATAATCTAACTTTGGTTTTTCATTATACGATAACTTAGGCATTATGGAGCTCTTCAGAGATTCGGTGATGGGCCAGATTATTCGGCGTCTCACAAACGATAAGATTTTGCTCTACAGCGAAGAAAAAGCAGGGACAGATAAACATACAATGGTACAGCTGATAGGAATCATTGTCGAGAGCAGCTTACTGATGCGAATGATCCTATATAGGTGCGGACTTTGAGACCAATTTCCAAACACTCAAGTCCTGCAGATACATTGGTGGACAACAAAAGACAAAACTTGGATGATGCGCAATTGATGGGAAACAAATCTCAAAACCACTCGCAAACAGATGAAGAGATGGCGCCGACCGATCAATATGCGATGATGGCACCAACGGAAAATCTCCAAAACACCATGTTGAAACCAGAACAAAGTGCTGAAGGTAATAACTCTGGCAAAGAAAAAGACGTCAATTTTGTGGTTGAGTGGTATTCAGACGAAGACCCCGAGAATCCTCAAAATTGGACAGGGCTTAAGAAAGCGATCGTTCTCTTTCAACTGTGTGCGTACACAATGGCAGTGTATGGAGCATCCAGCATGTACGTCCCTGGAGAAGGAGACATAATGCGAGAATTTCATGTTGGCGCCACTCCCGCAGCACTCGGACTCGCTGTGTACGTGGCGGGTTATGGGATAGGACCTTTGGTATTCGCGCCGCTCAGCGAGATCGCGTCCGTGGGCCGAAACTGGGTGTATATACCTACGTTCTTCTTATTCGTTATACTATCGATTCCGACTGCAATAGTAAAGAACTTCGCAGGTTTGCTAGTTCTGCGTTTCCTCACCGGGTTTTTTGGAAGCCCTTGTCTGGCAAATGGAGGAGCATCGGTTGGAGATATTGTACGTGGCAAAGTTTATGAAACAATGTGTAATGACTGACATGTCCTTGACAGTATCCTGCTTTACAAATTCCCATCTACCTTTCTTGCTGGACTGCGGTCTGGTTCTGGGGCCCCGCGATTGGACCAGTGGTAGCCGGCTTTGCTGTTCAAGCGAAAGGATGGCGATGGGGACTTTGGGAGATAGTTTGGCTGACAGCACCGTTGATCTTGTTCTTGAGCTTTACATTGCCAGAAACATCTGCTGACAATATTCTTCACCGTCGTGCCGCCAGGTTGAGGAAGATCACGGGCCGAAAAGACATATTTGCGGCTAGTGAGATTGCGCAAGCACAACTGACAACTGGAGACGTCGTCTGGGATGCGCTCATCAAGCCGATGGAGATTATGATCAAAGATCCGGCCGTTCTTTTTACTAACATATATGTGAGTCGACGTTTGAGTCTAACTTCTCATACGCTGTGTTGCATTTGCAACGGGGACTAATACACGTAATAGACTTCCTTGACCTACGGCATTTACTATTCCTTTTTCGAAGCTTTTCCATTGGTATATCCTCAGGTGTATGGGTTCAACATTGGTGAAACTGGGCTTTGCTTCCTCACAATTGGTATTGCCTGCCTTATAGGAATAAGTATTTTTTACACATACCAGTTTTGCTATCTACTTCCCGAGATACGGAAGAACGGTCCACGCGCACCAGAACACCGACTAGTTCCCGCGCTTTTCGCTGTTATTACTCTGTCGGCCGGATATTTCATGTTTGGATGGACAGTGCAGAGCAACATTCACTGGATTGTCAGTCTCATTGGAGTTGTGATTCTGGTGACATCTAACTTCTTAATCTTCCAAAGTGTGTTCGTCTATCTGCCAATGTCATACCCGAAATACGCCGCTTCTCTATTCGCAGCAAATGATCTCTGCCGGTCTGTATTTGCTGTCGCCTGTATACTCTTTGCGAGACCAATGTTTGAGAATTTGGGGATTGGAGGCGGAGTATCTCTGCTGGCTGGTCTGTCATGCTTGGGAATTGCCGGAATGTTTGCGCTGTGGAAATACGGAGCATGGTTGCGATCGAAGAGTTCTTTCGCAAGCAGTTAGAACTGTGTGTCTAGTATGTGACCGAAGTATATCTTTTATCTGTTGGATTTTCTACGCCAGGTGTAGGCAAGCGATCACAGGTATAGCATTTTAGGTGAAAGGTAGAGGTAGCGATAGAGATGGTTTTAGTTTCTTATGGAAGAGTTCATACCAAACTTTATCAGTATCGAGAAAAAGCCTGTGATACGCCGCTTTTTGCCTTTGAGTCATCGACAAAACTATCAGTGGCGTGGTACCACCGTAACAACATTCTTCAGGATAAAAGAAACAGACTGTCTCTTTGATAGACACTGCTCGCTAGTTTTGGACATTTCTATCAATCAAAATTATGTGCTATGGCCAGGAACCATTTTACCAGAATTAGAAAGAGTCTTTTCCTTCTGCCACCATGCCACAATACATTTATATCAACGGATATCCAGGAGTTGGCAAGTTGACCATCGCTAAGGAACTTGAGAAACTTATACTCAGTTCAAAGATTTACCATAATCATTTATTTATCGATCCTGTCGCCCCATTAGTCGATCGCTGCTCACCACACTATCACGACATACGGACGAGCTTTCGACGCCACATCCTCAATACCATTGCCACATCTGAGGCAACACAACAATTCACCTGGATTTTCACCGATTCTCGATCTTCAAGCTTGATCGGTAGTACGGGTGCCGAAGATTACAGAGATGCAGCCAATAAAAGAGGCGTCCCATTCATTTCCATCGTACTACGCTGCCAGTTGGAGGAAAATGTGACAAGAGTACTGGGTGAAGGGCGCGGCGCTGGCTTTAATACTAAGCTGACGGATCCAGAGGCATTGAAAAGAATTAGACAAGAGGAGGATATCTATACTTTTGGAGGGCCATATGAGTTGGAACTAGATATTACAAACATAACACCAACAAGAGCTGCGCAAAAGATATATGAGCATCTAGCTAAGGTTATCCATACTACTTGATAATATAGAGGGTTGAGTGCATCCAATAGCTCTGTTGATTGCTCTCAAGAACAATCCCAAAATGCCTTGTTTGCCCCAACGTGCTCTGGGTCCTGTTCGAATGCCCTCAACATTACACCGGGCCACGACGCCGAAGGAGCCTTTGTGCGTGATTTGCGGCATTGTCGAACAATCGCATCGCCCAACTCCGTTTCTATGTCGAGTCTTTCTAAATCTTGTCCATGTAGGAGCAGATCTCGTTCTTCTTCGCCCAGTTCATTCTCTGGAACATCCATTGCTCCAAATTCTGCCATTATTGCTTTCCTCATTGCTCCCACAGTTCCTGGAAGATATTCAGCAATTCCAGGGCTTGAGTGCAATGAAATTGCCAACCAGGCTTCACGTATCGAATCCTCATCCACACCGTTAGATCGTAGTAGATTCGCGGCTTCATCTGCGCTGGTAACTTCAAAGCGCCTCGCAATCGAATCGTATTTTTCAGTTATTCCAATATCGTGCAATATGCAAGCGACAAATAGGACGTGGTCCGCGATTCGAATCGTTTTCACAGGGCTGGTTGGTAATGATTCTTCGTTCGATGAGGCATTCATTGCTTTTGCATACAGAAAAACGCGAAAGCTGTGGTTTATAATCGAATGTGGAAGGGACGAGAGCGCGATATCCAATGCGGCCAACGCCGCTGGGTGCTCTGGCACAAGTCTTCTCAAAGATTGACGTAGAGGTCGTTTCATATTCGCTTCGATATCAAGCGAACTGCTCATTCTTCTCGGTAGTGTAGCGCGAAAATCGTGCGTTCCGTTATGTTGTCCAAGTCAACTGATGAGTGTGAGCTGGCTTTGGCATAGTCGTCTTTATATACTCGAATATCCTGTCACATCATATAACGTAAATTTGTAAATGGAATCTCATATCGCGGAAACCTACCCTTTTCATCGATTTGGCAATGTCACAGCGCGAGTGGTACATTTTGTTCTCCTGTTAGTGTATTCCCTTGCATTGGGATAGGAAGCTACTCAAGTCCAACATTAACAGGGAAAGGTGGCCAGGGTAGGTTCAAAGGTAAACGGTCCATATTACAAATTCAATTCATAGGCAGCACATTCAACTGGACATTGGACAAGCGTAATGTGCAATAGAGCGTCACAGTGCCAGGGCGTCTATTGCAAAACAAAAGTTCAATCGCAAAAAATTCCCTCTACGAGCCTAGGTGCTGCGGACTGGTTTATCTAATTGGACAACTTGGAGCATCTTGCCAGTGAAGCGGAATACTCAATGTTTTTAAAACCATTCAACTCACCGGAACCCCGGGTATTATACGCCAAAAACTAAAGGAATATGATGATGACTATCAGTATCCAGAAAATAAAAGAGACAAAGTACTCAATGAACGATTTATTGCTCTCGTGTGAACAGCTTAGAATTGGTGAAACCAGCAACTCATACTTTCATTATTATCTACACTCATCGACAAATGTCTCTAGCAATGGGTTTACTTCTTCGGGCTTTTCCCAAAACGCTGAATGTCCGACGCCTTCAATGAGGCTCAAACGGTATAGAGGAAAATGTCCCTTTAGGAAGCTGTCCAGTTTTCCCCAGTATATTTGCCGGTCAAACTCACCAATCACAAGCATAGTTGGTAAGTGCTTTGCTTCTTGAAGCAGCTTTGTATGATCTTGATGTCTTGCATTCATGAGAAGACGTCTTGCGGTAGGATTTTGTTGCGCGATTACTCCTGCCAATGCTGAGTGTTCGCTGTAGCTCATTGAACTGATGCTGGATGAGTGGAAGCATGTATCTAGCACAGATGAAAGACTTTTCGCCACTTCCTCTGCATCGCCTTCAATGAGCGGTTGAAGAGCATTTACTCCATCGGAATGAAGAACTTCAGGGAGCTGAAGATCACATTTCAGATGTCAGCTTTGATTGGGAATTGAGATTGAGGGCAATCATTGGACCTTACCATAGATCTCCAAGGAACCCCCAACAGATACACTATCCCTCTGATCCAACCTGGCCCCAAGTGAGAAAAGGCATCCGTTGCAATTAAGCCCCCATAGCTCCTTGACTAGTTGTAAGCACATAGTTCCATCGATTTCACACCAAATCCATGATAGTCGGGCCTAACTTACCATCCTGCCAAAACTGCTGTCTTCACTCCATATCTATCGCAAACCGCTTTAAAATCCTGGGCATTCTTCTCTGACGAATATGCGCTCTCGCTTAGGGGCTGCTGCGATCTGCATTGCCCGCGAGGCTCGTAGGTAACCTATTACAAGTTCAGTTACAAGCAGTAACGATATGAAGATCCTCGAAAATTTCCCAAATCACTAGCCAGACAATACTTCCTAAGGAGGTTTTCGTCTTGGAATTGCTTCCGAAATGTCAAGCTAGAACTAGAGAAGCCCGGCGCAAAAATAATGACTGGTGCCTGGTCTGCCGAGCAGCCAGCTGACGCCGCCCATATTAAAGTTCCATCCTCTGATTGAACCTGCGGATCGGTCGTCTCTAACACGTTCGACATCTTCATCTGAGACTTGACACTGCTGTACAACGATTCATAAAATAGCTCGAAGGATGAGGATTTGAAGCCACAACCAAGTAATAACAGATATAGAGGTTATATTTATAATCAGCATGAAAAGACAACATACCATCACAGTTCATCCAGTATAAAGCCATGCACGGTATTTGATTCCATTTCAAAACCGACCCTTGAATAAATTCATTCCGCAGCAACCTAGACCATCTACTACAACCCGAGAGACCTGAAGCCATTCCATTGACAGAAACAAATGGGGCTACTGTTGACTGGTAATTATAGCGCAAGTTGCTTTTTAGCTCTCTGACTAGGGTGTACATTATACTAACCGTGAAGGGAAGTTTTCGTTTTCCACGAAGGCTTATGATCATTACGACAAGACTCTCGCTCTTATCAGTCCAACCGTGAATCAACCTGTTAAACTTTGGTAGGAGATATCACCCACTTCGGGTGAAATGCCGAGACGCATGAAAGATATGGTTGTTTTATTCACGAATAACCTGTTACCTTTCATCTGTCCATCGGCGTCACCTCGTAGGGCAACACCGTGAACGCAATGAGCTACCCAATTACCTAAGGCTACCTATCACCCCAGAGTCGTTGAGTACATATTGCTATCAACTGCAGGATATTTCTCGTTCTACATGACTATAGGCAATATAACGAAGCAAACATGCGAATCTTGAAAAGGCCTTCACAGCAGTCAATAGCTATTCCTCTTCAACTCCACGAAATTCGGCTCTTCTCCCCCAAACTCTACTGTACTTCATAGGCAAATCTACTTTTCCTTTCCTCTTCCTATAACAGTAACTATTCACAAAATAAATTAATAAGTTATTTAATGTCACTTCGGTAAGTATTAGTGGATATCGCTTAAGCCCGTGATGACTTGTAATATGATAGTTTCAACGTTAAACCCGGAAATGCCACAAATGACATGGCCTTTGAGGAGATCACAGCGACGGCAGATCTCCACTCCGGATTTGATGCATATTGAAACCATAGGGTCCTTCAAAGAACCATCTTCTCAACCTATACTTCGCTCGGAAATTGTCCTATTGAACCTCAAGCGAAAATGGGGAGAGAACCTACAAGCCTTGGCTGTCACACGTGCCGCCAGCGACGGATTCGATGTGATCAGGCCAAACCTATCTGTGCGCGATGCAAGCGGGCAGGCTATAAATGCCAGGGATACGAAAAAGTTTTTCGACAACAAAACTACGGCGTTCACCAGAGCGAGGAAGGGTCAACGTCTGCGATGTTTATAAAACTTAATTACGCGACTTCTTACCCATGCCGTTTAGGTCAAGAAACCCGTGGTGGGAGTGAATCACGGCACAACAAGACGGTCAACGAAGATTGCACATCCACATCCACTCTACCTGAGCCAGCTGATCATCCACTGCGTGACGAAGGCTTGTCCCAAAGCACACCGTTGAAGGAGGCTAAGAGCGCTCTTGTTCAACCTGAAGTGATTTTCCCATCTTGGCTGAGCCTAGAACCATTTCTCGATCATGTCACCTTTTCCTACTTCTTCGACTCGTACGGCTGGATCAATATGCACAGCATGCTGCTTCAAGATTCCCCAATGCGACAACATCTTGCCCAGGAGCATGATACTCTTGGCTATGATAGCTTACGAGCTCTAACCTACGGCATCTTTGGTCGTGATCACAAAATTATCACCCTACAGCGCTCAGCTTCTCGAATCTATGGTTCCCTTCTTCGAAAGCTCCAACATAAGCTAGACACGTCGACAAAATCGGACTTGGCACGACTTATTAAGCCAATTGCAATCATGGGGTCTTACTCCGTAAGACATCCCGCACAGTTCAAAGACCTCTTAATGACTCTCAGGCAGATTGCGGTAGAAAATGACCATCGATTTACGCATCACTCTGGATTAGCCTTCATCCTTCAGCATTGCGGCCCTTGTCACTTTGCCGATGCTTCTCTTTTGTCAATTTATGAGTCCTGTCGCTTCACAATGGTATCTATGTCCTCACTTTTCCAATTGACGAGCATGAACTCCTCTGCCCAGTGGACATATAGGGCTGAGACTCTCGATAGGTTGCGAATGCTTTGGTTCGACGTCAAGCGACATTCTTAGAAAGGGATGAATGGAAGACCACTCCGTGGCTGCTCCATCCAGAAATGAAAACCAACGCAAGCAAGCTCATCGACATCGTTTCTGATATTCCTGGAATCATTCAGAGTACCGATGACATACTCGACAAGCGATCTCAGTGGGTGTATAATGGACTTAATATCCCGCGAAAAGAAACTCTGACCACTGTTCACGATCTGCAATGTCGCTTGGAACAAGTTTTTTCTTGTCTTCAGAACTGGCAACGAGAATGGTCGACGATGAATGGCCCGAGTGTGTCTCAAATTCTACAATGGGCTCTATTTCGAGCAAAAGACGACTATTACCGCCCTGGCATTTTTGGTATGCAAGGTCCTGACGCCTACGGCCTGAATATGGACAACCAGACAGGCGTGAACATTCCTTTTGTGAAAGTAGTTGATCACGGCGAGCCCGAACCGAACACAGCCACATTCGGTCTGATGACGGAGGCCGCATTATTTATAACGGCCCTCATATGGATCGATCGGCTTCGGAAAAATCTCAAAGGCGCTTCTGAATCTGCGGAGTCTATCGACTTTTATAACTCCCCGTTTTACACGCAGTGCCGTTGCTACTATGACAGCCCAGGGCCGCTAAGACTCTGTCAAATTTTTCCTGATCGTGATCCATATGTAGAAAGACATTTATCTTGGAACTTGAACTCCGCTCGGATCTGCGAGTCCCCTACTTTTACCTCCGGTGATAACGAGAGTTACCGCAGTCATAGCTCTGCGGCTACAACTACGGCTGCTGGTGCCGCTTGCTCATGTTTTGGCCAACACTCATGGGCAGCCAATACTGGAAATGATTCTCTTCAAAACATTCTTCTACCTGGGGACATTCGGTTTTCAGCGCAACTGCGTATTTTGAATTGGTTGACATCTCATTTGCCGCAAAGTCGGACTTCTGTGCTCAGCACACTTGCGGCCATGGGATTGACTCATTGTGTGCATGATGTTCGACCTTCGGAAGGAAACGAGGACATCGCATTAGCTATACGTGAAACCATGATTAAGTCGAGATTCCAAGGGGCAGCGGAACTGTTACGTAGGAAATATCGTTGATACAGGGCCCCCCCTACTTCGCCATGACTCTGCTCTGTTTGCTGAGTTGTATTTTGTACGTAACGATGGCTGGCTGATTCTAAATATCAAGAGAACAAATTTAAACAAGAGAAAGAAGCTTTAAAGACTGTATGCTTGCATTACCAGTATTTATGAATACTACCGTACTGCAGGACCTTCTCGATGACATACAAGCCAAGCCAGTCCATGCCCCCACTGACTCTCTCGATAAGTGCAATCAATATCTCGCAGATAACTACCTGATCCAGATTAAATATTTGACCAGGGGCTAAGCTCGTCCAAGAATTAGCTGCACTTACCTAAGTGGTCTTCTATAAATATGCTGTATAAACACATCCGGAGTCCCGCGGGAATCTAAAGCGAATGTCAACATACTCAAACTACAATTTTATTCTTCACGCTATAATTCTTTTAAAACAACAATCATGCCTCGCTCAAACGAAACAGAGTGGTGGGTGAATGCTGTTTATGAGACTATTATGAAGATACCGTACGGGCGCGTTACAACATACAAACATATTGCGGAGCTACTAGAAACACGTGAGTGTTATATTAGAATGTCTTGATATGTAATTGTGTGAAGATACTGACGGAAGCACTTGCCGAGCAGCGCAGCGAGCTCGCCAAGTAGGCACATGTTTGTGGAATCTCTCTCCGGCAGTTGACCCTTCCAGCAATGAGCAAGGAGCGTCATTATACAATCTAGGAAATGTTCCGTGGCAGAGAGTGATAAATTCTGAGGCCATGATTTCGCATCGGTAACATGGATACGCCCTCTAATTTCACTGCATATTGAAATTGCTCCGGACAGAAAAGCAGCTAACACTCGAATCTAGTGGTGGGAATTGGGCGAATGTTCAAGCCCAAACGTTAAGAGGAGAAGGTGTACATGTTTCCACAGATGAAATGGGATAACACCATATTGACATGTCGGATTTTGGTTGGTTCCCTTCTTCCGTAAGCTCTGATGACGAGGAGTTTGAATGAGACATATGAGCTACGGCAATAGAGAAAACGTTATTTTAATTCTCAAAAACCAGTTGTAGCCAAATCTTGACTATTACTGTGATAAGCGAACAGACCAATGAGCACATGTAAAGGCCACTTCAGAATACAATGTAGTGAATATAATGATTTAATGCGATCTCGAACCGCCCACTGTCGTCAATACGCTATTTTGCAGTAAACGGGATCATCGATTCAGCTTCTTATCTAGACACACCGCGGACCACTACCGGTCGTCTGACAACTTGTCCCGTCCCTTTATCAGGGCAACTATATTGCTTCAGACTTAACATTTTACCCGAAATCTACGGAATTGCCTTGAAAGTTGTCAGTTGCTCCTAGTTCTGATAAATCGAAACCGTAAACCCGCGGTCAAGGGTGCCCATCTATGTTAGCGCGCATCCGATGAGAGATGACGTGGGTAGGATAAAGCCGCAATAAGACAAATACCGATGTCCAGCTACTAAATCCACCTGAATCAGCAGTGACAGGTCACTCAAGCGTAGCAAAACAGTCTTTGGGCTGGACGCGTTGCTCAGAGCTCGAACGATTCATCGCAGAAAACTTCTCTTTTTAGTATGGTAGTTTCAGCACAGGCACCCGTCAAAGGAGAATTATCTTAACACTCCACTAAGTAATCTTCACCAAAACTAGGCGTGGACGGAAACTTCCGCCGTAGCCAGGAAATCCAGCACATAATTGATCAAATTGAGAAGCTTTGGTTCGAGAAAAATTTCCGGTTTAGGCCACCGTGATCCACTAATATTCAACAGGTGTGAGTACTCCGTAATGACAGGATAAAATGGACAAATATGGCGTGAATATTCTATAAATAAGGTCGATATTCTCGAGCAACAGACACAGAAACTACAAAAAGTTGGCGATTCACTAAGAATACTTCAAGCAACAGGCTATATCATTCGAGCCAAAGTTCAAATTCAAATCTGCAATATTCTCTACGACTAAACTGTTCAAGATGATTGAAGAGAATGACACACTTGGTGGAACTTTCCCCTTTAAGCCTCATTTCTCCTCGGGACCAGGATTTCGAATGCACTATGTTGACGAGGGGCAGGGCTTGCCTGTCCTATGTCTTCATGGTGAACCGACTTGGGGCTATTTATATCGAGAAGTCATCCCAATTTTGGCACAAAACAACCGCGTAATTGTCCCGGATTATATGGGATTCGGAAAAAGTGAAACTCCTCAACATCTCGAATATACAGCGCGACAAAACACCGACAACCTGGAAATTCTCGTCAAAGAATTGGATCTGCACGATATCACTCTCGTTGTTCATGACTGGGGCAGACAGATTGGGGGTGCCCTGGCTCTTAGACAGGCTTCCCGCATCCGCCGGATCGTAGTGATGAATACGATGCTGTCAATGGGTTTGCCGGAGGAAGAGATCTGCTGGACCGAAAACAGTAAAGAATCCGCTTGGTTTGGGTGGGCGGACAGAGCTGTGGCAAATGGTACCTTTGAAGCTACACTTATGAACTCTGGGGTGGCTATTGTCGGCTTGATGAAGCTACTACAAGGCTTTGAGAGAGCTAATGTCACTGAGGATTTCTTCCGAGCCTACTCGCTTCCTTTTGCAACTCCAGAAGAATATAATGGTGTGATTGCCTTTCCTAAAAGCATTGTCACCGGCTCATTCAAGGCGGAAACCGGCTCAGAGAGTCAAATATCTGCGGTTCGCGCAAAGCCAGCAATGATGATTGAGGGAACAAAGGATAAAGTTCTCCTCGCCAAGCACTTCGTGCCTGTGTTCAAGAAAGGCTTTCCAAATGCATCGATACATTATTTGGACCAAGCAAGTCACTTTCTGCTAGAAGATGAGCCTGAGAAAATCGGCCAGTTGATTTTGGACTTTATGAAGAACAGTTAGCTTCATCTAGTCGAAGGAAACCATACATGCTTAATACTATAATAATGTTGGTCGCTAGATATAATTGTACGAAATAGAATAAACAACAAATGAGTTGATATGCAGAGAAAGCCAAAACATCAATATTGATATGTGTTCTATCATGCCCAGAATTTTTACAAGCTCGGCTCGATTTACTGCGAGAGATTATAGAGCTGTAAATATGAGCTGCGAAGTTAATATGAGAATGTGCATATGATTCCATATAATGGAATGGTTATCGACGAATAATGTATCAACTGCTGCCTAATGGCAAATAGTCTATTCAGCAAAATTGAATAGAGTAGTCCTGCGTCGTGTATGACTAGGTGTATTTGTTACAGCCATCATTCGCGCTGTCAGCCAATAAATAATTTAGTTCGATCCCAAATGTTGAACAACTAGACTGATCAATAACGAATTTGCTATATACCTGCATATATCGAGGTCGGTCTCTTAAAAGCTAGGCAAGTATGTCAAATTTACACTGCGGAATTGCGAGTAAATTTGTCACTGTCTTATCTTCGAGAGCTGGGTTCAAAGTTGTTGCTGGTTGTCGCTTTACCTAATCCCAGCAAGAATTTGTGACTTCAGCTGTTCGCCTGCGCAGATTCATTGAATAATTTCAAGTACCTGCCCATATCTACGTCATCCGATAATCAATGCCAAACAGAGTTGATAATATCATTGTCATTCCTTTCAAGTGGGTTTATAGCCTTCTTGTGACTTAAATGGCCTAAGTCTTGATTTATATCGAGCTCAGATCCTCGCCATCATTCAGCAGACCCTCGTAATCACCATCCGAAGCCTCGGAACCACCCCCCCCCCCCCAGAAGCCGGATATAGAACTGCTCATTGTCATCATCATCTTCTTCTTCTTCTTCCTTCTCTTCTTCTTCTTCTTTCTTCTTCCTCTTCTTCGTCATCATCACGAAGAAGCTGAACAATAGCTTCATGGCCATTTTGAGTAGCCCATTGTAGCGCTGTCCGACCTTCCCTATCCCTGGCATCAAGAGTAATTTTGTCAATTGCCAGAAGTTGCCGAACTATTTCCGTGTCTCCTCCAGCTGAGGCTCTTATCAACATTGTTTTGCCGTCTTCATCGCGGGTGTCCACTTGCGCACCTCTGTTAATGAGGAGTTTGATGACATCTTTCTTTTCTTTGTCAAAGGCTGCCACTAACGCTGTTACACCGCTTCCATCTTTGGCTTCAATATCAGCACCTTTGTCAAGAAGAAGTTGAACAACGTCAGTATACCCCTGTTCTGAAGCTATTATTAGTGCTGTTGCGTCTTCCTTACCTCTGGCCTCTATATGAGCACCATGATCAAGAAGTAGTCGGACGACATCAGCGTGCCCCTTTAACGCGGCCACCTGCAATGGTGTTACTTCTGGGTTGCCTCGCCCTTCTACATCGGCTCCCTTATCAACCAGGAATTGAACAACTTCGACACATCCAGAGGCAGCGGCTCCGATTAAAGCTGTCACATCCTTCGTAGCGAGGGCGTCAATTTTAGCGCCGTGTTCGATGAGGAGCGTTGCCACTTCGAATTGCCCGCCTAGTGAAGCTGCAATTAAAGGTGTGCAGCCATCCTGATCCGAAGCATTAACATCGGCACCGTTTTCGAGACGCTGTTTAACCACCTCCATAAGTCCCTTTCCGGCAGCCCACTGAAGTACCGTTGCTCCTGCCAGAGAGAAGCGCAAACTCTCGTCTTGCCCCAGCGTATCCCATCTTTTTTGTATATTCTCCCATTGAGTAGATAGGCCGCTCAGTTTCCTTATCACTTCAGCTTGCCTGGTAAAATTTTTGGTCAGTGTTACATTGTATTCTATTTCCTTCGCAACCAATGCTTTTTGTCTCATTTTAAGCTCCTTTAACTTGGCTATAATTGTCTTCTGCTCTTTCCTAATCTCATTCAGGCCGGTGTCGTAGCTGTTCATCTGGTCTTTGAGTTCATTGCTTTCTCTCTCAGTTTCTTCGTTTTCTTCCAGGAGTTGTAAACTTTCACGTATTAACCTCTGAGGCCCCAATTCCACGGTTGCGTCAATAGTGGCGAATACTTCGTCCAGCACTAGCTCAGGCCGTATCACAAAGATCGGCTGCCGCTCAACACGTTCCAGGGCAATGGTGAGGGAAAGCAGCTCATTCTTGGCCCGCCTTTTCCCATCCAGCTTTTGCATCATAGAGGGAAGATATAAAACCAGTTCCTCAAATAAGAGATTTCTGCTACATATGAAAACCAGACATTCAACCCGAGTATCGGATCTCCCTTTCTTATATTCCAGAACGACAACAAAGTCTTTGGAGTCTTGTGTGTCATGGCGGAGTCGAATCAAGATTTGACCCACGACATCATCGTGAGCTATGGGCGTGGACATGATTAGAGCTCGCTCTTCGTCCCAAGATGATCTAGGAGCCACATCAATGATTTTTAGATTGATATCTGTGAAGTCATCGTCTTCGTAGTGGAAAAAAAGTCCACTCGAATCCACGGGTACGGTTTCTTGGTTGTCGTGCTTGATTCGGATCGGCTTTGGCTCTGTTGCAGCTACCGTGGTCAGATACAAAGAAGAATTGTATCCTCGTGGCCGACCGTATTCGTCAGATGATCCCACAGAAAGTTCAATCAGTGGTATCCCAACCACCTGTTGCGAATTATTCTCGGGTCCGCAGCTGAGAAGCCCAATTATCTGGCCCGTGGGAGTAGTATGCAGTGGCAGGTGAGCTCGAATGCTACCACCAGACATGTCGACTGAGCTCGTATATTTGAGAGTTTGGTCTCGTCGAATAATGTTCCCTGAATGTGCAAAGTCTGCCGGGGCCTTGGCCATAATTCTCCCACCTGTGGTACTGCCAGAGTTGTTGGTAGACGAATCATTGGTTCCCAGCCCCCAGGCCAGTATTGAATCATCTCTTGTCACCTTCATAATTTGTTCCTGTAGCCGGAAGAATGCCTGTTCACCACCCTCTCCATAAATCATCGGCATTGTTATGTTGAAGATGCCGAGAAGGCAATACGCGAGGTCTTCCTTGCGTTTCGTATCCCTGTGCGCTGCCCACGACATGCGCTGTGCGACGCTTGCCGTATGGAGTGCAGTAATTCCCAGTAGATAATGCTGAGGTATGCCTGTGATCGACGCAATAGTGGTGCTCATATTTCCTTTGTTTCCCAAAAGACGCCACTCTTGGACCAAGTTTGTGTCGACGAAGGCTTGTCCGCTGTGTGTATCTGATGGGGAAATAGCGCCATAAAACCGCATCGTTTTAGGTGCAAGAAGTTCCTGCAGAGTCCATCCTCTCTGGAACCACCGGCTTCTCCGGAACTTGGAGCTCTTCTGCTTGAAATGATCATCGCTGGGAACATCGGATAGAAAAGCATAGCAGATAGAGGCACGCTGATACCACCGGAACATGGAGTTTATAGCCTCGCTGAGCTCGACCAGATTTGTCTTGTCAATGCAACAGGTATCAATCCAGGCATAACCAAGGTTGTCCTCCGCGGCTTGTCGACAGCATCCTCGGAATTTGGCAGATCCGACGCCAAGTTTGTTGATGTTTCCATCTTCAACGTCGCGAAAGCTGAGCTCTTCAGAGTCGTCTCCCCAGGTATGGGACAGTATAGCATAGGGAGGCGCCTGATAGTCGAGAAATTCCTCTAATTTGAGCGTCTTTACATTGATGAGACGCATTGTATGACGTTGCTGCACTGGACGTTCCAATACATGTAGATTCTTGACAGTGGCCCAAAGACGTGGACTTTGCGGCTGGATTCATGCCCATTGAGAAACAAGATGTTTTCAAGGCTTCGGCAAGTACATAAGCAGGAGGGCTGTGATGAGGGGTACTTCTGGTTCCTATTCGCTCTGAACCATCTTGATAAGAGCCGCATAATTGGCTGTCTGTCTGCCCCGCATGTCGCGCTGGAAAGTGTGCCACCTTGTTGTTAATTGTATGGTGGATTGGTGTTGAATACTGATATGGCATCAAATAATTCCCTATTCTATGGATATTTTTCTAGAATCTGCTGCAATATCTATATTTCTTTTGTATCTTGCTTGGAAGCCTTGTGTAGACTTGATATTTGATTCATTTATGATCATTGACAGATTCGCAGCGTGACACATACCTAATCCATGCCAAACTCGAATGAAAAGATGCATCACTCTATTAAATTCTCGTATAAAGCGGAAAATTCAAAGAAACTATCCGCTGTGGCTTAATATCCCTTGGAACACTATTGTTTTCGCGTTCATCCAGGGTAGCAATATCTCAGATTGACGCCATTCATACCACACTCACATAATGATACCCCGGAATTCTACCTTGAGCCTACCCTGCCGGACCCGAAAATCGGGGACCCAGAAGTTTGGGGGGAAAGTTGGGTGAATCTCCACCGGATGGTGGATTTCGATTCGCTCAATGGGGGAGATTCTCCGTTCTCACGAGAGCTTGAGGTGCATTAGTCTGCAGTCACGGTCAAACGGCTTTTTTGTCAGGTTCTCAAATGCCGCTCAATTGTTGGAATCGGCAAAGGGGAAATGACTTGAGAGGCGGTGGTATTTCTCTAGGAAGATCTGCAATGGTGAGCCCAGGAGATCTGGAACCATGCCATTGCCGGAATTGTCATTTGTGGGGAGGAAGCTTCTCTTACACCATCCCAGCTTGATTGCAGCCAAAACCGCCCGTGCAAAACCACCATGTCATGTTCATGTCTCAAAACGGGGACTCGTCGATCAATTGCAGCCTTCTTCCTTGGCAGAGCCTCGACCAGGCCGCTTTCAGAAGCTAAAAGACAAGACAACGAGCATCCATGTCTCTCTTTCTCATGCTTGGTGAGATAGCTCGGCCCACGACAAAAACAAGACCCGCAAAGCTAGTTCGGCTCGGCTCTAAGAAAACGGGAATTGGCTGGGGGGGGATAAATATAGGAACGAATAGCCCGTTGTCTCAAGTTTTCGTTGGCCTTGGTTCTCTTTTTTTCCGGCTTGCTCTGTACGACGTTTGTGTCTCGTCTTACTCGGGTCTGGTTGATTAAGTGTCTTACTGAGAGAATATTACTACTGCAGCTGTGCTTGTCCCCAACCGAAATCATTTATTGAAAGGAAAACGAAGAGGAAAAAGTCGCGACGAATGGAATTCGTAGTCGAGTTCTTCTCTCTTCTTCTCAAGTCTATACGCTGAAAGAGTCGGGGAGCATCTGATTAGCTGCTTTTCTAACTCTTTCGCGGTGTACACGGTTTCTGTGTACCTCAATTCCCTCCTTGACCTTTGGGTCTTGGAATCAACGCCCACTTTTCGCCAATTACCTGCGATATAGCCACTCTCGATTCCAGCATCTTGAAACGAGGGCCTACCCATTACTTCGCCCTACCGGCTCTGAATCGTGTATTGAAATCTAGAGCAATTGGATAGGATATCTCGAGACAGACGGCAATTGAGTGCCATGGCGTCCCCAATTGGGCCTCCAGCATACGCTGGCCATGAGAAAGGACAGGCCGACAAAAGCGGCATCACCACCAACCGCGCAGAATCTCTCAACGACATCCGAGTCTCTATGTCCTCTGGCGAAACGAAGCAGAACACGACTCACCGACAGCTCAAGGCTAGGCACATCCAGCTCATTGGCATCGGAGGTACCATTGGCACCGTTCTCTATGTGCGTATTCCACGGCCTTTCATTCATCTATCCCCCGAACAAAACAAACAATCAAATTGAAGCAACATTTGGTTCGCTCAATCTTTTGTGCTTATTTCTCATTTTACTCCGCGTACAGGTTCAAATAGGAAAAGGTCTTCTCAATGGCGGTCCTGGCAGCTTGTTCATCGCCTTCAGCTTCTGGTGCACCGTCGTCCTCGCCGTAACTCTCTGCATGGCTGAAATGGTCACCTATCTACCAATCTCATCGCCTTTTATCCGATTCGCGGGCCGCTACGTCGACGAGGCATTTGGATTTGCGACGGGATGGAACTTTTTCATATTCGAAGCTGCGCTGGTGCCGTTTGAAGTGACTGCGTGCAACTTCATCATTCGCTACTGGACCGATGCCATTCCCACTGGCGCACTGATAGCCATTGTCATCGTCTTGTACGCCCTCATCAACGTGCTGGCGGTGAAATGGTACGGCGAGACCGAGTTCTGGGCGGCCATTGGCAAGGTGGTGCTCATCGTCGGCTTGATCGTCTTTACTTTCGTCGTCATGCTGGGCGGGAACCCGAAGCACGACCGTTTCGGATTCCGCTTCTGGAACGAACCTGGATCTTTCGCTGAGCTGTACTACGAGGGTAATTTGGGTCGGTGGCTGGGCTTTCTGCAGTGTCTTATCCTGGCGGCGTTTACCATTGCCGGCCCGGATTACGTCTCCATGGCGGCGGGCGAGGCGGAGAATCCGCGCGTGGTGATGCCGAGGGCGTACAATGCTGTGTTTTACCGGCTGACGGCCTTTTTCATCCTGGGATCGCTGTGTGTTGGGATCCTGGTTCCGTATAACGACAAGGAGCTGATTGCGGCCTTTGCGAGCTCGAAGCCAGGCGCCGCTGCTTCTCCGTACGTCGTCGCCATGAACCGTCTCGGAATCGACGTGCTGCCTCACATTGTCAACGCCGCTATCCTGACGGCTGCCTTTTCGGCCGGAAACTCGTACGTCTACTGCGCTTCTCGATCGCTGTACGGACTCGCCTTGGAGGGGAAAGCGCCGAGGTTTCTCACGACGTGCACCAAGGCTGGCGTTCCGGTCTACTGTGTCGGCTTCGTCCTGCTGTTTGCGCTCCTTTCGTTCCTGCAGCTGTCGTCGAACACGGCCGTGGTGCTCAACTGGTTCGTGTCTCTCGTCACGGCGTCGCAGCTCATCAACTTTTGCGCCGTGTGCGTGTCGTACTTGTGCTTCCACCGGGCTCTCAAGGCACAGGGGATTAGTCGTGACTCGCTGCCTTACAAGGCTTGGTTCATGCCGTATGCGGCTTGGTATGCGCTGGTGTGGACGTTTGTGATGGCGTTTGTGGGTGGATATACCGTCTTCTTGCCGTTGCCTGGCTACTGGAACATTGCAGACTTTTTGTTCTCGTGAGTATTTGATGAGACACGACTTTGAGAGAAGAGAGAACTCTAACTTTGATGTTGTGGGTAGATACTCCATGATATTTGTATACCCAGTGTTGTACTTTGGCTACAAATTCATCCGCAAGACGTCAATCCACAAGCCTGAAGAGGTAGACCTCTTTAAGGATGTGGATGAGATTGAAGAGTACCAGAGAAACTACATTCCTACCCCTCCAAGGTATGTTTTTTGCAAGCTTTGCCGGTTTTGTAAATGTGATATTGACAAGTTTGCTTCACAGGAATGGGCTGGAAAAGATTGTCAACAAGATTTTCGGTTGAGTGGACAGTGATGGCTGAGGGAGTGAATGTTGCTTGGTTAGCGATGAACTGAGCAGTAATTGTCTCCTTGCAAAAGTATATATATATTGTAGAATGACGCTTGAATCTACAAATCCCGATATTCTCGATGTTATGTTCCTGTGCTCTGAACCGTTTTGAGTAATAACCTCTAATACCATAGCCAATTTCAGCTCGACCAAATAAAAGGAGCCCATATTGATACATATCCCCTGATGGTAATGCTGTACTTTAAAAACTGACCCCCTCATCTCTATTCTTATATCCCTCCCCGTTCATCAACTTCCTCTCCTGCTGTATAATAGCATCCGGAATTCCAATACCTAGCCCGGTAAACACAAACAGCGCCCACTTCCAGCGGAACGGGTTAAACGCCACGCAAAACACGAACCACCAGACGAGCTCAAGATACGTGAAAAAGTCGAATGCTCCGGTTGGGCTAAACTTCTTGAGCGTGCGCGTCATGTCGATCCAGCGCTCCATCCACCACCGACTCGGCCGCGTCAGGGGGTCCAGCAGGAACATGAGGAGAATACGTGTGTAGATGCCAATGTGCCAGTTGCCGACAGTGCCAATGGCCTCAACAAAAGTCGAGTTGATGGCTGAGATGGACGGATGCGCGGGGGGGAATGTCTGCAGATACCAATTTGGCGGCCCGTACGGCTCTTCGAAGCATTCGTCAGGGAGAATCGCCAGTGAAGGTCTCTTGAAGCCCGTGGCCATGACTACCATGTCGGCCTTGATGAGCTGTTCGTGGCCGGGGCCGTCTTTGGGAACACCTCGAGAACGACGGTTGACTGTGACTCCGCGGCTGGTGAAGCCGAGAATATCACCTCGAACCCATTCAGCTTTGCCTTGACGCAGCTTGTCCATGACGTCTGAGTTGACCATTGGAGTGCCCATGAAGATGCCTTTATCGTGAGTGGGAGCCAAATCTTCGAGATCTCGGTAAAAGAACTTGCGGAGGAAAAACTCGGGGATGAAAGAAAAGAGAGTCTCTTGGCCAAAGATGTTGAGGCTGAGCAGTGTGTCTACAATCATGTTTCGTGGGATGATCCATTTGTCTGATCGAGAGAGGATGGAGACCTTGGATGCTCCGGCGGCAAAGGCGAATTCGAGGGCTTCCACGGCTGATGCGCCTCCTCCGATGATGGCGATGTGCTTGTCCTTGGCGTCTTTCCTACAGCGGGTGTTAATAGGCAATGTCATTCTTGGGATTTATTGCATACGTACCCAGTCAAATCACTAGAGTGGTAAATTTCGCCCTTAAACTTCTCCATGCCTGGGATATGTGGCATCTTGGCATCACCACAAGTTCCGATAGCCGCAATGAGGCCGTCGAAGTGTCCAAGGGAAGGGTCATTGTTGACAAGCCACCGGCCTTGATCGTCCTGCTTGAGGCCCTTGACTTTGACGCCAAACTTTGTCTTTTTATCCAAGTTGTAGGTTTTCCAGACTTGCTCGATTTGCTCGACGATTTGCTTGCGATTGGGATAGCCGCCCTCCCATTTGACGGAGGGATGGAAGCGGTACATGAGGGAATGAATTTGGAGGCCAGACGTGTCATTGACTCTCTGCATGAACCAGTCAGTTAATCAATCATTTTCTCTCTCTCTTAATCAGTGTTGTAAAACTCACGCTCCAAATACCGCCAAGTCGATCCCTCGACCCGGCCTCAAAAATCGTCACGTCAAAGCCATGGCCAACGCAATGAGCAGCCGCCGAAACTCCCGTCAGTCCAGCACCGATGATGGCAATCTTTGGGCGCGTCAATTGGTCGCTTTCCCGAGGCGGATACGGAGCAAGAGCTCTATTAATGATCCATTGCAGCAATTGATAGAGGAAAAGAAGCGGATGAAGGAGCGGATTCGCAATAGAATCCGAGCTTTGAGGCATGATGATGATGGCGGGG